ACCGGTATGCAGCATTTTGTAGTGCTTTTTTTGTTTTTGTACATCATTTTTTAGTTTGAACAAACAGTGATCTAATCAGCGTATTGCAAATATTAAGAATGTCCAATTTAAGTCAGTTAATAATTCAAGAATGCACAGCTACCGGCCCTACAGTGTACACTTGTACATACATGTATACATGTGCAATGTGGGAAGGGAGAGAGGCCATGCATGTATGTATGCCCAGGAATGTTTTTGATGTTTGTTGGGTTCAATAACTTTGTGGTTGTGTACGTATTTATCTTTTCAAGTTTTCAAACTGTGGACAGAGAACAAAAGAGAACAATATTGTCCACGAATTCCCAGCATCCGTCCGCGATTGGGGTCGTGTTCAAAACCTATGGGAGTCTTCCTAAAAAGTTAAAAGAGTACAAGGGCAATTCCACGGTAACGGAAGGACGTTTTCACTCATTAAACAAAATTTCAAATGTGTGTATCACAGACACTGTTCATAGTTACAGCAAACAAATGTCACAATTGTATTGCTATAATGCTACTTTCATTTTCCACACTTTTGAGGGGGAAAGAATGCCTCCCGTTTTTGAATTATGAATATTAATGAGGTCGGTAACGGAAGGACGGTAAAACGGACAAGGGTTTTTCAACTTACTCGCGTTTTGCGTAAACTCTGTGAATTTTATGGGGCAATTATATTTTAAAGGTAAGAAATGGAATCCCTGAAGCTTTATCTATACTATACCGCCTTTCATTTGACTTTAAGTGTTTCGGTAATATAATTACAACGTTTTAAGCAGATTATGATTTGGTAACGGAAGGACGGTAACGGAAGGACAAAAGGTTTACTCAATTACAGCATGAACAAAATGTGAATTTACACTAATTATACAAGTGAAACAAATTACTGAAATGTGTAACTGAATGTGAAATCAACAATATGCAGACCTGGCATAAATAATTACATGTATACCCAAGAAACTATTGAGATAAAGATAGAAGCCTGCTAATTAATGATAACAAAAGAAAAACGAAAACAACCCAAAACACATAATTCACGAACACAAGACAACTACAGAAATGGACTTCAAACCCATCACCTCAATCCTTAAAAGTTTAAATGCACAGTATTTCAACTCTTGAGTATATTGGTTACATGTTCACCAACAACTTTTAATAATAATACCGGTAGGTTCAGTGGTTTACCTAAAGGGTGGGGGGGGGGGGCCGACCAGCCTACATGTACATTTAAGGTAAAAACATCTACCGGTAGTACTGATGGCTTCAGTTAGGTGTTGCTTTTAATTGAACTCTAAAATCAATGTTTGAAATCAAATTACAATGATTTAGAGTAGTAACAATTAATTTATAAACATCCAAACTGAAATTGTTAACTTGGGCATAATTTGTCAAAGATTGCACCTCACATGTCTTACACATGTAAATTGAATGAAAGTGCCCCAAAGTACCGGTACTTTCTGCCATCTCATTTTTGACTTAATTTGCTTCTGGAATGGCTTCACAGAATTCGTATCTTTCTCTATTGTCCATGAATGCTGATGGCAGCAACTTTATGATTTGATTTTCTGCAACAACTCCATACATGTACAAGTACTGGTACATCAGCATATATGTACATGTACATTGTACATGTTGTACATGCCTGTGCCTTCCTTTGTAATAAACACCTTGCCCTGCTTATCCCGCTTTTGTGAAGGTGGGTCACATGAATGTCCTTTCAATGCTCATTATACATGCACGTATTTGCAGTGATTTTCATTTTTCAAACATGAGCGCAAATGTCGTAACATTTGATAAAAATACGATTTGTCCTTCCGTTACCGTCCTTCCGTTACCAATTTGGTAACGGAAGGACGTGATTTAATTAATTGTAATTAAAAAACGAGAAGAAAAGCAGTGTCGGTTATAATGTCATATTGAAGGCCTACCTAAACTTGCTTTGCACAATAACTTTCAATGCATTCATACTGCAAGTTTTAAAAATAAATTAAAAATATGTATATTTTCGGTAACGGAAGGACATTTTCGAAGGCTGAAATATTTGAAGTCACTGAAGCGAAGCAAATTACGCAAAATGTTAAAAACAAGTTTTAGTCGGTTTTTCAAGACCAATACTTTCTCATGACAGAAACTGATGGCATTAGTACATATTTTTGTGTGTGTTTTGGTAGAATACTTTCATATCACTATTAATCACATTTTTAGGATTAAAACAGGATTATTACATAATCCTATTTTTTTGTACTGAAATGTATAAAAAATAAAATTCCAACTTCAAATCTTGAAAATATAGACTTCTAGCTTTCATTTGATGCCAAATTTGTTTAAGTCACATGTATTTGAATTTTTTGGTGTCATGTCCACTTTGGTGTGGAATTGCCCACAAACAAAAAAGGGACAATAGGACGTCCACGATCGACGGTGAACACATGTTTGCGTGTGTAGGGTCTATGTACATATGTCTGTACTTCTATGTACATGATGTACGTATCTTTACATGTATGTATGTACCTGTCTGTACCTGTGCACATGTGTGCATGCTTATCTTGTGGTTTGCCTAATTGCAGTACATTGTACAATGGGTGGCTCCACCTTGAATCAATGTTTCCAAGAAATGTGATCAGTCACTTACCGGCATCTTTTTGGAACAACTATCTAGAGCATGTTTGTGCAGCACTTGTGTGTGATTTAAGCTAACTGAATTGGTCTGATGGATCATGAGCCTAACATGGAGTGACTTGTGTGAGGGTTCAAGGATAGGTTAGAGGATACACTTCCAAATTTTTAATAACAGGTTGGAGTCGAGTATTTTTAAGTGAGGAGTGAATTTTAAAATAATTTAGTATTCAATTTTTTCAACTTGGACTTGATGGAATATTTTAACATTCCATTTATGATCAAAATACAAAAATGTAAATGTGTGTCTGATTGGGATTTGCATTAAACTGCGCAATTTTTGTCGAAAATCGACGAGAGCTTGTTAAAATAGTATAAAAATCAGGTAAACAGCAGAGGGCTGATATTTGACCAATATTGAAAACAATTATTTGAGCTACCGGTAATATTCCTCAGAGAAGCTCTCAAATGATGCTCCAAAGTGACATTCAATCAACACAATTAACCTATAAAAACAGTACACATGTCTCTTCATCTCCTCCAGAACGCTCAAAAGTTTTAAATAAAAAATGCTGTTCAGATATATTCATTTGATAATCAGATTCTCAGTATATTCGGCAAAGCCCTACTTGACTCATTTCTCTGTGTATTATTTGTTTTTGTATTGTGTTCGCTAGAGTTATAACCTCATTGAGATGCTCAGCCTAGAAATGCATCATGATGTAAATCCTGTTTGTGAAATGTCATCACTCATTATAAACATAAAAGATTTTTGTCAAAATATTCCTATACACACATCCATGACAACCATGGAGGTAGGAACAACCAACCACAAAAATACCCAACAAAAACAGCCAAACCCAATGACTGTTTCCTGTAGATCAAGGCAAAAATACTGTAGACACTTCAATGTAATAGTATATTTTTTTTACCTCTGAAGAAGTCCTTGCTAAGGATGAAATATTTGGCCTCTCTAATTTTTTGATCAGTATAATTTTTGTTATATTGTCTGTTCATTGTCTGCTGCATTGGTGGTTATAAGAAAAAAGAGAAATTTATGGGTGGTTGTGAGTACGTACCGGTACATGTACATGTATATGTACATGTACTGCGTGTTGATCAAATGAACCAGTGAGGATTGTATTTGTTCATTGCATTCACAAAGTACATGTGTACATGTACATCACACTAGTCCGCTTTTAACTTGGTTATGCCCTATATGGATCTAAAATTTTTGTATAGATGTTATGCACAGTAAATGCATTTTCCCATTGCCAAGTACATGTTTACACGTATAATTATATACGGGCATCAGTAGTTGGGCACTAGTAGTTGGCCAGCCGTCATCGGCCCTGCTAAGAAAAAATTGTCAGTAATGGATTTGTGGTGGTAAATTATATGCGTGGCCTGTCCCCAAGAAACACAGCTGACTGGAGCCATGGTGCCCATGAGTCTGGAAGTGGTAGGCTGGGCCGCTGGGATGAGAAAGCTTGAACTCTCATTGCAGCCTGGACATTAGACTGGTAACCTGACCATATACATGCAGCCATTACCCTCCATCTGTATTTACTTGCATTGGATGGTACCTCCGCACCACAAATATTATCTTCTGCAGGGTAGTATTTAGTAACGTCATGTGTGAAACATACAATGTACATGGTGTACATGTACATATCACGTGATTGAAAACTATATCATGTGATAGTATTCCATAGCAGTAAGCTGATGTCCCTTATCAATTTGGATTTTTGGATAGATTTGTTTTGTGAATGAATGTCAATTCAAGTTAGACTTCATTTTGATTTTTTGGGGTCATCCTATAGGCCTATAGGTGGAGCTTTAAGGGGATAAAAATGGTCGTGCAATTAATATTGTTTGTTAATCTATATATTTTTGAGCCAGCATTGGGAATGCATCCTTTGTGTATTTATGATATGGGCACATCGTGAGGGCAGTTTTCCTTATTGTATGATCACGATAACTTTTGTGACAGCCCTTATGAGGATGAGATGTTCTGATCAGGGTTTCATCTTACCGTTTAAATAACTGTAAATACATGTAATCGCCTAACAAGTGTATCTCAGTGTAAATTCATTTCTTGGTGTTGGCGTAATGCACACTGTACAGCACAAATTAGTGCTGGCAATATTTACCTTTTTGGTAGTAATTATTTCTCCGTTCCCCCCCCCCCCCCCATATTGCTATCAATAAACCAAACCAAGCTGGAAGGTTTGTAATAGCAGTCTTCAGTGCAGATTGAAACATGCAGAGGCCTATTGGTCATGGGTCTGTCTCCTGAAGTTGAAGCCAAAAGTTGACTCAAAATTTGAGCCTTTCTGACTTTTGTCTTGGTTTTTTTTCCTGTGTAGGTAGCAGGCAGGAAGGGGTTCCCTCATGTCATCTATGCACGGATTTGGCGCTGGCCCGACCTGCACAAAAACGAGCTCAAACATCTCAAGTTCTGCCAGTTTGCGTTTGACCTGAAATGTGACAGTGTATGCGTCAATCCGTACCACTACGAAAGAATTGTATCGCCAGGAATTGGTAGGAACAGATTTTATTCAAATTTTGTAAAAAAAATATAAAAAAATAGCTGAATTGAGATGTAGTATCAAAATTGTTGAGGTTGAAAAAATTGATGCCTCTTTTCATAAAGTTCAGGAACGTTTGGCTGATTGTTCTGCTGTATTCTGAACATCCTTTCTGCTAATATGGCTGAGTGCCATGGGAATGGACCCCAGCTACTGATGGCATTTTCCTGCAATTATTCCAATTGCATGTAAAAAAAAACAACCAAAAAACAAACCAAAAAAAATTAAAAATTCCAAGGTCTGCTGGCAGTAAGTCAATTGCCCAAAAGAAGCAGCATATATCTCATTAAGCAAACTGACATGAGCATCACATTGTAGTTGAGCATATTCAGCACTTCCATTTTCATGTTTTTATAGTACAACATATGAATTAGAATTAAATCTACACGTAATTAAATTCATGAATGTACAACACCCTTGTGCAAGAGGATCAGCTTTAATTCTCATATTGTTGAAAAGTCCATGTACTAAACATACGAAAATTAGGTTGTGTTCATTTATTGTATGTACTGACCATGTATACCAAAACATAGCCTTGACACTCACACAGCAACTACTGCCAGAATCGCAAATAATGAAATCGCTGAAGCGAACAATTTCTTTCCAAGAAAGCCTTTCATTGCTGCCTGGTTTGTTCCCCCAGCTGCCTGTGAAATCTTTGCTTGTGTGCTACCACAATGCTGTATTGTTCAGGAAAAGGTTCAGTGCCTGTACAATGAGAAGTTAGAAAGCGTTAAATGGAGTCCTATAGTGTGCTAAAGCAGGCCATTTTGTGAAGACCAGAGCCACATTTCAAAATTCTGAGAAGCAAATTAATGTGCTCATCAAAAATTTATATTTCACTACATTTCGGCTGTAAACAGTTTTCATTTTTTTATTTTCTTTTGTAAACAAATGTTTGCTGTGCTTAACCCCAGTAGTTTTGACATTCCTAGAAATTCCTGCGGACTGCCTCTGTTGTTTTATTTTACAATAAGAGTGTAAACTGTTGGGTTGTTTCATGATTTACGGTAATTTATAATTTTATGATTTTTGTTTCTATAAAGTGCCAACATTACTGAAATGTGTGCACATTTTTACCCCAAAATGGTAACAAAAACCATATTCCATAAAATTCCATCTTATGAATAAAAACCATGTTGCTCCCTTTAAGAAAATCTTATTATGCGTGTACATGTAATAATTATTGCTGATCTGTTTTATTGCTACACGTAATTTGAATTTTAAAAAATGTGGTTTACAAACATTATAAATATTTCACTTTTTTTATTTTCAATATTGTTTTGTCACTTCTAGAAATAGAACAACACCTAACCACCCCGTCCTTAAATGAAAAATAAACCTACATGAGAGGCAGACTTTTCTCAAAACTAAGGGAATTGCATTAATTGATGAAAAAAATAGGTATGTCTATAATATAAAGATAAAATTGACAAGTTTTCTTATTTCCATTTTTCTTTTAGATCTTTCTGGTTTGACTCTTCAGCAGACAGGTGAGTGACAAACCTGGGGAAGAAGTATTATTTGAACTGCTGATGCACACAGCTGACAGGATGCACACTTTAAATGGTTTGACCAAAAAAAAAATGTTGCTGGTTCGTGTGTCAAACCATTTGAAATGTGGCTGCTGATCCCATGTGCATCAGCAAATGATGTTCCCATGGCCTTTAGGTCGAAAAAACAAATTGTCGGTCTCTGGTCAGACCAAATTTCCAGAATTGATGCGGCGACACGTTTTTTTGGGGGGGGGTCGGCTTTTTTTTTTTTTTCAAGCTTGGATTGTAGTTTCTTGTACAGACAATTTTGCTTTTGTTGTGTCCTCATACCGGTATACATTCGTGTCCTCCATAATTTGCCTTGGTGCAATTTCCCCATTCCTTGGTGCTCCTTGGTACACAAATTTGAGGTGGTGCGACAATAGAGATCGCTTTTGTAGCTACCGTGGAAAATTTGGAGAAAAAAAAAAGATTGACTCGCATGATTAAAATCGACGCGCGCGCTGACCAGAGACCGACCTTTTTTTTTGTCTTCATAGTCATCACAGTATTTTTTTTGTCCTTATAATCATCACAGTATACGTTGTAGCAACCTAATATTATGGCAAGGACTAGATATCAGTGTTCTAAACTTTAAGATTTCTCAACTTTTTTTTAAACAGTATTCATTTCAAAGTTATGGTCTCCTGAGCCTGGTAAAGTGACTCCAATTGATGTACATGTACCAGTAGTATCAAGCATTTGTCTAAACCAAGCCTAGAAAATTGTGTGTTTCAATGGTTTAATGCCATTAATTTCTTATGCTGTGTGTCAATGTTCAACCATTGTTTTCTCATGGAACGTCTGTGGATGATTTTTTTTCAGGATTTTAAAATTTTTCAGACTTCCTCTATTTCTAAGCATTAGCACTGAACATAACAAAACATAAATAAGAAAGGATATGTTTACCCATGTGTTACCTTCTGGGTTAGTGTGCTGTTGATAAAAATCCTGCTGTTGCATTACACTAGCTGTGAATGCACAGTCAACTAATGAAACAGGATGAAAATACACGTGTACGTTTAAAGATGTTGGACGGAATAAAACCCATTTGGAAAGGGTAGAACAGGAGTTTACAAGATTGAGGTTCCACTGAAAACAAAAAATCGAGCATCCCTCAAATCTGGGCAATTATATGCGTATACCCGGTACGTACTGTATGCATGTACATGTACACAGTAGATGTACATGATATACAAATGCATGGTACATGTACAGTGCATGTACATGTACATTTGTTTGGGACGTCACATTAATCCCTTGGCTCCTCTCTGTGGAGCCAGCATCATGTCTCACTGCCAAATGTTGGCACTTGATGTCAACACCCCACCCACAATCATGTGTGTTGGCCAAGTTTCCTCACCAAACATGTAGTGATTTATCTTCCTTGTGGGTTTTTTTTTTTTTAAGTCAGCCTTGGAATTGGGGTTTGGAAACAAATCCATTTTAAGGTCACCAGGGTTATTGCCTGTTACCACATTGGTTTGAAACCAGAGCTTGTCAAAAAAAATTGGCAGGTACCGTACCGCTGTCTGTGACTGTATCCATTTTTTCCCTAGTTTGGAAGAAAATGAAATTGATATGATGTATGTACAATGTACATACTATGTACAAGTTATGTTAAAATGCACTCTGAATAAGAGTTACTTAATTTTTCCTCATAAACATGTATACAATCAATTACATGTACACATATCAATAATGTATTCAATTTACTGAAATTGGACGGGAAAAAAACTAATTATACAAACAGATACACAGCCACAAACTTTGCAATTACAGATAAATGTACAGGTACATCAACACTCTAACCCATCTATAAAAGCAAGTCTAACTGAGTTTTTCATTTTAAGTCTCAGGCCTGTTTTCAAGGATCTGAATGTATAATAATACATGTACCTGTCGTAAACCAGTGACCCAGTTTATTTTTGGTACCCGGTACTTCAACCAATCATGTGGGATCTGCAGTACTAAATCCATCTGATCAACTACAAAGCCAGGATTTTTCTGATGAGAGTGTGGATAAAAAGGAAAATTGAATCAAAATGTACTATTTATATACAATGTATACTTTACTTTGTATTTTATAAAACAAGGATTTGTGACAAATGATAATAATTATCAAAATTTGAACATTATGTGTACCACTGCACCATCATTAGATAGGGTTGTGCATTTCAATTAAATTTACCGGTAGTATTCAATTATTCGGATTTTGACTTGATCGAATATTCGAATGTACTCCAATTGTGAAGATCAAGTTGAACATGTTCCAGCGTAAACAGGCCGCCGATCTAGATTTGCATGCACAAATTGACAAAGAGGTTATTAAATTAATATAAGAGCGGGTAGCGGAATGATTTTGAAGAAAATAATTGATCTACTATTCCACCTGGAAGCTCTCAAATGTGGCAGTTGACAGACAATAAAACCACACGACTTAATACGATTCAAATAACATCTTGGATGTTTTTCATCATCTCCTTGAGACCGCCCACATTTTTAGAATATTTGAATCCAAAAAAAAAAAACCCCACTATTTGGATATTCGGTTGCTGATCCAATATTCAAATATTCAGTATCAGCACAGCCCTTTCGTTAGAAAAAAATACCCCACAAGTTAGTACAATGCAGTACCAAAACAGCCAGTCGTACTTTTGTTGATATTAAGTATTTGGTGACGAATGGTGCTGAATACAAGCCTAGAATTATTGATTGGTTGGGCAAGCCAATATGCCGTCATGTACTTGGCATTCTTCATTTCATTCTCTTGTCTTTTCCCCCTCAAGTCCTTTATCCCACTCTCTGACTGGTCATGACTCATACATATCAAATAAACTTCTACTAGTACAAACCATCCACTGATCCAGAAGGTACGGTAAAATGCAGATTGGATGTGAAGATATATGCAGTCATCTGCTGTTGACATTCATTCGCTAAGCATTTCAAGATCATGTGTAGCAATAGACTGTACTGGTACCGGTATGCGTTAGAAGGCAATGGTTTTGTTTTGCTGGGATGGGCACGAGCAATCCTTCTGTGCATTCATTGTTGATTAGGAAACATTGTACATTTAAATAACCCAAAATATACCCTCTGAGACACTTGCAAAGCAAAAGGTCTTCATGTATGTGATGCTTGTTTTCTGTGGACTGCCCGCTCAGTATATTGCACGAGTATTTTACATTTATGTAATTGAATTAAATCTGCAAAGTTACATGTACAATACACAGTTTAACTTTTTATTTTCCTTAAGTATTCATGAACATGTTTGGAGTGTAGCTTTAAAATTAATAATATTCCATGTGCAATCGGTGTTTGGATATTTCTGGCAAGAGAAGGAAGGTTTTTTTTTAATTATGAAGGTAAAATTTAGATTTACTAAATTTAGTTAAAGCAAATACATGTAATTTAGGTTTGATGTATAATGCTTGCCAATTACATATTAGTTAAAGGTTTACAGATATTTTATTGAACTTTATACTTCAAATAAAGAATCTACAGTTGGATCTATTTTATTAGCCTAATCTTATAAATTTAATTTTTCATAGATGATTGAGTACATTCTATGCTTATTTCATTTTTAAATGGTCATATGATTGTGCATTGTACTATTATTCAAATTGCTCCATTCACCAATGTTGACATAGCCATGGTATAATTTATCAATTTAAGCTCTTGAATTTTCAATGTTTTTTGGTCCTATTTTACAGATACATAAACTTTGAACAGTGAAATTTGTTAAACCCCAAAGCCAGCATCACTTCCAAAAATTCAAACAATGTTTGTTCGACACTATACATGTAATTCTCGATTGAAGATTTCTTTGGTCATGTTGCAGCAGGTCCTCCGGGCCGACTCGTCAAGGATGAATTTGGCGGCGAGTGTGTACAGGTGGAGCACAACATATCCCACCCGCCTGGCACGAGTAACGGCCTGGGCCGTGTGCCACACAGCCTGGGCCAGAGAATGCAATTTAGTGGACCTGTGCCGTCCACCTCACAGATGAACGACTTCAGTAGGATGATTGCACCCCACAGTAAGTCCCCAAAATGGCCCGCCCGCCCTCCCCCATCCCTTCCTCTCCCCCCCCCCTCCCCCCCCCCCCTTCCTCCCCCCCCCTTCCTCCCCCCCCCCCCTTCCTCCCCCCCCCCCCCAATCAAAACAAATACTCAGTTTATGGACTCTGTGCAAGACTAACAGAGGATGCTCTCTGCCCACTTTCTAGTGGGGGACACACCGCATGCGCATACTGGTTTATGTGCAATTGGCTAAAAGTACCGTATGCACAATCAATTTGAGCATCTTGGCGTGAGTGTCAATTGCTGTCAGCAATGTGTTTGCGTGTCCCTCCCAGTGGTCTCCCCCAACTCTCCTTTTGTAACCGTTGAAGAGGCGCTTGTGCACGGAACCCATAGCATGAACTAGAATCTGGAAAATCTTTAGCAGAGTGCAGCGTTCTCCACAAAGCCATGACCACAATGATAGTTTTAGGTCATGGAGGGCACTCTTCAAAGAACTTAGAGGGCGTTCTTTAGAGAGGTCAAATTTGAATTCATGCTGTGTCGACCTGTTAGTCATTGAAGATTGGGTGAAATGTTGTTTAATGATTTCATTTGTGTGTTTAAAATCAACCATTGTGTTTGCAACCTCGGCTTACAGTCCGTATTCTAGTTTCAACAACAGTCAACACAACCATTGTTCAATTTATGTTTTTACTTGGAGTAACTCTGTCCTGCCACTTACATGAACATGCAATCCATGATCATCGTCATTTTCATCACCTCTCAGCATTTCCAATGCAAGGGTAGCTCTCATATCGGGCCAGTCAGTGCTGCCTCAATTTTTAAGCATTTCTGCCAGTTTCCCCACAAAATAAGCTGATTTTGTTTGTTTGTGTTTGATTAAACCTTTGAATAATTTGCCAAGAAGAAAACAAATAATCTAATTAGCAGCATCAGTGTTCCAACTGCGCATGTGCATAACAAGTTTCAATGATTTTTACTTTGGGATTTTTACTTTGGGTTACATGCTCACATGTCTGTGGGGGACGTGATAACCAAACTGTATTCCGCAATTTTTCTTGCAATCAAAAAGTCGATGGAAGCTTTCGTTCGCACGAAAGTTGGTGCACGTAAAACACCTAAATACTTCACTGTCCAAGCTTCTTGAAATTTTGCGTTTACATCAGAACAAAACAACTTCTTTAATTTTGCTGGTACCTGCTATGATTTTTTACGCATACGGCAACTTGTTTATACTGGAAAAAAAATCGTCAAACTTGATGGGCGCATGCGCAGTTGCAATACTGAACCAGCTTATTTCTACCTTACGAAAAAATGGACTGAGAAAACAGCCTTCTGAACTTGCCCTACCCGTCCTCACTAAAGGAGTTAAAGAAAAAGAAATTGAAATAGTGCTTTGACAGTTTGAAAGTGCCAAGTGCAGCTCCCATTTGTTCTTCATTAGTGGACTTCCCTCTGACATTAACAGACTTCCTCCAGGAAGTGAAGAGACAAATACCCCGGTAGGTTGCTCTCTCCGGAGGATGGGTGGATCTCACTCTCCCTGCGAAAAACACACCCTGTGCCTGACAGTTGTGACCTCAAAAAATGTGGGTCAAACAGCTTGTTTATCGTCTATCTCTCACAATAACAAAAGAAAAAGAAGGAATTAGAAAAAGCCTTGTTTTTCCCGAGATTTTTTTTGTACTAATCATTCTTCATTGATTATAAAAAAAATAGTACAGAAAAGGTCCATGAAAACACAAGTAATTTTTACTTTAAAATAGTCCATTTGTTTGCAAAATTGGCTTAAGAAACTAAATACTACCCCCCCCCCCCAAAAAACCCCTCATTTGAAGACAAGGATTTAACATTTTCTTTTACTTTGCTGTAAATAGACATTTAAATTTGTATAGTTGGATACTTTTGGAGCATTCTACCGGCGCTAACACAATGCTTCTTTGTTAATCATTTGTAGATTTACCAATTTTTCAGAAAATTCTTGTGTCAGCTTTTAACACACAAGAATTTTCTGAAAAATTGGTAAAGCTTTTTAAGCTTCAATCTTCCATTACTCATGTTTACTTCAATTCCTTTTTGCTTTCTGAACAGTTCCAGGGTAGTTGGTGTTGATAAAATTCCAATCATTAAGATCCTGAAAGTGGAAGAAAAAAAATGGACAAAATATTTGATCCTGAAAAGATTGCATTGGATTTGTGTGCCTTGCGTTTCAGCCATTAGCACTAGCCTGCCTGTGCCTTTGTCACAACCTCTCATGGTGAGCACCATACCAGACCAACAACATACATCACAGCCTAACCATCCTATCATCACCAGTACTGCAGTCATGCCACAGGATCCCGCACAGATAGGTACATAGATTGACCTCCCAGTCCAGTCCAGGAACCAATGTCATGGCACCGCTAGTTTTCTGCTCAATTAGCCTCAAGCTCCATTTTATTGTGTCCCTAATCGCAATACATGCAGGCACTCATTTGCAGTTTTAGTATTAGTCTCATGCAGATCTTGCCACTTCAACTGAAACTTTTTTGGGGGGGGGGGGAGCAGAATCATTATTCCTGCAGCTTATGCTTCTCCTCCAAGAACGTTCTTTCTGTCTTCACAAACATTGCTTTGATTTTATGGCTTCAACACGTTCAGCAATTTATATTAACACATTTTGTTGTAGAGTAGCTATTTAAGAAAACTAACAGCTTCAGCTGCAAATTCACATCAGTTCAGTTGTTTTTGAGTATATGTAATTTTCAAGTGCTCTCACTTCACTATGTTGTATTCAACGAGAATTGTACACATACAAAGAGGCAAATTCCTTCTACATATTTTCAGGGGGAAGTTTTCTACAAAATTTAAAGTTGATAGTTTTTTGACAAGATCTTAACCTGAACTGTGTGATCGGTTTTACCTGTTAAAAAAAGAAAAGATGGGAATGTGCAGCCATTTCGGACATTTTCTTTCCAGCTGCTTCTTGCTATTAATGTCATCTCAGGGTTCATTTCATTGTGGATGCTTGCTGAGTTTGATGAAAGCTGGAATCCTTGAAAGATCAGTTTTTCTGTTCCTCATTTCCAGGCTCTTCAATGCCCCAGATGGGACAACACCCCATGGCTTCTCAGATGCCTCCCATGCCCCAGTCCCCCAGCACTTCCTACCCGCCCCTTCCCAGCGTCCAGTCCCCCAGCTCGGCCCCACCCTCCATCCAATCCCCCTCAGTTCAGGCCCAGCCCGCCTCCCAGCAAGCCCAGGGTCCACCGGCCCCTTCCCAGGGTCCCTCATCCCAGGGCCCACCGCCGCCGCAAGCACCCCAGCCGTCGCAAGTTGCTGGGAGTTCAGCAGGTTCTGCGGGGGTTCCTGGCCCATCGGGACAACCTGGTCCCTCAACAGGCCCTGGACCTGCTGGACCGACATCCCCAACTAGGTCCACCTCTAACCAGCAGATGGCCAGAAGTAAGTGGATTAAGAACAATTCAGTACAGTCTATCTCAAGGCTTAAAAACTTGAAGGGTGTGTGACAAAAGGTTTCACTTATGTAAAAAAATCAGCTCCTCAAAATAATTTGTCCCTTCCACAACCAAATTTGTCTTGTTGTAAAACACAACAAACACACCACATCGGTGACTTAAACCACAAATTTCATTGTCTCAATTTTTGTAAATTTCCAAAATGTTCTGAATTTGCATTCGCAGCAAGTACTACAATCTGGACGGGGAACAACACAATGTCCTACAATCCTGGCATGCCGGGGGGCACGTCCCAAGCAGCCAATCCAACGAATCCGTACTGGCAGCAGACCAATCAGATGCAAGGAGAAATCCCGCTCAATGCCCCACTCTCAACTCAGCCAGGTAGGTCCAAGAATGAACATTGAGAACATTCTAAGTACCACTGAGATATCACTGCATTTTAAATAAATCACTCGACTTCAAGGCATCTTCCGTGAGAAAAAATCCACCCTCAATGCTTTGACTGTATAGATTAACAGCACAGCATTGATGGAAGAATGTTATTAATTGTAACGCATGTTACTGTGGAATTGCCCTTATGATGATTATTCCTGTTATTTGTTTGTGGCTATGAAAAAAGAATTATGTTTTTAACTCCCACAAGTGACAACACTTTTTTGTTTTGTTTGTTTAATCTTGCCCTCAGCTCCAGAATACTGGTGCTCCATTGCCTACTTTGAGTTGGACACCCAGGTCGGGGAAATCTTCAAGGTACCCTACTCCTCCGCTCCCCCACGCTATCCATCAGTTACCATCGATGGTTACGTTGACCCCTCCGGCGTAGACCGGTTCTGCTTGGGCCAGCTGTCCAACGTCCACCGGACGGAATCCAGCGAAAGATCACGGTCAGTAGAATGATCATCCAAATGTCCAAGTGACCGTGGGATGAACCTACATAGAAATCATTTTACCTTCTCTCTGTCTGACAGTGGTCAGAATTGTTGTCCGTACAAACGTTCATGTTCACTACATCTGGATAAAATTTCCTTTTATGTAAAATGGTTTTGTATCTGCCAATGTTTGCCTATCAGGTAATTGAGTGTGAATGATGCTATCCCTTTGCAGGTTCAACAGAAAAAGTAAACACTTCATGCTTGTGTTTAAATATTTGACAATTTTGCAAGAACGATAAATATTCATCTGGGTCATTCTATAAATCTTGGTCCACTTTGTTCTGTCCCTGTTACATTTGTAAATCTGAAATCTATGATTTTAAATTTTTAGGGCCCTCCTTAATGCAGTTGTCCTGCAAGAGTTGTTACGAATAGCAAACAACCTTCACAACAAATAAATAGTCGTTGTTAGTGATACTAGAATGGCAAATTTCAAACTACATATAAAGATGCCAAGGTAAGAGTGACATTGTCAAATACCTTGCTCTGTATACAGGAACAAAGAAGTTTTTGGCCTAAAAAGCACATAATTAAAGCACGTAGCTTGAAAGAGATTTGCAAAACACAACAAAGGTTGTTTTGTCTACCACAAGAATTAAGTTACCAGTGTAAAACCAAAAGGAGGAATGTTCCCATAGCCTTGCAGTTGAGAGTCCACTGATAACTTGAGCCATTTCATCAAGATAAGACCACATTGGCTTTCAAAACAAAGAAGTGGATAGCAGTGTTTAGGAGAGCAAGCTATGTTTTTTATTTTTCTAAACTTGATAAGAGCAGGGGAAAACAAAAAGTCCTCAAAAGAGATCAGAAATAACCCTCATCAGATGTTTATATTTCAGTGGAATTTGAAATCTGAAATAGTCAACTGGAACAAATTGTGAAAATATGAAGAAACATTTGATTGATAAACATAAAAGATTGCATGGTGAAATAAAGAAACGTGTACATTTTGTGAGTTCATGTGCTTCTGAGAACTGGTGGTGACTAAGGCATTACACTGTCACATGACTGTCACATGATGTCACCACAACTCAAACTTAAAGGTAGAGTAGATTGTTTGTATCAATCCCAAAAGTAACCGAGGAAATTATTGTTCAAGACTTTAATTTGAAAGATAGAAATGACACTTAAACTTCTTATGAAATTATTCCTTCCGCGTCCAGCATGCTGTCCTTTTGAACAAAACAATAAAAAAGGGCTAAGCACTAATCATGGTTCTTATTATCGTTGATCTTTATATCTTGGTCCTTAAGGCTGCACATTGGTAAAGGTGTCCAACTTGACCTGAAGGGTGAGGGGGATGTGTGGGTGCGATGTCTGAGCGAGCATGCAGTCTTTGTCCAGAGTTATTACCTTGACAGGGAAGCAGGCAGAGCGCCGGGGGATGCTGTGCACAAGATATATCCCAGCGCTTACATCAAGGTATGTAGAGTTAATAAAGTTAATGAGGATCAAAATGGAACACCTCAAAACGCATACATAGCTTGCCTTGGCCAGCGTACGCCTACTCCCTACAATAGTCATCCCATAAGGACATAAAACACAATGTGTGGTTATGCTCAATTTCGTACTTTAGGAACTTCTCCCTAACTCTTAAAAAAATAGGGATTCAATTTGTCGCACTTTGAACTGTAATACGTGACCCTTGACCTCTATTGACCTTTGCACCCTTTGTACAGGTGTTTGATCTGCGCCAGTGCCATGCCCAGATGAGAACCCAAGCAGCCACAGCAAGAGCTGCAGCGTCTGCCCAGGCAGCTGCAGTGGCTGGCCATGTACCTGGCCCTCAGTCAGTTGGTGGCATTGCTCCGGCTGTCCGTAAGTTATGTCTCTCTAAATTCAGGAAGGTTTAGGGTCCTGAGATAGGGTTTAGAGATCTTAATCGCTGGGTGTTTAGTGTTAGCTTTTTGCCAGTGAGATAGACATGCCAATAGCCTCGACGTGGAAGATGGGAAACCAGGCTAAGATTGACTCCAGTTGCAGTGGTTTGGAGGACGCTTGTTTACTTATCAGAGGATTAGTATAGCATTCCTTGGAGTGTGTGGCTTTAATTTATGCAATAAGATGTACAAATTGTAAATTTGAAAATATTACAGTAATTGTGATGCGATCAAGCTAAATAATTTGTTTGACGGGAACTTTCATTTGCAGATTCAGGCCAAAATAGGGCCACTTCATCACATCACTTCATTACATCTCTTGGTGTTCCGACTTCCATCATTTTTGAACTAAAGATGGTACCAGCATGCGGTTTTCACTATTCATTATTTATGAAGGGTCTGTTAAGAAACTGTTGAGCTGTGACATTAGTAGAACTGTGGTCAAATATAATGAGGATGCAGCTAGCTAACTTGCTAATAACAAGCTTTTTCCCAGGCTGGTTTCTATGCTGGTCAGTTAACTGCTCCCTAGTTTTCAAGGTGGATCTGTTTATGCCCAAAATTCAAACCATTTTGAGAGAGTCACAGACGCCCAAAAAGATAAGAGGAGGGTTTTGGGGTTTGAATAAAACATACATGTATAAAATGAATGTGTATCAAGAGAAAGAAAAAACGAATTTGCTAAGTAAAGCAATTGGAACCGTCACTCTACCCACCTTGCAATTTACTTCATTATTTGCCCAAAGTGATTGCACTGCCATTCAATTTCTGCTCAGGTACCAAGTTTTAAATTCAAAACACCCTAGCAATAAAAAGACCAAGGTAGCAAGTCTGTAGGCTCCCTAGGCAAATAAGTCCTCTAATAGCATCTTTATGCACTCTAGAATGTACAACGCATCCTCCAGAGTCAACGCATCCTCCAATATACTTCAGCTGGAGTGCATTGGTATATCCAACCAACATTCACAATATCACACTTAATTGTCAAGGGGTTATAAACCTTCCTATTTGGTTTCATCTTGCCAGGCTACTCCGCCGCAGCGGGCATCGGGGTGGACGATCTGAGGCGTCTCTGCATCCTGCGCATGAGTTTCGTCAAGGGCTGGGGGCCAGACTACCCCCGGCAGAGCATCAAGGAAACACCTTGCTGGATTGAGATCCACCTTCACAGGGCCCTACAACTCCTAGATGAGGTCCTGCACACCATGCCTCTCATGGATCCTCTGGGAATGGACTAAAGAGAGAAAGAGAGCACTATGTCTCAAGACATCTCTGATAAACTCTTAGAGAGATTTTCCTCATCAAAACTTTTGAATTGTGTACAAAGTGCTGCAAGGGAGAGGTCTTTTGGATCGTCCAGTTGGGTTAGAAGGGAATCCTGGTCACCTTGCCAGTGTTGGATCCTGTATGAGTGGGCTGAAGGACATACCCTGCCATTGTTCAGAGGACATCAGAAGTTGTCTAGAACCAAGCTGCAATATGCTGTGCTATCGAGCTTGGTCTGCATTCAGGATTATGTGTAGATTATCTTGGATGTGATGGTGAATGCTGCATGCTGTTAACCCCTCCCTATCCCATCTAGTTGATGAAAGCCAGGACAGGATCTGGAGACCTGGGGACTGCAAAAGGCAGCCCAGCAGTTCAGACGTAACTGTTATCTTGGCACATCTTAGCCTCATTTCTGTCACATGCCCTCGGTCAGATGCATTCCCTATTGGGCTTCCTCATGGCTCGGCCTACATCCAGGTACTGGAAAGTCAGCATCACCATTTTTGTACGCAAAGATCGTATAATCGCCGAGCGCAGTAGGAACCTGTAGCAGGCAAGCCTTCAAAGCTGTGGATGAAACTGTGAGAAAAACATGGAGCCAACACCCAGTGCTGGGTCGGCCCGATTATGGCAACTATTCACAGCACAGGAAGTGAACATTATGCCATTTGATAGAATTCTCATTTATTTTACGTGAAAATACGCCCTACTGTCTAGTTTACAATGCACGACGTGGATGATAACCAAACGCTTGCCTACTGCAGTGGTGGTTGATTACAGGGAAACCAGATGGTCATGTGGTACTTTGACGTCACAGTATCAGACATGATATCTTTGTGCATCTTCAAGCAAATACTGTCTTGTCCAATAGTCTGTACCATAAGGGTCTGGTTGTTGCAAAAATTCCCACTATGAAAACTTTATCGTTTGTAAGATGAGACAAATTGGGATTTTATTATGTTCTTCACTTTTAGAAACAGCTTTTGTTTTCTTGAAATGAGTATAACTAATGTTGGAATGAACTTCTTAGCCTTGGCATAAGGTACACGTATGTACATGTATGGTAGCTATGAAGTTCATAATGGAATCTTATGAATTTCTTCCTCAAGAGTTCCTTTGCAGACCGTTTGGAAACGAATCCTAACCGATATTACACTTTGAGCTTACATTTATAACTTAATTCCATTATCTGAAAGCAGGGCATCAAATATTGTCTTCAACATGTGAGCTCTGTCTCGCATACATCCTTCTTGCAAACTTAATCAAAGTTGCCAAGCGGGTGTGTTTTTGTCTCGTGTCTCAGAGCCAAAACGGGAGGTTGATTCAAGACAAAGGCTGCAAACGTGGAGGACTGTGTAGGCTTTACAGTGAATTTGGGTGGTTTTTTTTTTAAAGATCGCAGAAAAAAAATCTGATTTCAGAAGAATTTCTCAGGTACTGAATGTAGGTTGATGTACCAGTGTGCAAAAGAGAGGAAAATATCTTGCTCTTATGTGGCTGTTATTTTCCATCAAGACGTCTTAAAGATATGAGAAAGATCATTAACAACCAGGCAATTAAAGATGTGTATAAATGGCTAGTGTTGGAGATTCAGAAAAGGTGCCAGAAATGTGTTTTTGTATTTTTTTAACACTATAATACAAAGGCATCAAACAGCTTAAAGTTGAAATGGGAAGGATTGAAAATTATATAAAAAATTAAATAAGAAACGTGTCGTATTTGTAACTTTTTTTTGTACTTTATGTAATATGTATGCTACTGTTCTTCCAAGACGAGATAGACTCAGTCGTGCAGAGGAATTTTTTGTAAGAAAAAAAATGAGAAATGTTTAGTTGTGATTTCTATGACGTGTATAAAAAGAATTGTAGAGATGTTGGTTTTACGATGTTAAAAGAAAACAGTTCAACCTTTTTTTTATAGAACCTTTTCGATGCAGAAAAACAGATCGCTGTCATAGTGGAGGTATATGTGTCCAACCAGATCATTGCACAAACATGTCCAAATTTGTAGATTAACTACAGTATGTGTGTACAGATGTAATTCTGGAGCAGTGCTGTTGTGGAGTGCATAACAGGTCCTTAGCAGTCATCACAAGGCAATCACAAGTCAGTCACAGGTTATCACAAGACAATCACAAGTCAGTCACAGGTTATCACAAGACAATCACAAGTCATCACAAGACAATCACAGCTCATCACAAGGCAATCACAAGTCAGTCACAGTTTATCACAAGACAATCACAAGTCAGTCACAGGTTATCACAAGACAATCACAAGTTGTCCAGTCACAAAAGCTGTTGAAAAAGCAACCTGACAACGGCATTCCTATATCATTGTTTATCCTCTGTTACCTGTGACTGGAGTTTTGAAAAGACTTGTGTATTGCCACGACTTGTGATTTACTTGTGATGGAATTGTTATTGACTTTACTAAAGCTCAGGTCTGGGGGTAGGTAATGTCTCATCACGTTTTGTGAATTTGTGTCTTGTATTAGATTTGTGATACATTTGTACTATGCACACCCCCCCCCCTCCCCTTAGTGTTTTCCCAATAACTTGTCAAATTTTCATTATTTTTTCCTAATAATGTCAATCATATGCCCTTGATTTTGTAATCCTGGTACCACTAATATACATGTACATGTACAAATGCATTCAGAATCCTCGTTAACAAACATTCCAACTGAACTGGTCACAGACGGCAAGCTGATGTATCAACTTGATACGTGTATGTCACCCATCAGAGAGCTGACGATATTTGTGCATTGTTTAAATTCAGTCTATTAAAGACATATGGGATCAATTGTTTTTATCTCAAAAAGTGACCTACCAAATTAGTATCAAAAAGTGTGCTTGGATTAAAGATATACTGGAACTAAATACCCTGTGAAATCAAGAATGCCGCTGATTTCCAACAATCAGTTAGTTGACTGATTTTGGGAATAAAAAGTGCTGTTGTCCAAATAGTGTTATTCGATCAAAAGGTTGTGCATGATTTTTTTACTGTTTTCACGAGAAGTGTAATATCCACTAAGCTGAAAATTCAACTTATTAGGTTTTGAACATTTTTCTTTTGATGATTAGTGGTATTATTGGAAACAAACAACATGCATGAAAAGCAAATGACCCTATATGGCTTTAAGCTAATTACATTAAGAATTAAAGAGTTGAAGTGAGTACCGGGTATGTCCAACAAACAATGCACAAACTGCCACTTCTGTGTCACCTCATGCAAAATTAATACCACTAGGCAACGTCTACATTCGTAGAGTCGGATGACCCAAATTGTTGCCATTGTACTGCAGATAACTAATAGCACCTGTTTCACATGTATTACACTGTATTACTTGATATTTATCCATAATGCCATAGCATGCTTGGACGGTGTGAGGTGTAATAAGCATGGTGGTTCGGTCAGTACAAGGGTTAGGGTTTAAAGCAAAATGTTCATTTTTGTATTACCAATCATATTACATGTATTTAGTTACAAAAAGGAGGCATGGGGATGAACCTCCCCCCCCCCCCCCCCGGACATTGTAAGTTAACAGGTTTAACAGGAATTGGACCCACCCCCACTGTAACATTCCCCCCCCCCCCCCCCAGCATGGTGAGAACCCTGGCTACACCGCTGCGAGTGGTTGCCTTAAATTTCCTTTTGTTTGAGTTACTTTCAGTGTTTCTTAAAGTGGCATGGCAGAAATCACAAATCTCAAGCGGGTTAAAGTACACCATGTTAGTGATGAGGAATATGGTATGATCAAAACTAGGATTATTTACTGTAGGTGGTTCTTTTGCAAATCTGCATGCTTAAGTTCTCTTCCTTTGACTTTGTAAGATGTGTCCTATTTTGTTGATGGCAATTTTTCACATCTGTTATTTTACATATCAAAAATAATCACAACAGCTGACTATAAGTTTATAAAAAGGGGTGAAAATTGAAGTTTTTGCTTTTGATTTGGCTTTGTAAAGAGATTGCTTTGTTCTTGTCTCGATTTAAGCTACAGTTCTTTATTTAAGATACTATTGATCAATGCCTGAAGCACAGAATGCATATTGCATTCATGCGTGTATATCATTTCGCACATTGTATTACCCTGCAAATTTGGACAGCTTTTCATGTGATTTTCTTTTCTTACTTATCCCACTGGGCTCTTCACAAAACTGGAACTGTGTGTTATTTTGTAATGACCTTTGTATTCCAACAACATCTCTAACCATATCAAGTGAGAAATCAAAAATTTGCCGTATTTCTGTTTCCAGGATTATTTTGCAGAATTTGTTGCTTTTTAAATTTGGTGGTTTTCTTTAAATCGTCATCGCTATTTGCAGGAAATGTACACAATTCATTTGGTATTATTAATTTCATCTGTAAGTTTCTCAGGTACATTTCTCATCTGCTGTTTTTTTGGTTTGGTTTTATTTTTGGTAAAAGCTGCATACTCATTTGCCATTGTTTTCAGTTGGGCACAACTGGTTCTGTTTGGCACAACTCTGTCCTAAACAGGATTGACTTCATAATTAGTAGGCACGAACTGAAAACCTATTGAAATTAAATTATATTCAATAACTTGAATGTAATCATGTCACATTTGTTTTAACAAGCTTACTTAATTTGAGCTTTGTATTTTTAATGGACATAATTGGTAGACTTTTGAATTTGTGCTATAAATTGGATATTAATAACATACAGACGAAGTATCAGGTGACAGTAGGCCTATCTGAGTAATATATTACATTGGATTTTAAAAACATTGAAGCCAAAAGAAGCTGCCAGTGTCGATGTTTGCAGGGGTACAATCCTTCTCTTATAAATACAATTTGTGCCCTTTTTTCACCAAGCTCTACATTGACTAGCAACAAATCTATGTACAATGGCATTGCTCATTATGATTATCATTATTATCAAATGTATCTCAAACACCAAACGTAGGGGTTGCAGGACGACGTGATGTAATCCGTGTGTATGTGACCGCACTTTGGTCATTTACGGGCATTTAGTTCATACATTTTTTGTCTAACAGACCAATTTTAAATGTAGAGTATATAGTTATCCAAAAATTAACTGACAAAATTATTGTTGAAAAGCAAACTTGGTTTAAAGATAGTAATGGCACTAAATTCCCTGTGAAATTGTTCTACCTTGACTTTTTTAGAGTGGAAGTAAATTGGTAACATATTACTTCAGTAAAACTGCATTTATGACAAATAACTCGGTTAACTTAATTTCCATCGGCTGAATTGGTCATAAACATTCATGTATTAATAATAACCATATTTGAATGTGTGGATTAGGAATCATACTTAGACCAGGGACAAATATTTAGTAACTGGTTCTCTGTAATATGTAGTTTGGTTATATCGATCATTTGTATTACATTTACTGTGTGGGGTTTTTTTTTTAAAGAAAGTTGCCAGAATGAGAATTACATACAATTTTGCCGTAAAAGCTACTTTGGTTTTTATTGAAATAAATGTGATAGTCTGTACATACATACGTACATTTTGTGCTTTCGTTTTGTATAAATGATGTGTGGCGTTTGTTTTGATATCTAAAATTAATGAAAAAATTGAGAGATCCTAATATATTTTCGGGAACATGAATTCTCTTTGCTCATGCCACCTGATTAAATTCATTAACCCTAACAGCCCATAACCAATCAAACTCCAACAGTAGGTTAGTGTTTAAATCTGTTGGGATAGGTACAGTTCCCCTAAACAGATGGTCTTTTACACTGGGGTTGGCATACCTCCAGAAACTAAGTCCAACAGTGTGTGTGTACAATTTCCCATGAAACTAAGTCCAACAGTGTGTGTGTACAATTTCCCATGTGGGTGTTGGAATTTGCCTGAATGGGTATGGCTCCTAGTAAATTAGGCTGGGGAGTTAGGGTTAAGTCATTAATCTTCATAATCTAAAAACACAGTTTAGTTAAGAAAAAATACACACAACATGAACATGTATATTGAATGTAGAATTTTTTTTTTTACGTTTTACTGTTCTCTTGCTCAAAATACATGGAAGGCTTTATTCTCCAAACAATTAGTACACATTCACCATTGAAGTTACTGTTACATAAACCAAGAAAATGTGACCATGAAAGTATAGTGCTTTGTCAAAACCAGAAACGCATGGGCAGCGCATGAAATGAAAATATAAAGCCCACATGGCCATGTGGGAGGGGGACAATTATTTCATGTTTTACAAATATCAAGAAATATACACACCTAAAATATACTGTATAAAATATACATAGATATGTATTACACCATAATTAGCTTTCAAGGTGACTGTTGATGATTTGTGGCGGTCTATCAGTTCAAGAACTGCATCTCTCTTGGTTAGCTTGACAGAAAGTCGCTTTCAATTTTCATCATAATTTTGCACACATAAAATTATCTTTGTATATAAGGGGAACATCCAATATTTTACCATATTAAAACCAGTTTTCACCATCTGCCATAAATACTCTGTTTTTGACATGACACATCACAGAGTTGAAATCAATGCATACACATCCCCTGCCGTTACAGCAGGGAAAATAGTCTGTGTTCTAAGGATGTGACGTCAATCGGGACGATCTGCAGACATAGTGGGAACATGTCAGCCTTTGTGAAATGGCTAAACATTTAAATGTTTCTTAAAATATTTGCTAAACTTTTACAAAATTAAACACATGGTCACATCCTTATTGTGTTCACAATGCAACAGTTGACAACAAATTCTATGGGGTAAAAACAAGAACAATGTAACTTTCAATATATCTGCCCAACAAAAGTGCAAAACATTATTTTACAATAATCTTTAGACCCACTTCAGTGAAAAGACAATTCACAAAACCATGTTAACATGTCACAAACCAGGAATGTTAAAATACATTTTCAATAAAAGAGAAAGGAATGTAACAGATCAACCAGAGGTGAAAAAGGAAAATTAAAAAGAAAACAAAATATGTGTCCTTTAGAAAGCTTTGCATCTTGTACATGTTGTAATCAGCAATTAAAATAGTACCATTTTGGTCAGGTACAAATGTACGTATAAATAATAGTCTAGGGTCCATTTATCACGATTCATCTAATCTCTGAATACTTGGACATAAAGATGGGAGAAAATTTGGCAAGAATCAATAGCACTGGCGGGAACATTTTATGTGACGATATCAGACTGCAAATGATTAACACTGAGGGCAACCAAAAAGTCACATTTAAGCACTGATTACAAATTAGTATTGTGTATAATTGTGGATTAATCTAAGGTACATTATGATGGTGTACTTAAGTATATTTTCTTTGCAGGGAATCAATGAAACAAAAAAGCATGAAAATAGATGTTGGCACTTTCTTGTACCTGTATACAAGTACATGTATGTAGTCAAGACCATCACAAGTCCCTACAAGTCCTGCAGTCCCAATTCAAATCACAACCTATTCAAATACAGTTTGTAAGCTTGGCCAGAGTCATTCTTTTTTATTGTTTATCCACCGTTACTCGTGACAGGACTTGTGGCGGACTTGTAATGGACTCAACTAAATCCCTGCACTCTGTACTCCTTTCGGAAATGTTGCGAGTCAAATTTTAAAACTTAGTCTTTCACTATAGTAAGCATTGTTCAATCATACATACATGTAACAAAAGTGTCGTTTCGCACAAAATACAACCATGCGTTTAATTTGATTACCAACTGACAAAATATTTCTTTGCTGAAGACCAACTAAAAAACCATCACTATGTATTCATTACACTCTTATACCAATAATACACCAATAATTTAAACCATACTGTCTAAAACTGAATATACATGTATGTCTAAGAACAAAGATACACAAAAGAAATTACTTTAAAATCCTTTTTTAAAAGGGAAAGAGAAAAACTTAGGTGAAATGAAGAACTCATGAGTTGATCTCATAAACTTAGCGAAGAATTAAAATACTACACAAAAAAGACTTGCACATACTCTGCAAATAGAATTCTTATTAAAGTGGAATTATATATATTAGCTTGTTTCATTAACTAAATATAAGTTTTGCATCTATGAGCCACAAGCTCATTTACATACATATATAATCTTTTAACTTTCCCTTGACATAGCGCCTATGATTTGAAACAGGTAGGTTGTGGAGGATTCGACTATGGCATGAATTCCATGATGCCCATAACTTAACATGGGTACAGTGCCCATACCGGTAGTTTGCCAAAGGTATGGTGCCATAGTTTGTCAAAGGTATGGTGCCATAGTTTGTCAAAGGTATGGTGCCATAGTTTGTCAAAGGTATGGTGCCATAGTTTGTCAAGGGTATGGTGCCATAGTTTGTCAAGGGTATGGTGCAATAGTTTGTCAAAGGTATGGTGCCATAGTTTGTCAGAGTATTTAGGTGTTGACAATGGCATACTTGAAATACAGTATGGTGCCAACAAATCAACATATTCCAGGTACCTACAACTATAGACATACATGTTTATTTTCATTTGTAATGCAAAGTGAATTCTTATCAATATGATCAATATGTGTTCTATTTTGTAAGACAAATGAACACCCTAATACTGGCTGACAATATTACTGTCTCATAGTCTTTAGCACCTGAGGGAAGTGAAAGGATCCTCTATGGACATTGTGCACAAGACATGTCACATACTTTATGGTGTGGCAACTATCCATAATACTGTTGCTTTGTGTTGCGACAAATGGAACATTCTTTCACAAAGTCAGGGCAATTTTTACAGTGGCAAGTTCATGATGTAGTGACTAGGAACCTCTCGTGACGTTTCACCGATGAAACAAAATGTTGGATTTTTAATAAACCTTTCACCAAATAGTTCACTAGGAGTGCAACTGGTCAGATGGTTTTACACACGTAATCTATTTCCCTTCCCCAGAAACCCTTTCCCCTTCCAATTTGCTGACTTTTGAGAAATGTCATGATTTTGCGGAAATCGTTATGAACTTGTGCAGACTTCTAGTAGTTATGAAATAATTTTAACAAATTATTTCTTATAAAAACCCCAGCAGGGCATAACACTAAAAACCTAAGTGTCAAGTTTTGAGTAAATTTAACTAAGCAGCTGAGATTTCAAGACTAGATAACCAATGGAAATCCTGTTTTTTCCCCTTTCTACAAAGGAAAAAATAACAGCTTTTTGAAAAAAAATGTACCACTTGAAAATACGTATCCTGAATTATTTCTTTAAAACCTTAGCACCGGTGTCAGAATAACATTTTATAAATATATTTAATATGCAACTGAAATTTGTAGGTCAGTTGTGGCAAAAATAAAATAATTGCATAATGTCCATGACATTCCTGAAAATACTTAAAATAATTTAATCTTCTTTTAGATCCAGTGATTGAAGACAGTGGATTTTGGAATAAGGATTTCTAGAAACTTTAATTTCATTAAACCAGAAAACTACATCATGATCTCAAATTCCATGATTTCAGATTAATTAATTGGATTACGCTTAAATCATCAATAACTTGCTGGGTAAAAAAAGAAGCCAACATATATATTCAATGTCCATTTAATTAAAAACACAACAGTTTGAGTTGTACCTTTTTTTGCAGCTAGTAAAACTTCTTGGCAGCAGCTTCTTGTTTACTCCTGAAAAAAGGGGGACAAATTAAAAGGAAATAAATAAAATTTAAATTGAAATCAAGGGGGCCCTGCAAATTGTCTTAATCTTTAAAGATGTTTGTCTGTGCTCTTCAACAAATTCATTGTCTTTTCTTCAAGTGAATTTTTAATACTTTCACGTTAAAATAAAACATACATATGTTTTATGTTAATATTTAGGTGTTTTTTTTTTCAATTTTGGGCTTCAGGAATCCTCTGAAATCAAACTTTTTGGGGCCCTCTACATTTGGTTGCTTTTTATTTATTTGGACAACATCCAACAGCGCAAGTGCCAAAACAGGATGGATAAGACTTGGTAGAAGATGTGGATGGAAATTACAGTTTAAGTGGTGGGAGGAAAAGCCCAGAATGATATTCCAGGGAAAACCCATGCAATCAGGCAGGGACTGAAAACCCAATCCACATACATGTATTGGCCCATGCGGGATTCGAACCCGGGTCACAGCGGTGGAAGGCGATGAAAGTACCGCTACGCCAACCTGATCCCCCTGTACAGACAGATCAGCTCTGCAGGTAGACTGGTTCCCAGCCCCTACATTACTGGTTCTGATATTAAAGAGGATAGGAACCCTCCTAGAATTATTGTCAGGCCGCAAAATTATTTAAAATAATAAAGAAGCCATCCCGTAACTAAACACAGGCCACAATGTCTCATTTGAAAGTGAGCAACCTTTGTATAGCTAAAAAAATTAGCAGTTCAAAATAAAGTCCCTTTTGGGGTGAAACCAAAATATAGCACGAACAGTACATTCATCATAATTGACTGATACCTTTTCATTTAGGAGTGCAGGCGCAGATCCAGGATTTCTTTAGACAGGGGGCACACCTTTAGAGCATTTGCTCTGAGGACTATGCGAGCGCGGAGCCTGAAGCCATTACGGCGTGGGGTCCGGGGCCCGCTTAAGGGCCCCGGGAAATTTTAGATTCTAGATGCTCTGTGGTGCAATCTGAGGCGATTCCTGGCCCGTTTCCCCATGAATTATTTGAGCAACAGTTGTTAAGTTTATAAGGATTTTTTAAGAAATATACTCTTGTTTTTACACATTTTAAGCTACTGTGTACTTCAAAGTTGCAAACCATGTATTTTCGTCTTCATAATTTCTTGCTCTGTATTTAAAAAAAAAAGGAATTGTATTGACTTAGATTGTTAACTGTTGCAACGGGTGATGCGCTGGGGCATTTGCTCCAAGGACTAATGCGAACGCGGTACAGTGTCTTGCTGCTTGGGGTTCGGGGCCCACTGAAGGGCCCCGGCAAATTTTGGATTCTATACATGATCTGTGGTGCAATCTGAGGCGATTCCTGGCCCCATTTCAGCAAAATGTTGTAAAGATTATTAGGATTTTTTTCATTATCGCTTCGGTTTACGGTAATACTATGTGTTTTTTTGTATTTTTTGTTCATTGGTTTAACATTGTACTCTTGTATTTCTTAATACAAGCCTAGTTAAGTTTCTTCTGTTCTTCACTTGATAACCAAGTACCTTCGACTGCATAATCAATTTCTTGCATTTTATTTTTGTAAAGGAATTGGATAGGCTTAGATTGTAAACTGTTTTAAGGATGCGTAGGGAGACCTGCCCCGAGGACTAATCATGCGGAGCGCGAATGTCTTCCGGCGTGGGGTCCAGGGCCCGCTTAAGGGCCCCTGGAATTTTTTGATAATTAGATGCTCTGTGGTGCAATCTGAGGCGATTCCTGGCCCCTCTTTCCTGGAGTTATTTGAGCAAAATGTTTTAAGTTAAATAAGCATTTTTTTTCATTGGTTTAATATATACTCTTGCTTTAACAAGCCTTTTAAGTTTTTTCTGTTTTTCACTTGATAACCATTTTCGTCTGCATAGGCCAATTGTTTTCGTGCATTTTATTTTTGAAACGGAATTGTATAGACTTAGTTTGTAAACTTTTGCAAGGATGCTTTCTAATGTTTTGTATCAAAATTTTCAGTTTATCGATAAGATAAAATTTTCTACGGAAATTTTCTACGGAAACGGACATGTTTTGGACACCTTGAAAGCGTGTGGAAGAAATGCTGGCAAATCGTTCTTACGGAAACACACCCCTTGACCAATAGTGTGGTCCAAAGAGCAGCGTACAACGTGTATGTCGCGCTAAACACAGCACATCGGCTGTTACACGTGCATGTTTTTCGTACCGGTACAGTACGCACGCTCATATGAATCGCATTTCATAAACAGATGTACTATGCAGGGTTACGTATGGAGTACGTACGGTGGGATCGCGGTTTATTTCGAAGCTTCTCAAGTTCCCTGTGTCATACGGCCAGTACACAATGTTTGCAGGCCGCTGATGTTTAATATCGGTGCCGGTATTTTTGTTAGAAGGTTGCCCTCCTCCTTCCCGCCATTTATCTCACCTCCCCCTCTTTTTCCCCCCTGTTTTATTCATTTTATTTTTTTTTGGACTCAACTTGACGGGGGGCACGTGCCCCCGCGGCCCACCCCTGGATCCGCGCCTGGAGTGTACAATCAAGTCGATTCAGGGAGCATGATCTGAAGTGGTCATTTTACAAATAAGGGCCATACGAAAAATACTGAAAGGGTTAAGTTTGTGTATTTATTGCAGAAATGTTGATATTCTTACTCACCTATAGACAGCATATAAGAAGAAGAAACCTCCTTGTAAAACAAGCAGAAAAATGAAGTAAACTGGAGTTAAACAGTTGGGGAATTCCTCTTGCGGTGGGCATTGCACAGATGAGGCTTGCTGTAAAACATGACAAGAACGATGGAGAGAAAATTAGAGTTTAATTAGGAATTAAGCCATGGCACATTTTTTAAATCAACTGAAATCAAATTTCCCGGCACTCACATCTGATTTCCTGAGTAATTGGCTGACGTCACCAGTCAGCGCACTGAGTTTGTCTCGTAGCTCGTGGTTCAGCATGAAGTCCTGATTACCCTGGTTTCCCTGGGAGACGCTGTCCACTTTGTTGTGAATGCTGCTGGCTTTGGCCTGGACTTCACCTATAACGCTCCTGAGGAACGATCAATAAAGAGATTGGATTGTATACCAGTCTTGCAGGTGTTTGCCCCACTGGATCCACCAATGGAGTGAGGTATGTATGCTTGGAATTACCTGACCTGCTGCATTAGGGCAATAAAATCTCAAATCTAAACGGTAGAGTCTGGTTCCTTGACTGCTCACCTGACATCCCTGATTGACCTCTGCAGCTCGTGCTGAGTGTTTAATATAGTATCCACCTCGTGCCTCTTGATTTCCGAGGTGGTGACTGGTTGCACTGGCTGGCCCCCCGTGGAGGCAGGGGGTGCCCCACCCCCTCGGACTGAGGCCTGGACTGCAGAGATGGCCGACAGGGTCCGCTCCTGCCTTCCAACGATCTCGTCTAGCTTACGATTCAGATCGCTGAAGATAGAATGGTAGTGGTGACATAAGTAGTTGGGTTGCTCATTTTGAAAGAGTGGAGACCATTATAAATGATGCCCATATGTATAGGGAATACGTAGGCAGCTCAGAAAAAAGTTGCCATTTACTTTATCACTTTTTTTGTAATTTCAGCAGGCCTACATCCCAATATTTTGATGTGAAATGCACACTGCCGATACTATAAAATTGTGGGTTCTAAGGCGAAGTCTTCCATACCCGCATCCTTCCCAAAGGTCCCTTCACCTCAATCCCCATCCAGCCAAATTCCTACACAAGGGTTTGGTGGAGTCCAACTGCTTATGTGTACAGTTTACCATATGGTGTTGGAATCTGCAAGGGTGAGACGGTTCCTAGTAAATCATCCCAGGGGTTATGGTTCACCAAAAAGGTGCTCATATACATAATACTGCTTTCAATTCAAGTGACAATGCCCCCCTGCATGTGCACAAGAAATGTTCTGAGCATCGGCAATGTTTGCATGAGTGAATGTCTGCAGCATCACATGAGTGGAAGACAGCCAAGATGATGCTTGCTGTGTTTTGATATAGTTCATAAGAGTTGGATAAGCAAGGTTGTTCAAGCTGTTTGGGAGATAGTTGTGGTTCTGGGGCCTGGGGGATGCATTTCAGGAAATCTGTGGGATTTGCTAGTAACAGTATAATAATATGTACTTACCCTATTGTTTTACTAATTAGACTCTGAACCTCATAGATCTGTCTTAATTCTCTCGTTTCGGTGTCTTCAAACTGGAAAAGAAAGTTTCATTCATTGAAACAAAACCTTTTAACACAAAATAACTTATTTTTAAAGGCCAAGTCCTGGTGAATAAATATTGATCCATTACCCAAATAACTTACCCAAATTACTCACTTGGATCATATCAATCCAAATAGACACTCCAGTAAAGTTCCAACCAAGTAACTGGAGTCAGAGTTAAGCTACATGACTCAAAGCTTGGATTGAAACCAAACAATACAGACCTGGTTACAGTTACTCATGACAGACAGAGCCCAGTGGACGGCACACACGGAGTGCCCGTACTGGTTCGTGCACATACTTACACACCACAATTTGTTTCTGAATGTGCACAAAGCCATAATAATCATAATGTAAGCAGACTCAAGGATTTGATTTCTGCCATTACTGGGACTTTCAAAAGCTTATTTTGGGATTTCACAAGAAGCTCTTACTGTACTGATGTTAAGAGCTTCACACAACAAACGCGTGATGGCCGTTCAGGCATGGAAGTGTCCCAGTATTGTCGATCAAAATCAATTCAATAATCGGATTGGTGTATACATGTTTTTCCGACATCAAGTCGCTGAACTGGTACTCACAAAGGTCTCCTCAAGCGCTTCATCTTTCACTTTATCAGGATGCTTCTCCTGATATCTGTAAAAATGTAGAATTTATAACGTCATCTTTAAGTAGCTAGCAAGCCACTCTGGTAAATGAAACCGCTTTTCAAAAAAAAACCTGTGAGGATTCAAGTTATCTGGAAGGCTGAATTTCACAGCAAGATCTTTTTAGTCGGTGAAGGGCAAAAACCTAATATTAAAAAGAACATTAACATATTTAATTTTAACCTTACTTTTAAGGCATTTTTGCAAGAAGCCTATGCTACAGTACTGTACATGTATATTGTGAAAATTGTAACCCTTTCAGTAACCCTTTCAGTATTGACTTGACTCTGTCCATCTTTACATGTTTGTTCAGTTATGCAGAAATTACTACAACATGAAAAGTGGACCTCAAGTTGATAGCTAGGTTTTCACTATTAAGGAATGACATGGAAATATACTATGTAACTTTTGTGCCACTCACAGGATGCAAAATGCCGATAAGATCATTTATAATTATCTCTGAAGTGCTATTGTGTACAAATATTTGTGTTTCAAATGACATAACAAATATCAAAATTCCCTTCAGTCTTACTTCTTTCCTTCCACCGTCCACTATTCAAATCACTAGTATAGGAAGAAAACTTACTCTTTCTTCTGCTGTTGTAGTTTTTCATAGTACTCATCATACTCCTTCTTGAACCTTTCCTCTTCATCATCAGAAATCGCTTGCTCTCTTTCGGGAGTCTGGCGGAAGTCAGAGGATAACGTAGCAGATAGTTTAATTGGAGTCCAATTATTGTTTAATAAAACCTGGCAGTGACTTGAGTAAAACATGATCTGATGTAAATTTTGACAACCCTGTAAGACAATACAAAATGCTATGGTGTCTACATGCCGTGTCACTGGAACTGAGAAACCACAGCATAGACGATCCACCACTACATGTACATAAGGGCCTTTAATTAACAATGTCTAAAATCTCCGTATTGGGCCCGGGTCTGACACGGAGATTTCAGCAAATTCCCAGTGCCTCCCCAGGTCGTCCCCCCCCCCCCCCCCCCCCCCCGCATCCATAATAAAAATGAAATTTGCTGCTTGCCAATGAAGTGTCTTTTTAAGTATCTTTTGAGAATTGAAACACAAGAAGAGTTAAGACAATGTTTAACTTGATTCTTATCCCTTGACCCTATGGATTTATGAAATGTGAATAAATTGGTGAAAAAAAACCTCTAGTTGAAAGAGGTCCCCCCCCCCCTCCTGCTTTTCAAAATAGCTGCACCTGGAAATTTGGGGAAAATTGTATTTAAGGTCCACCCTTGGTGCCACCACATGTTATGCTGGTAACCACCCCCCCCCCCCCCCCCCGACAAAATCCTGGCTACGCCAATGTGTAGACACCGTTGTGAGTGTGATTGGTTCACCTTGCCTGATGCAATGATAAACACAGTATACTACACTAACAGCACCTTCAAATATGCTCACAATATGAGTCATTGAAGGGAAAGTGTGGTCAAGTACATCTATGGGGTCCAAAAGAGTAAGGATGGGATTTTCCTTAAAACTTACTCGTGGTTCATCTGGTGGAGTAAGACTGTGTGTCAAAAATTTGATGACATCATGATCATCTGAAGGGAAAAAAACAGACAGAGATAAATATGTGTAAGTATTATGTTTCATCTGGGATGGATTCTTGAAGGCATTTCCAATGTGCCTGGAGCTCACTCAAAGATGTTACTGGATAGTGCAGATTCAGAATAAAATTAATCCCGCGTACTTGGCGCTGTACGCAAACGTGATGTATCCCTTGCACTGATGCTCAACAACATGTTCACAAAGGTCATCTACTGCTCGAGCACGGAGTGCATAGTTAAGGAGAAAATAGACGCAACAGTAAAGAAAAAAGAAACTAGATGACGAATTCGGAGGATCTCTCAAATGCAGGTGAATGTAAAAAGATGACCTGAGAGAGACCAACTTCTGATGGCAAATTATCGTGTTACCTGCTAGTCCACCAGTAGCAGCTGTAATTCCAAAGTAGCCGTCCTTGGGGAGAGTCACGTCTTCTCTTCTCATGCAGAGTTCATAGTTGGAGTCTATGTTGGTCCAGCCGTTGTGAATGAAAAGCTGCAGTGAATAAAAGAGTAACATATGTACTCTTGCCTTGTCTAAATTTTCTTTCATCTATGAATATTCAAAAGGACTTTTAAAGACCAAAAGATTCAGTCAAAGTTGGTGATAGTGTGATTGGTCTTTGCCCCGTTTATAAATAATGATACATTTCTTGTGATGTAAAAGAGAATCTCATCGTCATATTAGCAATATTTAAATTCCAATTTATAAGCAGAATACTGTATGGCAGGTTTCATGTGAGAGACTGGTTAAAATTAATGTCGGGGTAGGATGAGGCTTGCAACATATGGGTTTAGAAATATTATCCCCAAGGCATATCCTGCATAAATAATGTCTAACTCACAGCAGTTTTTCTGGTGATTTCAACAAATCCAACAACAGGGCAGTGCAAGGCCTACTACAAAATCGAATAGTTAGATCAAACTTCATGAGAATTTCTCCCATAGTATATGAGCTGACCGTGAGTGTTTTCTTGTAGTACTCAATCTTGGCCCTGACTGGGTAGGGCTTGTTGCGGTAGTCTCTCAGGCAACCCCCTAGCTGTTGGTTCATCCCATCAGTGTTGTGCTGGTACTGCACCGTGCCGTCATTCACCATGGATAAGATGTAAGGGTTGTTGCGCATGTTGTCATTGTCGAAGGAGTCAAAGATGACTGCCAGGCCGTTCCATTTGTCCGGTCCACCGAAGACACTGAGCTGTGTGGGATGCTGAGGTGGAGGTTCCTGGCCCGGGGTCGACTCGACCCCAGCTGGTTTGTTATCAACGTACCAGAATGCCTGAGTCAAAAGAGAATAGAAGAAACCATTGATCCTTTACAATTAGTCCATCAGGTTTATTCAACCACTGTCAACAGTTCACCCTCTGAGACCATATATACCAGAGCTATTACAAGTCCCTGCAAGTCCATCACAAGTCCTCTAGTCCCAAGGGACCTTTTTACTAATAAATTCATACATGCATGTGCATAAATGGGCCTGGACAACACAAAAATCAGAAGGAAACTCAGACAAGCTACGTATTTCATGGCAGTTGTCTGTTAAGCTTACTTGCAGTAGCAAATACTTTCTGTGCTTAGTTGTTTACCAAATTTGTCCATGGTTTGTGGGAATTCCCTTTTCATCATTTTACAAACTCACCAAGCCATCTGCGCCGACCCTCCCTCGACCGGTCACCTTGAAGTAAAACTCCACCTCCCAGTGGTCATGTGGCACCTTGTATTTGGACCATATGTAACCTGTGGGTTCAATTCAAGGCACAAGACTCAAACCATCGTAAACGAGTTATTGTGGAAAAGCACAAAACCAAAGTACATTACATCATACTTTTCTCTTCTTACACATTCACACTCAACAATGCAATTGTGGTACATAAATTTATACTTGTACTCTATTTCTTGGTCACATCCTTTTGTTTCAGAAAAATGCCAAATAATCCAAAACAATTTCTTGATAGTTATAATTATTAACAGTTATTGTACCTAATTAATTTGTCATTTGCTTAATTTAATCCCTGAAGTTTTAACAAAAGTGCATTTTCAAGCTTTGCATACTACTGTAGGCCCCCTACTCCCAAAACAATGATTTCAGTTAATGTAAAGTTGTGCTTTACTTAAAGAATAACTGGCATTATTATGAAATAAAATCAGTAAATAAACGACGAAATGTGTAAACATGGTACAGAATGATTTTTTTATTAACGTTTCATTAAATTTTACTTCCCCTATACTTTTGCAAATACAAAATTTGCACAATTAAACTGAAAAAAAATATTTCCTTAGGCTTACAAAAAGAAGAAAAAAAACAGAGAGTAATTGATAACCAGAACAAAGCCTACATGACAATGAATTCATTCAATGCAATCACATGGACATGCTTCAGCCTTACGTCTTAATAAAATCATTCATCTGGCCGGAATGGTTTGTCCGTAAATTTGATGTCACCCCCCCATACCCCACCATTCAAAGTAGTCTAGCGATGCTCCAGCTCACAGACAGGAAAATAAACACTGAAACCAATTAGTCCTCATTTGAATAGTCAAACAGTCTTTTAAGAATACAAATAGTGAATATAAAAGTAAACAATGTTACCTTTTTAAATTCTTTTTTTAATCATTATCTTTGTTGAGAATTATCATGAGAACAGTCCATATGGGAAGTTCTGATGAGCATGCAATGCTTATACACAGTGGGCACAATCCACGCATGCAAAACATCATACGTGTACTATGCAGCTAATAATATTAATACAGGTAGTACGATAAAATAATGGTTCATTAATTATGTTGCAGTTTATATACTAAACTGTCCATAGTGGATACTACTATAGCATACACATATTGTACACGTATTGTATAATGGCTGGTTTCAAGATCAAATTCAATCTATTTCTTCATGGAGAGAAAAAAGAAAGTGGCCTGCATTAATGATTTGTTCCCTTTAGATGAGCACGTTTTTCCACTCATGTGAAAAACAAGAATTACTGAAATTGATCCATGCTATCAGAAATTATGGGTATGTTTTACTAAAAGAATGTTTTTTTTTACAGCTAAATGCTTCGAAGCTATTCGTCTCAGTGAGAACCAGAGATTACATACAGGTATTTGAATATTCAAATGACATTTTAATAATGAGTCAAGACTGAAACATTATTATACTGTCAAGATTGTGTGTTTGTTTAAGAGGAACAAACCAAGTCTTTTTCTGATAGGATGCTGTTAATTTTTGTCTGCTTTGCTTAGCAAGTTTTTGTTCATTCATTGAGGTAGGAAAACGTCCATGGTTCATTGTATTTGGGTATTCATCAATGCGTGTCAGTAAATGATAAGTGATATATCAAAATATAAATAGCTTATTCCTGTTATTTTTATTAAATGAAGTGAGCCACATAGGTCCTATATTTTTCGGTCACTTTCTTTTTGATTCATACTATCTATTTACTCTTTACAAATCTGTTGCTTGATAATTACCACTGCCTTGATTTTAGTTTTGTGTGACCTGAAATGTTTTGTTTACTGTCAAGGAGTAAATGTAAATTGTTACTTCAAGGAAATTATTTTATACAATGAAATTTCAGGCCAATAGTTTGTTTACCTTTTTGACTCCGTATGGAAGGAGTAATTCTCACTTGTTCATCGGAGGCGAATGCACCTGTTAGTGAAAATAAACAATTGCTTATTAGATCTTTCAAAAGGTACACAAAAATATTTGACTTTTTTCATACTCATAACTCTTACATTTCTCGTTAAATTGAGCAATGCTTATGTTTTATATCTTGGATTCTAAATTGAGGGGTGGCCCAATAATTTTCAAAGGGGAAGGGAAAATTCCAGAAAGATTACCATATCTGGCCATCACTTTTCACCCTGAGCACAAACCGTATGAGACTGGTCTGAAAATGTGTAAGTCTAAGTGTTTTCTCGGTAAATACTACAATATTTTCCCTGCTAAATTGGACTTTTTAGGACATCACTTTCTGATGGCCGGTCACTGAAGAGAAAAATTAATGATGGCCAGAGATGGGAATCTTTCCGAAATTTCCACCTAGTGCACAACCCTCCCCCTCCTCCAGTTTATAATTGGTCGTGTTAACTAAAGCGTATCAATTTACATTCAGAAAATATACAATTTACATTCAGAAAATATACAACCAATTTCTAAAGCTTTCTACTATACCACAGTAAATGTAATAACAGAGTCCCAAATGAATACGTTTTTCTTTTTTTTTAAATGCATAAAATCTGTCACTGGTCATACAAAAAAATTGACAAATGTCATTGTCAAAGTTTCTTAAGTTAATTTCAATAATTAAAAGTTTCATAAATAAACATTTAAAATACACAAAAGTGAGCCTCTCCCGCTCTAACTAGTAGTAGTAGTAGGTGTTCTTATTCCTCCATGGTAGGCCCTACTACTTACTAGTTTATTTCTTTCAAATTTTTATTTTGTTTTGGTTAATTGTTCTATAAAACAACGGATATATGCATTATCACTTTATTTTTCAGGCGAAATTTAAATGTAACATACATGTAACACTATTGTACATTTGTAGTTTGTACAATATGTGGGCACAGTACCACTTAGCCCCATAAATGTGGCCTATTTACTGGACTGCCTCCGTAAACATAGGCCACACATCCACATGTACAAAAATCGTGTCGACGGAGCCAAATTTTGATTTTCACATTTAGGCTTAGTTTGTAGTTTTTTTTGCTTTAGAAGCATACTCACCCTCTTTACAGGCTAATCAGAAAGTGCTGCCTTTTTCAGATGTCTAATTTTTGTGAAATTTCATGTTAAAATTTTGATACGCAAACGTGTAAAAATGAATCTGGAAATTTCACGAAAAATATACATCTGAAAAAGGCAGCACTTTCTGATTAGCCTATAAGTATAAAGAGGGTGAGTATGCTTCTAAAGCAAAAAAACCCTACAAACTAAGCCTAAATGTGAAAATCAAAATTTGGCTCCGTCGACACGATTTTTGTACATGTGGATGTGTGGCCTATGTTTACGGAGGCAGTCCAGTAAATAGGCCACATTTATGGGGCTAAGTACCACTAGGCCTACACACTACAGTCATTTGTTGGCAGCTACTGAGCTAGCTCATGCAGCGCAGTTGGCGTATGGCTGCCGGCTGGTCTACCATATTTACTTTAAATATTACTCACTTCCACCGTACTGCCAAAACGGAACAGTGCCATCTTTTTGCATCAAGTGTGGTCCTTTAAAACTGTGTTTGTACTCGAATCTCCGATGTGGCTGTTGAGCGAAACAGATGGAAAACGCCGACAAAAGGAGCAGCAGAAGACGTACTATGCAAGTCGCCATCTTGCCAAGAATATGCATAATTATTCAAACCTGATTTGCATATACGCACGTGCATTATATTTAAACGCAGCGGATGGGCGCACGGTATCAAATTATTTTAACAGGGTATCTAATTTCATTGGCAAACGACGCGTATAATAAAACCTTTCTACATGTAAGTGTTATCATCCAGAACTATCATAAATATAAATGCGAATATGAATACAAATTTATACAAATGCCTAACAGATGTTTGAGCGCGAGATATCTTTAGCGTGCGATTGACAACTTGGCGTACATTGATTGGCCAATCGATTCTCGTGCAGGTGGTCCATTCATCAATCGCTATTAATATTCATAAGTTCTTATTAATATTCATAATCTGTTGACACAAACCGTATCGGCTGTCTGCGACACTGATTTTTTTCCCAAAAAACGATAATTGTCTTCGTGGGTATTCTATTTGTCAAAAAAGAATTTCAAATTGTAGTATTTGAATTTGTAAAATAATGTTTCAGCTATTATTATTCTCGCAATGAATGATATTACAAAAATAGTATGATGGTCCGAAAACAGAATATCACTTTATTCTGGAATTTCATTTTTTTATAAATAATTATACAGTTATTCTAAAATACTTACATTAGTCAATGTTATTTTACATCTAACTGACAATCCATGAATTTGTTCTCATTCAAACTACAAATACAATGCAGCTTTTTTGGAATGCTCAAAGTGTACAATGAAATTAACACTTTTGTTTGTTAGAATATGTTTCAATGTTTTACTTTGCCAAAAAGAACATAATTTCACTATTTAACATAGAATTTAAAAGTATCTTACAGAAATAAATAATCTGTCGTGGCTATAAAATAATTTACAATTAATGGCAATTTCCAAAACAGTCTTTTGTTTGAAAAATTAAAAACCTGGAACATATTTAAAACACTAATTTCAATTTGAAGCTAAAAATCAGAGAACTCGGATACTCTCAAGTTAGTTAACTAAAAATATGGAAAAGGCAAAATATTTCATTTTTTTTTCAAATACTGTCACAAGAAGCAGCATTGTTTCTTGTCAACATAATATTTATGACTTTTATGCTAATGAATATGCAAATGTTTTAAGCAAACCTGCCTTTGTATTAGTTTTCTGAATTAACAGCAATCATACCAATATAAAGAGAGAACATTTTTATGTAAGTACAACTGTAAAGATTTCATTTTCTCAAAATGAAACTAAAGGAAAAATCTAGCAACGGCAAAATAATGTTAATCAATTAGGTTTTGCCCTTCTTGACATCAAGAAAAAGGGCAAAACCTAATTAATTAATCACCATGACACAAAGTCCATCTTATGAATAGTTTAATTACGGTACCGCTGCTACCAGTACATGTACATCAGATTCGAACCAGCCAACCGATCCTGCAAGCTCGGCGATTGAGTGGTGAGATGTCTGCACTAGAAAGCAGGAGGTCGTGGGTTCGAGTTACAATATGGACATGTGTAGTATTTCAACGAATTGTAAATAAAAAAATTGACTTTTCTTTTTTATTAAAAGATATCCTGCAATTAGCTGTGCATTATTCTGTGTAAAAAGTTCACAATCTTCAAATGTCTGTGTCTCATAATCTATATAACCAAAGATCAGTATTTGTTCCCCATAGTTTTGCTATAAAATCATCCGTCCTCATTAACAGTCAGTTAATGTGAAGCTAGCAATATTCAACACTCAGATTCAGGTGTGGGAACCAGTTTCACTGTCGTATCAAATACCAGAAATCCTGATTTGAACTTTTATACACACAATTACATGGTGAGTTTCTGACCATTTTGGACACGCAAGTCAATTCTTGAGCATGACTTGAAATACATACAGCTATTACAATCTCACACCCTCCAACTAACCACTACCTGTTTCTCCATTCAGCTGTGCCTGAACAGTCACTGAAAAAGTACTGATTCTTTCTCTGATCTTTCTCATATCTGATGTCCTCCACCTGTTCAGTGATCAATGATTCTGAAAGCATTTCAACCCTTGGAATTTGACCTAAGTTCTGCCACCAGAGTTTTCAATGCACACTTGCAATATTTATATTCAGCATACACTCCAGTAATTAAAGGTGCTGGACATCATTTGCCAAAAATAAAATTTTTTTTTTTGCCGAATCAAGGAACAAGACAATAAATCTGAAGCAGGTTATTAAAAACTAATCTGTCAAAATATCAGCTCAATAGATAAACTTTTTGAGAAAACCATGAAAATGCATCTTCGTTTTTCTCGAAGCAAAGGTTTCTGTGGTCCTAACCATCACAAGGAAATGATGGTAGTTCCTCTGTTCTCCAAAATGACAGCATACTAGATGCAGTGATTTCACAGGATGCATGATCATATTATTTACTTGTAATCAAGTAAGATATTTATGATATTTTGACATATTTTGAATGCTGGTCAATGGTGTCCATTACCTTAAAGGGACACTAGGTCCTGGAACAGCCCAATTGGGCTACAAAACGGGCTTTGAACGAAATGATTTTAATCAGAAATAACATTTACAAGTAGGATATAAACATCCACACAACTATCCTTATAAAACTGGGCGTTTTTGTGTAATTCCTATATTATGCGTGCGAGAACGAATTTCGGGGTCCCCTTTTGCGACCCCATAAATTCAAGCTGTTTGGATGCTAGTTGTGATTTCATTCGTGAAGTGGTCGTCTTTAGCGGATGTTGAAGAAACCATACATAGTTTTTGCATTGGTGATTGGTCACCACTGTTCCCGAGACACACAACGTGTATATCGTACACTGAGAACGACACGAAAAACGTATTCGTGCTCCGTCGTGTCCGATGTAAATAAGCGGGTTTTTTCGTCTTTTCTCGGGAACGGTAAGACATTAGGTTGGTTTCCTTTCAACCAAATGTTTGAAATAGGCTAAGTAAACAATCCAGAACATGAAATTTTCGAGGATTTCAGGACTTTGTGCCCCTTTAAAAAGACCAATGATATCAGTTTCAGATCAAAAAATTTCGTGCAAGTAGTTGCATGAAAGTAATGGGACAGCCCTTTTTGAATTGTGCAAGCTTCTGCCCGACATCTAAGGGCACTATCATTGTGATGTATTAGTTTCATGCTTGCAAACATTTCTATTCACAAACACAGATATTATTACCAGCTAAGGCAGAAATTTGAATCCAATACATGTTTGAATCCACAAAGTTGTAATTGGCAAAGGCTGTCACAATGGGCCAAAGTTGAGGCCAATTAACCAGAGTGCCAGTGAAATCATAGCAACAAGTGCACGTCAAAAACAAAGTAAAAAGTAAAAAGAAAATTGCACTTAAAAAAAATATTTAGGTTAAAGGGTGTCCCATTATCTTCATGTTCTTCAGAGTCAGCCATCAGAATTTGCATAAATGTGGTCACTTCAAACATATTTCATTGGTCCAAGTCCTTCAAATTATTCATGTGCTTCAACAATGATCAGAATATAATTTATACTGGTCAAGCCATTCTCATCTTCGTTGGCACAATATTTACATAAGGCACAGCTACCAATTAGTATTTGTTTATAAAGAGCTGCTGATTCAAAAAAACAACAGTGGTTATCATTGCAAGTAGTGTATCACTGCAAGCAGTAAATCACAAGTCCTGTCACAAGTCCTGTCACAAAAAAATTGGGATGAATTTGCTGCCATAGTGTGAAGTCACCTCCTCCCCAGATCAGGCTCAATTCCTTGACAACAGTTCATCATGCACATTCCATAACAATCAATTTCACATATGTTTAACACTCAATCAGGCAAGTGCCTGAAACGGGTAAAAAGTTTTGCAGAAGATTGTCACCACACCAGTTTAAACCACAGTTGAGCTTCTTTTCATTTCCCAGAGGAGACTCAATCCATTTATAAAACTTTGGTTTACAACTGCCATAACTAAAACACTGCATTCACGTTGGGCCGCTGCAGTACGCGTGAACCAGTAACCATTGCCGCATCGAGTTGAACTCTAAGTGATGTCATGACTTCGGCAGCGAATAACAAAGGAATGGTTTTATTACAGTTTATTTGAATAGCTAGTTTGAATTGACTTGAAACTGAGGACGATGGACAAGCAACGGCTACACCACTGTCTCAGGGTGTTTTCTTAGCAGCAGGCTTGGCAATGAGGTGTTTCTCCTGTTCCATCTCACGCTCTCTCTGCTGCTCCTTCTGGAGATTCTGCTTCATCTTGTGATGCTGCAGTTTCAATGCTCTCTTCTGCACAGATAAAAGCCACACCCCAAAATTACTTCAGTGTGGTGACAAACCCCTTGTCTTTGGCAGGATGTTTATGGTCCTACCTTTTTTTGCTTTCACTTTTAGTGATAAAATCAATGCCTCTTGTGTTACAGTAAACAGTTTGATCACCCTAAAAAAATATGAGGTGTTCTGACAAATGAGACAGAACTGGGCAGAGATCGAAATGAGGGTATCTGCATATTAGGAAACAATCAATTTCTCCTTACAACACTGTTTGTTGCACTTCAATTGGACATTCTGTTGACAAGTTATGGCTGTTCAAAGTTCACATTTATCGACATGTCTAAAAAGTAAATTACTGAGAAAAAGGGCTTTAAAGTTTTGACTTCAAAGTCGTGCAAATGAAAGATACCAACTGTTTCTTAAACACACTTTTTTACTCTACGATTTTTATACTAATTCTTTGAAAAATGTGTGGAAGACATATCAAAGAAAAAAATATCAATAAATCTGAAAATCAAAAAATAAATCCCCCCCCCCCCTCATTTTTTATGTGTTTTTACATTTTTGGAAATTTGAGTGCTATTGATGAAAGCGTGTTTCGTGATCAAAAGGTTGAACATGGCTTTTCACTGTTTTCTCGGAAAGTGTGGTATCCACTGAGCTGAAATTTCAACAGGTTAGGTTTTGAACATTCTTCTTTGGATTTTGGGTGGTGTAATTATTCGAAACAAAATGTATGAAAAGCAAATGATCCTTTTCATCCAAGGGAAACACACATCTATGTTACTAATTCATTCCAGTGCTTAACACAGCTGAGAATCAATTAACCTTTTTTGTTCTTTTTTTCTTTTTTAATTTGGGGACAGGTTTGGGGAGGAGTGTACCTTTAATTTTGTAGACTTTTCATGCAGGGACATCATTTCTTTCCGTAAGTGAACCAGTTTACTATGATACTTTTTGGCCTCTGTCATCTGCAAAGACAAAACAAACAGCACCCATTAGCACCTGTTCTACATTGTATTACATTGCACTGATGAATTGATCAAATCATCTATGGAGTGCTCGGGTGATTTCTGGCACAATATGGCATTATAGGCAAGGCAGTTTTGGGTTGAACAGTTAGTAAAATGTTAAAAAAAGCTTTGTCTGGAATGTCTTTCAGGCTCAGAGCACTTTCAAAGAAAGGGACGAAAGCTGCAAAATGTCTATAAATGAAATTCTAGAAAATAAAAGTATTAATTTTCTGAAAGAAGGAGAAACAAATAATTACGAACCAGTTCGGAGAGATCAGACATCATCTTGTTCTCCTTGAATTTGGCATTTTCTTGCTCCAATGTTTCAATCAGAACACGCTGGTTTCTCCTGGTGAAAAGGTCAACAACAAAGAATCATCATTTACTCCATGCCAACAAAGAATCATCATGGACTCAATGCCAACAAAGAATCATCATGGAATCCATGCCAACAAAGAATCATCATGGAATACATGACAACAAAGAATCATCATGGACTCCATGCCAACAAAGAATCATCATGGACACCATGCCAACAAAGAATCATCTTGGACTCCATGCCAACAAAGAATCATCATGGAATACATGACAACAAAGAATCATCATGGACACCATGCCAACAAAGAATCATCATGGACTCCATGCCAACAAAGAATCATCATGGAATACATGCCAATCATGGACTCCATGCCAACAAAGATTCATCATGGACTCCATGACAACAAAGAATCATAATGGACTCCATGACAACAAAGAATCATCATCATGGACTCCATGACAACAAAGAATCATCATGGACTCCATGACAACAAAGAATCATCATGGAATACATGCCAACAAAGAATCATCATGGAATACATGCCAACAAAGATTCATCATGGACTCCATGACAACAAAGAATCATAATGGACTCCATGACAACAAAGAATCATCATCATGGACTCCATGACAACAAAGAATCATCATGGACTCCATGACAACAAAGAATCATCATGGAATACATGCCAACAAAGAATCATCATGGAATACATGCCAACAAAGATTCATCATGGACTCCATGCCAACAAAGATTCATCATGGACTCCATGACAACAAAGAATCATCATGGACTCCATGACAACAAAGAATCATCATCATGGACTCCATGACAACAAAGAATCATCATGGACTCCATGACAACAAAGAATCATCATGGAATACATGCCAACAAAGAATCATCATGGAATATATGACAACAAAGAATCATCATGGACTCCATGACAACAAAGAATCATGGTTTTGCATTTGACATGGGTCTGGTAAAAAACAATCCGGGACTACAAGATGTTTTTGTGCTCCTAACTCAGTAGCCTTGCAGATCTTAATGTGAAGATGACCCCTGCTTGCAATATGTTCATTTTTTTATTTTGCCTTGAAAACCACTTGGGTTTTTTTTATTTGGTGAAATCATTTAAGTTATTAACCGAACCACTCACATGAGCTCATCCAGGACTGCATTGGAGCATTCTGCTTGAGGAAGGAAGGTCTGAAGAAACCCAACTGTGAGCTTCTCAATTGCGCCCTCATCTACTGGCAAGACGTCTAGCTCAGGCAACGACACTTTAACTCCCTTTTCATCTAAGAATAATGGTTTAGTGAAAACATCGTTTGTCATGAATAAATCAAGAACATAATTAACAACCACTTGATATCATACACTGTATGCACTCTACACTTTGTACACAATATTGTGCAACCTGTCATGCACAAAAAACCATCAAAACATTTTTTTTTCTTACTTCTACTTTGTAAAAATATGGCAGATAAAAAAACCAGTGGAGATGGCAAAATAAAAAGGACACCACTATTCAGGCCTGTAACTATATTATTTCAGTAATTACCAACAGAAATCTGCTAAAAATCCAACACCTGGTTTTGCAGTATATTGAGAAAATCACGGCTGTGCAGCCTTGCAAATTCAACTTTTACATGTGATTGGATGAATTTCGAAATTTAGAGAATCTGGAACTCAGTTTACTATGCAGTGTTAGTTTTTTGGGTTTATTACCCAATAGGGCTATGCTGAATATGCATCATAAAAATTGTAATAATGAACAGTTTGTATATATAGCAAATAACACAAAATACGTCTTTATGCGCTTGTTTAAGTGAGCAGGGGAGTTGTGATATGGGCTCCGTGCGCCAACGAAAGAGGGCACCCTTTTACCTAACAACGACGTCCCATGGGTGGGACATTTAGCTGGTTGACGCGCATCGTTCCTTGTGTGTGATGCACGTACACCAGGGGATTTGTACTATGTACACGCAGTCGCAGCAAAATTGCAGTCAGGCAAGATGGCATCAGTCGGTCACCCCCAACTGTACTCTCTTTGCCGGTGAGGGGATACTTGTGAACGTAGCGGATACCGACTATCTGTTTATTTGATAATCCGCTAAATATATCCAGATATATATACCTCGAAGTGATGATGCAACACATCCGTGATGTAATTTGATTCAAGCTCACATAAGTTGAGTGGTTTTACTGTTTGTTAAATGCCAGATGTTGGTGAACAGCAACTTCACACACATGACTGAGAGCTTCCAAGGGGAATATTTACCTCCATTTAAATCCTCAAAATCTCTTGAATTTCAACTACTCAGCTACCTTGATTATATACCCATACATAAATGTGATATTCTACCAAAACAAATTATCAAATTAAATGACAATGCACAGCACTATTCCCCAGTTGAATTGAAGCATACCTCTCTGATCTGATGAGTCTACATTTGAGCCCTCCTGATAATCTTGGTCTGTTTCTGCCACTGTTCCATCTCTGAGCATTTCTTTCACCTCATCCCCTCCCGTCTCATTGTCTTCACTGCCCTTCTTGGGCACTGTGTCATTGTTCTGTTTCATACTGCTCCTTGATAATATGTCATGTGGTTCATTTCCTGCTTGAGAACCGTCATCTCTCGTTCCCTCAGTTTGCGCTGTGTCGGACATCAACCTTGTAGATGGTACAGACTTTCCTTCATCCATTGTAGCTCTTCATCACAGAAACTGATGATGGAATGACAGCTGGTAAAAATAAAACATTTAAAATTGTGTTAACGGGGAAAAAAATCACTGTTAACCCTAACCCCTCGGGTATTTTGGCTAGTGACACATTTCAGGCACAAAAAAACCCTGATTTAACTTCACTAGTACACTGCAGGGACGACAAAATCCATACTTTAAATCTACTAGTACACTGCATAGGGATATCACATATCGCCACACGTATGCTAACAGGGGCGGATCCAGGATTTTTGCAGGGGGGGTTCATCGGCAACAAAAATTTGAAATGTAGACACAGTTTTTTTCTCCGGACACTTGGCCTCCGTAAAATAAAAAAGCAGGGGGGGGGGGGGGGGAAGGGGGGGCTCGTACCATACTTTCAATGGGGGCGCTGTTCAAATCCCACGTTCACAGCATACCCCCATCATAGCTGGCTCTATGTATTTTGTGCAAAGGCGATTACTAGCAACAAAACAAATTGGTGTCGGAGTTGCTTTTTTCCGCATTTTGGGTGATTTGACACGGCACGACCTAGCCCTAGTCTATAGCCCCCGCACTGGAGTAGACTCATGCAGAATCTACTCCAGTGCGGGCAATAGACTAGGACTAGGGCTAGGCACGACGACACAGCCATGCCAGCTAAGCATATTTGTGTGACGTGTGCTCAGCACATTATGCTATAGGACTAGTCCCATAAATGTGACGGAAATACTGGACTACCGTACCTCCGTTTTAACGTCACACATCCCACATGTGGTATATCCAGTATTTCTGTCACATTTATGGGACAAAGCACATTAGCACTGTCGAGCCCAATTTGAGTCCCCCGCGCAAGTTTAAACTTGCGCACGCAAGTTGAAACCTGTGCGCACGCAAGTTTAAACTTGCGCATGCATTAATTTCCTTGCTACAAATTGCGCACGCAAGTTTATTTTAAAAAAATTTTTTTTAAACTTGCGCGCTACTTAGATTTTCCCCATGAATGCAAAGCCGCTAAACTAATGGGTTTTTTTCCCTGGTAAACTCATGCAGATATGTAACATTATTTTTAAAGCAGATTTTTCTCCGATTAATAGCACCACTGTGCTTCGTGAGACAATGCCTAAATGCCCTTTTTGAAACATTTTATTAACAGTAATATGCTAATGAGGTACTGTTGTAAGGTTCAGAGATAAGGGGTGGTAATGCGAACAATTTATGCACTTTGCATCATGATGTGTATTATTGTTTATGGCTCATTAGGATTTTTGTTTAAAGGGAAAATACAACATTTGCAAACATCAAAAAATAAAACTACCAAATCATTTTGAAATACCTTGCTGGACTGTTAGTGAATGACAGTGTAAAGCATCCTGTAAAATCATGGCACCTGGTATACTGTCATTTTCAAGAAAAGTGTTATTTTTGTATCAATTTCCAACGCTGATCGGCCGATCAGCGTTGGAAAAAACTGGCTTTTTTTCAAATACTGGCCCCAATTGACCATCGCACTTGTTTGCAATCGATTACACACCTATGAACGGGTACAAGCCAGCTAGACTGGTTCCCTGACCTTACAATTCCCCAATGTATGTAAACTGCTCTTTCTTCTTATATGGAGTCAGGGAACCAGACTACAGGAAAATGATTGTTTTTCTTGGTTTTATAGCATTTTTGAACCCACAACCTCAAAAAAGTCAGTGTAACTATATTTGCTATATATTTCCAACCCCCCAATTCCATCCATTTCTGAAAATTACAGCAAAAGCAAATGATGTATATTCCCTTTAATAAACAACATAGTTATACATTAATTTGAATTAATTAATTAAATTAATAAATTAAATTAATTAATTAAATCATTTATAAATTTATTTACTTTTTAAAATATTACCATTTTATATGCATAGCGTTTTTAAGTTGAAGCATGTAAACATTAATATAAATTATTGAGCCTGCAAATAAACTAATTGTTAAAGTAATAAATTAAATTAATTAATTAAATTAGTAATGAGTTCATTAAAAAAAATTCAAATTATGCATTTTTTAGTGTACACAGCACTCAAAATGTGCAAAGTATTTTTAAAAACAAAATGAATTATTGTACCGTCCAATAAATTAATTGCTAAATTAATTAAATTAGTATTTTTTTAAGAATAAATAATTTTTTAATTGTACAGTACATGTAATGTAACTTAAAGCATTTAAAAAATAATGTAAATGATTACTGTAACATCAAAACTTGAACAATTGAAGGGATCATCATCATTCTTTTTACACCCCCCAAAAACTTCTTCTCTGATAGGCCTAACACAGGGATAAGCACTGCTAAATCTAAATGTTTCTTTTCATTGATGCTAATTGAATTCCCATTTTTATTTATTTCTTTGTTCATTAATTTATTCCATTATTTATTAATTTATTTCTCCATGTACTCGTGTTTTTAACATTTTTTTTCTTCATCAATGAAAATCCCGCCTGGAAGGTTCTCAAATTGCGATCGCCTTTGCGCAAGTTGTAACGTGCGCACGCAAATTAAAATGGCGCGGTGTAATTTGCGTGCTTCAGGAGTCCCTTGCGCAAGTTTAAAATTGCGTGCGCAAGTTTAAACTTACGCGGGGGACTCAAATTGCGCTCGACAGCACTAGCACTTGTAAGTTGGTTGTAGCAGAGCTGTGATAATTGGGCCCAGCACGTCGGCGGGGGTAACCAGTCCCAACCAACATTGTCCCATGCATTGACCAACCAGCCAACTACACCTTCAATCCCCCTTCATATCATCTGATCATGAGACATGACCGTTACACGAGCCTCTCTTAGTCTTACTCTAGCTAGACTAGTCCGCTCTGCATGCAATTGAATACTGTCATGACTGTCTCTGTCTTTTCACCTCCTGTCATGTTCTTGTTACTTACACAGTTTTCTTGTTAAAGCATTAATAATTAGAGAAGTAAAATCCCTCACTGCCTCAGTCACCTCGCGCCTGCATATAACACCCCTGCTGAGTAGATTATGCATGCAGTATTTCACCAGAATCTGTCGCACACGTACGTATCATCAGTGGTAGCGCCAGTATCACAACTCCAGCAGAATCATCAGTACAGCTACCGCCCTCCAGCTCGCTCGGACTCTCGCAGTGTTCGCAGAACATCGTGACACTTGAGGGCGCTAGTAAAATGTCGTTATAGTGAGGACAGTCATAATAGATCGAAAGATCCCCGGTTCGAATCCACCATCAATCGTCATTTTTAATTCACTATTTTTTCTCTCCAAATTTATCTTTGGAACTATTTTTGATTGAAGGGGAAAAAAGAGTCCAACGACCTAAGTGTCTTAAAACAAGTGCAAGTGCACACTGGCCGTCTTGCATGGACGTCTTGCATGAAATGGTACAATGAATAATTATTAGTGGTCGTGATTGTCAATTGACAGCCCGACCCTATTTTTATTGGAAAATAATGAGACAAAAACACCCCAAACCATCAATTACTACCTTTTACCCTTGGACTTGACTACACACAGACGCATATGATCGTACACCAAAAAAAAAGGGGGGTTGAACCCCCCCCCCCCCCCGAATTGGGGAACTCGCACTAAAACCAATGCAACTAAACTAAACTCAGGATCTTATAAACTAAACTCAGGGTCTTATCTTAAGTTGAAAGGAAAAGTCGCGAGGAAATTTTATCAATAAAGACAGGAGACCAATTCTGGATTTCAAAACAAAAAGGACAAAAAGAATTTATTTGGTAAAGTAAGAACTGAAAATCAAAACCCAAATGGAAATTAACTAAAGATTTAAAAGAAAACCTGTGGTTTTACAGGGCGGCAGGGCGCATGGCTGGGGGCAATATGATGTAATTTGCATACAATATCAAATAGTTACTGTGGAAAGTTAACTACACTACTGGGATATAACAAATACATCAAAAAATACAAGTGATAGTGGTAAATGTGTAACCTAACTCCCTTCACCGGTTAAACGAAAACTATCCTATGACTGGAGCCTCACATCAGTGACCCTTTGGTAGTTAGTACGAGGTAAGGGGAAACATTCACAGATTTTTATCTAGGTTACGCAATGTTCATCCATTTGCACCAAACAGTTGAATTTATTGACAGTACTGTCTAACAATATAAAAACCCACCACATATATCTTTCGAAAATAGAAATGAAACTTCTATAGACTTCACATGGTGACACAGTGTTTGCCATTATGACCTTTATTTAACTCTCCGGTAATGGGGAGAGTTTTTGAAGAAAAAAACCCCAAAACGACAATAAACGGAAACCTTTAACATAGTTCCTATAGTCAGGTTACTTATATCCAATTTTGACGATGTGACCGACTGGTCAAAAGCACATTGGCAGATATGATTTTTCTAGCCCTACAGGAAGGGTGACACCTGCCCAATTTGCCTAATCTTTACGGCCCGTAGAGTCTTGCAGGTGCTTTCACCCCTTACGGAGGCTGACACCGTCCTGACTACTATGTGCCCAGTCGGGAAGTAACTTAATTTCCTTTTGACAAAAGCACCTTCCCCTTTAAATTCTGCGTCACCTTCCTGCTTTGGAAGTTAATATGTTTGGAAGTTAAATCTCATTTCATATAAATATGAGCAAATTGGAAAGGACAGGATTATTTTTTAGATGTGGGTCGACGTTGGTGATGATAATGAACGTGAAAACACGTAATACACGTTGACCTTGGAAATAACTACAACCACTTGCACGATACATCCATTGCTATATTGCGACATCGAATCAGGACACACAAAGGAAAACAAATCCTATAGGGCTTATTATTGGAAACGAGGTTGGAAATAAAGTAAGCACTGGGGACAAGGTTGATAAAGGGGTACTGGACCTACTGCCTAACAAAGGGATAATCCTGCGGGTGCACCCGAGCATTCTCCTCTTCTGTAGTAGGTCCTTCGGGGGCTATTAAGAAGCTTGCACATTGTGCAAACGTTGCAAAATGTTTCCCCTCCAACACACACCGGGTTCCGAGCGTCTGAACATCCATTCCGTATCTTCTTCTGGCAGGCTTCCTTCTGCAAAATTGAGCGGAAAAAAAGAGATTGGCCTACTTAACTTGGCCTCGATTTTGGAAAAGGCATGTGAAGTGTTTGCCTGCGCGCGTGCGCATTGCCCACTTAACTGCCACTAGACAGTCCTATGGTCAAATATGATCTCCCATATGCAATATTTCAGGTACATTCTTTGAAAATTTCAGGGGTTATTAATGAAACACTATAAAACTAAATCCACTTGATGTCAATTTTTCTACCCCAGTTTGTTTTTATTCTCGTGATGTAGCATAGGGTGAGTTGTCTCAATGCGAACAAGAAAAGTTAAATTATCTGAATGGTATTTTTTTTTGCTCGCGAAGCCCCCACTTTTTAAGGACATAGCCCCGCCCATAAAGGGGTAAGAAATATGACATCAAAATCAAGTGGAGTTGAACTAGTCATGGGTCAACGTTTAGTAGGCGATTAACCAACACTGCGGCAACCCGCCGCGCGCGGCGAAAGGGCGTTATCATGACGAACCGCTTTCACTTCATTCGAGGGTGCAGACCACGTACTACATGTAAATAGGCCCAACATTGCACGCGGGTAATTTTTCCCCCTTTTTTTAGGGGTGATCATCTTCGGATGGAATCTTCTCCCAAAGATCATCAAATTACCACCCAAAATTGAACAGAAAATGAAAGATGATGACATGAGCTTTAATTTGATGGTCTATGTCTCGAACACTTTGGAGAGTTACGAGTGTTTTTAATAATTTTTGGAAGTGCGTGTAATTATCAGGGCTGAGGTCATGGGAGTCGATTTACATGTCTCTGTACCCTTCGTGGGTCACGTCACGCGGCCGGCGGTGGGTTATCGCGGCGGTGGGTTATGCGTAAACCACAATAATGTCTTGCTCCTAGACTAGTTTTGAGCTTGTGCGTTGTCATGTAGCATCTTTCAATGTCATTTCGTGCCTTCACCTTCACAACAACTTATCTGGCAACGTATTATACTCACCGTAATCATGGGCCGTCTACACTCACCGGGCTGGGATCCCAGGCTCACAACTGCAAACAATCAGACATAATACGATACCATATAGATCAAGGTTGAACGAGTCTTACCACGCACGTAGTACACTCTACAAACTTCTGGGTTCTTTTTAAATAAATTCATCTGGATTGTTGGTAAAAACAAGAGATAGGTGATTTTTTATTACCGACAGAAAACCCAGAGTATATCTTCAGTATCCCCTTCACCAAAATTCAGGGTCATTGGAACCCTCTTGGATGTGTGATTCGTTGTGACATGTAGAGGAACTGAAAGCGACATACTAAGTACAAGAGGAGCAACACACTCGCGATTCTCTTGCCTTATGTGGATATCCCCAATGCTCAAAAGATAAAGTCAAAGACAAAATCAGTGTCAAGAACGGCCACCACGAATACCACCAAAAGTACTAGAACTGAAACTGATCGTACGAGGGATGGTTGTCATTCCCTACGTACAAGGACTCTCGGAACGCGTCTCTATACATGTAGTGTTTAAATAACACCGTTTCACGACGGTCCGCCTTCAGACCTCATCGCACTTTGCGCCAATTGTTGGTCCAACCCAAGGACAAGTTTGAACCTGAACAAAAAAAACGAATCACCTATCTCTTGTCTTCTGGGCTCTATTTGGCGTTTTTTCCCCTCTATCCCTCTCCTGGGTAACAAAAATGACACTTTCCCCAGATTGCGGGTCAATTTGACGTGGGAGTTCGGAGCGTATAATAGTCAAGGCCCAGACCCAATTTTCTTCATCACGCAATTTGAATCAAAAATCAAATAGCAAGCTTTCCCTAATTTCTCAACAATTATGGTATGTTCCAAATTGTAAGGCTAAAATAATAATAAACCTTTCGAACGCGTTAAAAGCGCGCATGTGGTCAACACGAAGATCTAATAAACACCGCTAACCTTGATGCCTTTGAATGACACAAAACCATTTCTCATCCTTGTGAATTTCTGTACAGTGAACATTTGGGTACAGCTATATAATTATGTTGTAAGTCTGGCAAGAGTGAAGTTAATTAATGATAGTGGAATATAATGCAAAACTAATATAGAGGAATACCACACGGTCGTTTCAAGTTACGCAGAAAGCTTACCCAGCATCACGCAGACAAGCAAGGCGAACCGACGCATCTTCTTCTGCAGTGTTTTCTAGTGACAGTTGATACACGAAGACTCTTCGTAGTGTAGCAGACAGAATGGGTTAGCTGAACACGGGTGACAGCCCAGGTCTCGATGTGAACCAGCGTGCTATACTGCGGACTTTTATCGATTTCTGCCACTTGTTTTGCCCTATTAATTAGTCAGTGAGATTATGCATGCTTCACAACCATATTTCGGCGTGTGAATTGGTAAATATATGGAGTATCAAACAGATTAATACTTCGGGAGGGACGGATGGAACTACACTAATACGAATTTTATTAAAACAAATGGAGAGAACAAATTCCGAGTGCCATATAATTGATCCTTACACCATCTGCAGACGGAATCGAGAGACCTCGTTGGTTCATGCCTTAGCTGCGCACCTTGCTACGTCTAAATTAGTGACACTGAAGAAGCGCAACACGCCGCCGTTTTGTCATGTTGAACATTTCGAATAGGCTTCGGGACAAAAACGTATATATATACTCGAAGTTTGTCGTAACTGTTAAAAACGGATGTTGCCAAAAATAAAATTGTCGAAAGACAAGGGAGTAAATCAAGGGACTTTTTGATCAGGAGAGAGGGGCCATTGGAGCCGGTTTTAAGGTTATCTTGTATCACTATCTGATAGTCCAAATGTATTATAATTCAGAAAAGCAGAGAACAACCAGTCAAAAAGCTTGAAATGCACCAAATCTGAGTTAGGCATTATGCATCAGTCGCGCAATTTTGCATAAGCTGTACATTTGGGCATAAACAGCGCCCCTAGTGTCATTGTGTTGTCCACCCCCAACCCCCTCCTCTCCCACCTTCCTAGTCGTATTTTCACCACAGGGTAATAATGGATCTCACCCCCCCCCCCCCCCCCCCCCCTCCCCTCCATTCGCCGATGCGGATTAAAAAGCAACCATTGTGGGATTTAAAGTGAAGTTCGAACCGCATTATTATAGCTGCCACGTTTCGGCAGTTTTACACGGGTACGTTTTGAGAAAATTAATGTCGATAAATACTCTGCAAGTATTTTTCCCTATAATAGAGTGAGTTTATTTCTGATCTGTGCACGAGGTACACGTACAAAAAAAAACACCATGGCAAACTTCGTTGTAGGATTATTATAGATTAATTATCATTTCCAACCACCCACGCGCTGCTCATATTAAGCTTTACTCAAGTTCCTTACGGGTATTATTTTAATTCCTAAAGCTGTGGATGATCAAGAGCCGAAGTATTTTACATGTTTATATTGACCGATGTTTAGCATTCCATATTAAATGACTTTGTAAAACTATAATCGTTGTTGTTGTATGAATAATAACCCCACTATAATAGAAAATTTTTGGCAGCCCGAATTAATTGCACTTCGTACAGGATTTTCCCAAATAACCCCATATTGGCAATATAACGACTATGGGCCCATGATATCATTGCTTACATTAGAACGTCCCCATCCCTTTTCCGTCTTCTTTTAAAAACTTGTCATTTCTGTTTCGGTCTTTGACTAGTCCCCAGTCGACTGGGGTTGATTGTATCATAGCAGTGAGTCGAAAGCTTCCTTGCAAAATAAAATGACCAACTGCTTAATCGGCGTCGCATTTTTTGGGCGTCGCATTTTTAAGCTCTGGCAGGGATCGATCTTTTGGATATGTTTTTAAGACTTTCATGCAAGACGGCCAGATCTTATATTGTGCACTCGCACTTGTTACTCTCTGCTGCTTTTTTGCCATACCTATTAAAGGTATAGTCCATCATTTGTAATTTGTGCATTTTGTTCGTTTGAAGCAACAACAGAGTTCAAAATCTAATGAAGGATACTTAGCAACTAACCTGATGAAGTTTCAGCTAAGCTTCAGCTGTACATTCCGAGAAAAACAGCATTCTAAGATCTCAATTTCAAATCAAAAGTTGCTGAATCATGTTTTGAATTGTTTTGAATTGCAACTATACGCGACGTCGCGCACTGATCCGACGAATTATAACAACCGCGCGCGCGTGTGCGTCGTTCGAATACTTGTGCGCGCTTCGCTGAATAACAAAACGAACTAATAATTTAAATTTTCCTACGGTGCTTCTTAAGAATCACCATTGGAAATGCCTTCTTTCGTTGACAAAATGACAGCTTCCCAGAAAGAATAATTTCACAGGGGGTTTAGTCCCCTTACTATCTTTCAACCAAGTTAGTTTTTCAACAATAATTACGCCAGTTACTTCTCGGATGGCTGCAAATGATGGACTCTACCTTTAAGTCAGTAATACATTATGCGTCCTTTACGACCATAATATTTTGGCGTGTACTGCGTTAATCCATGGATTATCAAACGGATTTACACCTCGGGTGTGATGGACTCATAGAAATTTAAATCAATGGAAATTTTATCCAACTGCTTCTCTAATTTTATCGATCACTACCATCTGTGGACGGAACCTTGACTCTTTGCACTTAGGCCCCCCACGCCTTCGTAAGAGAAAAAAGAAAAAGGCGTGTACTGCGTTAATCCATGGAGTATCAAACGGATTTACACCTCGGGTGTGATGGACTCATAGAAATTTAAATCAATGGAAATTTTATCCGACTGCTTCTCTAATTTTATCGATCACTACCATCTGTGGACGGAACCTTGACTCTTTGCACTTAGGCCCCCTACGCCTTCGTAAGAGAAAAAGATTGCAAACCACTTATCTTGGGGAGGGCGAACTACAGGGGCGCTTCTTAGCTTTAATATTTTAATAATAATCACACATAGGGCAACTAATCGGAAAGCGGCAATTTCTCTGCCTACCACCCTAACCAAGAGCACTGGTGTCAATTGAGAGACCTCATAAATTTGAAAAGTCCCTATCATTTTTTTCTTCTTCTTGTCATTTCCATTTTTGTCTTTGAAGAGGTCGACTGTAGCCATAATTAGAATGCTTCCTTACAAACAGCTTATGACCCAGGATTGTCTTTATAATGATAGTGTGGGAGCTGTATCATGCGAAATATGCTGGTACCCACTGCCCTATCCAAGAGCACTTGTCAGCTGACAAATTCTTGACTCGAGAAGGCGTGAACTCCTTGTACTACACGTGCGTTCGACTAGCTCACCCTGATCGACTCGGTAAAGGCTCGGACTGATTCTTCCTGTGATTCATGGGCGTCGCCAGGATTTTTTCTAGAGGGGGGCAAAACATATTTCCCCCAAAAAATTCCTGTATTGCTCAACATATTCTCGATTTCTCAGTTTTAGAGGGGGACAGGGACATTTTGCCCCCCCCCCACCTCGTTAAATTTACCACTATGACTTCGCGCCTCTCTTTCTTTTCTTTTTTTGTTTTTGTTTTTGTGTCCCCCCTTCCCCCCCCCCCCCCCCCCCGCGACGCCCATGCTGTGATTGTGCCTCTTTTCCGTCATTTTGAAAAAGGAACGAAGTCGGGCTGTAGTTCATGGCCTCTAAAGTCAGAAAGAGCTCAATAAATATATACGTTGAGACTTCAAAAGTTGATTTTGGGGTCCACATTCCAAACCCTTCCAAAAATCACTTGACTCAGGCGGCTTACCACGTTAGTGAAGGAACGCGCAGTCGCACACGCGCCAATGGAGTCGAGAGGGCGTTCGAGCTCGAGTGTCGACTGGTAACCAGTCTATCCTTTGATTGATCGAGCGCCCTCAATCGAAACTCGAAAGAAAACCAACCGGCGAGAATCGCCTACATTTGGTAAGAGATCAGGAACTAAGCTGCCAAGGAGGTCGTGAAAAAGGTAAATAATCACATAGTTTCGAGGGGAAAAAGCTTTTGAAATTCAAAAGTAGACTTTTTAGCATTAGTTCTCAGAATCTCAGAATCTCAGAAAGTTGACTGGAAATCGCCGCTTTATCGTCAAGTGCGTTTTGATGGACACTCGAAAATTCTGCAAAAAAGTGCAAGATGGTGATATCTGTCTAAAGTGTCATGTTGCTGTGCAAATATAAATGGAAATGGTCTAAAATTTAGTCAGTGCTTCGTCATCAGAACTGTTTCCCCAGATCTTATCAGTACAAAAATAGATAGGCCTAGCGTCCCTCTCACCCTAGGCTTTTATTAGAAAGGAAATAGGAATTTTACATGATCTGGAATGGAAATTTATACGTGGCGTCAAAAACAACGCCATGCGTATTACTGAAATAAATACTGGGATGTTGGTAAATGACAGTCTAAAGCTTCCTGTAAAATTATGGCACCTGGTGTGAAGTCATTTAAAAAAAAATTGGTATTTTTGTATAAATTTCCAATGGTGGCCGACCATCGTTGGAAAAACCTAACTATTTTTCAACTAGGGGGCCTACTGCTCCAAATTTACCATTTTTTTCTGTCCAAATTTTGTTTGCTATTGGTTACATGTTCATGAACGGGTGCAAGCCAGCTAGACATGCTAGACTGGTTCCCTTACCTTACAATTTTCTGGCATCTATGATACATTTCATAATAGTGGAGTCAGGGATCCAGACTACTTGAACCTTTTTTTGTTTTTCTTGGTTTTTCCAGCAATTTCGAACACAAAACTTCAAACATGTCAGTGTAACAATATTTTGATCTATTATACTAACACCTCAACTACTTCATTTCCGAAAATTACAGTAAAAGTTAGGCCTAATGATGTACATTCCCTTTAAGTATGCCTACTTACACATGAGAAATACAGTGAATATTCCAATCAACCTAACAATTGCTTTGGCATTCAAAATTAATGTGACTTTTTGGAGAGAGAATAATGGAGGCGGGTCGGAACGTTTCCAACTTTTCATGATGACAGCTAGTCGGCGTCATCGCACCCAAAAAAACGACGGTTGTTTCAAGAATTCATGAGTGCAGTTGTACAAGGGTAAAAAGTGCACTTCACCTATTAAAAAATCCAAAGTAGGCTACGCAATTATTGCAATACCCATTTCAACAATGACATACATTCTGCTTTTCCAACATATTTTACTGCAGGTGTCCAAATATTCTTCATTGTCAAAGCTTTGTCAAAGCTTGCCATGGCTACCGGACCGACGGCAACCTCCATGCCAGACTCATCCCTCTCCCATCCCCAACACACATCCTGTCGAGAGGTCAAGCGTAGCTGGTATGACTTCCACTCAACCGTCAAGGCCACAAGACGACTGCAGACAACCCTGAGCAACCGGGTGCCGTCAGAGTTCACCTTCCAGACCATGCCGACGGTGGAAGGGGTCCGCACCCGACTCTACTTCCTTGGTGTCCCGCCTGGTAACCGGGAAAACACGTTGCTCTACTCAGACCTGCCAGACGATGCAAGTCTAGCCTCGGACTCGCTCTCACTTGAGCCTCTACCCTGGAACCCGCTGTTGGTGCCCTTCAGAGGGTTAAACCACATGGGTTTCTCCAAGGAGGAGCAGTTGCTCCGTGAGAGGAAGAGACTTGGCATGTATGGTATCACCACGTACGAGTTTGATCCAGAGTCCGGCAAGTTCTTGTTCCCTGCAAATGGCAGTCTTTTTACTTGCCACGATCCCATGCTAACGGTACAGTACAGTCTTCTTCTTAACAGTTAATCCCTCTGGGAACCGTTGTACATTTTTGTAAAGTATTTGGACCTGTAAATATTATACATGTATTTGCGATGAATGATGATTTTGTTTTGGGGGGATTTTGTTTTTGGTACCTCTTCTACCAGAACCAGCCAGTATTCCCCCGTGAGGTGGTCAGTCAGTGCCAGGGGGTACGTATGGATCCCAAGTTCTGCCCCTTCAACAGCGGCCTGGTATCTTTCATCAACAACAGTGACCTATGGGTGACCAACACGAACACCGGTGAAGAGAGGAGGTTGACCTTTGCCCATAAAGGTACTCAATGGCCCAGACTGAGGCCTGCAGTACTGACAAAATCTTCAAAACAACTTCTGGCCAAGTTAATTATTCTCTACCGTTTTTTATATTGTTTTGTCGAGAGCAGGTGCCAGCATGTGTGGCCCATGTTGACAGTGCATATTCGATCCATTCCAAGTTTGAAGAATCGCGTACTAAATTATTTGGAATGCAACAACCCTTATGTCAGTGGCAATTGGATGTGAGGTTTGAATGGACCTTTTTTGATTTGGACCTTTTTGTTCACAGGATTGCCTAATATAGCAGAGGATCCTAAGTCGGCAGGCGTGGCCACCTATATCATTCAGGAGGAATTTGATCGCTACACTGGCTACTGGTGGCAGCCCCAGCCCACAGGCGTGGTCCCAGGGACGGGAAAAGTCAGGTAGAAAGACCACACACCCCTACCCCCAGCCCACTCATCCCTCCCTCCACTCATCCCTCCCTCCACTCATTCCCCTACTCATCCCGTCCCACCCATGCACTCCCTCAGCCTACCCCTACCCCCTGACTTTGATGGTTACAAAATAGAACGTAGGAGCTTAAGTCTGACCTAACCTAACAACATTAGTCTGAAGTCATCAGTGGTACTTTGAGTCACAGTCCCGCAAATGGATCTTGCACAACAGAAATCAATTTGACCCTCAACGTCTTTACCAGCCCAATGTAAATGGTCATCAGGATAACAAACCGAGTATTAATTAAGATTAACAGCTGAGTGTTCTCCGTACATATGAAATACTCAAAAGTGATGGTTTGTCCTTATGACTCGTTTTCTGGGATGTGATCACAGATGATTAAGAATGATTTGAACTGTTTTTCCATATGAATATTGGCATGTACGTGTAGTTACAGAATATTGAATGAAATTTGCCATTATCTTTAAAAGTTGTGGTTGGAAATATAAACATGTACATTGAAAGGATCATTCTATAAATTGAGGGTCCAAAATGCGGCATTTAATTTGTCCCTATCTACATGTACCTCTTAAACTTTTTGGTTTACCACTCAAATATCATTAAGAATGAGTTCAAATTATTCTCATGTGTTGGGTAGGTATTTTGCTTCACATAATCTTCCTTACAAGAAAAAGGCATATAGGACTATATCCAGAATTTACAAAATCGTACATATCAGGATTGGACAGGAAAAAGTTGCCCCAACTTTCCATATCTATACATGTGTGAATGACAACTGTGAACTATTTTGCAAGACCAAGTAGTTTTGTGCAAGTGCTAATGGGAAATCCTTTTACTTTCTAGGATTTTGTATGAAGAAGTTGATGAATCCGATGTTGAGATCCTGCACATTGTCAACTCATCGTACGGCGAACACGGCGTAGACGATTACAGATACCCTCGTTCAGGTATGTTGGGATATTTCTGCTTTTGCGGTAAGCGGAGATGAAATACTCAGTAAGTTATTTATGGTTTAGATACAGGAATGCCAAGGTAAACAATGAAATTTGCAAAGTGAACACAATAAGAATTCTAAACATGTTTTGAATCATGAATTGTGTTATGTACAGTTATTATGTAAGGAACCAATAAATTGTTAAGAATTTGAATAAACTTGTTAAAATTAATAGAGTGGATGAGTTGACCTCAGAAATCTGCGAGATTTTTCGGGAAATGCTAACACTGAGTCTGTGATTAGAGTAATCAGTGCTTGATAACAAGATACTCACATGAATGGTAAAAGTGAACTGGCGAGACTTGCACGCTCTGTAATTGGGTCAACACAATGTCCTTGTTACCTTCAAACTTAAATAATTCATTTTCTTTTAACAGGCACAACAAATGCTAAAGTCACCCTGAAATTGGTGGAGTTCTCTGTGGACACAGAAGGCAAGGTAAGAAATGTGTGCAAGAAAGATCAAAATACTCACAGTCACATCAGTTTATAAAACCCAAACGTTTACCGATCAAACAATGCCAGGCTTAGCAGAGTTGTAAGTGAGTCAAGCACAAATCAATCACAAGTCAATTAACAGGTCATTAACAATGACAAAGAATGTCTTTGTGACAGTTCATTGAGTAGTTTTTGACTTGTTTTTGTCATAACCATTTGTACGTTTATCATCAGTGATCCTGATTATTTTTTTTTGTAGATCACTGATGTGATTGACAAACAGCTGAGTGAGCCACTGACTAAACACTTCCCCTGGGTTGAATACATAGTGCGAGTAGGCTGGACACCAGACGGAAACAAGTAAGCCATTGTAACTGTAGAGGGCGCTGTTTGCCTTAAGAGAGTTTCAAATTTGTGTCAAATTACAGGCTTTCAAATAAATGTGCAAATTTCAGTTATTTAATGTTGCCAAAGGTGAGATTTCAGAAATTGTTGGCTCGTAGTGGATATGTATGCAAAGTTCTTAGAATATATTTTCTGCTCATCCTCCTCATCCTGCAAGAAGTTTTTATGGTGGTGATTCTCTTAGTGGAACAGCAAACTTTTCAGGAATCCATAGTGTATCCGAGTTAGCAGCATGCCAGTGTACATTGTGAATATCAAATTGAAGTCTAGTGTCCTGACTTGTTTTTGTTGGTTCCTATGCTTGTTTTCACAGCATGTGGGCCCAGCTCCTGAACCGTAACCAGCAGAGCACTGCAGTTATCCTGATTCCGCTGCAGTCATTTGTTGCTGTCAGCAGCGACAACGAAATGCAGGAATTGGGAGATGGCTCCACTGAATCATCAATCAGAGTGCTGTATGAAGAACACTCAGACCTCTGGATTAATGTAAGTTGGGAAAAACTCAAAAATTAGTTTTTATTTAATATTTTTTCAAAGTACATAATCTCTCTTGCACCTTAAAGTACCGGTATGTGTACAAAATGTACCCCCCAAAAATAGAGCCTTATTTGGTATAAATACTCACACAGGTCAGTTTCAGAAAAGCTGTTATCTTGTCCCCAAATTTGTGAACTTGTGGGGACAGTATTCAACCTTTGCTGAATGACCACTCTGCATTGTGTTACCATCTTTGTACGAGAGTGAGGTGGCTAGTAAACCAAAGACTCACTAGCAGGTTGCAACAATTGATAGGCGCATAACTAAGCCAAAAAACACTTAATTTTTGTTACTATAACATCTTCATCCTTTCCATTCTTGTCCTTGCCAGGTTCATGATGCCATTCATTTCTTCCCACAAACGTCACCAGATGAAATCAGTTTCCTGTGGGCCAGTGAAGCGACTGGTATCCGGCAGTTGTACTTCATCACATCAGCCCTGCAACAGCCTGGTGCCATACCAGGTCAGTTTTTGTTTTGTTTTTAGAGCTGCCAAAATTTCACAGATTTCATGAGATATTTTCTGCAACATAAAAGTATATTCTAAGCACTGTGTTTAAACTTACAGTGCTATGAAATTCTGCCCTGATCATGTTGTCATATTTTGATTTGTGTGATGTAAAATAGGCTTCTTTGTGTTTGTAATGTTTTAAAGGAAACCTCAAGCCAGCCATTTTACAGTACAAAATGTTGACCTCTGGCAAGGGCGAGGTCATAGGTCAGCAGCTGTGGGTTGATGAGGTCAGCCAGCTGGTCTACTACAAAGCTCTGCATGACACGCCCCTAGAAGAACACATGTGAGTATCTTGAAACGGAACCGAGTAGGCTGAGAAGAACCAAAATGTCCCTCCCAGTGGTCTTCCCCAACTCTCCCTTCGTAACCCAATGCTCCCTCTGTAACCATTGAGGGGGTACTTGTGCACAGAATCAGGATTAACCTTGCATCATTTGTTGATTAATTTCAGGTACGTCGTGTCCTACCAGAACCATGGCCCACCAGTTCGGTTGACTGAGCTTGGCTACAATATACAGACTGTGGTTCTCAGCCCGGTAAGAACTGACATCAAATACATAGAAAGTTATAAAATAGACAAAAAATAGCTGGTTTTTTTTTTTAAAGAATACTTCAAAATCTTACCCGGAACAATGCAAAAAATTAAGTATCTTTTGTTTTAGTGTTCTGATTCCATTGAGGATTTTTAGGATGAGAACTAATGTTTTGGAAATGAATATTTGGTTGATAAAGTAACGGCGTGAGGTCTGAACCTCCAACCTCTTCACCACTGTTGCAGTGCTCTATCCACTGAGCTGTCCAGCCATTTGTTTGCATTTCCAAGTTATTCTAAAGATTACAGATTCAAATCCCACTTCGGTAATTGGTTAAAATAATGCATTCTGAGGTCAGATATTAAGGAATTGGAATTGATCATGTTGAGTTGTTCATCTCCACAGGACCAGAGATACATGGCATGTGTTCTGAGCAACCTGACCACACCACCATTCAGCAGCATCTTTCGGTTGTCAGTGACTGGTTCCCAACCATTGAGCATGGATGCCAAGCCTGTGTGCTCATTGCTTCCAGCATCAGGTATGCAGGGTTAGACTTGCAAGTTACCATCAGAATTTCTTTTAAAATCTGATTCAAATGGCAGTTTCTAATTTTAAGCACTCCACAGACACTGGGTTTGCACTAGTGTGGCCTGTATCCACTTTGATAGGCATGAATATTTATATCAGTTTTGTGCAGAGCATGGGCATAAAATGAACAAATAGGCGTACATTTTGTGCTGACATGCTCCTCACCACTTGACTTCATTTTAACTTGACTTAAACTGGAGTTGAATTGCAAACCTTTTGAAATTCTCAGGATACCTTCTTTTTTTATTTTTTTTTTGGGGGGGGGGTTCTATACTCACATTCCTTCCCTATGGCTTTTCCTTTTTTCAAATAATTTAAAATTTGATTATATTAACTTGGACTCGATGGAATATTCAAACTGCGCTGATCAAGTTTAACATACACCGGCCTAAACTGGCCCTCGATGGGGATTTGCTTGCCCCTAAAGATGTAAAAACAAGTGGCAAAAATATTACCAAAATAGATATAAAGAAAAGATGGTGGAATATTTTACCAATTTTAAGAAGAAATTTGAGCGAATATTTCTTGTCAAGTTTTTAAGTTATGGGCAGTTCTAGTGCATGTGGACAAAAGTGTGTAATTTGACAAACGATAGAACCATGCAACATAAACGATTAAAAATAACATCATGTACGTGTTACATCATCTCCTTGAGACCACTAACATTTTCAAATATTTGATTTAAAAAATGCGGTTCCGATATTTGGTTGATCAAATATTGGATTATTCGGTACATTCAGCACAGCCCTGTTCCCTAGTGGAAGATTTTTAAGGTTCATGGTGAGTGAAGGATAATTATATTTCAGGGTTTTTTTGGTCAGACTTATACAATGAGGATTTGACTGTAACATTGAGCCAAATGCCAGACCATTAAACGTTACAAATTATTCTCTGTTTTAAAAAATGGATTTGTGTAGCTGTAGCACCCACCTGCATCCCACCAGAGCTTTTCTCCTACACCAGCTCAGCCACCGGGGAGGATATGTACGGGCTCCTGTACCGACCCCACACTGTGCCAGACCCCAGCCAACCACCCTGCCAGCAACACCCCACGGTACTGTTTGTCTACGGCGGGCCTCAGATACAGCTGGTCACCAACTCCTACAAGGGGGTCAGGCTGCTGCGGCTACAGACGCTGGCCTCGTTGGGTTATGCAGTGGTGGTGGTGGACAGCAGGGGCTCCTCTAGGAGAGGCTTGAAGTTTGAAGGAGTGCTGAAGAATCAACTGGTGAGCATCTGCAGGGTAGTCAAAAGTCCTTACAAGTCAAATCACAAGTACAGCGGTGCTGTCATTTAGTCAGTCACAACGTACATGTACGATGAGTCATCATTGACTTACAATTCATCTTGACTCAAGTCAAGAGACAAATTACTGAAATCACATACTGATGACAAATTTTTTCGAATCAGTATTTGTGACAAAGAATTTATTTGTTATTATTCATTCTGTGTTAGTTCTGACGTCACTTACCTCATTAAATTTTTGACTTGTGACGGACCTGTTAAGGCACCAATCAAAGTTTACACGGCCATGCGTCAGCCTAAATGGAATGTGCCGGTCTGGAATTACATGGGTTGCATCCAGATTTGCATGCGCCTGTCAAAAATGGACAGGGAGCTGAAATATTACGAGCATCATGTGTGCATCAATATATATTTTTTAAGGTAGTTGACTAGCTGAAATTAGAAAGACTTCAAAGGTACAATTATAGCCGATATTCCTCACAGAAGATCTCAAATTATCCGTGTAAAGTGACTTTCAACTGAAATGTAGCATTCGACAAAAAAATAGAACCACGCAACTTCTACAATTTAAATAGCAACACGGACGTTTTTCGTCATCTTCTCAAGACCATAACATTTTATGATTATTCAAATCGGAAAATGCTATGAGAATATTTGGTGGATGACCCGAAATTCAACTATTTGGTGTCCTCGGCATAGCCTTTTCAATGATATGAAATTCTTTGTTTTGGATTGCAGGGTTCGGTTGAGATAGAGGACCAAGTAGAAGGCTTACATTACATAGCAGCCAAGACTGGCATCATAGACCTGAGTAGAGTTGCTATCCATGGCTGGTCATACGGAGGTTACTTGTCTCTGGTGGGCCTGGCCAAAAAACCGGGCGTCTTCAAGGTAGGTACAAAATATGCTCAATGGTTCAATGTTTCATGGAGAACTGAGCTTGTTTCTGCATTCAATAGGGGACATTGAACAATAGAGGACAATAGGGTCCCCAATTTTGCGATTGTGTACAAAACATATGGGAGTTCTTCCTAAAAAGTTAGGGTACAAACAAAAGAGGGACAATAGGGGGTCAGCGTTGCAGGCAAATACACACTTGTGTGGATTTGCTTACTAATGGTTATCATATTTCATGTGGTAGTAGGGAATGTTGGCTGGTGTGCATACATACACCCCATAACCAAGGTTTTTAGTGAAGAATTGTTGTGGAAGTCTTGTAAAGTACTGTACTTTAAAATGTTAAATATGCACTATGTCAAAGAAGAACAAACACAGCTTAAAGATGTCTACCATATTTGAAGTGTTTGTTTGTTGTTTTTGTTGACGATAGGTTGCCATAGCAGGGGCACCAGTCACCTGTTGGAGGGAGTATGACACGGGTTACACGGAGCGCTACATGGACACGCCCATCAACAACCCAGCTGGCTATGCAGCAGGCTCAGTACTCAACATGGCCAAACACTTCCCTGAAGAGTGAGTAGCAAGCAAGGGTGGGGCAAGGAGGGGGAGGGGTAGGGTTTGAAGCAAAATAGCCACATATTTTTTTGTTTTTTAATATTGAACACCTGTAATCTAATAAATAGAAGATATTGTTATATGGAAACACTCACATGGAATATTTGTTGACAATACTTGTTCTTTAAATTTGATTTAAAGAGAAAACCGTCTGTTGATTGTCCACGGCCTCATCGATGAGAACGTCCACTTTGTCCACACCAGTCTCTTAGTGGATGAACTAATCAAGCACTGCAAGCCATATCAACTACAAGTGAGTAACAGACAAGCATTTCTAACATGTGCTTATGGCTGTTTGCTTGTGAGTATGTCTGCTTCTGTATTAGTCAGGTCAACAGTTATGACGTAACACTGAAAGAGAGTTGGCGGGAAAATCTACCCACTACCATGCACATATTTTGTTTTTGTATCAAGCTGCGACATTCTTTCCAAATGGCTTGCTCACGTTTTACAAATCCATTAATGACATTTTGCCGTAGACTTCCCAACAAGTATCAAATTTTCAAATATAGGGTACCAAAACATGGCAATTTTAGAATAGTGCCATTCATGTAACGATGGAACCCTAACCTTTACATTTATTTTGTTGTACTTTGTCTGACAGATCTATCCACGGGAGAGACATGGCATACGTCGGCCTGAAGCTAGCGAGCATTATGAGACCATGTTACTAAGCTGGCTGCAGGCTCACCTATAGCAAGAACCAGAGAAGAGGGCGTGAGGAAAAGAATCGGGTAGAGGGGTGGGATAGCTTGAGAGACACGCCCTCCTTAAGGTTTACATGCATCTGTAAATTGTAAGACGGACCCCATGATACCCCCCCCCACCCCGACATGATGCATCAAGAATGCGTCAAGAGTGCGTCATGTTCTTCATGGCTGTGACACAGGGATGTGTTACTGACAGGGTGAGTCACTTTTCCTCAGAAGGTGCATTACGATCTTTGAAATGTGGGTCAAAACTGTCAAATACATGCAATTGTGTGTTAAAAAGCTAACGCGGAGGTTTGTAGATTCTGCAAAAGGAGGACCCACTGTTGGACAATGACACACCATTCCCGGAGGTCATGGGATGCGTCACACAATTGATAGGTGCATTACTACAGAAGAAATGACGTTATAAAATCAGCTCACTGTATTTTGTTGAAAAACCCCATCACAATGTACAGAGATGCCACTTTTCCGGTTTTAACCGGAATTCCGGTGTGTTTTTTTAATCTCACAAAATTCTGGTTTTTTCGGCCGTCAAAAGAAACTGCAAAAAGAGAAGAAAAAATGTGGAAATGCGTTGATTTTTACCTCGTTAGCGCTCTCGAGTTTACATGATGTAAGGATTGCGCAGGCACGGCACAACGTTGTTCGTTGAAGTAGTCTTAAAAACAAGTCTTTGTTTTTGCCGATCCTGCATGCGATACAGGCGGCCAACGTTCTCGCATGCAGTATACAATGGCGCCTCGCGTGCTGCACTGCGTGCGGGCGTGTTGTGTGCTAAGCACACAAGGCATTCAGCCTGGAAATCAAGTCTATCATTTCAGTTATCGGTGGTTTCCGATCGCAGTGAAATATGTCATGCGATCAAGCTAAATGAGTCGTTTGTCGACCCAGGTCAAAAAAATTTATTACAGACTTGAAAAGAGCACAATCTCAGCATTACTGCTGTGAAAACTGCATGCTGATACCATCTTTATTTAGTTCAAAAATTATAGAAGTCGGAACACCAAGATATGTGATGAAGTGATGTGATGAAGTGGCCCTATTTTGGCCTGTATCTCCAAATGAAAATTCCCAACAAACGACTCATGTAGCTTGATCCCATTACATATGTGAATACAAAAAACACTGGGTACCAACCATGTTTTTGTCGTGCGCATCGCGTAGTGCAAAGGTCATGTACACCGACAGTGTTGTGGAATCGTGCATGTTTCGTGTCAAATATTATGTTGGAAATTTGGGTAGGCTTAATAAAAGTAGTGATTAGTATGGAAAAATTCAAAGTGATTGAACGAACCAACAGCTTAAAGGCCATAGACAAGAGAAAGATGACAACCGGGACTTTGTGTCAGAGTGGCTTTTTCACAAAAAATAAAGGTACGTTTTTTTCAACCAGACCCAGTTCCGTTTTTTTCAAGCAGACCAAGTTCCATGTTTTTTCAAGCAGACCAGTTCCGTGTTTTTTCAAGCAGACCCTGTGGCATCTCTGAATGCAAAACACATGAAGAGTTCTGGGCACACAGGCTGGGTGTATTTTCCCGAAGAAAATTTTGTCACAGGTGGCATTTTTACATTCTAAAAGACACCAGTTTTTGATGCAAACTGCTTATTCAAACACTTGTCTGCCATTCCTGCTACCAGACTTGAAGTTGAACCCATTTTACTCCTGGACGTGGAGAGGCAATTTGTGACAAATCAAACCCTTTTTCCGGTTTGTCTTTACGTTTGTGAGCACTGAATCATTTTAAAATCAATAATTACATTGCAAAAATGCATTATGTTAGATAATCTTTATTGGCGTGTCAGTGTTTAAATTAACAACCCAAAACTGAACAATTGCTTTTTCAGAAGATAGCATTTTCATATGGGCAATTCCATCGTTATGGACGTAACATTTGAAGCGACAAAATAAAATACTTGCAGCAAAAGTAAATTTTATATATTTGGCACAACCTTAGCTTGGGCCTTAGTGTACAATATGACATTGTTAATGTAGTGTTAGATAAATTAATTAGTTAGATATAAGCTGTGTAAACAAATGTTACAGACGTTGCGCTTTAAGACATAGCTTTTTTATTTTCAGTACGCAATGGTAAAAGTCTGTGAACTTTCTTGCAAAAATTTAATAAAATAAAATAAAATATGGTGTGTGGTAGATATAGCTTCACTCTATAAAAACACCAGTGACATTTTGCAAAAAGGTACTTTGGTGTTGTGGCTACGTTTTTGTTACGGATGTTACATTAAAACGTTGCGGATGTTACGTGTCTGAAATCAACTTCAAATATGTGATAAAAACATACTTAATCATGATATTGTAAGTTCTGTGTGTTATTTTTATTAAACATTCATAAATACCTCAGACAGTTTAGCAATTCCTATTGGTCGAGAGCCCGTCACGTGGCCGGTATTAAACGGATGATAAAGACATGGCTAGCTGGTCTTAAACACTTTTCCAGTGTCACAATAAAATGTGGACTCCTAAAAATCCAGTGCCTCTTATCGTTTCATTGGTTGAACGTTCACAATCCTCACGTAGGCATGCGCAACACTACCAGGGAGTTAGAATTTTATAGTTCTAAATTCAAAACGCAACGCGCCAGGTGCGTTCTGCGCGACATCGCGTAGAACATGATACGCGCGCGTCAATCTCCATAAAAGGGTTGTTTTCATCTTACTCGCCAGCTGAACACTCCATTATTTTGCAGGAGGGATGTTTCAAAAAGCATAAAGTGAATTTGTTGAACAAAATCGGGATGTTTTGAACGAATTATATGATTTTTTTTTACCGAAAAGGTATTTATGAATGGGAATAAATATGTACTCCGTCGGTATTTATCACTCTGTTTAATACCGCTTAGAGTCTGGGTGCTGATAATTACCCTCGCCTCCGGCTCGGGTAATTATCAGCACCCAGACTCTAAGTGGTATTAAACAGAGTGATAAAAACCTCCGGAGCACACATTTATTCCCTTATTAATCTTTCTCTCTGCTGTAAAAACAAAAAGTCACAGTAACACTTGCATTTTGCACGTGAAAACAAGATTCCAAAATGACTATCGGTACCTAAAATCTATAATTTGAGCCCCAATTTTTGACAAAAACATACATTTAACTACTTTCTATCTCATTGTCACACCACTCAAAAGGTCTTGTTGTCTCCTTTTATTTAATACCAAATTTGAGGTTGTGATACTTGTAGTTCTGAGGATTTCATAAATTTTCCACATTTTAGCTATGTTCACTTTCCATGGAATTGCCCATAGTTATATGAAATTGTATAATAACTGAAAGCCTTTTTAAATTTCTGTTACTGTTTTCTTTTTCTTTTTTGGTTTTGTGTGAATTTGTTTTTCTTCTGATCTTGCTTTCTTATTATTTTTCACACGTTAGACTTGATTCAGGTCACAAGAGAGCTGTTTGTATCATACGGTCTTTTTTTATATAAAGTGTGTACTTATAGAGTTGTATAAATTGCAAGCGAGTGATGTGTGAGTAGTCTGTCAAGGGTTGCTCATAGGTCCGTATTCTACTGCCAACATTGTGCTGTAGGGATTATTGAATAGTCAGGAAATAAGATCAGCAAGCTTTATTGGACACACATAAATTAGAAACAAAAATGTAGTTAACAGAATCCTTTCCTGCATGATATGTTTGTGATTGGTGCTGCAGGTTTGGTTCTTATTTGTGAAGGAGAGAGCAAGGCGTAGAAATGTTACACCCTAAATATAGCAATGGCCCCAACTACAGTTGGGATTGCCCCAACTACGGTACAGTTGGAATCGTCCCAACTACAGTTGGAACAGTTGGGAAGATAATACAGTTGGAGCGTAACATTAACAGTTTTTACCTAAACATGTGCTGCCTTTGTAAGAAGATTTCAATAAGTGTATTATTTTACAAAGGCAGAAGAGAAGCAAAGTCTGTTGTGTGGAGCGCCATTAAAGCATTAAAGCTATTAAATGTATGTTTTAACTATAAATAGTTTGGAACATATAACATATAACAAAGTTATTAATGATTAAATTACTTCTTTCATAGAGAATAGATTTGTTTTTACATTGGCTTAGGAAAATAAGTGTCCAAAAATACATGTACAATCTGTGAAACTCTAGTACATTATAAGTAGATTCAGTTTGCGAAAAAGTCATATTTTGTGCAATGGGTGTGATTTTTTCCCACCAAGTTAAATTTAGAAGTAGCTTTTGACGTGGGCATGTGATTATTTTTCAATTTTGGCAAAATTAAAATGGTCTCTGGGAAAGGTAATTATCAAGTACACTGATGTCAAATACTCCCCAAGTTACACCAAGCAATTTTTTGTCCTGATTTAAATTGAAGCTGATGTATTTAAAATAAAAACAACAGTATTTATCCTTGTTTTCAACTACGTTTTGTGTACAATTTTTTTTTTACAATAATCTTACCCAGAATTTTCAATACACTTTTATTGATAATCCACTAACAATGTGCTGCAGTAACAAAAGTGATATCTTTGTATTTATCCTTTTTTTTTAATTTTAATTTGTGTTTTGCTTGAGTTTTGTTTTGTTGAGGATTTTGTTTACCGTAAGAAGAAAACAAATTGGGGCCTATAATTAATAGTATACAGAAATTCAAGGCAATGTTGCAATGGCTTTGCTGTAGCTGTACTACGGCTGGATGATGAATGTGTGAAAGTTGATAGGGACAATGGTCACATTCCCAGTGGGTGAATCTCACAATGCCCTTATGCATGAATTATTTTGTAGAGGAAGTTTTGCCTAGACAGTGGTCAGGTTGAGTAAACATTGTATATTCTATCTCTGGACGATAGCCTAGGCCAAGTTAGTGTTTGATAACAAGAAAATGTATATTACTTCCCACATTGTTTTTGCATTGCATTGATTGGACCTGTTTATGGCTTGAAGCACACTGGATCATGTGCTATTTAGTACCTACTGATTTAACGACAGAAACCTTGCTCAAAGTGAAGATAGGACTGGTATCAAATACCCTGTGAAATTATTTCATCTGAAATAGTGTTGTTACGAAGAACACAAACACTAAACATGGTTTCAAAAATAGGCTGCCATCGGGCACACTTTTTTACGTGCGGCAATGGAATCCACTTTTGAGACCCAAACAATTGTGCATTTGTTTGTTCTGTTTTTTTTTCTCAACAAATGTATGAGCGTGGTCAGGTGCCACAGCGAGACAAACAAATAACTTGGTAGAGAGAGAAGATGTTTAGGCTTCAAGTAAATTAATTTATTGAGAAAGATCGGATCCATCTACATGTACTTATTTCTACTACTTTATTACTTCTTATTTTAGGGGCAATTTAGGGCTATGATTCAAGTTCTTTAATCAAAGTACTGAATAAAGGAATTTGTTGTAGAAATAAATGCAAGGAAAACAATTACTTAGGAGAAAATGCAAAGGGTGGGGCTCGGTGATGGTCAGTGTGAGTGGGGTAGCTTATGGTAAAAGCACCATAACTCTACTCCTAACCCAGGGGGGATTTAAATTAGTTGTCATACACTACAACTTACTTGGTCATTACATCAAAGCTTTCCCTTGCCACGCCCAGGCAAAACCTGCACAGCCCTCCACAGACAACCTAGCACAGCAGACTGAAGCATACATGGCTTTTTCAAATTCCATGCACATGGGGCTAAAAATAGCAATTATGCAAATACTGCATGCCTGGCTGGACTGATATACATGTACACTCAGCTCAGGGGGTGTGATGGATGAGAGGGGCAGGCTAAACCAAAAATAGGATGTGGGGAGGAACGGTAATTTGCACTTTTGTTTCCTCAAATAAAATAAGACTGCAAAAAGCAAATGATCCTATCATAGAGCAAGGACCCATGTACCCATATCTTTGCCAATGCTACACAACATTACACTGCAAACATAGTGCAGGGGACGTGCTTCTTTATGTAAACCCCTAAACTGAGTGATAGGACTGACCTCACAATTAACACTAAGTATATACATGTACATGTATAATCAAGATCAATTTGCAATGTAATACCCAAAGTGTAAATAAAGAAACAGGAAAAAAAACTTGAACTGCAAGTGGAAGACAGAATTTCATTCATGGTCCAACAAATTTGTGGCAATTTGTTTTTGTTGTACATGCAAGTTAATTTGACTTGCAATACCCTCCAGGGGGTGGTAACCCTATCGCAGTCCGGGCATTATGGATCAGTGCACTCTCCAATGAATTGAAGGCCTTATTATTGATTGAAACTTTGACCATAGAGGGGGCCCCTAGGCTAACATATTCCTCTCCATTCTTTGGTCTGATTGTTACTTTTATCAGTCCTCCAAGCTGCTGTCTTCTTGGTTTATTTTGCAATTTCATAAAAATTAAATCATGTTCGGTCTTCCTGAGCCGCTTGAAACCCAAGTTACATGAAAAAAGAGAGTTTTTGGCAATGTTTCTCTCAAGAAGAAAAATTCATAGCTTAATCTGACGATGGAGGAATCTGACAGATGTTGGCTTGGACAAAAATGTCTTCTAAACACACTTTTGATCCAAGAAAACTTGGAAATTGGCCATTTGTTTATTTCATTTTTAGTTATTTATTTGTTTTTTTTGCGGGACCTGAAATAAATATATAAAATATAATATCCTATGAAATCGTCTTCTATCACTCATATTCTGAATTTATTGCATGTGTATAAAATATAATATATATAAAATAAATATGTAATAAGTATCAAAATGAGTTTCAAATACGATTCCACGTCGTTACAAACAATATTTCGTTTCAAGTTTGAAAAAGCCTGCCCTTAAATGTACAGCAAATATGATGAAAATAATGCAGCAGTTACGGATGTCTCAACTTTTTGTATACATGTACTTGGCTCTACTAAAAGTGCAGCTCAAAACTATGTTTTTACTACATCAAACCAATCCTTTTTTGTAATCTGAATGGACAGGTTTCAACATGACCTGGTTATTTTCTGAAAGATAAAACTTTGGAACAGATGTTGAATTCTTCCAAAGTCGAAAAGGATTCACTTTGATCCTTTGAAAAGTGATACTCAAGTTCAATTTGATCCAGGATTCCAGTGAAGGTAATAAAATACCCTGAGCTTCAGCATACATAGGACCTGTCCCGGATGGTTTTCACAAAGGCATTTCGGCCAGACAGATCTGAATGCACATTAATATCTCAAGGTCTTGGCACAGAATGCAAGTTGTTCTTTTATTTAATGAAGGATTTTATTTAATTCTTTAAATGAAAAGTTGTCACTCATGCATAACAAGCATCCGGTGGATTGGTTACAGGGTGTTTCTCAATCATAACAGTGATATCAGAAATTTGGGAGTTCCGAATAAAACAAGTTATGATAAAAAGGCTTCAATTCATCATCCAGTCAGAGATTGAGAAGCTGCAGGGTCTTTGAAGGCGTTGGATTAGCTGGATAATCTGGGATTAAGGGATGATGCAGTAGCTATTTCGGAATCTTGGTTAATCTGCCTGGTTCCTATAGCGACCAATCTCAGCCATGGCCATCATTCCTATCATGCTTTGCAAATCCTGGATCAACAAGACAAAAGTGCCAATTTTATGTGATGTAGCTGGGGGGGGGGGGGGTGTAAAGGGTGTAACAGCCTGCTTCGGATCTCTTGAAAGCCAGGGAAATTGTGAAAATCTCAGGCGAGTACAGAAAAAATTGTTACATGCATCAGACGGACAGGCATTTCATAATGACAATACATGTATAAACAATAAATGGACGTTTCCTTGTCCAAGTAATATTTATTGCCCAGATTCATTTCAAAGGTATGAAAAAAAATTCTTCTGAAAAGACAATGTACAAATGAGTCACCTGAATTTACAGTATAAATAAATATCCAATTTACATCAACAACAATCAAAGCTTCTTCAGTTTGATTTGCTAAAAAAGAAAAAAAACCAATCTACCAAAACAGTGATTTTTCCGTAGACATGTTTACAATTTTTCTATCTCATATACAATAACAACAGCAAGTCTTTCCTATTATTGATAAAGTAAAGTTTGTCGGCTATAATATGATCTACAAATCATTTTGCCATCATTTTCATACTTCCAGCTGCAGTTACATGTATACAACTATGTTTTATTTTTAAAATATCTTATTAAGTCTCCACACATTTCGTCACATGATGGCAATTGTTTGAGTTGTTGGTTTGAAAAATATACTTCAAAATAAAAACAATGTATTTCACAAGAATGAAATTTACATGTTTCTACACACCTTTGTATATACATGTAATAGAAAACTACATAAAACCATTGGCCCTTTTCAATAATATTTTCTTGAAAGATAGATTTAGTGGTCTGCATCTTCACCAACTACACACAAATCAACTTAGGCCTATACTACAGCTACATCTAACGAAAGTTTTTCAAAATGAACATGTGCAACAAATTTATAGCAAACACGAACAACACATAGAAACAATATTTATCATGTCTTTGAAACATATACTGTAAATGTAGCTAATAATATTAACATATTTATAACAATACAAGTTTTCCCCTTTCTTTTAAAAATCTTTTCTTATGTGAAAACAAAGGTCTTAGATTATTCACATGCACACATAAATACTCCCCCACAACAAATTAATATTTACAAAAGTAATATTCTCATTACAATTGAATAATCACAAAGGTGAGGAAGAAATAAAAATACGATGTGGCAAATGCCATCAACATGGAATGCCAATTTCAAAATACTTCAGAAAGCGTGTCAGGATGTATCTTAAGTATCTACACCACAAATGTTTTTATGATAAGCTGTCTATCATACAGCTTTTACAGCTATAGAAAGTGACTTCAGATGTAAAAAACCCCAGAGTTGAATAGTGTGACCTTCTGTCTTGCAAACTGACACTAATTTCAGCAATGTTTACCACAAATCCCTTTTAAAGACATAACTCTCTAACTACTGAAACTCTTCCAATATACGGATTTCCAGAACATTTCAAAAATTGAACAGGAAACAATCTTGAAAACCCTCAAAATGTTGGGGGCTTCGTTTATTGATGCCAACATCTTGAGAGTTCATTGTTGTGAAATCGCTCTAGTTTTGTGTCAGCAAGTCAAACATGTATTAAAAAGGAAGAATTTTCAGTAAGAACCCGAGTACAGTGACCAGTGTTGAATCAAACGGTAGGAATGTGAATGTGTACAAAGCAGGCTGTTCTACATTGTTGTTCATTTTTTAAAATGCTACATGTAATACATAAGTAAAGTTTCTTTATTTTGTCTTCAGTTTGTCAGTTCCTAGCAGTGACCACACCCTATAGATCACACCCTTTCAACCTAAATAAAGACAAATCAATTTTCTTGAATAAGGCTTATGATTTAATTCACAATGCTTAGGATTTGTCAGAAACTAGCAACTTTAAAGCAATACTTGAGCTGTAATCAAAAACACCTCTGCATCATGTAAACTGAAATCATATCTTTACATTTACTGTTCACTGCCAGAATTAGCTTATGATGTTCTCTCACCACCAATGTAACTATCATGTGTGCATTCTTCTATTATGCATCTCAGTACAGATCTGACGGTTTCAAAAAAATTTGGGGGGAGGGGGGTTGATCCACGCAATTTTGATTCACCTAACACATGCAGTCTAAAATTACTTGCTGCTCTATCTATTCAAAATTCACAGGGAGATGGAGTCTTTCAGACATTGCACGTATCAATTCACTGTTTTCTTGCCAGCTACTGTGTGATTAAAACCAACAGAGTGCGTTCTACAATGTCCACAGACAGACTGACGCTGGATCAAGTTAACCCGAACCCAGTCCAACGCGACAGTGGAACACTTGTGCTGCATTGCCTGTTATTAGCGCGCACCGACAGTGCCACATCTGCAGAACATTAATTACTTTGGAACCAGAGATGATAGCGCACTGCATCGGATTTATCAAAAATAAGTTGAAAAAAAAAACATTGAATGTTAAAATTATGGAAGTTTGGATTGGGAAAAGGAGATTGTGTCAATGATTAGCCAAAATTAATCCAAGAATGGAAGTCATTGGTCTATTGAGGGAAGACTTTTTGCGTAGGAAGACTACAGTCGAGTCTCGTTAATACAAACTCGTTCGGACCTAGCCAAATTGTTTGTTATATCAGAATTTTGTACTAAGAGGAACATCAGTCCCATTCATTGTGCACATAAATGCACAGTCGGGACTAAGGCTTTATGTTTGTTATAACCAGAATTTTGTATTAACAGAGTTTGTACAAACGAGATTCGACTGTATTTATTTTCTGGTTTGCATAAAATATAGCTTGCTGTTTCCATCTGTAAATTGGCCATGGTTCTAGAGTAGTGGTGTGATTTGTCGGCTTTTTCTGTCAGAGGTGAGATTTTTCAGGATTTTTCCTAGATTCCTTTTTTGTTTTAATCCCCATTAAAATATGAAATTCCTGAGATTTTACAAAATGTACCATAAAAATTCAAACCCTGACAGGGAACATGGTGATTGTGTCCTTGGGCAAGACACTTTACTACAATTGCCTCTCTCCTGGCAAAAATACCTACATGTATTAAGAAAATACAAAACCTAACTGAGGCCGCAACCTTATAAAGACCTGATCAGGCTTGATCTCGAATGACGTTAACGACCCTATTTCTGGATCCGGACAAATTGAATTCTTGGCCCGACAACTGACAAGAGCATCATGCCATGTACATGCACATTGTGCAGATGTACGTATGTACCTTGTATGAAGTGAATAAATTGAGAACACTCAAGACAGGTATGTCTAGCATCTGCTGAAATTTCTCTTGCATCCAACATGTCTGGACTGACTAAACAACAAGAATATATTGAAACTGGTGCTCAGAAATCTATACTTTTCAAGAGTGTGTCATTTCAATAGCCAAGACTGCATACATACATGTATGTGCAGATTGCAACACCAACCTTTAAATTAACATACAGACACAATAACTATTCAACTAACAACTGAAAATAGAAGTACATGTATTTTACATGTACATGTGCTTACACCTCAGTACATGTACATGTACATTGTAGAAACTGATTATAGGTTGGGTAGGGGGAAAGAACACCCGTCTTCAAATTTATGATTAGAGATCCACCCCTAAATGACCGAAACTGACGTGATGTCTATAAATTTCTTCAGCCACTCCCAGCAGATTCAGTCAAATCTCAGTATTTCAGAACTTATTCTCCTGGTGTTTATGTAGAAGCGTCCACATTTTTTTACTAACTGAACAAATAACTTTATTATCCATATTACATGTATAATAAATAGTTGTAAAACTTGATATGTATGTATATGAGCCCTTTCTCAAAAGAAAAATATTTCAAAACAAAGTCTTAAAACTTAAATCTGAAGGGACAATGCCAACAGATGTGTACGTACAAATTAGATGCCAAAAAGGCATGTAAACTATTTACAGAGAGTTGTGTTAACAGTGTCTTTATGTACATGCATTTGTACAGTGAGCATCTTGAACATACTTGAGTATTAAAATGACCTGTGACTACTCCATTTCAAAATTTCAGATATTTCTAGACTTGTTACCGATGTATTCACTATGACCTCCATAGCAAAGGTTATCTGCTTGACGACTCTTTATCTGACAACCGAGAGTGGTTACAAGTATGCATCGTCATGCTGCAACCATGCCACACAACTTCAACTTCCAGAATACTTTTGAGGGTTATTCACATGACTTCCAAAATACCAATACACAAACAAAATATAAAAACTAGGAAGTATGTAAACTACGTAACCTACAAATCGTTCACTTGGTCACTTGGGAATGCTGACTTCACATCCATTTTAATGATTGTCATAACAAAACAAAACAAATAATATAATTTAATAATGTATGGCCTTATTTTGTTCATCAGGGAAACACTGTGCTATGGACACAAAAATATGTACACAAAAATATACATTTCATATAAAACATTTAAATGTAAACTTTTAAAAGTCATGGTATTCAGTTCAGTTCGTTACAAAAAACAAAACTCATGCTTTTCAGTTTTTAAACAAAGAATGTGTTCCTATTGCCTTTTCTTTTAGTGCGAGTGGAAAATGTTGCATCTGCAGTTAATATATCATTTTTATTTATTTCTAAAATTATACTGTTAAATAAAATGTTTTTGTTAAGTGTATTTGAAGGTGAATCTCTCACACATTGTTCACCCCAATGTCTGAAATCTCCCCTTTTTTGCACACGAAGTCTGATATTTGCATTTGGGGGTCTCAAATTCTACAAATCACTGCACAAATTCCTGATATTTCCTCCAAAAGGAAAGTCTTCCATTGTTCTAAAGAAACATAGTGTAAAGTCTTCGTAAAGTTGTTACTAGTTTTGTTTCAATTTTTTAAAAAGAGGATATTTCATTCTAGCTGCATGCATGCTTAGTGGCACGGTGAATTTGGACACTGATCTGTCACCATCCTCAGTCCGAAAAACATCCGTGTACACATTTCTTTCATCACGGCAGACAGATGACGTATTTCCCTTTCAGTATCTCATCTTGCACATCGTCGCTGGATGTTGCAATTTCGGCCTGCACGGACAACACTGCGCAGGCAAATGTAAGGAATGTGGCCGCAGCGGCAACGTAGAATGCCCAGCCCAGTGAGCATGCTCCAAACTGGAAGGGGGCGGCGTCCATACCGCAGAGCTCGGTGACGGCATCTGAGCCCCAGCCCGCAGGGTACATCACCAGACCCAGGAGAATCAGAAGACCTGGAGAAAAAGATTGGAGGACGAGAGAAGAGTCGGATTATATTGATGGAATTTTAGTCAAAAGAGAAGGTGGTGTTTTGGGGTTTTCAAAGAGAGGCTAACTAATTAATCTGCCATACACAGCAGAGTCAAACTTTTCAATGTCAAGAAAAACAGAGTGTCGCAGAGCACAACATCTCTGACCATCTTGATCCAAGTTGGATTTAGATTTTGTATCCCTAATGCAGCTGGTCCCCATACAATGATCTCACTGGATAGCGTGTTGGCCAATCCGAGCTGTCCAAACAAGTGAAGCTACACACTGGTTCCCAATCCCTCCATTCAAATGCGGGGAGGGAACCAGTCTCAACCATTCTCATTGTTCAAAAGTATTAAAATAGAGACCTAAAAGTATATTTTATAAAAATTACCATTTTTTTTCACGGTTGAACAAAGAAATTGAGTGGAGCAGGGTTTGAACCTGCGACCTCCGAATTGCCTTTTTTTCCTAAACAAAAATTTTATAAAAAAAGCTGTTTTATTGCCAGTTTGATTTCTTGAAGCAAACATATCAATTTGTTGAGTAAGAAGTGTACATGTATGTTAATTCAATAAAAAAATGTTTCTATACAAATACAACAAAAATGTGGGTTGTTCTTGGACAGTGGGCTTTCTAATAGCCAATGGGCTTTCCCGATTTTTAAATGAAGATCAGTGGTCCTGATCCCTAGCATGCAGGGTTAAGCTACCGGTACTGAGGAGGCAGAGGGCACTGTCAACAAGATGAATCAAACTCAGTCATTGGAACTTGAGGCACCCACGACACAAGACATTTCCACCACATATGTACCTCTCCTGTGCTACAAGCTAAAGCGCACATGAGACATGCTTGGAATTGTTCAGGGTTAATTTTTCAGATTTCAAAGTTAACAAGACTGGATTTGAATCCTGGACAACCTTGTCAGGGACTGGATGAAAAACAGGAATAAAATACTGAATCCTGGACAACCTTGTCAGGGACTGGATGAAAAACAGGAATAAAATACTGAATCCTGGACAACCTTGTCAGGGACTGGATGAAAAACAGGAATAAAATACAAATCCAGTCTGGGACGAAGACTACAAAGGCCAGGTACCGGTACATTATGATGATGACATCTGTGGCCAAATTGTTCATCGTCACCATCACACCACCTTGCTGCATGAGTGACCACTGATTACCACCCATCGCTACGGTCACCAGATACCAGTACAACCTGTATGTAAACCCCAAGCCATCAATACACACAAATTAATAATAAGCCCTGAGCTTTCTGGTCCATCAAGTGAAGTCTCTATGTTACCGAACACCCGGCAAATATCGCTCATTAAACAACCGGTCGGGCTTTTGATGTTTGCAGTTTCTCCTCAATCATTACAGAGAGTTTTTTTTTTCTGAAGGAGTTTACCCAGGCAGGTTATTACAGCTGTAATGGAACCCATGGTCTGGTCTAGTTTCAGTCTGGCAATTTGTCATGGAGTTGGAATTCATTGCTGGGTATGTGTTTTGATTGATTGCCTCATAGGGACCAACAATGATAGAACTGAACTGTATTTGAGTTAATTCTGGACAAACAGGTGTAATGACTGAATGGCAACCTGCTTTGTCTTGACAGATGTGCAAGGTTCATTTCCATAAGTGCTTTCACACAAGTTTACAGTATTGGGGTGGATCTTTTCTACATGTATGTACTTAACTGTACACAAATTATTACTAAACTCAATAGTAATAAAACACTGCAGCCTTGTAGGAACAGTATGCCTACCACGCCCAACATTATAAAACTTCTTGTTTTTGCTAGTACTTTGCAAACTGTCCATTATAGATTAATACTAGGGCCTACACTGTACATATTCTCCATAACTCAAAGAACAGAACAATGTACAACAGCAGATTAATTTTCCAAATTCATATTTGCAAGTAATTTTGCTTTAAAAAAAATTACATTCTACCCGGTATGCCCTTCGCATCATATTATATTCTATGCCCTTCGCTATGTACACAATGCTCATGTACAGTGTTCATAAACAAATGTCATGTGAGATGCAACACTTAGATGATACTCCAGTGTCTGGAAATGAGTCCTGCTCCAAGAACAACACAGGAAAAGCATGTTGATCTTATTTTTTGTGTTTATCTGCTGGGGTGGCAATGTCAACATCCTACTTCTGGTGATAATTTTAGTTGCCTGGGAAAGGAACACCCGAAAACTCATAAATGTTCAGTCCTCAGCTGATATTTCACTTCATTGCTCTCTTGAATTGTATTGTAGCAAGTATCGTTAATTTCTGTTAGTGGGACGGATAGAGTTGCATCATGTGGAAATTGGAAATTGAGGAGGATCAACATTGACTAGGCGCGCTTCATTTCCTGTAATTTAACACTCCACTCCCCAGATTTCCTTTCATTTTGACACAGATCTGAGCAAACATTGTGATTTTGGTCGACATTTTGAATGTCAATAATGTGACACTTAATTGTATCAAGGAACTGAGAGTGATTTACATGTAGCTGGGTTGAGATGCTGAAACCAGGAAATTCAGATTGACCGTTATCGTGCTGAAACATTAACTTGAGAACCTATTATTGGCCCTGTCCAATTAAGTGACTTCTATACATACAAATATTTGCAAGTAGAAATTGCCAGGAATGGACATAACCCATGGGTAAATGGATACAGTTCTGAGTTGGCAATTGGCGTTGAAATGATTGGAAACTAAGGAGGCTCAACATTGACTAGGTGCGCTTCATTTCCTGTCATTTAACACTCCCCTCCCAGTGATTTCCTTTCATTTAGACACAGAACTGAGCAAACATAGATGCCTTAAAGCTGTGATTTTGGTAAACATTTTGGAGTCAGTAATGAGACGCTTACAGGAATTGACAGTGATACAGTGTACATGTATGTTAGGCTGGATAGAGATGGTGAAACAGGAAATGATGATGGTGTTCAAATGTGGCATTATCTTGCTCAAACATTTCCTTGATTGATGTGAACCCGTTCCATGCTAGTACTACTACCGGTAGGTTTATATTATTTCAACTTGATAGTAGAAACTGCCAGCAATGCACAAACATTTCGAGGATTTGGTTTGGGGTTGCGGTTGGGGGTGACTTCTTTTTTAAAGTGGTTTTATTTTTGTCTTTCATAACTTGTAAACGAGTAGGGGGTGCACAGATATGGAAGGACCCATGTTCCTTCCTCCATGGTTGAGGCTAGGACTGTTCAAATGCGATGATGTGTGGTCCTCCACCCTAGTAATTTTGATTTACAATTACATCTGCTGTCCCATGGGGGGGGGGGGGGGCCCTAGGGGCAGAAAAGGGAGCGCTCTCTTACAACAATCAAATCGGAGGTGGTCCATGCATGGGCACTATGGTTTATGATGTGTAGGTGTACCAGCCATATTTCACATGCAGGAGGAAGGATGTGACCACCTGTTTAGTGCTAAGCTTACACACCCTACAGGGACCCAAGACTCACACAGGCAAAAAAACCCTCAAAACTTTTAATTTCCACTTGCTCTGTCCTATCCCCCCCCCCCCCCCCCCCACTACACAAACCAGTTCAAATACGTGTGTATCCCCTTGAATCCTGGTGGTAAATGCATCAAGCATGAAATGTCTTCTGGGACTTTTTTTGCGGGCAGGTGCTTGGGATTAACATTTAATTTCAGAAGGGGTCAAAATGGGGTCAGATTTTTTTTATAGATTAGCCAGGTGTGCTTTGCTGACCAGGTTTTGGAATTTGAGTACGATAAATTCTTCTGGAACACAACTAGGTTTATGTGGGACACAACAAGGAAAAAAACCTGACTTTTTATATTTACCAGTAATTGTAACCCCTGTGTACATGCACTCACTGTACATGTTTGTATGACATATGAGGACACACCATGCTCTCCAAACTTTTGAAATTCCTGTAGGCACTTATAGTCAATATCAATTATGCCACAGTCTTGAAAGCATTCTGTTTTCTGATATCTTGGCTCCTCTTTCAATTCAAACCTTTTGCATCATTTGCTATTCCAGAGTTTCTTCTGGGATTTCTGCCTTTCCTGCTCAACAAAAATCCACACGTGTATGGCTTCTCCCCCTTGGGTGAGCCCCCAAAAAATCTCTCACTCATCAGGCTTAAAAAAAAAGAAAAGAGTAACCATGGAGATAATATGAAGGCGGTTACTATGGTATTGGGCATTATCAGACCCACTGAGACAATGTTGCCTAGCAACAGTGAAGATAAGACTCTCTCGGACCTCTGAAGGGTTGGAAAAAAAGACAACGGCATTGTGAGTGATATGTCAAATTGCACAATAGTCAATTACCATTGTTTCATTTTTTTTTATCATGAATTTTCACTCTACCTTCTACATGCATGGTAAATAAAGGCCATAATTGGGTACTGTACATGTATGATGTAGTGTTACCGCTATGGCGAAACAAATTGCACTCTGGTCAATTTGGGGTTTTCGATTATTTTCCCCAATAGGCCTACTGTTTCTTGCAGAGGTCTCGAAATCTGAACTTCCGAAAAAAATTCCAAAAATGGGTAAACTGAGCCACCTTTTATCTGAACTCTGTGAAGCAGCCTTTGCTTGACCATGGAGAGGTATTCCTCCATGGCTTGACAGACTTAAAGGGAATATACAACATTTGCAAACATCGAAAAATAAAACTACCAAGTTTTTGCGAAATACCTTAATAGGATGTTGGTAAATGACAGTCTAAAGCATCCTGTAAAATTATGGCACCTGGTATACTGTCATTTTCAAGAAAAGTGGTATTTTTGTATCAATTTCCAACGCTGATCGGCCGATCAGCGTTGGAAACAACTGGCTTTTTTTCAAATACTGGCCCCAATTGACCATCGCACTTGTTTACAATCGATTACAAACCTATGAACGGGTACGAGCCAGCTAGACTGGTTCCCTAACCTTACAATTCCCCAATGTATGTAAACTGCTCTGTTTCTTCTTATATGGAGTCAGGGAACCAGACTAAAGGAAAATGATGGTTTTTCTTGGTTTTTATAGCATTTTCGAACCCAAAACCTCCAAAAAGTCAGTGTAACTATATTTGCTTTATATTTCCAACCCCCCAATTCCAACCATTTCTGAAAATTACAGCAAAAGCAAATGATGTATATTCCCTTTAACAGTGCCCAGGGCAGTCAGAAAAGGAAACTGTTTACAAAAACCTTGGAAAACAAAATAGGGCTGAAACCAAAACAAAAGCCTTTAGGTATTTCTAAAAACCACTTCAGTCTGAAAACATCTGACCGCATTGTTATTGTTTAGTATGCGCATCATCTTTTCAGAGAAGTTTATCAACCACAACAGTGCCTTCAATTGTTCCCTACAATAGTTCAAATAAGTCTGTCCTTGGCAAAACTACAGTATCAGTTAAAATTGCACTGACATTTCATTTTACAGTTGGTTGTCAGTTAACTTAAAAGCAAGACTCATGAACATTGTAAAATCAAATACATGTACACTGTAACATACATAACATCCCATAATGGGAGACTGCTTGCAGTATTGATCCAGAATTCCAGATCCAGATCCAGAAATAAGTGGTTATACTGTTTTGCAGTTTACTCCTCAAAATAAGTTGCCTCTCCCCAAACCAAACATTCACTCATCCTGTTGCACAATGTACAAAACAATGTACACATGTATGTACACGTTATGTGATGTTCTTGTACATGTATCAGTACATGTATAATGTACATGTGTCCTAGTTACCGATTACATTATGCATTGTTGAGCAAGTTCAGGTGAGGACTATGGTTAACCATAGTTTTACTAACTTCACTTGAACGCAGGATGGTTGAACAACTTCAGCGACTATTTTGAACGGGACCCTAGGGCACGATTGCATCACTGGTTACCAAATACATGTAGACACGGGGAGCTAGGACCAAGACGTTTTGTGACTACTGACTAGAGGCGTTTGTACGTCACAGGCATTTGATAAATCAACTACTAGTCAACTAATGGTCCTCCCAGAACTTGCTCATTGTTGAGTTGGTTTGTGGATGGTCTGGATCATACCGAGAACATATGAAACAGGAAGTCAATTTCCAAGCATTTCCAAACTATAGAAGACTTCTGGTAAAAGCCGCAGACTATCTGTATCACCAATAGTTTCCTGCATTGTCAACTCCAGTTTTGTTAACCGCAGTCACTCCTAGGCCATTAACCAGATGGTTACCGAGTTTAAATTGGGCAATACTATGCTTGAACCCATTTTCAGACCAATAAAAGTTACTTCAACAGCATGGTTGGGTGAATATACCGGTGCACACATCTCACACTGGGATTGCTGAACAAATTTGGTCAAATTGGTCCATTTGGAAATTGAAACCTTCAGCAATAGCTGGTAAAAGACTGAACAATTAAAGCTAAATGTACAACATAAACCTATACGTTTAAAACCCTCCAAATACATGTAGTTATCCAGTTGGCCTATACAACTGCCACTACATGACTTAGTTAACTGCATTTGTATGTACAGTACAAATGTGTAAAAGCAACTGTTAAGTTCTGGCTTGCCATCGCAAAAAGAAATTTCCCTTTCAGGTACCCCCTTCTCAAACCCCAATAAAATATTGTCCCTCTTTCAGGTTGAAGTCCACAACTTTTTTATTACTGTACTTTTTGTGACAGTCTGTGAATCACCACTTCAGGCCTGAAAAAGCACTTGATGAAAAGGGATGAGGTCATTTCAGATCAAAGGGTCAACACAAATCAAACAGTGGGAAAAAATATACTCCCCCAAAAGTCTGATTATTTTCCCACACAAATTTCTCGGGCTAGGCTTAACTTTAAACCCACGCATTGGATTGGGTTATAGTACCACACACACTACCCAGAAGCAGTCTACCATACATGTACACAAAATACAGGCCACATGACTAGTGTGATATTATAGCCAAACTGTATGACTGTACTGTACTGTAGATTGCTGTGGTGGGGTTCTCCTGGCTGAACAACAAACAGAGGATGTTAAACCCACCAGATTTAGTATTATTAGTCATCAGCAAACTAACTTTTTCCTTGAAAAGTCTTTGTTTACACCCTGTCAAATCTTGTTGGGGTACACTGACTATAAGGTCGTTGCTCTTAACAATGTTTAAGTGAGAATGTTCATCTTATAAAAAAATATAAGAGTTAAAGATTGTCCTAACTTTAAGTACCGGTATAAACTTGGGAAAAAAGCATTGACTTCTGGTTGGCACTTTAAAGGATTTATCATTAGGAAAATCTCTGCACATCAGAACAAAGTGAGTAGTGGTTCACAATTTATGTAAAGAATTTAATTCCCAATTTTGTTAGCAATGTATAGCCCCCCCCCCTCCAAAAAAAAAAGGACAATGACATTTCATTCTTAATTTCATCAACTGTGCCTGTTTTTCAATAAAACTACCCCAGTGAGAGTACACGTACAAGTATAAACTTGTATTTTGTTTGAGTGAGTTTTATTGTGCACTGATAGTGCTTCAGAGGTCGTAGATTAAGTCCTGCTCCACTCAATTTCTTTACTGAGGAAAACATTGAGTTGTATGAGTAAGAATATGAATGAGTGCAAAAATGATTCAGCATGTAAGGAAAAGAGTGACAACATACAAAACTCTTTCTGATCACTCACCTGCGATTGCTTGTATAAGTCCCGACACCGTGAAGAGGCTTTTCTTGCAAATACTCTTAAAGCACATCGTGAAGACCGACACAACGGCAATGAAACCAAGAATGGCTACACCAAGACAGTAGAGAACAACAGTCACCATCCACAACCAAATAGGCAACTCAAAGAAACTGGCGATCCAGGCACATTCCTCAGCTCTGGACTGCTCACCGTTGTTGGTCACGTAACGCAGAGTGTTCATCGAGTACCGCTCTGTACATAACGTCAGTAATCCCACCTTGGAACTCTGTGTGATTAGAATGTCCGAGTCCGGTCTGAGGGAAGACTCTGTCGTTGCGTTTTGCGATGACACGTCTTCGTTGGGTGTGGTTGAGGCGTAGGCGGCCGTGAGAGGCCGGTCGTCGCGGAGCAGCCAATCCGGGTTGATGATGGCAAAGACGTGCATCACAACGATACCAATACTGACCACAGTCCAAAGCAGGGAGCGTATTGTCACTATCAGATAGCACATTGTCAGCTTGGGGTATGTTTGCTAGTACCTGAGTAGAATCTGAAGTTATGAAGCTGTTGTCAGTCCAACATGAAGTTTGATCTCTTAACCAATAAATCTGTCCCTCATGTTACATTGGCAAGCTTGAGTTGAAGAATCACAATCCAGGATGAACATTCTGCAGTATCAAAAAGAAAAGTATTTTATAAGTCATTAAAACTGTCACAAATAGCCTTTACAACAAGTTATCATACAACAACGTGTAGAATATAATTACAACGTGTAACTGATAATTGGTGCAGAAAAGCATTTTTGGTCAGAAAAACACAACATTGAACACAACAACGATCTCTTTACTGAGTTTGCAGAAGTACGAATAAGTAAATGCATAGAGCTAGTGCTTGAGAAGACCATAATGCATTGTCACTGTGAACTGGAAAATACCAGCTTTCCAGCTTATTTTTATTCAATGAAGTCATCATCAGATTTTTCATGATAAACCTATGACGTACAGCATATCACCACTTCCAGCTGTCTCAGCACAGCTTTTGCTCCAATTGTTCTGATTGCCTAGTACATTGTCAAAACTAGACAAAGGCATTCAGGATGTCTCTGTCAACTCAACCATATCAAGATTCCAGAAAGCACTGAGTGACACAGAATGAATCCAACCCTTTCCCGACACATAAAAAGCTTTGCTATGAATGAATACATTCCTGCGGTGACCCTTTTTATATTATTTGGATTGGGAAAGCCATTTTTAGAACTAATTTCTTGAAAAGATTTCTTTGTACCTGTACTTGGCCATGATTTGATGACAATTATCTTTCACAAAAGGAAGTTTTAAAAGAACATTTTGGTCTGCAATGCTTGGCAAACCCCATCAACAACACACAAACTGCTCTGGAAATCTTGGCAAAAAAACCCCAACTTTTGTGACTGTGTAAGGCAAGGGTTTCCAACTTTTCCCAATCCATTCAACAGCTGGAGGGGAAAGTGTTCATGACGCAGGTTTGAATGAAACGCAACCCCTGGCACAGTCTGTTGATGAATTGCTGCCTACAATCTCATACCACAAACTTTCAGTTTAGTTTCAGGGGAACCTTTCAGGATCACAACGTCCTTCAACCACATGCTGAATTTGTGTCAAGCAAAGTGTCCCGTACTTTTAAATCTAGGCATACTTCAGTAAACCTTCTTCTAAAGATCTGGCAACATTTAGGCCTGTCATATGACAATCTAGGTAAACTGTGATATGAATTTTGGAAAAATAATTCATAAATATACAGTAATCCCGAAGATCACTTTTCCCGCCATTTCTTCCCTGGGGCATTTTATTTTATATGCGGGCAATGATGCGGAAACTGCAAGCTGCAGAATGTATACAAAAGCAAAAAGTTCAAGGATTGGCAACAAAGTCAGCAACTTGAATACGTGCAGAAACACAAAACACTAGTTCTACATTTGTACCTCCATGAATGGTGTTAAGGGGAAAAATCAACTGTGTACCGAATCATATGAGTTTCAAGAAAAATTCAGTTATTGAGAACACCATTGGCCCAAAAAAGTTTTTTTGTAATTGTTTAATGGAAAAATATTTTTAAACTCAAACATGCAGTTTTTCAACTTCAATATTTTTTTTATCATTGTACTGTACTGTTAGACTTCAAGATGACAATATTTTTCTTTCTTTGTACAGCTCTACACACTATGTACAAAAGCTTCTGTGATAAATACATGTACAATGTACCGGAACCTCTGAAACAAATAATTCTGTTTCAAATAAATCAGACAACGTATTCTAGTACCAGATCTTCCCTGCTAAATTTCAGAACAAAGAAAACAAATTTTATCATTCACTACATGATGACAATCATGTTCATTGCTTTTAGTGTTAGGTTGGGACCACTCAGTTGAATTCAGTGGTCGTCATCTGCCCCATCTGCATGCCTTGAGCCAGTGCGTGCACACGTTATCACTTTGTAAGTTCGTAGCACCATGTTAAAAATACTTTTAGCAAGCCTTCACAAGTTGACCTCCACAAGCCCAACATATTGAAAACGTCTCCAAACTTGTTATCATATAGCAAACACTGATTTGTAATTAAATCAAGCGCACAACTTCCACAATATAAGGAAAAAAAAAGTATTTGGAACTATTATAAGTGGTGCCATTGAACTGTGTGAACCCACACAGATTGAGCAAACACATCATACAATGATTTTACCTTCTGCACTTTTGAGAGACACAGCTTTCCCCCAAACTGGCCTTGGGGTTTTTCAAAAACACCCCCCCCCCCCCACACACACCTCTTGTCCTTAGGGGTTTGTATCGTACCAATGGATATCAGTACCTCCCCCCCCCCCTCCCCAGTTAATCCCCCTGGTCATATCCCACCACTAATCACGCTAATTCCCAAGCTGTATGGTGTGGCTAATCCTGCTAATCGGATCTGGTACCTGACTGTGCCTCAAGGCCTTCGATTGCGCCCCTGTTTCGTGAGTTAGTGAGAGACTTAAACACTCTCATGACATCTGTCGGCTCGCCTCAAAGGAATACAGGAAGCTCATAAACAAATATTATCCCTGAAATCACCTTAACATGTATCCCCCCCCCAGTAAAAGGTTACTATAAACACTCTTTTCCCTAGGCTATTTGTTTAATGCGTTATAATTTCCTCCCCTTAAACCAGCAATTTGCCTCACCTCAAACCATGAATTCTGTTCAAATAAAATGCGGAAATATAACAAAAATTAACAATTACCTTTGTCTTCTAAGAAAATGACATGATGCTGTTGATCAAGAAAACATTCTTTGGTACAAACAAGCCACACAAGGAGATTTGGTAAATTCTTTTGAATTGGAACTAATTCGTTTTATAAGTCTACATACTTTAAAGCCTTTTTAAAAGCCGCCCACGATCTTTAACAATTTTGCTTTTATTTATAACTGAAAGGAGTTGTAGGCCTACTGTTTCTACTCTAATAAAATTTTAAAACTTCATTTAAAGAAAAAAACTGTAACTACATAAACCATGCAACTGGGTTTGAAACACCTGCATGTTACTGACTTTCCATCCTTTTTTTTTGAGGGGGGGGGGGTCTTTTTTCCCAATGGTGGTAGGAAATCAATTATGGATATCCACTGATCTACAATCTGGAAGTACATTATGTACACATACATGCCCCACACTGTAAACTACAAATTTACCTGAATCTATCACGGTTTAATCAGTTAAAATGGTGAACCATTGAGCTTATATTTACCAAAAAATAACCTGGGGCACTTTTTGAATTCCAATCAAAAGCTGACAAAAGAGTGCCCAATACAGTTCAAATTGAAGACCACTGAAATTGAAAATGAGATGAATGTCTAGAATTTCAGGAAAGTGACAAACAATAGGCAATCTGCTCTCAAAATGAAAGGGCAAAACTAGTGCAGAACTCCTGTTTCAAAAAAAGGGAAAACATGCCAGGTTGAATGCATTTAGCCAAGGTATGTACAATGTACCTTGTCAAACTATACAGGTCTGCATTCATTCATTCAACTTCAATATGAAAGGTGGCCAGCAAATCCTTGGATTCAAGGTGTACAAACACTGCTATCACTGCAGCCATAATAATGAGTGTATACCCATCCACATCACAACTAACACCTTGACACTGAGCAGTGCCCGCAAGGACAAACAGAAGTGTGCTGTGATTTACTGTCTGTGACGGAGAAACACCAATAAACAGGACAACTCAAGAAAGAAATTTGAGATAAACAGTGGGTGAAATGAGAATAAAAACCCCTCACAATCATGAAATGCCCCCAAAACAGAAACAAAACCTGGCTGGAGGGACCCCCCCCCAAATTTCCTTTACCAATAATCACTAAGCAACTAAACTGAGTTACAGAACAAATCAACGATCTGAGTGAATAAAGTTCAGTGATGCCCTTACTGGTACACTATTGATTATCACAAAAAATTTACATGTACAGACATACATTGTTTATAATTTTATAAATCTGCAGGATTAGTCCTCGTTTTCACAGTACTTTTTAGAGTTAGACAATATAAGTCTTCAATGTCATGCCCACTTACATCAATACCTGTGTGTACTTTGATCTATTGATTCTAGGATCCTTACCCGAGCTGAGGTAGCACACACACGTATGCAATAACAAACAATAAACATATCTACCGGGTATCTATTCTGAAAACAAACAAATCGGTTCGGTTAGGTCACACATTCAGAATTCGTTTTAATTTAAAAAGACACGACAGACCTCTAATTTAACTCATAAAAAAATTCTTAAAGGCAAAGAAATTACAAACAAAGCCAACCTTGTCAGAAGCAAACTCCATTCACTCTGTATTGCGTCGAAAACTGCGCTTGACTGAAAATTTCAGCATTGACAGTAACCGTACCATCCCAAATATAATTTGTTATCACTGCATTCAATTTCAAATAACTACAGTATGCATGGTACAATGAACAGCCTCCTCATACACTGTGCTGTCAGCAACACACTCGGCAAGCTACCTAGCTGTGTAGTGTGTACCACAGTTTGTGCATGGTTGATCCCGTGGTCAGTGATACCAAACGGAGAGAAGTATGGACCAATCAGGAGCCAGTTAATAATGACAAACCCTGCCCCCTCCAGCTGAATGGACTAGCCCGGCTCTCAATACAATGTGTACACTGTCACTGCAGGTGCAATTAAATTGCAAGTGTTTTACAGCAAGCCATCAAACACTTCTATGACAACACAGCTGAAAACATGGTGATCAACAAGATGTATGTATACTTGAACATGCCTGTGAAATTATAACCAGATGACTTGGCACATAGGCCTACTGTCAATTTTCTTGCACGTGTGATAATTTTCAAGGTTTGACTTCTTTTCTAATGGTCTGCCCTGCTCAAAATGCGCTTGGCTTTAAATTGAATGAAGTCTATGCATACACTGTGTTTGCATTTCATCTTCAGAGCATCACAGACCCTAGAATACCATCCATTCTATCGCTTCTCCCCATAATTGCAAATACCCTACGAGTTCCCTTCAAATTTTGCAGATAGTCGCCGAAGAAAGGCTCCGGTGAAAAGGCAAATATTTGACCATTGTTGAAATTTGCTCGCTCCAAATACTTCCTTTCTCCACCTTCTTCTGCATGGCTGGCCTCCAATAATTTCATTCTGCTCTGCTTGGGTGAGGGCGAATAGCTGATGAAACTTGAGACCAGGCAATGACATTTATACGACTGAGCAAACTGGAGGTATTCATAGTAATTAGTGAGAGTAGAAGCTGTCTCTCCCAGGCCAAACCTTTCCATTTCCTTTCCCCCCCCATATTTTCTTTCATAAACGGTCCATGCACTTTCTAAACAAACCGGTTCTACATGTAAATCTCATTACACTTGACTGAGCTTATATTCAAAATTGCCTCTTGACTGAGCAAAACAGTTTATGCAGTACATGTGTACGTGATTTAGCTTGTTTTTTGTGTGTGTTTACAACCTCAGTTACCTGACATATCTGAATATTTTGTGGCCAATTTGCTGAAATAAAAACATTTATTGCCACATTTGGACAAAAATTTAAAATAATACAATAAACCATGAAAACTGGATAATTTTTTGAAGTGTTACCATATGATAAACAAACAAGCAAATTTTCTTTTGATTTTACTGCACAACAAAACATGTCTGTCATCATTTTCTTTCTGTGCTGGGGTCTCATAACAGATCAGCCAAACCCATTACCCATGTTCTGAATAAACAATCCAGCTTGTAGATAAATCATTCTTGTAAACAATGGCTCTAAAACACTAATAATTTATCTTGTCTCTTGTTAGTAATTACTGCCCTAATTAATGCACAGTCGCCTCACAAGCTTTTCAATTGTTCATTTGTCTGAGGGATATCTCACTTCCAGGCCGACAATGGCTAATCAAGAGGCAACTGCATTAATTAAGAAACTCAGCCAGCTCTGAGAACACCAGGGGACCTAATCAATCAATCACGCACCAGGCTGGTCACGAGCTAATTGTCTCCACACTTGGTCTGTCACCTGACCCACATCAGTAATTAATCAACCAAACATGAGCCAGGCCCCTGGGCCCTGTTAAATGGCCATTTAAAGCCAGGCATTAAAAATGTGGCTTTTTCCCCTAGGATAAAAAGTGCAGGAACCTTTGGCTCCACTCTTCTGAGAGACATTTGCGCCTGCATTGGGTGGTGACTCAATGCAAGAGGGTGGGCCATGTTTGAAGCATTATTCCTTCAGAAAGTCAATCATTAAAATATAAATGCGTGGCATTTTTGTTTCATCTAATTCCAACTTATGGATTTTCATTTCTCATATAATTATAATGCAAAAAGGGATACTCCTGAATAACATTATCAGGCAGCTAATCATCCAAAATTTGTAAATTCACTGTTCCATAACTAAGCAATGTTAATTTCTGTTCAATGTTTCATTTAAAAGTGAATAACATTAAAGGAGAAAAATTCACATTCATGAAACGTGTCGGCTCCATGATGTCAAAAGTGGTTAACAGAGACTTTGTACCCAACATTAAAAAAACGAATAATCATCACCACAACTCTTATCCTGAGCGGTGAGTTAACAAAATGTACACATGTTCTTCACCCAAAACGTTCACTCATTTAGGAAATGAAGGTCCCTCTCACTTGCTGAGCCAAGTGATTTTGCACTCTCATCATATATTCCACAGATAAGACTTTCTTTCTGCTAAATTGTGATGGAATCTTGTTGAGAGATGTACTCTCTTTTCTGCTGGACTCTGGGTGTGTTAGCAGAGTTGCTTTTCAATTAGTTTACATCACCCTTTTTCGAACTGGCGCAGGATTACAGACGCCGACAATTCACAACCCCTCCACCGGGGGGGGGGGGGGGGGGGGGGGGGGGGGGGGGGGGTGGATGCAGCAATGAAGGAGAGTTAAAGGGGAAATCTCCGTCTCTCAAAAACATGCGTTTTTTCTGTTAGGACAGGTCTGAAACTTTTGGTAAATTTCCTCTTACAAATGTGTTTTATGGTGAAAATGAAATTTCATGCCTAGAACTCACATTTTAAAAAATAAACATAATTTAACTGTTCATTTATTGACCAGGGAGGTTGGCTAAGCGTTGACCCCTCCCCCTCCATCTGAACAATGTAAATTATTTACATACATGTACCCGGTATTGCTGGACAACATTTTGTATACATTTCCCTTCCCAAAATGCAATAATGTACTGAGCACAAACATACCATGCCTGCCACTTCAACCACACACAAGTGTGAAAATGACAGGGAAAAAAGCCATATGGTTTAGAGTAGCAAAGAACGCATGTAATCTCAGCTCCAAATCATGTAATAAATGACTGGCAAGCAGCCAAACTGGCTGGACTCGTGTGTGAAACTGCACTTTTTAATCATGAGCAGACCACTCCAACACCAAGTCACAAGCACAGCACTCAAAAGAAAATGGTACGAACCACTGGAGCTGGCATGGTTGGGGTTCAGTAAAATTAATCAAATACAGCAGCCATGCAGTTAACAAGACATACACGCACATAATTGCAGGAAATGTAATTGGCAAGTTAAAGGCTTTAAGTCTTTCAATAAACCTTCTCAAATAATCCCGATGAAAGTGAAACTTGAAAGGGAGTTTAGGCTTTTTAATGAGTATCGTGCATAGACAAAAAAGATGAACACAGTTAAATTTCAGATGCCACTTTTTTATTTGTACTAAAATTGTAGATCTTCAATGTGAAATAATTATTAACAAATTTGAAATGTTTCTCAGTGCAAAATTTGTGTTTTCATTCAATATGTAAGACAGGCCTCACAAATCTTTGTTTTTAATGTGGTAGTGTAAAAACAAAAACAAACTTATTGGACCTAGCCATGCCAGTTCTAGGCAGTATTTTCCTTGTCATTTCTTATTATCTCAAGTAGGCCTACTCCATCATGTCCATGAGAACTCCAAAACTCCTAATTTTATCCAAAGTCTTATAATATTAATAGAGGCCATTTCAACATTGACTTTTTTCCTTTCGCTCTCTTTCTGTCAATTATAGCCATTATCCATTAGAGGGCAGTAGTTTAGTTAACCTCTTGTAGATTCATTACTTAAGTTGACAATTGGTTGTTTCCCTCCACCATGTCTACTTCTAGAATTAGGAGGCACCTTTCCGTTATTTGTGCCTGATCTAATTCTAGATGTAGTTTTCCTCCAGAAAACTTCCACGTAGGATTAGAACTTATATATTACATTGTAACTTAAATAAAATACTGAAGTACATAACTGCAACAAATACCGAAACAAAAATTAAAGTTAGGTCTAATGATTCATAAATATGCACTGTACTGTAGGCCTACAATTACAAACAAATAATACATGACAAACCTTACCTGAAATCTTCGTCAAGAAAAATATGACAACAACCCTGTCGATCATTCATCAGCCAATTCGGGCAATAAAGACAGTATCCAGCCTATAGAGTAAAGAACCACGGTCCAGCCAGCTAAATAGTCGAACTGCGCTGACGAGACATCATCATCAACACACTGCGTGTTTTCTTCCAAGGAGAAGCGAATAGCGGAAGTGATCAACATCAGATTACGTAACCAAGTGGCGGGAATTGCCCCCAGGCCGACAAAGCAGCACGGTGAATCATCAAACTTACTCATCACTTTTTCCCTTTGTCCTGACGTCCACGACAGCACATCGACCCTGGGGCCGTCTGGCTGATCCGTAAAGTTTGCACAAGGACAGGATGTTATCATAATGCCGCCGTGTTGTCCAAAAGTTAAGTAATAAGTGTGCATGCAGCACGTGCGAAATTGAACGGTGCGATTCTGGTTTCTGAGACATGGATAGCGCCCTCTATTGAGACATGGCCGATTAAGACTGTACTGAAGATAGAAGACATTGCTTTCACAGTCAATTTGGAAATGTTTATGAATCACTTTCTTGCTTCTCATTGTCTTTATTACCGCCACCCAGATATTAACAATTTAATCAGAGTAAGAGCAGACTATTATTGTTTTAATGAGCTCAGTAAATATTAGGTTTTTGAGAGTCAAAAACAATATACATGCATAACTATTCCCCCCCCCAGAATACCATTTTGCACCAATGCCCCGCACCTGACCTAAAACCCAGACGCGAATACGCTATTGACTCGACTGCTCAGCACAAATAGTGAGGCAGAAAGGGAGAAATCGTTCCAAATTTCTGTGCCAAAAAAAATTCAGGGATTTGATTGAGGTTTTGTGAGAGGTAAGTGATCGAACTCGTCGGTCAAAGGGGACCATTACTGCTCAATCGAAGTCTAGTCACAAGGGGGCGCTAGATAACTTCCTCAACCCTCGCCGCCTGAATCTGTTTCTGAAAAGTATCCAGCCGAGTATCCGAGTCAGTTTTGGCGGCCACAGACTGCCAACATCGGGGTGGGGGTGGGGGTCGGGCACTCACCGCACCCCCCGAATCCACCCATGGCTCTGAACGGCCGGAAAAAGTACCTATATATGGTATCAAATGACCAGTACCTATGGTTAATGACCAGTACATTGTTGCAATCGGACTGCGACAATGCACTGATCATTTGATACCATATAGGTGGAGCGTTCTTAGTAATATGCCTATTGCCAACTTGGAAAGTATTTTTTTGGGGCCGGGGAGAGGGTGTCGGGTATATACATGTATATTTTTTTATCCCCAAAGGAGTGACGCTCTCATATATAGGCCCACACTTCAATATTGAATTTTTTTTGGCATTTTGCCCACAACCTCCCTATAACTCATTTACGTCGGCAAGTAAAAATTCTACCAGTTGCTAAAACTACACTCCAGCTTAAAATCAAAGCACAACACCTGCAATGATTATTTTGGTCAGTGTCGGCCACTTCATAAAACGTTTGTTCGTCCTCGTCGGCATACCGTGTGGCGCTCCAATGTGACAGCTGGGAAAACCCAGTGGCGTACTTCACAACTCTCAAAGTTGTTGACAATAACGGAAAAACTGGATGACCTAGTACATTTGGCTAGCCCAATTATTCCTTCTCGACTTGTTATCAGTCCATCCATCATGTTTTTATAATTTCTGCTGATAATAACACTGGGGTAGAAAAATACAAGTGTCATCATTTACGGAAGTCGAGGAGAAGAGATCCGATAGATCATTGTGTCTGACGTCATCTGTCAACACATGATGGTCATGTGATTCTGGCGCGAACGGTCAAGTGTTTGCACGTTTCGTGGCGGAAGCATGTGCGCAGCCAGTAACCGATAATGATGGACACACTGTCATCGAAATAATCGATATTAAAGAGTCGATTGTCATCTCTCAAACTCCACATCCCCACCTGGCGCTGATGACGGTAGCTTTCGTGATCTACATCTCCATACGTGAGGCTTGTACAGTGAGAGAAAGGTGTAGGACTCGTTTCCTCCTCTGGCGATATTACGAGTATCGATACGAAGTCATGTCTCAGCCTTCGGCTCTTCGGTTGATACTAGGCTTAGCCATTCTTGTAACAACTACTCAGGTCGCAAGAGCACAAGTTGTTTCATCTTCTGTCGGTAGGTTGATAAATGTCTTCTTTTTTCTGGTAGCTGGTCTCTTTCTTACCAATTCTTGCAAGCTTCTTACTACCTGTTCTGATATTTGAATGGTTGCAGGTTCATTTAGTTTCAAATATTTCTGTAACTGTGCATGCGGAAAAAACAACAACAAATACTCAAACTGGATGTAAACTTTATGACGATCATCGTTCAATCAAAAGAAGTATCTGATTATTTGGACAATCTTTCTTTTTACATTGGTGGTATATTTAGCACGACTAGGCTCATTTTTATGGAACTATGAAGCAACTGGAATCTACCCACCGTCTTACAACTTACCGGCGCAAGTTTCTATCCAGGTATTTCTTTTTAAAACTGGTCCTGTATTTTCGTCATAATTATTTGAATTAAACGCACAAACCAAGTTCTGTGCAATTGAATAGGACTACTTTGCGGAAGCTTGCGTTCACAGTAACTAGATCTACATGATTTGGGGAACTCAAATTTTTACGCACAGCAGAATGTCTTCAAGCTGGTACAAGCCCATGGTGTCTTTCTCTTTGAATCGACCTAAATCATGTACGGCCTAAGCTACAGGAATTAGAGGGAAATGGAATAGAAAGCAACGTAGATTTTCAAATTTTTGGGGAGGGGGCATCCCTCCTTAGCAGGTCCTCAAAAATGTGTTACTTCCAATATTAATGCCTGAAGAGGTCTACAATCACTGTGGGTTGCTCAACGATTGAGATAAGAAAAGCACAAGAATTCACTTGACATTTCATCTGATATTCCTAATCATTATCCAGGTAAGAATCGACGCCAGTGCCGACTCCGACACTATCACTGGCACCGGCCTGTGGGAGATCACCATCTACGGCAACCGCGAGGCAGATGGCTCTGGTACCGACCGGTACGACGAGCAAACCGATTTCCTCGCGGACGACCAGCGGGCGCAGAGCTTCTCCCCTACCGACAGCCTGGCCTTTCACCAGGGTACACCCTTCGACCTGAGCGGGTTGGCCTGCGGCCTCTTGGGACCCTACTTCTGTGTAGAGGTCAGCCGCGCGGCCGGCGCGTCCATGGGGTTTAGCCTGGAGCCGGGAAAGTGGGTCGGCTGCCGGTCCACACCATGTTATTGTAAGCTAAATAACCAATATATATGTCCACAGTCCGACATTAATGTATGTCCATGCTATCGGTTCAAATAATAAATGTCTTTTTTAAATTTCCCCCTTACGTTATATCTGTCCGAAGACGTAATCGCTTGACTATACAACATGCAGTCTTAAAAAGTGCGACATCGCCTAAACACTGTATAAAGGTACGGGACCGATTTCCGAAAATGTACGGCGTTTTCTATTTCAAATGTTAACCAACCAGAAATTCCACAAAGTAATAGCCTATTTTTTTGATAACGATGAAACAACTTGTAATCAGTTCCAGAAGAGTCAGCTGATTCCAAACTCGACGTCAGCTTCTCCGACCTTCAACTAAACACGCTGGAAGCCCCACACGTTCCCCAAGACGAACCGGCCGATCTCGTCCTGGTGATCACCGCAGTGCTTGCTACTGACTCCCGCCGCTACTTAGACGGCACAGGTCTCTGGAAAGTGTCCCTCTTCGGCAGCAAGTCGACCAACGGGTCCGGGACCGACCGGTACGACGAGCGGTCACAGGTGCTGACCACCGCCGAGAACACGGACAAGAGCCTACAGGGCCAGCCGCTGGAGATGACCATCCAGACCCAGTTCCTGCTGGGAGGGGTGGGCTGCGAAGATTACCCCTACTTCTGCATCACGATAGACAAAGGAGACGACCCACAGCCGGACTTTGGCATCGTTGGACCTATCACCCACTGTCAGGATGTCGAGTGCCTGTGTAAGTTTTTAACGCAACTGAGCAAAAATGTTGACAGATGGAGACCGCCTGGATATTGGTAGAGCGAAGGTATGGTACTCCGGAGGTACATGACCGATTCAAGTCCGTCAAGTAAAACGTTTTTGTTCAAAATCATCTAGAAGAACTTTCTATTGATTGAAGAGGTTAATCAGGTTGACGGATTGGTAGGCAAATGTGTGGTTTTTTTTTCAGATCCCGATGAAACGCCGATCCCCACGGCCCGTTTCGTCAAGATTGAGCTAAGCCTGGAACTCCCGGCCGACTACCCTTTCGATGAGCCTACCGATATCAACCTCAATGTGGCGCTGACACCCAGCCAGAGTCCCCAGGTACCTACCTCCATCATCGAGGGTACGGACCTCTGGAGGCTGGCCATCTACGGCAACGAGAACTCCGATGGGTCTGGCCCAGAGCGCTTCGACGAGCGTGCCCAGGTGTTGAGCGACACGGACCAAGACGCCCGCCTCTCTCCCTCGAATGGGCTCATCTTCAATGTGACCACCCAATTCGTAATCGGGCGGGTCGGATGCGACGATTTGCCCTACCTCTGTGTGCAGTTTGGCAAGGGTTACAGTCCCGTGCCCGACTTCGTCTTCGATACACTATTGATAGGATGTCTTGAGGTCCCCTGCACTCGTAAGTATCACCGTTCAATAATGCCGACACTGTCCATGGTTTATGAGAAACAACATACGAGCTGTGGCACATAATATGAATACTCACAAAACAGGCAACAATGTAGTGAAGACGTAGATGATGTTGCGTTGATGTTGGGTAAAATGCACTCCCTTTGAATCGTGAGCGCAAATTGCCTCACAGTGCAATGCAACGCCGATCTGCCTATAAAGGCCCCAGAAGATCCTCCACTGTTAATCTTAGCTTTATGGTAACCATTAAGTTTATTGTTTCGGCTGATCATCAACAGAAATACCACTCCCCGTCGCCAGACTAGGAGCATTATCATTCAATCTCACCAACGTCGGCACTGGCCCGTACGGGGAGCCCGTCCCCATCAGTTTGGAAGTCCATGTTGGAGCCAGCCAGTCCGCCACCACGGACCCGATCCTAGGCTCTCGCCTGTGGCAGCTCTCCATCTACGGTAGCGGTCAGGCTGACGGCTCCGGCGACGACCGCTTCGATCAGCAGTCCGTCCTGAGCAAGTGCCAGACGGACAAGTCGCTTCTCCCCGGGGAACCCCTGCAATTCGAGGTGGATGCCGAGTTTATAATCAGCGGAGTTGGATGCTACGACTACCCGTACTTCTGTTTGAAGTTCGAAAAGGGCGCCGATCCACAGCCGGATTTTATCATGTTAGATCAACCGATGGCGTGCAAGGAGCTCACGTGTACACGTAAGAGCCACTTGACGAAGCAAGCATAAATGAAATTGTATTGAATGCCCAAATGACCTGCCAAAATGTTTATAAGATAAAATACTATTTATTTTTAAAATTAAAACAGCATTATTCAATTTTATTTGAACCAAACGAATTGGTGTCAGATGACCCTGTTGATGTTTATATTTATTAACAGGGACATTTGCTAAAGGTTTTCGCTTCTGAATATTATTTTTAAGAGTGCATCTCTTTGTTTTTTTTTTCAAATTGCATAGCTCCACCGGTGCCGCGATTGATCGTCAGCGGGCTGAGCTTACAGGTCAAGTCCGGCAGTCCCACCTACGTCAAGGCCGGCCAGGACGGTGCTGCCAACTACCTCAAGTTCCGCCTGGAAGTGATCTACGACAAACGCCAGGTCGGATACATCAGCGGTTCCGGACTCTGGGTCGTGGCGCTGTGGGGAAGCGCAAACGCCGATGGTAGTGGACACAAGGTAGGGCAGCATGGCACTAAATGCGGGCTGCAAAGTTTTCTTCTGCAGCCAATAATAAGTTGAAAGAATATTTCACGTCATTTTAGATGGCTTTGTAAATTGTATGGGTTAGACGGTGGCCTAATCGGTAATTTTGGTGATTTGGGGCATGGGGATGCTGCAAACTCGAATTCCAGCGATACCCTTTCCAATTTCCCCTTTAAAATGTGCATTTTCGGTCTTTAAACGTACTTATAATCAAGTACTAGACCTACTTGTTTAAGAGATTCATTTCACTTTTTATTTCCGATGCATGGCTCCAGAGATTTTTTGAGGTGGGTAATTATAAAACAGCTGACAACCAGTTCCTTTTTTCACAAGAAATGAATGCCTTCATCATAACGTATGATAACCTGACTATGAAATAATATGTTGATAACCCAATTTTTAGGTTTCTCACACGCCCAACACGCTGAGAACTCTCCAGACCAGGCTCGCCGTCACCCTTGGCAACGACTTCTACTGGCCCGGCGTGAAAAACCACTTCGATATGACGGCGGTAACGTGCGCCGAAGTTCGCTACATCTGCGTCAAGCTGAGCCGCGGCAGCGTAGCGGCCGATGTCTACGAGTTCTTGACACAGCCTGAGTCGTACGTACCCCAGACATGCGTCCAGATGGGATGCTCCTAAATCTAGAGTTTCGCTTTACTTTGGATTTATTTGCCATAGTTGTTGTATTTTTGGCGACGAAATTGTTTTGCTTGTATAGCTCCACGGAATTGGTTGGGTAGAAATTATTCCGTTTTTGTGAGGAAGAAAAAATAATAGTGGCTCAATTGTTGGCATAGGCCTACGCGCATGACAAAGTAGGACGAACTAATAAATACCAACAGTTTTCTTTAACAAATAAGATGTTTAACAATATCAAAGACCGTATATCAGCTCATTGTTTGAGTTGAATTATTAGAAAGTGTTTTCTTAAAATCAATCAAACTTTGAATTTTCTTTTACAGAAATTGTGGTGGAGGTATCATTGATTCACACAATTATCGCGCCATTTTAAGACCTTGACTGACCTGATATAAGTTTCTATGTGAGGAAGCAGAATATATTATTGAAGCTGTCACAGTGTGAGATAATAATCAGCATTTTTGAGATATGGCGGACACAATAAAAGGGCGGTATTTGCTTTGGGTAAATGGGGGTTAATCAAATAAAAGACTGCGCCCACATTTTATGTCCAACATTATCTAGAAAAGGTTAATGATTTAGCAGATAATGATATGAGTCTGTCATTGAATGATTGGAGGTGCATATTGCATAATTGAAGAATTAAACTTGAACAGAATTAATAGTTATTGAACAAGGAACTGGTTACTTGGAATGTACGGGTTTATGGTTATTGACTAGCGCCCCTTGAACAAAGACGTCGACAAAATGGGGAACCACCAACATGGGGCTGGATAGCTCAGTTGGTAGAGCACCAGAACGGCAATCCGGCTGGTCGCAGGTTCAACCCTCACTCCATTCATTTTTTGTCTAACTTTACAATAATTATAATGTCACCAAGTCAGTTTTCCGGGGCATTTTGGTCATTGAAATCGGGAAGAGGAGTACTGTAAGAGTATCACTGACTAACTAGATGGTTTGTATTGTTATGTTAATGAAGAGAAAGAATTGAAGGAAGGAATTGCACGAAAATGAGATAAGAGAAGTACTGTAAATGACCCCCCCCCCGCCCGGCCGCACCCATTTTTCGCTTTCGCGTTTTCATCTTTAATAAAAAAAAATCGCCAGCGCGTTCGCCGAGTCAATGAAGCACAATCTTCCCTGTCGTTAGTAACAGAGTATTTATTGGGGGATCTTGTGAAACCTTTTTTCGGACAGGTGCCATAAAAATTCGAAAAATTGTAGGGTTGGCGGAAGGGGATGGGAGACATCATTCGACGATTGGGAGCGCCGTTGGTAATATCAACATAATAATACTGTTAATACAGGCAGCATGTAGCTGGTATACGTGTGTTTGAATCCTGACGGGAAACGTGGTGCTTGTGTTCTTGGGCAAGCATCTTTACTACAATTGACTCTTTTCACCTAGGAGTATAAATAGGCAAGGAAGGTGGAGACCAGATTGCATTGACGCTAATTAGCGAACGTCGTACAATTCTGCAGGTTTTTGATGACTATTAAAGGTTTTATTCCTGTTGGCTTCAGATAAATTTAGAAGCAAAATTTTATGTCAAACCAAATATAAATACTGTTATTGCGCGATTTGGTGAAATGCGCTCTCTATAGGCAATAACATGCCCCTTTTGATATTGTGAGCCAGGGACGAAGCCGTGAGGTGGAGCTCTACTTCAGTACTTGACTCATTATGTTGGCTAGACGGCGCCCTCTATAGTCCCTCACGAAGCCGACGGGTGTTCAAGATTTTTTTTGGGGGGGGGGGGGGGGTGCTGGGTGGAGTATAACATGACAACTTCAACATCACACCATGATGTTCCTTCTGGAGATTTGGCACTGGATTGAAAGAATCGGTGGATTCATTTTTGTCTGTCGTAAAAGCTATTGCAAAGCTTATTGCAGTACCGTGCATGGTTTTTCTTTCGAAATGGAAAATTAATTAATGTAAACGCGAAGACCAAAAATCTCTGTATATCTTTTTGCTCCAAATGAAAAAAAAAAGGCAAAACTTATTTTACTGTGTGTACAAAGCCTGAAGTAGAAAATAAGTTTGTTCCCAATTCAGTGCAATCAATGATGTGTTTACAAGCGACTGCAACTATTGTTTTATTTGTATTTTCTAATGAACATACAAATGTTGGTGTGAATTGCAAATGACTCAATGTGACTAGTATTATCTACGTCTGACAAGAACACTAACGGCCTCATTTTGGACGTCAGTATTTCGTCCTGTATAAGGATTTGGAATACCCAACGAACTCATACCTGGCGGATTCATTGACTCTGATATAATTTGTAGAGATAAACGGCAAGTAGGTCAAATGATGCTTTGCAGTTTGGTTGTATAGTTGTACGGTATTCACTGTATTCATGCATGTATGTCATCCAGGCGCCAGGTTCCATACAATCGAAGTTATATCGAAAGTCCGTTGCTGGGGACAAGGTTGAAGCCAAATCGACTCCGATAACAAGGCTAAACGCCATGTGGTAAAAATCGACCGTCATCGATATAATCAACAAGGTCTAATATAAAAAAGATGAGAATGCCTTCGGGCAAGGTGATAATTATATGCTATTTTTAAGGCGATTAATGCGAAACCATTATCGATTTGGGTATCGAACAAGCATTCATTGATTTTGGATGCCAAGGAAAGCCAGTATATAAATTCTGGCAAGAGACGAAATTGTTCACATTCTGTCCGCACAAGCAAACTTTGCGTACCACGATATTTGACTTGTGTCCAGAGTTGGAGAAAAGCTCGGCAAAAAGTTCATCTTTCGAGACGCAGATAAAGGGAGCAACATGGCTGGTGTAGTTTTGTCGTTCTTCTCGCTTCTGGTGGGGGCAGTGCTGGTGACAAGTGTGACATCAGGTTTGTTGAGAACTTTATTCCGTGCTTTCTATTTCGACGTCTGGTACTAGTAGGTCTAGACACTAATGACAAAAATGTCAGTTGATAAATGGACGATAAGATGTGCTAAGCTGCAATTGGGCAAACTTTTGCCATCCAAAATCTGAATAAATTGGTTAGACACCAAGGGAGAACCTATTGGCACACAAACAATAGCCACACCTTTGAAGGGGCGGGGTATCCAAAATAATTTCATTGTATTCCCAAAATATTTATCGACAGTTGTTCTTCCAATCTTTACAGCTTTTATCGTTGTTCATGGGTTTCCGTAAGTTTTGCAAACGTGCACGGCGTAGGCCTAATAAAACTAACCGAATCGGAATTCATTTTTAATTATAAAAACCGATTGGAAAGCATGCACTTTCGAGCTGTTCTTAAAATTAGGAATGTTGTCTTCATTTTTTTGGTTGTAAGCAGGGACGGATCTAGCTTTCAAGAAACGGGGGAGGCATGCCCTATATACTTGGGGTCCGGGGGCAGACCCCCGTAACACTTTGAAATGTGACGATGCTTTCGCCTGCTTTCCAAAGCAATTTGAGAATAAATTTAGGAACTTTAGCATTCCATTGCCATTCGTTCTTTATGTTTTCCATTCGTTCTTTATTCGTTTGACTAGTATCAAAACATGTACAGTCAGCGGCTCTGTGACGGGGGAGAGGGGGCGGGGGAGAGGGGAGGGGTGTCCCCTGATCCGTCACTGGTAAATTCATAAGTTTGGAGATCCGCGTCTATAAAGACCATATCGACATTTCAGTAAAACCTAAAACTATTAGTCAAAACAAAGCATCATGCACAGCTAGCTGACGACAGTGTCATTTAAAAGATAACCAATTTTTTTTTTTTAAATCGATGTAGGCCTATGTGAAATATGTGCTTTATCATTTTGACGTATAGGCTCTACTAAACTAACAAAATTAAAAACAATTCGTCTTTCGAAATGAGGATATGCACGGCTGGTGACTGTTGCTATCATGAAGGTGTAACATGGAGCCAATCAAAAAAATTGGCTTTGATTTTAAATGTGCATGAAATGTTTGCATTTTTTTCAGAAGCGATAAACTTCGCTTACAAGGTCGATGTGGCTTCGGAATCCCCCGACAAAATCTACTTGACCCTGACAGCAACGGACGGACACAGCGACATAACTGGGTCGAACCTGTGGAAGATGAGTGTGTTCGTGAGTCAGAACGACGACCCAGCAAACATCGATGGCGCCGCGGCCTACAGTGAGCAAGCCCTGGACCAGGCCGAGCAAGACCAGGGCGTACAGCCCAACGTAGACCTGACATTCACGGCAACACTCAATTTTGCCTTGGCCGATCTGGGCGGTTGCGAGCATGACTACAAGTACGTCTGCCTGGCTTTCGGCAAAGGAGACAAGCCCGATCCCTCGTTCGACTTGCTGCAGGGTTACAAAACCTGCCTTAAGTTGGGCAACGAATGTCTTGGAGGTAAGCATTCTGGTAAATGTGAAGCGTTGGGGGCAAAATGACACAGAACTGGGCAGAGGTCGAATTTAGGATTTAGAAAATAGGAAGAATGACATTCTACTATATCCCATTGCTGTTTGTTGCACTTCAATCAGACATTCCATTGACAAGTTATGACCGTTGGAAATTCGCATTTATGAACATGTCCCAAAAGTAAAATACTGGGAAAAGGGCCTTTAACATTCGAGTTTTATATAGTTGTGACAATGGAAGATGCCAAATTGTTTCTCCTAAAAAAAAAACACTTTTATTATACGATATTTATACTACTTATGTAAAATACGTGTATATCAAACATCAAAGATTAGAAGTATCAATAAATTTGAAAATCAGAAAAACTTCATCATTATTGAGTTTTTTGCATTATTCTCCACTATGGTCTGCGACCAGTTCCGTCTCTTTTTGCCAAAACGCCTCATACATTTCGATTGGGCGTTGTTAAACTAACGCACTAAAGAATGGAACCAGGGCCAATTTGAAGCAGCTGATACGCACAGAGATTTAGATATTCTCAGCAAAGAAGAATGGTATTTGTAACAATGTTTGTGATTGTGACTGCTGGGCAGTTCCATGCCAAAATATGCCAAGGCCAAAACATGCCAAAGGCCAAACATGCCAATGGCCAAAACATGCCAAAGGCCAAAAACATGCCAAAGGCCAAAACATGCCAAAGGCCAAAACATGCGAGGCTATTTTCGCAGGCGAGAGGCAAACAAATACTTAATTCCGAAAGTTCCAAGAAATTCCTCAGAATATTACACATAATGCTGTTGATATTGCCTGGAACCATGATTTGCCTGTGTGCAGTGCTTTGTCTAACCATGGAGGAATAAGAACACACCACCCTGATAAAGTTGTGTTAGGACCAAGTCATCCCAACGAGGCAATTTTCATAAGCAACCTGAAAAACCAAATTACCATCCGTCAGAAATATGCCTGTCGTTTTTTTCTTTGAACTTGCCTCGTGTGAAAGGACACTTAAAGTTTTTTTGGTGTTTTTTTTTTCAGACGCTGACAAAGCCGTGTCATTTGGCGGCTTCGGCTGGGGTCTAGCGGCCGACGGCACCTTCTCCAGCAACGTCATTTTCCTTGCCTCCTCCCGCCAGAACCTGGCCGGGAACAACCTGTGGAGCCAGAGGGTGGGCTGGACCAAAGTGAACGACCCGGCAACCTCCGACTACCTGGACCTGCAGGACGTGTTGTCGGCCGCGCAGAGCAGCACCAGTCTGGTCAACGGCGGGCCCCTGAGCTTCAGTTCACCCTTCAGTTACGATCAATCCAAGGTGGGCTGCGGCGTGGGTCAATACCGCTACCTCTGCGTCACCTTCGGCAAGGGGGATAATGCCGACCCGGACTATGCTGTCTCACAGAGCATGAGCAACTGTAAACTGGTGTATACATGTGATGTAAGTATAAACTAGGCCAACAAGATTAGACATGCCAATTATTAAGCTGGTCACTGCAGACCAATTTGATGAAAAGGGTCCATGTTATAACATGTTATCTCGGTCAATTCTTGGGCTGAGGTTAGGCTTAAGCAAGTCTAATTCACAAGCGTCACTGAGTCAGTCTGTAGTGTTACTCAGTCAGTGAGAGATATATAGTGTACAAATACGACTGCAACTAGAATCTCTTGGGGAATACCCATAATTATGTTCTTAGGAAAAATCAAACAATCATGACATTGGCCATCGTTTAAATGAAAAATATAATTTTAGCAATCAAGTAGTGTTCTCACTAACCATGACGCACATGCACCATGAAGATGGCAGCGGTGGCGATTTCTTGGCAACATTTTTTGCGATTTTTTTTTTGCCGGAAACGACAATATTTTACTCGCCTTACCCGTTTAGCTTCGAGAAGCATTCCCTGCTCTAAATTAAGTGATATATTAGGTCTGGTAGGCCCCAACTAGAACATCGTTCTATAGTAAGGATACACGGTCCCAACTATACTTTGGACGGTCCCAAAATTAGTTGGGGCCATTGCTATAGTTTGGGCGTAACAAGCCTAGAGATCTCTTAGAATTCAAAGTGACATTCATGCTATTCATTTCTTTACCCATAGGATTTTTAGATCCAAGATGGCAGCATAATGGTAGCAACGGGCAGACGGCAAACCGAATCCAAATACTGGACTACAAACATGGATCATACCACTACAAGTGATACATTATTATACTAGTTTCATAACACCAGCAGTTCTTGGCAAATTATTCTGGAGTAAAGTAGGGGCCTACTAAAATGATATTTAATCCTTCATACCAATTTCCTATCATATGGAGCTGCTGCTCAAAAAGAAATGATTTCTCAACAAATTCACTTAAAACACAGTTTCAAGTATTTTTTCTTTTGTAGCTAGTTGGGCATTACTACCGTTCGGCTGTTAATTATTATATAACCTTCATATTTTACAGACGTTAGTTCTAGTATATAGTCGGCTGCTGTGGAATGTATAACTTTATTTTACTATGGAATTTATTGGCATTATTTTTTGGCTCATACAGGATACATTTTGGTTTGTAGTGTTTTTTTTTCTTGACGACATTAGCAGCTAACCTCTCACTTAAAACGTTCTTAGGATGCAATCGTTCAAAACATTATTGGCAGTAAGCTTGTTCACTAGACTTTCTCATAAGAAGAGTACACGATTTTCCTTTATTTTAATACGTTTGATTTCCGTGTGACATTTTCAAAGACATGAACTACCCAAAATGGCACAATAGATTTTGTTAGTATTTGTTAAGATATATCGGCTGCATCAGCGTGGGTAGGTGGAGAACTAATAAATAACTTCTTGAAAACTGCACTTATTTATAGTCTAATCTATTTTTTGTTTAGACTGCCCGCGTTGGCTAAAAACGACCCTACATATGATGTACATAGTCCCTCACAACACCTCCAGTCCCAATTCAAATAATAAGCTATTCAAATGAGCGTTGACAAGTCCATTGTTTCTTGTGACTGGACTTGCGATTAGACTTATTCATTTGTGACTGGACTTTTTGATGACTCGACTACATCCCTGCCCCGAAAACAAATTCATTTAGATGAAACATCAAGACAATTGAACCACAAAATCGATCCGAGTTGCGATCAGCTCAACATAAGGTAACGGCTGCCGCCATACTTGTATATTCTATCGACCGCCATGTCAGACACTTGTGAGGACAAACTCTCATAGGGCCTAAGCGAAACAAAAACCAAACAAACAAGCAATATTAACCAAATAAAGTGCGCAACAAATCGCCATGAGAAGCCTACCAAACTAAATCACATTCACAAAAATTTTAACAGAAGCAAGGTATATAATGCAAGTGTAGAACAAAAACTACAAAACGTAAAAAGCTGAACAAAAACTAAAAATGACGTCGCCATTTCTGTCACATGATAGTCACGCCACCTGCATCATGGTTGCTTCAAAATGGTAAACACGCATCAGCTGTTCGAAGATATGACATATGACCTGTGACGCCACGCCCCGGTAACAATTACCACCAGAAAAAAATCAGTCATCGAAGTCTTTTATCTTGTTTCTATAGTGAACATATTTCAAAAGGAAACTGCTCTGGATTTTGCCATTCGTACCATTCAACTATTCAAGGAAATTCATGTTCGATATTGTTTGTCAGAAGTGAGATGTGGCAGTGTTTGTTTACGCCTTGATCTGCAAGTACATGTAGTTTTTAAAGGAAATAAAATGAAAGCGCATGCACGGGACATTTTACCTTGCACTTGCCACTCGACAAAACAAACCTTGGAACACCCACGCACAATGGATCACAAAACACTTGTCGCATTACGGCAAGCTATAATGTATTTCTATTATTGTCTTTTCATTCATTGTTTTGTCATTTATCTTTTTGTCAGGCCGCAGACAAGATTATACAAAACACCCACACATCCCAATTTCCCGACAATGAGAAATATAAAAGGCTTATTGATTGATGCGTTTGATTGCCTTCGGAGAAACTGTCAGCCAGCTGGCAAATGAAACCAAACATCAAAGGAGATTAAAAAACAAAAAACAATCGACGGACGAGAACAATAGCTATCTATGTTAATGTGACAGCTGATAATGCAGATAGAACTTACGGGTTAATAAACAAATATATATAAAGTAGCAAAATAGATGAACATTAAAATATAATGATGATTAGAAATCAACTTTGATACATCGAATGTTTGGCTCAATGTTGCTGTCGGATCTGTATTGCCAAACCGAATTTTGGTGGTTCCCTCATGATGTCAACTATCATGGGCAGAGATCCCGGGGGGGGGGGGAGGTGAGGGGGATGGCCCCCCAATTTCCAACATCCTTTATTAAAATAGCGCCCTCAATCTACGAATAGACCTACCCCCCCCCCCCTCCCCGGGCGCAATTTTTTTTAGGGTAATTTTTGGGGGGATTTTACCCAAACATATTGTGATCATCCCCCCACTTGGTGACATAAATCTCCGCCCCTGAAGGTATTTAGGTTAAGTCCCTAACTTCAGAGCTATAAAAATCACAGAATGTAAAAATCTATAATCAATGATGAAATGATCAATGATCTCACAGGCGTTTAATAAGTGATTAATACCGAAAGGAAACACTATAGGCATTATGTGATTGTGCTCGGTGCATGGAATAGTCAGTTCCCTTGGGATAAAACAAGACATAGTTTCACATGCTCTCCTCAACGAAATAAATTTGTTTAATGTCGGAAAAAGTAATTAATTATGTCGTGCTTACGAAGTTGAAGAAAAACAGTGTTTTCCAAAGACTTGTTTCTGCTCTTCATAAGAGCATCCAGTGTACGAACGACGGTGGAAGGACTGGGCACCAGTCTATGTGGCATCCAGTCTATATAAAATCCGATGGATACTTCCCATTATACCCGGATTTCATATCCTATTGAATTCGAAGACGATAAATCAGACGTTCCTAGCATATTCATACTGTTGTTTCCGAAGATAAGACAAGAGGCTTATTAAATCAAACGTTGACAGGTTGTTGTATGCACATTATTCTACAAAGCAAAGTATAAAAAAAGCCGAAAATGGATCGAGGTTTGTAGGCTTTTCTTAACTGAGGGGGTTAGGGGCTTTTCTTAAATCGGGGGTTGGTGTGGTAACTCATTGCCTGCTGTCGTGCCTCGGTAAAGCCTCGATTTACCCATTAAACCATAATGCATGTGGGAAGATAGTTAATGTTGTGCAATAACTTCGAGACAGATAAGAGGGGTCCTTTTCTTATATGAGCAGGCAACTAAAAGGGAAGGGTAAGTGAGTGCGTCTGCGCAAAAACTACGCTTTATACCATTTTGACAATTTTATAAGTTACCATGCAGGAATCATTATGAAGCTTGCGTATGTAATTTAAAATTGAAATTTCAGTTGTTTCTTTAAGAAATAATGCAAAATCAAACACAATATCGTGTTGGTTGAGACACATTGTTCACAGGCCTCGCAACATATACTAATGCCGGAAAATTCAAGCTAATTGGTTGTCTTTTAACCAACTAAATGGGACATTTCAGGGGGGGGGGGGCGTCATGTAGGGGCGTCAATCGCTTCTCAAAAGTGGGGTGGGGGGACATGGCTTGATCAGAACTGATGCGAGCGCGAAGCCCTTACGGCGTGGGGGTTCAGGGCCCGCTTAAGGGCCCCGGGAAAAAATTGGATTCTAGATGTTCTATGGTGTGATCTGAAGCAATTTCTTACCACTTTCCTCCATGCTTTAACAAATATTTTCTTAGCAAAAGATACTTATTTGAACATTGTTTTCGAGGTTGGAGTCATTGAATCAGCTACCAGAATTCTGAACTATAGGCGTGGGGTTCAGGGCCCGCTTAAGGGCCCCGAAAAATTTTGGATTCTAAATGCTCTGTGGTGCTATCTGAGGCAATTTCTGACCACTTTAACCAATATTTGCTAAGCAAAAGATACATTGTAGTACATAGATCAATGATAATTTTTTTAGAAACTCAAAATCTCAGTGGGGGGGGGGGGGGGGGGGGGGGGGGGGGGGGCGACTTGGGGGCGACAAGGTTTCATGGGGGGGGGGGTCGCCCCCCCCACGCCCCCCGGTGGCTACGCCACTGCCTACATGACCTGAGCATTGCATGCACCAACTGGCAGCTCGCAGACACCCAAACAATGAAACACAGGATGCACAATATTGTGAGAGTAAATCACTTGCAAGGCGTTTGAAAACATTTGGCAACCTCTAGAGGGCGGACGTGTGTCTCTTCCTCCTGTGACGTCAACATGGGCGTTCACGAGATGGTACGTACGTTGAAGGACATAGCATATGACGTAAGCTTGCAAGGTAACGACGTGCAAGTCGACGGCAGTCTACACCTGGTGGTCGGATACATTCTGTGAAATTCAGGTACTGTGAACTGCCTCCAAAATGATTCGTCAGATGCAATTATCAAAGAAAATCTTCCTTTTATTTGGAGTGGGGGTGCACGAGTTGAAGAGCCAACATAAACGAAGGCCAACCAGATGTTCTATGGGACTAATAAATCTTCAGAACTTTGGGAACTTTCCTAACTTTTCTTCAACATATATTCATAACAACATGCATGAAAAACCTCACCAGATTTTCATATTTCGAGAAACGGACTAGCAGGTGGGAGGGAGTCGTTTCAAATTCTCAGAACCTTGCCTTGACAAACAGCTCAGACAATTTCCTCTATGAGAGTCATTGTATGCAGTCTCGTCTCCCTCTCTGTTTTTAAACCTTACTCAGATGTTCTCGATATCCCACCGGGACCTCAACTACGGGGAATACTAATGGGAGGAAAAGCGCAGCGGAGGCAAAAAGGCCCTCGCTCCTTTAAGAGAAGGTTAAGTTGAACGCGTGCCAAGGAAAACTGCAAGGCAATCGGCAGGAACCAACATCTCTAAGGACTTAAAACAGGGTCACTGATATTGGTCGGTTAACCTTCTACCCTGACCCTTGCGGGAGTTGTTGATCGAATCACGTTCATTTGACGGTCGGGCGCCGCCTTGGATATGAAGTGAGAGCAATATATCTCTCCCCAAGACAATTGCCTTGTTACATTCTCTGCCTGCACTTGCTGTCCTGTAACTGGGTTATAAAACTCTCGCACCGCTGTACGTGCAAGGAGGCCACTGGAGCGAAAACTTCGCGAGGCAACTGGAAGAGTTGTTATGTTCGTGGGGCCTTTTTAGGATTTGGTATCAGAAATGGCTGCGACGCCAAGTAGGGTTTTCTTTCTCCGGTGTGTGGTTCTCTGCATTGTCTTGACAAACATTGCGGCACAAAGTAAGTACATTTCTGCTAATGTGAAGAGATATTCCACATCCCGCACAGAATAATTTTTGGTATTTCACTTCGGGCGGAGTGAAGATGAGTACATACGAGTTAGTGATAAATTGATGCTATATCCTGTCAAAGTAACAAGAAGCATTGATTTCTGGCATTAGTAAGGATCAAGCGCCATATCAATGACTGATGAGAATTCATGCATACGTATGGATTGAGATTTTGCGCCGTACCCGATTGTTGTGTTGAGGGTTAAAGGGAATGTACAATTATGTTTTCATAAATAAATGAATTTTGAGGATAAGTAGGTTGTAGCAAATATTGTTCAACTGACTTGGTTCACGTTTTGGGCTTGTAGATGCTGGAAAAACATAGAAAACCAATCATGTTCTTGTAGTCTGGTTCCCTGACCCCACTAAAGATGAAACAGAGCAATTTGTATACTTTGGGGAATTGTAAGGTCAAAGAATCAGTCTAGTAGGCTTGTACCCCATCACAGGTGTGTAATCAATTGCAAAGAAAATGCAGAATAGCTAAATATGAAAAACTAGGAGTAGTTTTTGAAAAAAGGCCAGTTTTTTCCAACGCTGGTCGGCCGACCAGCGTTGGAAAAATACAGTTTTTCTTAAATTGTCAGCACATCAGGAGCCACAATTTTTCAGGATGCTTTAGACTGTCATTCCCCAACAATCCAGTAAGGTATTTCGCGTTAATTTGATCATTTCGTTATTTGATGTTTGCAAATGTTGTATCTTCCCTTTAACTAGGTCGGGGTTAAAGTTGACTCAGTACGTACTACTCTCCAACTCTTTCCCTTCCACATAGTCAGGTGGCTTAGATATAATTTTCGTCAAGATCGTGACCGACTGGTCCAAAGCACCAAACTTGGCAGATAGATTCTTATAGACCTAGAGAAGTTATTTAGAAGGGGTGACACCTGAAATTCTTTTTGAAGGGTGCCTAATTTGCATAATTTGTTAATACCTGTGTGTAATATATTTATTCCCATATCATGGGGGTATATTTAAAAAAAAAAAAAAATCGAAAAGTGTATTTTGGGGATTCTACTTACCTATCTTTGCTTAAATAACATTTTCCAAAGTATACAAGTGACTGAATAATTATGAGGACATAGTAACGATCCAAAATGGCTACTATTATGCCCTAAAGTTGCGCGCATTTACCTTGTCTCCAGATATCATCAATTAGTCTTGCAAAATATCAGCATTGATGAACTTCAAATTCACCAAGAAGCTTACTGGTCCAGTTACCCTATTAAAACCTTATGCAAAATCATGTGAACAATGATAACATTGTGATATTTAGCCAAGAAAATAAAAATTGGGAAAAAACGAGGTGTCCATAAATTGGGCTAACAAGTAGGTGAAGGGTTGCCTAACATGGAAGACTGGAACAAGTTCAAGGAAATTCCCAAAATTATTGTTGAGAAAACGTTTTGGCGTAGAAAAAAATTATTGTAAACAACAATAATCTCATATTTGGTGGGATTTCGTTGAACTTGTTCAAGTCCCCACGTTACCCTTTCTGTAGTAGCCCAATTTACGGACACCACAATTTCTCCCCTTTTTTGGTCTTTTGGGCTAAACATCAAGATGTTATCAATTTTCACATGATTTCCCACTTATTTTGTTAGGGTAACTGTGCCAGTAAGTAACTTTGTGAATTTGAAGCTCATCAATATCCACGTTTGGCAAGACTAATTGATGATATCTGAGGAAAAGTTAAATGCGCGCAACTTTAGGGTAAAATAGTAGCAATTTTGGTTCTTTACTATGTCCTCCTAATTATTCAGTCACTTATATGCTTTACAAAATGTTATTGAAGTAAGAATATGCATGTAGAATCACCAAAATACACTTTTCAAAAAAATAAAAAAAATAAAATATACCCAAATATGGGAATAAATATATCACACGGCAGGGATTACCGATTTATGCAAATTAGGCACCCTTCCAAAAAGAATTTCAGGTGTCACCCCTTCTAAATATCTTCTCTAGGGCTATAAGAATCTATCTGCCAAGTTTGGTGCTTTGGACCAGTCGGTCACGATTCCGACCATATGCCACCTGACTAACATGAGTGGCCAGTGTTTGAATCCTACTGAGGCAAACAGGTCATTTGTACTTGAAGTACTTGCCTTACTATCCGAGTTTTCCCTTGAAAAGGGTTCTTGCGTCTTCCTTCCACGTATAAATTGACAATTTGCAAATTGGCACTGCAACCGAGGGGCCTCAGTAATATCTTTAGTTGAGAGGATTTAAACAGAAAAGTCTCAATATGCCATACAATGGCTCATCGATCGGTTTCAATTCCAATTTCAAATTCGTCTCATTCCGCCATCATGTTCTCTTTAAGTTGGCTTGGAATTCCCAGCTAGAGCGCACTTTTGGAAAATGCAACATTGAATTATCAGGAACAAGTAAACTAATAATATAGATAACAATTCAGGCGCGTCCGCAATTACTTTTTCTGCAACCAAGTATAGTCAATTACCATGATACGCCTGCGTCAGTTGGATACCACATGGTTCTCGGACTTAGCTTCTCTGTAGAAAAAAGAAATTCTCCTTGCTGATGGACGAATGAGAAGAAAAGGGTGGAATTTATTATATCGATCATTAGGACTTGATTAAACACAATTGAGGGAAGATAATTCATTTTTGGGGGAAAAATTGTAACATTTCTTTAAGACACAAACCCGCATTCAAGTTATTTGTTCACGTGATATGTTTGATGCATGGCCCCGGTCAATGACTTTACCGAGGTGCACAAAATAATATGTGTGGCCCGTCTGTTATACTAAACCATCGCCAATCTTTTGTATTATGCAATATTGTTCCCGCGTTTTCCAGGGATCTGTTTTCAATGCTCTAAACAGCGTGTGCATACTTCCTCCAAGTCACTGGGCCCTAATTGACCGACTTCCCCGATACCCAGCTATGGCCGTCCCCGATCCCTGCTCCCTATTGATAGATGTGACGACTCACGAGAGAACCTATGCACTGAATACTCCCCAGAGAAAAGCAAGAACGTTGCAATAATAAATTATTCAGCGATTTCCAGAAAGTATACTTTTGTGCATCATTTCTTTATTAAGAAAATATGCCTGGGGAAAAGTGTGTCCTTACACTAGTGTGGTTTAAGGTGGACATATTTTTAAAGTTTTATTGCTATATTCCGACGAAAAATATATATATATTTTTTTCGAGAACTCGTTATCATTTGTTTTTGGTTACTTTGTTCTTGATATTACATACCTTAGCGCCTCAGGACCTATCTTGGCACGTTGTTTCTTCACATTGGCCCCCTTCAATGGCGAAAGTATCGTGCTAGCTATAATGTTCAGATAATCCGTCATGGGGCATTAGCTTTGCACAATAACTTGTACAATGGTTTCTCCATTGAATGTGGCCTCGTACGGTAGTGGCACACCCAGGATTTGGCGGGGGGGGGGGGGGGCTCACAATTTTAAACTTTCAAAAAAATTTGCCGAAAACGTTTGGCCGCAGGAAAAAGAATGGGTGTGTGTGTGTGTGTGTGTGTGTTTTTTTTTTTTTTGGGGGGGGGGACTATTTTGACGTTGGTGGCGCCACTTACACCCCTATTATACTACTCAAAAATAGGCCACATACATAATCACCAAGGTCAAATCGTTGAACAGTCTCTCTCGACTGCGACCATTTTCATTTATCCCAAAAGTAACCTTGCGAATTATTATCGAAAAGCTTACTTTGACTGAAGATCGTTTATGCTAAACACCTGTGAAATTATTCTTTAGAAGAAATCGAGAAATGTCAATTGGCATGATTGTTGGAAATAATAGAGTAGGCCTAATATTAGTCGTGGTTCGTAATCAGAGGTTGTGCATGGTTTTTCACTGTTTTCTCGAAAAGAATAACATCCACTCAGCTGAAAGTTCTCATCCACTCAGCTGAAAGTTCTACGCGTTAGGTTATGAGCATTTGTCTTTTTGATTTTGTGCGGCTATTATTGAAAACGAAACAAAGATCATGAAAAACAAATGATAAAGCCTTTAACGCTATAGGACCGCCGTATCATGGTGAATAAAAACTCCCAGAATAATCAGAACATGAATGCACGAGCAAATTCATTGCGTATGGCCGTTTTCCAGTAAGCTGTTTCGACGAGAAAAAAAAACTTTCCCCGCTTTTAGCAAGTTTGCCCATCACGTCCATCGAAGTTTTTCTTCTGACATTTCAATCCTCACGTCCTGAGCATATCGGTATCGACTCTGTCTCTGACATTTCAATCCTCACGCCCTGACCCTATCGGAATCGACTCTTGACATTTTCCGTAATCGAGCCTGCTCCCTGCGCGAGTCAGGATAACCCATGCAAACGAAGTTACAAGTTGTGTATTTGGTTATTTGGCTGGACAAGAATCTTGTTAAGTGTGCGACCCCGGTGTCTGACTGCGCCTTGAATGAGGTTCAACTTATATGCGCGTTTGGTTAACGGTAGGCCTACTTCAAACTTGCTTCATGTCATATATAGGAGCATTTGCTTTTCATGCGTTTTGATCGTTTTTAAAAATCACACCACTCAAAATCCAAAAAAGAAGAAGAATGTTCAAAACCGTTCGGTTACCTGTTATTTCAGCTCAGATGATACTACACACTTCGAGAAAACAGTGAAAAGCCATATACAAGCTGTTGATGATAAAACACGATTTCGTTATTACTCTTTGTTTCCAAGTAACAATCAGTCAATCGACCGATCTGGTATCGTTCATAGTTTCGTATAGCTCACTATCAAATCCGACGAACTTTGCTTCAATTGAAATTTTTGAAGTCAACAGTCCCAAGGATACGGAATATTAGGAAGAAAAACACAAAAAATGTAGGAGTTTAGCGCAAAGCCCAAAGGTATAAGGGCATTGTGTGAACGCCCGGTCAATAGCAGACGCGAGCTTCCTGAGTGCATCGGCCCCGAGTTTGAATCTAGCAAAACAATCGATTTTTAGAGATTATGTATCGTATAGGTAATCACTGTCCAACCACCTTCCCCGCTGGATATCCCACCTAAAACTTGGAAATGTATTACTCATTTGTTATAAAAAGAATCGACTTGTTATGCAAAAGAAACTTTTATATTCAGTGCCAAGATACCACATGGCGCTTTGAGTCCTTAATAAATACTTTAAAACAGACCGTCATATAGTCTCAGTGTTGTTTAGAGGCAAAGTCTATATTTTTTAAAGGTTATTCTTGGGGCTCCGAAATTCAGGTTAATTGAGAATGGTTTTTGTTTCTTTCTGAAAAATAATTTTGCCGGTCATCAGCCCCAAACAAATCCCTTCGTGTCATTCATCATTGTTAGATTTTGCTTGACGGTTCGGAAAAGAAACTGCTCTCAAATAAGATGCATTTCTAATGCTTTTTCCCTCCCAGAATGTACCAAGAAGTGTCCCAAAGCGACCAGGCCCGTTTGCGGTTCCGACGGTAAGACGTACAAGAATCAGTGCAAGTTGGAAAACAGGCAATGCTATGATTCCAGCTTATATCACGTCAGCGACGGAGCATGCCGACGTAAGTTGCAGGATAATGTTCTATGCGGGTCAAAGGTCAAGTTGCTGTGATGTAATGATTGGTCGATACGCATCGAGAAGTTTCATGACATGCGCAGTAGCCGCAGTTGGGATATTTATTAAGTCCCACTAGAACAAACAGAAAGAAAGGGTGAGGCTGCAGAAGGCAGACCTGTAAATCAATTGCCATAGACCCCGATGATGAATGCCATCACTTCAACAGAAATCAGGAGCAATACTCATAAGCTTATTTCATCGTCTTTCACTTTCTGTTCAATTTCTTGGCGTTGGACAAATGACTTTTGTGGAAATTCTACTCCGAAGATCATCACCTCTAACAAGAGGTAGTCATGAGGTCTGTAGCCATTTTGAAAAATGATCCCTCAATATCATCGGAAATTAATGCAATGTTATGGCCCATATAATTTCAACCAAATGTCACAGAAATGCGAGCTCAAATTTCCTCTGCAGAGCCTCTACCCTTCAGTTTTACAAATCCTTAACGGCACGTGCCGCACAACCCTCTCAGATCGAATCTTTGGCCCGCGCTGGAAATTTTGGGCTAATGACAAGTTCGCCAAAACATTCACAGTCGGGCACTCATGGGCAAAAACAAGTATCCGATGGCCCAGGCAAAGGTTTGCGGACACGCAATGCGTTGGCGTTTGCATGGGAGAACAAACGTTGTTATAATTCCTTAACTTATCATTTGTGGCAGATGTACAATGTATATAGGCCTACACGCACTCAAATGTTTGCTTCAGGCAGTTACATTTTGATTTGGCAAAAACGTATAACCAGCAAAAATGCAATGCAATATTTTGCGTGGTTCTTGGTTTATATTGAAACTCTTTAAGTGAGAAATTAATTGATTGACGACGGCGTTTCAAGGAGGAGGAAAGCATCCCAGCGACATTTAGCCATTGCTTTTATTTTACTGAAACGCTGTGGCAATTATAACAACCTCTGCTAGTGCCATCCCAACCTTTCAAATATTCTTACGGGCAAAGGCGACTTTTTTCAGGAAAATAATCCCAGACTTATCTCCGAAAGTTTGGTTATGATTGGAAGACGTTGGCTGATGTATCAACCTTTGCGCTTATTATTCTTGAAGGACCTATACATGTAGTATTAATACAAAGATGGTGTAGCCACCAAATTCAGATATATGCCTATAGGTGCCTTGAAAATAGGCGAAAGTCCTCCAATAAACTTTGTCGGTAAATGAACAGGGTGAGTCAAAAAAAGCGGAACTCAAACGCCAAAAATTATATTTCATATTTAAAAAAAAATATGTAGCACCAACAATAATAATGACTGGAAAGTTAATTTCATAAGCTACTTTTAGACGAAAAATTACTGAAATTGGTCCCCCCAAAAAATGCGATTTCAAGAATCGTCGTCACAACTGTCTTCAAGCATCACCAGCAATAAAATCTCAGTTGAAACGTTAACAATATGCAACAAAGTTCTTTTGAAGGCCAGTCTTAAAAAAAAAAGGAGATTTTATAAATCATATTGTTTGCCAAACCAGGGTTATTAATCACAATATTGTGTACTACAGTTGGTGACAGTTGTTGAAACAAGTATTCTGTGTCATTTTCTTTATTGTTCCAAACAGTCAAAACACAAAGTAAATTGCTTTTTTTGACGAGACAGGTTTTAAGGTCGTTGCGTTTAAATGGTGATATTCTTTGAACGGATTGACCAATTTCAGTAATTTTTTTCATCTAAGTGTAGCTAATGAAATTTGCTTTCCAGTCATTATTTTTTTGGGTGCTACATATTTTTTTTAAATATGAAATATATTTTGGGGGTTTTGCGTTCCGCTTTTTTGACTCACCCTGTACATGTATTAATCATAATCTTGGATGACCCTCATGCAGGCTGCAAGCGGCGATGCGGCGACACGTACGAGCCAGTCTGCGGCTCGGACGGCGTGACGTACGACAACCTCTGTGAACTGGACAACAGCGCTTGCGACAACCCGATGGTATCCATGCAGGCCAACGGAGAATGCCCAAAGGGTAAGAGTTGTGCATGTAATGTACACCCGGGCCCCTACAGGTTTCTGGTTACACGGTGTGAAACCAGTCATTCCCCGGAGTACTGGTTAAAACTTGAACTCCGCTACAAAACTAATTTAGAAGTTGTCCGGGTGTAACTTTATGCGAAAGGGCTTAAATTACGACTGGCATTTCGATTGAACTGTTTGACCTCAGAAATTACTAGGGCACGTGTTTCAGAACAATTTTTTTTGCCATGATAGCACTACATGGTGGGTAATATGGTTTTGAACCCTCGAGTTCCTAAATTAGTGATATCTGTACTGAACGTATAGGGAATAACACTTCAAAAATCTGCAGTGTTAATTTGACACCATTAATCTATGATAAACCGTTTTCGGTAGATACCACACGGTGTGCAAAGAGTGTGGTTTTACACCACATGCTTTTTGACCAGGGGATAGGCCATTGGATCATCCCCTCCCCAACATTTTCTTGGTGATAAACCAAAAATTGCGGATTTGAGGTAATTTTCGATCTCAACAACCAACATGTATTAAATAGCACTGAAAAACGGGAAAAAGTACAAAAGCTGTAAATGCGCCGAAGTGCCCAAGTAACGTGAAGAGCTTGGAGACCTTTGGTATAAAGCGCTATACGATGCAGCACATTATTATTATTATATTATAACATAAGATGTACATATGTATCATAAACAGCGCCCCCTCCCCCCCCCCCCCCGCTTCGAAATTCCACAGCCGGACAATTTTTGGATTTTGGTCATCCGCCGTCACTCTACTCGCCGGCGCCGGCACAGAATTACGTCATACAAGGGGGTTTAATGATATCTACAGATTATATTAAAAGATAAATACATGTACATTTAAGCCAGGAAGTTTCAAGATTAACTCATACTCTGATTTCTAATTAGTGACAAAGACCACGGAAAGAACCATTCTAGTTGTAGCTTTTGTGTGTTATTACGTACGATAGATTCATACCGTAACTCAAAAATGACACATCAACAGACCTCACTCCCAAAACAGTTATCAACAATTCGTTCGTTAAAATCAACGAAACTAATGGCGTCATGTGAATAAGATTTCCAATTCCCTTGTGTAAATCTTCATGTCGTGACAATGTTTCGAAGCGGTTTCATTTCGGAGAGGAAAAAAGGGACCACTCTTTTAAAAAAAGTTGTTTCGATATTATTCATAAGATGGACTTTTGCGTCGGGGTGATGTAAATCAAATGTTTCGATAATATTAAACGTGGACGACCGAGCGACAGTTTTCAACAGGCGAATAAAACCCGCGGGATGAATTATTACAACAGAAGCCGATCGTGTAAACCATTCTTTTATATGGGTACAACGTATTCCCATATCCTTGTCGCATATCGACACGTATGCGAAGGTTAACAAGTTCATAATGCTGCCGGCGTGATAACAAGTAGATGTCTTGTTGGCTTATTGGATGCTGGGGGAAACTTGGCTATGAGTTTGACCCCATCTAAAAAAGCCTTGACCGTTAGCACTGTGCCGTCTGTGTAGACTGTTTATAGCCTGTGACCTTTTGTTTTAATGCTTAAGTTCTGTACAAACAGACTGTTTATGTCTTCGTGATGTAGCAACTTCATCTTGCAATACTTAGACTGTGGTCGAAACAACAAATAGTGAAACTGGCGTTAAGAGTTCCGTATGTTCGATGACATTGTTACCAAAAAATGACTTCCCCCCTTCAGGCTTCACAAACTCATTTTAAGAAACTGATTTTAAATTGATAAAAAATTGCCTGAGCAAGTGCATAATACGTGTGTTCCGTCCGTTCTTAAAGTTGAGGTGTGAGTGCATTTTGGCAGAACCAATGATCGAGGAAGCATGGAGTGCGATAGCGCCTAGTTGAGGACAGCTTCGCCAATCGAGTAAACCTATCATTTTATTACTTTTGAAAACTTGATGATTTTACGAAGAATAAAATAGTGAATTTATGCGTTGGGATTCTTGAAGAACATAACACTTTTTGGAATGGATTTTCGGGAAAAGAAAAATTGGTTGAATTCGAATCTTTTTTAAGTTTGGAGGTAATTTTTTTGATAAGAGCCCAGTAAGGCAAAAAAAAATATTCGGTCTCTGGTCAGACCAAAGTTCCGGAATTGACGCGGCGATGCGGCTTTTTTTTTTTTTTTTTTGCTTTTTTTTTGTTTTTCAAGCTTGGATTGTACAGACAAGGTGGGGTACTATTTTGCTTTTTTGGTGTCCTCATGTACATTGGTGTCCTCCATAATTTGCCCTGGTGCTCTCGATCATTTGCCTTGGTGCAATTTCCCATTCCTTGGTGCTCTTTGGTAAAATAAATTGAGGAGGTGCGGCAATAGAGGGCGCTGTTGGAGCTACCGCGGAACATTTTGGAAAAAAAAGAAAGATTGACGCGCATGATTAAAATCGACGCGCGCTGACCAGAGACCGACTTATTATTTTTTTTGGCCTAAAGGCCGGATTCGCCAATTGAGTAAACAAATGTAATGGCCTGGGCGACAATTTATAGTTACTGAACATAAAGGCCGGTTCTAAGCGCAGAAACGAGCGGGGTCGCGAGCATTCGTGCTGCAAATTCGAAAAATGTAAACACATTTCATGTTTCGTGATGTCAATTCGCTTCTATTCGCATTGATTATGAACCGGCCTTAATTCACTTCACATTGTCCCTCTGATCAGAGGTGATTCTGATGAACTTCCAGACTGATCTAGTCGCCGTGGGAGTCACGACAGGCCCCAGCGACGTGACCTTCGAGTTGATCGTCACCAGCGCCCCGGGCAGCCAGAGCATCAGCGGCCGGGGTCTGTGGAAGCTTGGAATCTACGGTTGCCGCTACGAGGACGGCTGGTGTGACAAGATCGGTCACCTTCCACAGATCCTCAGCAATGAGCAGGCTTCGACCTTTCTGGTAGGCGGCCAACAGATGGTGATTCAGGACATAGTAGCCCACTTCGATGTCAGCATCATCGGTTGCGACGACCTTCCGTATATTTGCACCGAGTTCGGGAAGGGAAACAACCCACGACCGGACTTCACGCTGACCATGGGCTTCTTTGATACCGCCATCAGCTGCTGGAGGCTTGAGTGCCACCAGTTACCCGTTACAGGTATAGTCATGATTGTATACGCCCCTTTTTCTTCGGTCCAAGGTAGAATAGATGTCAAGAAAATTAAAGTAAAAACTACCATGAACTTGTCTTAATACGAAAGCTCATACAGGTTTTTACCTTCGGTTAGTAAATTGTATTATCTATTCTCCATATATCTTCCGTCAACGCTAACAACACGGTTGTGTATCTTAACACAAATCAAGAGTAAACGATCAAAAGCTGTATAAAAATTTGAAAAGGCAAAGCCTTCATAAGTTACAAGTCAAAGTGTCATGGTGAATTTTGTTAAGCAAATGTTGCTCAGCTGGCTAATACATTTTAATAGCAATATTTTCTGCCAACCAACTTCATGGAGTTGCGCTCCTAGTGCCGCGTGTGGCTTGGACAGGGAGCTCTCTGCCAGTGGGTAAATGACGAAGAAGTTTTTTTGTTTAATCCCTGAAGATCCCCCGGTTGTGACTCAAGCCTGCCGCTACCAGTGCCCCGAATCAGGCAATGTTGTATGCGGTAGTGATGGAAAGGCGTACAACACAGAGTGTGTTCTGGATAATGAGAGACGGTGCGGAGAAGATCCAAACAGTTACTTGCTGACAAGGAAACACTACGGACCTTGTAGGAAAGGTAAAGGAAAGAATGGAGACAAGATTCCATGGCATGTTCCCTCCCTTCTCCTCAAAAGAAGTTCAGACTTGTTTGAAATGGGAAGGGATGTGCTTACTCAGGGTGATTCCTCCTACAGTTGAAACTGACATTTCCTCCTACTGTTTATCTTCTGAGCGAAGACGTCAGTGACAGCGATGCTTATACATAACGCGCGCTATGCAAATTTTGTATTACCTTGGGCAATGTCAGAACATCCATGCAAAGTGCAGTGGGCACAAAATGCAAGACCTCTTGCACCTCCATCCCGATCATTAACAAGATTTTACATTTGTGCTACACTGGGCAAATATCAACATTTCAACTGACAAAGTCATTCAGCCCTATTCTGGAATGCTGCTAGCAATTATTCTAGTCTACCAACTTCTTCCAAGTATTAGCTCATGTGACAAAATTTTCAAACATTCACCAGGAGTATTCTAACTTTATAATAGCTCATGTAATGTATGAGAACCTGTTTTCACCTATGAGTTCGCCGTTTAACAGCATTGTGGAATTCAAACTTTTTCTATCTGGGCTATGTGGTAATTCCAGCTTCTGCAGAATCGCTCTGTATACAAACTATTTTCACACACCACTCCACCCAAGAAACCAGGAGAGATGAGACTAATTGATATTGTTGTGGCACTTGTTTTGGAACATGTACAGGTGTTATCATCGACTCAATGTTCTGGTCGGCCCAGGCCAAGGAAGCTCCCGGCCCAACAGGTGACACTCTGATAGCTGTGGAGGCGCTCATCATATCCAACTCAACAGGAGAGAGCATCTCTGGCAGGAATCTTTGGCGTGTTGGGTTTTACGGGAGCCAATTTGCCGACGGGTCAGGTCCCAGGCTGGGTTACATCCAGCAGATGCTAGACAGCTCACTGGCTTCTACCACACTGGCTGCTGGCAAGTAAGGAAGATTCAAAATAGCCTTTTATAATGCAGCTTGTCAATGTCAAACGCTAAAGCTGAAGTCACAGGCATGGCCATGACTGCCTTTGCCTAAAATTTATTTGGGTAGGCTGTCAGTCAATCTGAAATGTATTAAAAGAGAATTAAAATTATAATGACCTTTGCAAAACATGCACTGCCAAATGATTGTATGATGACCAGACTAACCATTGAGTGATTGTGACTTTTGAAGAAAATTCACACTTGTCTGTGGAATGACTGAAGTCACAGTTATCCAATCTGTCTTGACCAACTCAACTGATCAAACGTGACTCGATAAATCCTGTTATAACGTCCGATGATAGCCAACCAACCAATGATCAGGTAATGGCCCAATCAACTAACCATCCATTTTCTGAGGTGTTCATCAAAGTAGGGTGAACTACTGAGCGTGGACTGACCACTCTAGGCAGACCAGACTGATAGGAGATATTGCAACTCTATCAAGTACAATGTACTAACCAACTGACATGTGTCACACTATACCAGTCAGCTGATCAGCTTAACATCCACACACATTTAATAGCTAATGCAATCCAACAATTGATTGAAGTTGACCTGAGCTAGGACCAACGAGCAGTTAAAAAAAAACAGTCGTAGGGTGACTCTGGGCAACTACTGACTCACATCATGTAGCAAACGAAACTTTTTACAACTTCACACACCTTTATCAATTAAAAAAAAGCATGATGAAAGACGATTTCAACCTTAAAACTTTCTCTAATGCATTTCAGGGCCATTGTGCTGAATGCAGAGGCTGAGTTTGATGTCGCTGGGGTGGGATGCTCTCGTTACACGTTCATATGTCTTGAGTTCACCAAGGGAGATTCACCCCAGCCTCCATTCCCTTTCCATGGGAATGCTGGACCTGAGGGTGCTGGTGTCTTCATGTCATGCCAACCAGTGCCGTGTGACAGGGAACCTGAACCAGAACTTCCAGGTACTTGTTGCAGTTTATACGTTTTAATTTCGTTTTGACCAAGGTAGAGTATTGCTTGATTGAATACCAGGACATGTTCATTTGCAAAGATAAAAGAAATGTATACACTATTTTATAATGGAGGAAGAAAAGGACAAATGACAGACAAAACTATCCAGATTTAAAATTTTGAAATACGAAGATAACTGTGGAGCTTTCCACACACAATTATGGATAGCAAAGTTTAAGTGAAAGTTGTGAGTATTAACGGAAGAAAGACATTGGTGAAGACAAAATGTAAAATGAGAGATGGTAAGGTACAACACTGACCTCAAAGCATTAACATCGAAACAAGGCTAATGTGTATTTTCATTGCCAGATGATGGTCGCATGAGAGTGGTCGTTGGTCAATTAGGCTGGGGACTACGAGCAGGTGGACTCCGGCCAGATGGCCTTTATGACGTCACCCTTAACCTGAATGCACAGATAATGCCAACAAGTGACTACGTTGCAGGCAGTAACCTGCTGCGGGTGGGCCTCTTTGGTAGCCAGAACCAAGACGGTAGTGGTCCTAAGCTCGGTTTCCAGAGACAAACCCTGACCAGCCGAGATACCTCCCGTACCTTGGTACCAAGTAGCAATCTAGTGATTGAGGACATCCAGACAAAGTTCCCAGTGACAGGTTTAGGTTGCTCCGAGTATGGGTTCCTGTGCCTTGAGCTTGCCAAAGGCGATGGGGCCAATCCAGACTTCATCTTCATCTCAGAGAACACTGACACCACCTCAACTCAGGATGCGGTGATATTATGCAAGGAGATTCCTTGCAGAAACCCAGGTGGTAAGATAATTAAGCCTTCAAAACCTGCTACGAATTGTCAATAATTTGTTGCTGTAGATATTCATTGTTATAAAGCATTGTTGTCTTTGGAGCAACCCCTTTGGTCTCTTGAAAGAAGTTATCTAAAGTTAGAGTAAGATTATGCTTTCATAAAGAAAATAAAGATTGAAATGCTAACCCATGCTTCCTGAAACTACACCATGTACATGCACTTTATTTAACTTTTCTGATTTCTTTTTCTGTTTCAGGGGGCCAGACTGGTGGTGGTGGTGGTGGTGGCGGCGGTGGTGGTGGTGGTGAAAGTGCAGGGACAAAGACAGGCAGACTCAAAGCCCTCAAGTGGCATCTATCAGTTAACCATTTCAACAGTCCCCAACCAAGTGATCTCGCCATACAGGTCGTTGGGACACAACACCCACTGACTGATGTTATCACAGGAGATGGCCTATGGCGAGTGGGCCTTTATGCAAGTGACGACAGTGACCCACTTGGAGCAAAGTATCGGTACCAGCCCCAGATCCTGTCAGAGGAGGAACAGGCAATCCCTCTAAGTCCTGATGCACCACTGGAATTCTCTGAAATCAATGCTAGGTTCAATGTTGATGGTCTAGGTTGTGGGCAGTTGAACTACATTTGTATTGAATTTACAAGAGGTAATTCTCCACAGCCAGACTTTCAACTGCCACTTCCACATGAGGACAATGATGGTGTAACGAAGCGATTCTCCTCATGCAAACCATGGCCATGTCAAGGTAAGGATGATTATGACATCATCTTTAAGAGTTGAAATATGTTGGACTGCTATAATACCCTTTGACAAGTTAATCCAAAAACTCATTTTACTCTTTGCAGATCCAGATGGTGACAGTGACACTGGTGTTCACGGGGGTGGTACTGGAGGACAAGGAGGTAACACAGGAGGTCATGGTGGTGGTATGGGAGGTCAGGATGGTGGAGCTGGGGGTCATGGTGGTGGAGCAGGAGGTCAAGGTGGTAGTATGGGAGGCCAAGGTGGTGGAATGGAAGGTAATGGTGGTGGAACTGGAGGTCACGATGGTGGAACTGGAGGTCATGGGGGTGGAACTGGAGGTCAGGGTGGTGGCATGGGAGGTAATGGGGGTGGTGTTGGAGGTCATGGTGGTGGAATGGGAGGTCAAAGTGGTGTCAATCCCCCTGAACCTGGAGCAGATGCACCTTTTGTTGCCTTCAAAAACCTTCATTGGAGCCGTCGTAGTAGCCCTGTCAATTCAGATGGTACATCTATGGTCAATGTTGCCTTTACACTGACACCCCATGATTCTAGTGATCCCATTGAGGGGTACAATCTCTGGAAGGTTGGAATGTTTGGAAGTGACGCCTCTGACAATACAGGAGCTCGATTTGATGAAAGGGAGGATGTCCTGTCAACCAGTGATCGCTCCAGACCACTCGTACCAGGAAATCCTCTTGTATTTAACATTACAACTCCATTCAAGATGCGAGGCATAGGCTGTGGGAACTACCCTTATCTGTGTATGGAGTTTACCAGAGACAAATTCTCTTGGCCAGCATTTCGACTTGCTTTGGGCCAAGCTGATAGCATAGTGTCCTGCCAGCGTGTTACATGTGATCGTAAGTATGACGCTGAAATAGGGGATGTTTCCAAAATTTCTGCTTTTGACATTTCAACCACTTTGATAGCTCTCTAAATCCTTTCATAAGGTAACAGAAGAAACCCATCAACTTAATTTTATAATGTCATATATAAAAAGTCTTAACATTATATAAAAAGTCTCGCTGATGCTTTATGGGTAGGAAAATCTAAACTTGGCCGGGTTGATTTAGCATGGATATGTATACCCAACATGCAGACCTGCATAACTTTGTGGGAAAAAGATTGTTGCTGTGAGCAGAATGACAGTGTTCTAAATAGGAACGGTTTGTTTTATTGGAGAATGTTCCAACTGTTCTTACTTTAAGGTACTCTCTCATTAGCGACTGTTTGCATGTGATATTCAAGATACATAAACAAGTCTTCTGGTTTGTTTCATTTTACAGCGAATGCAGGAAATGCTAATCGAGGCCATGGGGGAACCCTGGACCCTAGTCTACCCACAGCCAGTTTCCACAACATCAGCTGGACTGCCAGCGCAGGAAATACTCTGCCAGGAGTTCCAACTGACCTCAGCATCCATGCCATTATCTTCCCTAAGTCTAACACTGACACCATCCAGGGGCGTCGGCTTTGGCGGCTAGGTCTGTTTGGCAACACATATAGGGATGGCACAGGAGCAGATAGGATCGGATACGTTTCTCAGATCTTACCACCTAAGCAGGCCAAGAAGCCACTGCGCCCCGATTCTCCACTGGAGTTCAACGTAGATGCCCGGTTCCTCCTTCACAACTTTGGATGCGACCTTCACCGGTACATCTGTATTGAGTTCGCACAACACGAGGACCCTCAACCAAATTACAATTTTCCTGTTGAGAATGGTGCCCATGTGTCCTGCAGACCCTACTTATGCCAAGGTAGATACAGCCAAATACAAAACACATTTCTTTGTAGATAAACTTAGAAACGATGTATAAGTAAAAACTGCTTCAAATTCACTGGAGAATGTTTTTTTTTCAAAAGGGACTTGGAATTCTGCTCTTTTTTGTTTCAGACCCACCACAACCAGAACATAATCCCAACAGAAATGTTGCAAGAATTGAAACCTTCACTTGGCACATGCTGCCTCCAGAGATCAACTTAGAAGGCCCAACAAACCTCAGACTATTTGTTGACGTTGTGCCAGATATGCAAACAGATGTCATTAATGGAGATAACCTGTGGAAAATCGGGATATATGGGAGTAGGAACCGAAGAGGCGGGGAGCCTTTTGAAGAACGTCTGGATTATGATCCACAGGTAAGATATAGGAAGGAATCCGGTGAAATGGGGATGAGTGTCATCACATTGATTGGTTCAGTACAGGACAGTGTCGACTACATTCCCTTCACAGATTTTGGTCAACAAACATTCACAGCCATCTGATTCATTTCACAGCTCCTTCAGGTTCCTGATGCCAGAAGAACCCTGGCCCCAACTAGGCCCTTGAACTTTGATGTCCACACCAAGTTCGACTTGATGAGGCTGGGCTGTGGCCCATTCAAGTACTTGTGTGTGGAATTCGCCAAGGATCATTTGGCCAACCCAGACTTTGAAATGGCGCTGGCAAGCGGAGATCTTACAGTCAACTGTCAGAGGATCCCATGCCATCCAAGTAAGTATTCATTATTTTGCAGTAACAGGGATAAATGGATTGTATATACATTTATTACAACTACTCCTAACTACAACAGGCATATAACTGCAATGCATGTGTGTATCATAGGAAGGTACACAATTATTTTCAACCGATTAGAGAACAATGACAGCTAATTATTTGCTATGCAATGCTTGTTTGTTTGCAGCCAGAGGCACAGGTGAAACTGATCACACAGGTGGTCAACCCGACCACACTGGGGGTCAACCAGACTCAGGTCCTTTGAAGATAGCAGGCTTTACAAATGTCTACTGGCGAGTCCTGACTCCAACCATCTATTCAGATGGACAGAGTGACCTCCACATCCTAGTGGAGCTGACCCCTCACCAAAATTCCGATGCCATTGTTGGCAGTGAAGGCAGCGGGTTCTGGCGGGTTGGCATATTCGCAAACCGCAATGAAATGGGAACACAGGCTCAGAAGCTAAACTACGACCGGCAGATCCTGAGCCAGGAAGATAGCGACCAAAACCTCCTACCACCAGACCCTCTGAACTTTGACATCATGGTACAATTTGACCTGCGGAGGGCCAACTGTGAAAGTGAATTCCCATTTCTGTGTCTGGAGATTGCCAAAGGGGATACAGCCCATCCAAAATTTAACCTTCCCCTACCAGATGGGGCCCTCACATTTGTGACATGCCAGAGCGCTCCATGCCTTCCAAGTAAGTCCATTACATGGCAGCAAACCCTTTCACGTGAGCACTAAGACCACCTTTCTGTTATTGGTATCACAAATTCTTGTCATATCAGAAGATGACCAGTAAGGCTATCCTTCACCTCAGACTGGTATTCTATAAGTACATATAGTACATAGATCCCACTTCAGGACATCCTTGTAACTGAGCCCTGAGTGCCCACATTGGCAAGGAGGGTGCCCCAGTTCCACATTAAACGTCCAAAGGTGAACACTTCTTTTGTCTGCTCATGTTGCATGAGAAAACTAGAAGTTCAATTTTTTAAAACTAATGGCCATTTATTGTTTTTTTGAACTGCTACACAGCAAACCAGGAGGGTGGTCACGTTGACAGTGGGCATGGTGAGGGTGCTGGACATGGCCACTTACCAGTTGTCACAGTCACAACGGTCAATATTGGAGGTGTCAACATCCACCCTGATGCCAGGAATGATCTAGAACTCGACATCATAGTGTACATGTCACCAGAAAGCCCGGCCATCAGAGGTTCTAATCTGTGGAGACTTCAGATGTGGGGCAGTGCCATGCCAGATGGCAGTGGACCTCGTATGGCAAGCGTGGACCAGGTACTTCCAAGTGAACTTGTCAACCGAAATTTTGTGCCGCCTGAGCCCCTGTTTTTCCCAACAGTCCCGTTTACTTTGGACATGAGCGGTCGAGAGTGTCGGGAGGTTACACACATCTGTGCTGTCTTCTCCAAGTTGGAGTCTTCCAACCCAGAGTTTGAGCTTGAGGCCAGTCCTGACGCTAGTGTACTCACCGTCTGTCGACCAGTTGAATGCTTTGGTGAGTGTGAGATGCCTTCATTCAAACTAGGAATAAAATTAAACTGGCCAATCATATATAATCCATATTCAATATAATGATGCCAAACTCCTTTCAATCGTTCAAAATTGTACTTGCAAGTACATGTGTAAATGAAAATTTAAAAGAAATGAACTCAATAATACATTGCTTGTAGGGATTTGAAAATTACATCAGAGTTTTCCTTTGTTAAGGAAACTAGGATATGTTTTCAAACCTTGGTAACATAAACTTTTCCTTACAAGTATATCTCAACATAATGGTTTCAGGCCACTTAGAAGAAAAATATATTACTTATCTTTTCCTTTCATGTTTAACAATTTCTCCTTGGATAACTTAATTTAAGTTGAAAGCTTTTAAGTTTTTAACTAAATTGTCACTCTTTGTTCAGAGCCACGCAATCCCCAGATTGCTGTCACTGGTCTCTCTCTCTTCCACTCTGCTGCCACCACTGTCTATGCTGGACGCCCCAACCGAATGCTCCTCGGTATCCGCATCAACTACGATGAGCCAGACAGCGTGGGGTTTGATGGCACAGACCTATGGGGCCTGAAACTCTGGCTAGCCCCCAAGGCCAACGGCAAAGGCAAGAAGCTAGGAGCAGTTAAGCAGGGTCTGAGCGACGAGCAGGCTGCCCAGCCGCTGGTGGTCGGACGAGATCTGGAGTTTGAGGACATCACCTTCAGTGCCAACCTCTTAGGCAAGAAGTGTAAGGATGGCAGATACATCTGTGCCACACTGTACAAGAGCAACGGGGCCAGTACGTCCTATGTCCTCATTGCCAAACCCAACGTAAAGAAACTAACCAAATGCGTGCCTGTTAACTGCGCTTAAATGACACTGGCATGAACATGTTTCAAATAGTAAACTGTATATTCCCGTTTAGTAATATTGCCTATATACAAAATAGCCAATCTCGGTCTGTGTTTAACTTTGCAATTTATTTGTGCTGCTAATTCCACTGCTTTCTAAAACTAATTGTAAACAAACCACATGTTTTATGGAGAGTAAATAAATGAAGTTGAAAGGTCAGTCAACAAACAACATTCTTTATTTCACATCATATTAAAAATAAATAAAAAAATTTACAATTGTTTTTCTTCAAATTATCCAGTATCTATTCAAATTTCCCAAAATTCATTATTGAAATGTAATCATTACATGTACATTTAAAAAGACACTTTTGTTGGGTTGACCAATTTTTTTAAATACATATAGACAATTGATGGTACATGTATTTTTTTCAATTTTCAAGCTTTACAATCAAGCACTGCATTAAAAGGAAAAAAAGTCCATTTGGTTAATAAGTTTAACAATATTGTTTCTGTGCATTCTGTCATAAAATATTGTGCTAGTTTAATTAGATTTGTAAAAATTGTAAATGTTGCAAGGGATGACATTTCCATTCTAGAAATCTTTTTCAAGGTTAAGCGATTCTCAATTTTTAAAAGGTTGAAAGGAGGCACAAAAGGAGAGTGGCACGTCAAGTACTACCAAGAAAGAAATGGGGGGGGGGGGGTTGGTGGTGGAAAGGGGTTACCCCTCCTTCCAAAGACATATTTCCATAGCGGCATTAATTGATCCCGTACATGCACAATTTGGGTCAAAACATACTAACGTTTTGATTCCAAACTATTTGGCCCTTTTTAGAAAGACATACTTAACTAGTGCATCGTGTTTAAATGGTCGCTTTTGCTTGCAATGTTTGTGCATACATAGCGAAATACTTGGCACTCCCATGGATGTGCTAAATGGTGTGCATAGTAATAAAACATCATATCAATGACGTCTGTGACTGATATTTATTTCTTTTATGGAATCATAATCATTTCCCGAAAAAATTTGATCGTCTAAGCCTTTTGGCAAAATCAGACAAGACTGAGCACAGGTCGTGGTGGAGAAAAATGAAAAACAATAACGAATGGGGGTGATTGTTCATGTCGGCTTTCAGATCTAGTGATATTTGTAAATCTTGGATATGTCTACTACACATAGGCCTATTTTAAAGAAATAGTATAAAAATTGTGGATTTGTTATTAAGGAAAATATGTTGAGGAAAAAACAATTGGCATCTCTTCTTTTCACAACTACAAAACAGTTGAAATTTCAAAGGCCTTTTTCCCAGTATTTTTACTTTTTTGAAATGTCGACAAATGCAATCAAACAGCCATAAGTTGTCAAAGGACTGTCTAATGGAAGTGCAATAAACAGTATTGTAATAAAAGAGAATGTTATTTTCTTTCCTACAAACCTACATGTCTTACCTACATACCTGCAAACCCTCCTTTCGACCTCTGCACAGTTCTGTCTCATTTTGCCAGAATGCCTTGCGCATCATAACCTCACTTCTCGACAGGAACGCGCTCTCTTGTTCTCGTGCACAGACATTCTTCCCTCACCTTACCTCCCTCAGACGAGGCTCGGTTGCTGATGTCACGGCACAGCCTACAGCATGTCGTCTGGCCTGCCTCTCGGCAGCTAGGGCACGCCAGGACTAGCTGGTGGCAGTGGCTACTGGAGCAGGGCTGGTACTGATCCCAGGCTTGCCCACAATGGAAACAATCTGGAATACAATAGAGATGCAAAAAGGAAACTATTGTTAGACAAAGAAATTTGACTGAAGTGGGGAATGAATTAAACATGTACATGCCACACCAGGGCACTATCCAAAAGGTGAACTAGTCACACTAAACTGCTTCAAACACTGCAATATCACCATCGATTTTGGTTGTGAGTTGCTGCATGCATTTACAATTCTCTTACAGCACATGAACAATTTCACTTGGCGTTCTACTATTTGAAGGCAGAAAACCACATAGTCTTAACTTTGCAACAGGTTCTTAAATCAACATTTATAACACAGATTTTGTAATGTCATGGTTATAAATGTTGAGCTAAAAAGAATTAGCTGAAATTTCACCTGTGAAATTTCACCTGTAAACTTTGGGGTACATTTTTTGCCTAGACATGGAAAAAAACGATGGTGCACCACATTAGGGGACATGCCAAATTGGGTGCCATCAATGGATCACCCACAAAACTTTGATGTTTTATAAATGGGTCAAAGGATTGTATTGCTCTAAAATCCAAAAGCAATTCAGAAACATCAGAAAATTCCAAACAGATACCTGCAACAACTTCATCATTAGCACGGATGGCGTATCGATCATCAAACACAAAGAGTTTGCCCTTGAAGTGTCCGTTAGGATACTCCTCTAGGTACTTATGGACTCCACCCTGTAGCTGGAGAATCTCCTTGCAAACTCCCTTTAAAACAAGGAAAAGAGTTACAAGTAAAACCCATGGTTCACTGTGACAATAATGATTGAGGACGGTATAAGGGGCTTTATCTTCAAGCAAACGTGTGTCCTCAATTCCGACTGGTCGATGGTAACAATCCATGGTACATTTTATCCCATATATCACAATCCATATCCATAACATGCTATTCTAAGATGCACTTGCATCCTGAAGATAAACTCGTGGATCACAGAAAATGAAGTGCGTCTGAACACATGAATATAGGGCACATACACACAACATTATTCAACAGTTTCTCGAACTTGTGGAATAGCATATTATGACCTCAAAAATGAAAGTTCAAGTAACAAGCTAAAACCTATTAGGTTCCTACACAGTGGAATATTTTGGAGGACACTTTCCTGGCAAAAAAGACCTTAGGAATTAGGGTTAAAATTGCTTGAAACCCAGTTTGTTTCAGTTCCTTATGATATTTAGTATTATTGGTTGGGAATTGATCCTTTTTTTTTCATTTGTCTTTTCATAAGGGAAATACAAAACCATTTTTCTTGTAAAGATTTTGATACATACCTTTGATTTCAGATAGGCAGAGCCCCGCTCACATCTGATTCCACCTGTGCAATACATAATCACTCTCTTGTCCTGAAACAAGTCAAGGTTCTTGTCCACGTACTCGGGCCAGTAGCTGAACTTTCTGATGTTGGGAGTGACTGCACCTTTAAACTGACCCTGTTATATGAAGCACGATGCACAGCAAGTATTACACTGAATGATACGACACATGGGAGTGACCAAAACAAACAACTTAAAGGGGAATGCAGGAATCTTTCTTTTTTTACCACTTTAACTCCAGTGTTAAGGGGTGTACACGTATTAATACAATATATCTCCAGTTGTATGTAAGTAAAGACAGTATTATTTATATTGCAGACCAACCATCTCACAATTTTGCTTTCGTAGAAATTGCGGCAATCCAAGATCATTGTGTCCCTCGGTGTTGTCTCTGGATTGATGGAATGCTTCATCTCCTTGTGGAACTCTGATGGTGTGAGATGTTTGCCTATTAATGAGAAAGAAAGAAAGAAAAGAAAACGAAAATGATCCATCACATAGGAACCAATCAAGTCCTGCTTCAAGTAGTGCACAAGAAAGTTTGATCAAAGTGACAATCTATATTTCCAAACATTCTCCATACAAGTCATTCCACAGTAATAGTTTATATTTCCATTAAGTCAGAGATGATGAAACCTGCATTAACCCATTGCTAAGGCCAAAAAAAAAAAGTCTCCGGTTTCTGGTATGCGCGCGCGTCGCCGTAGCCATGCGCGTCGGCAAAATGAAAAAGTTTTTTTTTCAATAGAAGATGATGTTTCAAAACCGCCAAACTCACTGGTTTGACTGGAATTCTGCTGCTGCACAATTTTAACGTGTTTTTAGATGGGGTTATGATCGAGAATAAGATTTATGTGGCCTCTCTGGACTCCCATATATTTGCACTAAGTTTAGTCGGGCACCATCTGCAGTCATCAGCCGACATTTGAAGCAAAAAAAAAAAAAAAAAACAGGTAAAAAAAAAAAAAAAAGCCGCGTCGCCGCACCACTTTTGGGGCAAGCTCCATACCAGAAACCGGAGACTTTTTTTTTGTGGCCTAACTAGACTACAGTGCATTTATTTGTGATGGCAGGGCAGTTTGGGGGCAGTAACAGGCGGGGCAGCTTGGGGCAGTACATGAACTAACATGTTACCAAATAAATAAAACTCCAAAACTTGGACAATGACATTCTCAGGGCCTTTTTCTTTGAAATCTGGAATAGAAATACTCTCAGTCTTTTTATGCCAAGGAAACTGGGGATAAACATGCCATTTCAACGATCACTCAATCAGCCGGCAAAGGTTTCATTTAGAAGCTCACAGGCCACATAAGCTGCTACCCCCCCCCCCCCATCATTCAGCCTCTATAAAAACAGCCAACAAAAGACACCTTTGACCTACCTGCCTGTTTGTAGCTCAGTGCATTCGGATCAACACCCATTGGCACTATCTCCTTGTGTACACCGACTTTCAGTCCTTTAGGGAAATGACTGGAATCTCCACTGCTTTTCTGACAATGAAATAACTGACGATTACAATTGACTCATCGGAGGGCCACAGCTAGAAATATAAAAGTGCAGTGGTGTCTCTCTCATGACTCTCCCTTGTGTTCTCAAATTTTTAAGTGCATTTTTTAAAAACCTTATTAATCAAAGGTACAAGAGTGCAAGTGCATGAGTGATACCCTGACTGCCTCGGCAATGACTTCAAATTGTGACTGTACTGGTTTACTGCTTAGATTTTCAGTTTTAGGGTTATCAGGAACAAACAATGTGAAATTTAGAGAAAATAAAGATGGACAAAAAAACACTGTAGCGAATTTTAGTTCCCACTATATAATATATCCTGGGATTTTTTTTAATGCCATATTTCTGTATGAAGGCCCATAATGAGCTACATTCCCTGAAAGATGTGTGGATTGACATCTTTCTCCAATTCTTTGATTTGTTTTTCTTTTCTATAAAAACTAATAAATGTGATTCAGTTCGGACATTTGGATGAGTACCTTGAAATCTAGTGGCGTCATGTCTTTGAAAATTGGATGAGTCATGACAGACTGAATGTAGACTTCTGTGGCTTCCAGTGAGCCTCCAACTGTGCCGTTCAGTCCTTCAGTAGCCAGGCGGATCTGCAAGATTTAGTTCCAAAAATGTCACAATTTTTCATTTGACTTACGTAAAATGACATATATTAAAATGTTAGAACTTGGAACAGTTACAATCACATGTATCATCTATAACTTCTATTTCTGAACAATTATACGGTCCTTCTCTGTTTGACAATAGACCTAAAACATAATGTTATTCACGCTTTGTTTATATGGGCTTTTCCTATAGGAGCCAGGCGAGGATGAGATCCACCAAGCTCCCATAGGAAAGAGCGTGACGTCATTATGTCTTAGGTCTATTATCTTTGATCCAAATAGAACCCACCTTTCCCTTCAGAACCCACCTTTTCCATCAGAACCCACCTTTCCCATCAGAACCCACCTTTCCCTTCAGAACCCACCTTTCCCTTCAGAACCCACCTTTTCCATCAGAACCCACCTTTCCCATCAGAACCCACCTTTCCCATCAGAACCCACCTTTCCCATCAGAACCCACCTTTTCCATCAGAACCCACCTTTCCCATCAGAACCCACCTTTCCCATCAGAACCCACCTTTCCCATCAGAACCCACCTTTCCCATCAGAACCCACCTTTCCCATCAGAACCCACCTTTCCCATCAGAACCCACCTTTCCCATCAGAACCCACCTTTCCTGTCAGCTGTAACCTCTGACACAATTCCCTCTGCCAATCAGCAACCTCATCAGGATCCTCGATCTCAACGTATTTGTAGTACAGCAGGATCTGCCCTTTCTGGGATCCATTTAGACTTTGACATTTTTGGAGACTTGGTAGCCATGGAAACGTCCTGTCACTGTCTGTCAAATCCGAGTAAATTCTGGCACTTTCATCTTGCACAGAGGCAAGTGCATGTTGTTTAGCACTGTACACGTTTGCCTCATCACCATCTGACAAAACACACCGAGTCTCTGTTATTCTTTCATCCCCTGTTGACGCAGAGTGCCACAATTTGTTGGGCGGATGAGCAGAGATGGTTATGTCACAATTCTTATTGCAAACTTTGCGGTGTTTGCAATTATGGCTAACCTTCTGGAGTTCAACGTTCATGGCCTGATCCACAGCATCTCTGTGGCACTGCGCTACGTGTTTATGGATCTCGGCCGCGATGGTAAACGTTTTGTCACAACACTTCCAATAAGGAGCCTGACTTGGAATCTGCACATTGTTGCAACCCCTTTGCTCAAAAGTTTTCGATTTCACAAATTCTGCAAAAACCTGTGACAAAAAAAAAAGTATTTAAAGGACCGTGAACTGTTCCGGCATTGTTCCACTAGTACTGGAAATTCCTCTGTGCCTCATATTTGCTATCATTTGAAAACCTAGGGTCTTAGGGACACTACTGGATGCAGATGGCGGTCCAAGGAATTTCAACTTGAAAATACCTATGTCAAAAGTGTTTAGGTTTTCCATATAGCCTGGTTTTCATTTTGAAAAATCCCCACAAATGGCATTCAAATCCTTTCTTTTTTTTATTGTCTCAGAAGTTATTCAGTTATAACATAAGGTTGTATCCAAAGTATTTAGCCCACTGAGAAAAACATTAGACATTTTTAGGCCAGTCTCATACGGTTTGTGTACAGGGTGACAAGTGATGGCCGGATATGTATGGGAATCTTTCCTGCTAGCTATAGTGCTACTGCTGCACTGCTAATATAATGCCACAGAGTACAGGCTAGACACCGGCATGAAGTCAAACTTGATGATAATGCCTGTACTATATGTTATATAGTATACACCCACTGATGACGATGCTACCAAAATATAGCTGGTAGGCCTAATGTGGTATAGGCCTAGGCCTAAACCCGTGAACGTGGCGTTGTATAGGCCTAGTGGCGATATGTCTGTTGTGCGCTTTCTTGTGATTTGCGCAATCATAAGAAAGCGCATGCACATTCTTATAATTGCGCAACTGGATTCTTGCGCAATCTTCCCCCCCAAAAAATCTTCCAGATTGAGCGCATATTCTTAAGAATGAGCGACAAGATAATGGTCTCGTCGATGCCGAGCACTGGCTGCGCTTGGCAAGTCTAGCTGCATCCTCGTTCACTGATTCTTAATAAAAGATGCTGTTGCAACGCAAGGTCAGTTACCTAGGAAAAGATTTAACAATGAAAAGTAGAGTGGATTTGAAACTATACACGTATTCGGGGGACAGGGAAAAAATGAGAGACATAATAATAGTGAAGTGGAAAGAATTCTGATTTTTGGGACAACAAAAGGGGGGGGGGGGACGTAAGAATGAAGAATGTGAAGAATGAGAATGAATACTGTGACATCCCATCCCATAATGCTCGTAATGCTATTTGCCACTTAAATTGCCACCAATTAATTGTTCACACCCCCACCATTATGCTGCAGAGCTGGATTCTGTCTAGTAAAAAAAGACCAATTTTGGCAGCTTCTGGACATCGTTTTTTTTGTGACATGCATATGATGCATATACAACAAGGACTTATAACTTGTCTAGCCTAAACTAAACACTTCCCAGACTACTTCCCAATCCTCCGTTATTACAAAACTTCCCATAGTGGGCAGAAAAAAGCAATAATAACAGGTTTAATTTGATTCAAATTATCGTAGTAATACGAGTACAGAAGCACCTGAGCATAGATCATTTTCTTTCCTCGTTTATTAATTATTTCCCCTTTAACCGCTATACATTTCATTTAACATAATTATCATGCCGTGCAATGTTTGTTAAGATTGCGCAAAATTCATATATTGCGCACGTGATATTCCCACGCAATCTTAAGAATTAGCGCTCATTTTTCAGATTGCGCGCTCATTCTTAAGAATGCACGCTCATAGTCATACTCATAGACTAAGCTACAAGAACTAGGCTAGGCTAGTTTTTAACTGGATAGCTGGAGGAATGGCCCTAGCTACTTAAAATACTTACCCTTTTCCTTGTGGTCTTTTTCATCTTTGATGAGTGCTTACTCTGAGTATTTGGGAGCTCTGCCGACATTTTGAAACACAGTTTTGCAATCCCATTCGGAAAGTCCGAATGAAAATAATGATGAAGTGCAGCTGTCTGTGTGCGGTCCTCTGTGTGTGTGGCATGTGTAATGGAAAAGGTTCTTTGGGAAATTGCGCCCTCAAGAGTTGCAAATAAATTGCTGCGCTACTAATTCTGTTGTTCTCTGACTGTCAATCAAGTGTTGTTGTCGACCTCCATGAATACCATGGAGGAATATCTTATTCCTCCATGATGAATACTATGGACAGTCAAAACGTAACTTTTGCATTTTAGCAAGAAAATGAAAATGAACAGGACTTGTGAAATACAAGGAACATGTATGGACATGAGTCCTGAACAAGAGAGGAAAATGTAAGTCCATCAATAATAATTCGAAGTGGCTATCGTTACGGCACTCGTTGTTTAGCGCCCTCTACGATATTTTTTTGATACGCACGCAGGTATATAATTATTTGTTTCCACAAGTTTTATCGAGCAGTGCGCCAGCTCAGCCGATAGAGAGTAGGATTTTGCACCGTGAGGTTGCGGGTTCGAATCTCAGTTTTGCACTCGAATTTTTTTCCTTTTCTAACCTGAGGCTTTGGAGGATTTTTTTTTAAAGGGAAATAAAGTCCGAATTTCATAAAGTTCAAATTCACTTTTTTCCTTCTAATTTTATATTTTCTTGTCATGTTTTTTTATAAAAGTTGCAAGGTTGCAGTCTACCGTAACGATAGAAAATGGGAAATGCGTTACGGCTGCCGTAACAATAGCCACTGCGATAATAATTTAGGCTAGGCGCCCTAGCTTCATGCTCAGTCATATTCATTGAAATGTGGCATGTGAATGAATAGAGCATGTCAGCTGGAGTTACTCCAGCTAGGCCTAGGCCTAGCTGGAGTTACCCAGTGATAACATTTGGGGCTAGGTAACTCCAGCTACCCCTGTCAATGTCCCTGAGTCTTCCCGTGATGCTCTCAGATTTTGCTATTTGCGATGTAATATTAATTATAAGGCTTATTAATCGGTCATTCAGTAAAAACTAAAATCATTGGCATGATTGGTCTGAAGTGCGCCTGCATGCAGACCTGTTGACCAGAATTAATGACATCGACAGTCAACAACCGTCGATGCACTTTGGAAATTTTCCAAAGTTTGGAAAATTTGTGTTTTGGAACCGGTTCCTGACATCAGTGGTCGGGTACGCAGATATGCCCCCGGTTCCAATGCACAGTCAGTGCTTACCCAAGTTACTTTCTTTTTACTCACCCTGTACTCTTATTGATTTTATTGATTGATTAACTGATTATTTTAATTTGACAGGCGTGAGTTGCAGATGCGACTGCATCCATTAGAGATGGTTCCAGGGACAGAGGATTCCAAAAGGTTTCTTTTTTTGTGTCATTTGGCGTTATTTATCTTCATATTAATTTAATTCCTTTCTGGTAATGACACAAGGGGTTACTCATAAGTGTGAATGCACTCTGTTAGAAGTCATTGAAGAAGTGTTAAGCTTCAGATGTGGAAGGAAAACTGAAGAATTATTTTCTGTGGAAAACTGAGGGAACTGGGGAGGGTCTTTTGTGAGCCTGCATTACGAACAGTGGTCACAGAGGTGAAAGATGAGGAGAATACCACTTGGCCAACTCTTATCAAAATTATTCAGTAAAATACGTGTGTAGGCCTAACATCAAAAACATCTTTATCTCCTTGAATTAGTATGAAAGGTCTTTAAAAGTACATTTTAAATTCATCATTTTAACACTAACAGACCTTGACACAGACAATTGTTTGTTTGAAGACCCAAAGCAGATCCATCAGCCACAATTAAGGAGTACTCTAGACCTGCAGCGGGAAAAGCAGATGCTTTTTCATCTGACCTACGACCTCCAGACGTGTTACTCAAGACAGTTCACTACATGATAAGTAGGTAGGTGATCTTATTCCCAAGACCAATATAAACATTTCCTGTATAAAGCATATCATGGGTGGATCTAGTCCCAAATTTGGGACTCTTTATACTGTGTATGGGTTGGATCCAAAGAGAGTGAGGGATGGTTAGGGTGGCTAACCCGTCCATCCCATCCCTCCCCCTCCCCCTACCCCCTCCCCCCCCTAATGTTAATCATATATATATAATGAAAATGATCAAAACTTAACCTAACTTTCCTGAATGATGTCATCGCTCACTGCAAATCTTGATTCATGGCCTCAGGCCTTTGATATTTTTTTAGCATGGGCTGCAACGCCTTAACCACCACCATCCCTCCCCAACCCTTGAAGAATCTTGGACTTCAACACCCAAACCAAGCTTTTCTGAAAAATCCTGGATTCTTCACTTAAATTAAATATTGATCAAGCTTGTTCCGTTAATCTTAACATTCAGTACAGAAAAATGGCTCACGACATTTAATATGGAACCTTTTAAGAAAAAGAAAACCCATAGCGGCCTGCAGGCAGTTGTGAAATAGAGTGCAAGCAAGCTTGTTACTTGTCCTTGCAAGCTCATACAGTATTCCACCTATTAGCACCTAAAATGCATTGCATTACATTGTGTTTATTTATTGATTAATCCACAAAATTATGTGCCTGGGCACTTTTGGGTGCCACAGAGAGTACATGTAATAGGCAGGTCGCACCAAGTACGTGAGCAATATAGTCCCATAGTTAGTGGCTTTTATCAGTATTTGTTGTTTTTGTCTCGAATTTGGCAGGGTCGTACCTCGGACAGACTACCGCTATGTGAAGCTGTATGATTTTGTGTTTGATCGGCTTCGTAGTGTGCGACAAGACCTTGTGATCCAGCGAGCCATTGGAACGAGCTGTGTACAAATTTTGGAAATAGCTGTCCGGTTCCATTTATATTCAGGATACAGGTGAAACATTCTGAAAATTTTTCTCACTACATTCTTACAATTCTGGTTGAAATAAATTGTCAACCAAGTAGAATGTTGCCAGAATGATGAGATTGGAAGAAGAAATTTGCCAAAACTTTTGAAATCACTATGAGTACATGGAATGAGTGTGCCAATTCGCTATGTGCAATCAATGCACACATACATGTGCTAATAATGACTTTCTATAACCAGAAAGTGTTCCTATGCTGGCCATCTGTTGAGTCTCGCGTTGCTTTACAACAAATGCAAATCTATTCCATTAAGATTCAATTGATTCTACTAGCATGAACATGAACTAAATTTGTTTGCACTCATCAGGACGCTTCTAATATGCTCAAGGAAATGAGTAGGAATTACACTTTTAGTAATGCGAGTAACAATGTTTCCGTTTGCATTTCAGGTTATGTACTGAACCTGTGGCGCACTATGACAGCAAAATTAACAGCGACCACACGCAGGAGTGCCTCAAGAGGCTCCTCATCTTGTATCAGAATGCCGACCTTGAGGGCGCTCTCATCAGCAACAACAGGGAAGAGTTTGAGGCACTGTATCTGCTTTTTAATCTCGATGCGTTGATCTGTGCTTTGTTTTGTTTTTAACAAAATTTCAAGCTGTGCTAACTTTTTGAGATACAGTAACAAGTATGACGGTGCTATTTGGTTGGGGTAACATTTCCGTTGTTTTGACCCAGATGTATCAAAACCAGATGATGCCCTCCTGTTATGTCCACCATATTGCAAAAAGGCCAAAGAAATACGTTTCTGTAAGCATTTTTGTACACTTTTGAAAGTTACAGTAGTAGTAACTGCATATTTTTCTGGTTCATTTTGTTGATAGGATCCACGGAAGCACTGCATCATATAATCTGGTTACCGAAGAAAATAAGGTAAGCCTGAAGAATTACTGTGTTTCTCATCCAAACATTTACTGGTTTTGGTCCACAAAAGAGTCTGCTCAAGTTTTCTCTCGGACTAGATTGTGCCATTATAATGAAAAGTAAGCTTATCATTTAAAAACAAACAATACAGTGAAAAAGGTCATATCATTCTCCAGATTTGCACTTATAAATCAAACTGTTATACATTCTGAAATATACGTTTCTGGACTGTAGTCGTCAAAGATTTGTGTGCAACTGTAGATCAGATTTGAATGTAACAGATTTGAATAAAAACCTGTTCTCTTGATATATTTATGTGTTTATTATTATATGTTTGTAGGCAGCACCCTTCAATAAAGCTGGCCCTCTGCATTCACAGTGCATATCTGCAGGGAAACTTCTTGAGAGTCTGGAGACTAGCTTCTAAGTGTGGCTACATACAGAGCTGTGTTCTACACAGACACCTTCAAGAGATCCGAAGGTTAGGCTTTGTGCTTCTACTTTGGGGAAACAAATGTCCCTCTTGTCAATATTTGACAAATTTTGCTCCCGGTGCATAAAATAGTGTCTTTGTCCAAGTTTTAATGTAATGATTGCGATACGGATATTCATATCGTGATAATGTATTGTGGCATTCTCATAGTGCAATGATCAAAATACGTACATGAATAAATAGTTACAGTCCTAATGTTCTTATATGTAGATAGAATAACGTTGTGCCGATTTTGTGTAAATAATAAAGAGTACAGGATCTTCTCCAGAGACGTGTTGGCAGATTTTTAGGTTCGGTCAATAAGGATCTGTCTGGGTGTTGGGTATATTTTTTTGTTATATTGTTTTTCTTTCAAGCTTATGGAAGTATTTCATTTTGTATTTCAGACGAACCTTGCTGATTCTAAACACAGCCTACAGCAGTAAGAATCTCCGGTTTCCAGTCAGCGTGTTGTCAAAGTGGTTAATGTTCGACACGGAGGAAGAATCAGTGGAATTCTGCCAATTCCACGGACTGAGAGTGGATGAGAAAGGCGTGCAGTTCCAGAAGGGTAGTCCCACTTTTGTGGAATCACCAGTGAGTTAATAATCAGTCAATTCACAGTTTCTTAATGTAAGTCTAGTCAAAAAAGTAGAGTGTATCATTTGCAGCTATCCAAAAAGTAACTGACAAAATTATTGTTGAAAATCATACTTGGTTGAAAGATAGTAATGACACATGCGGTTGCTATAATTCGTCGGATCAGCACGTCACATCACGTAGCTACAATCAGCTGAATGAGAAAGTGTCCCCGATGCTGAATTTATATTTTTTTGTTATTTTTAATGCAGCAGCCCCAACCTTACATGTGTAACAGACTGGTGGACTGCAAGCAGGGAAAGGTCAAAGTTCATGACCTCATCATGGGCCACACAGATGGAGGTCATGGTATTGCTAGCACAGAAGACAAAGACGGAAGCTCTGCCCAGACATGTAGGTGATACACAGTTCAAGCAAGGTTCTTATGCGTGTATAGACTCCGTGCACAAGCACCCCCTCAGTGGTTACAAAGGGAGAGTTGGAGCAGACCACTGGGAGGGACATATGGAATGCATTGTCGCCCCCGTCTGACACTGACGCAATGCACATCTGGAATAAAATAAGTCATGCGTACTTGGAGCCATTCGCATGAGAACAAGTACACACAGTCGTACTTCACCATTACCTTAGAAGACGAGGCATTGTGTTTTCCTTTGTTCCTATAATATAACACTCTCCATAAACTAAAGTCACACACTTGCGTTCAAGGACCATTCCCAACAAAAGATGTACGTTTGTGCACAACAATGAATGTTTTGTTCTCCGTGTCTTGCAGTCTTTCGGCTGTATGTATGCGGTGTGTCCCTCCCAATTGGAACATCAATTATTTAACAATTCAGGGGATAAGTGCAATATTTCTTAAAGGAATTTCGAACAAACGTTTTTCAACATATAGTTTGTGAAGGCCCAATAAGACACCAGTCAAATGCTGTGTGAGGACTTGATTCAAATATGTGCTTGTTTGACCAATGATATTTGCAGGCCCCAATCTTTTTGAAAACAGAGTCTGTGTAGAAACTGTACATTTTCAAAAGGCATTTTTCACCCCACAAAAGGTCCAACAGTGATCAGAAATGGCCAACACACCTGGTACGCCTTGTTTACTTTATTGATGCTCCGTGGATATTTATTACATACAATAAACATCAAGTGTTACACAAACATAATATTGGTTGTTAGTCTACACAGATCTGTAAATAACTGTCAGTTGACAAAGTTACAGTTAACTTAAAAAAATTACACTATTTATATAATACAACATGCAGTTTGTTGCATGATTTCTGGGACACTAGCAGAGTAGGGTTGAGTTTGATTTATGCTTATACTTGAATGCGTGACAAATATTGTTATCTCCAACCATACTTGAATCCTCGATCCTTATTGGTCAAACCATGGCAACAATGGTTGGATATTATCTCATATACCACAGTCCATATACCACGGTCCATATACCACGGTCCATATACCACAGTTCATATACCACGGTCCATATACCACGGTCCATATACCACAGTTCATATACCACGGTCCATATACCACAGTTCATATACCACGGTCCATATACCACAGTTCATATACCACCCCACGTTATTCTAAGATGTGTGTGTCATTCCTGCTGCACACTTGTGTAATAGGATAACTGCTGCTGTTTCATCTTTAAATTGTGTCAAGTTTGCTTAAAGTAATTTGCTTTCCCCCGTGCGCTTGTGGAACATGACAAATGTAGTGCATCTGCGTGCCACACTTCGGCCTCTCGACATGTTGGACACGGACGCACTACATTATCAAGTGTTCACTTGCACTCGTGAGATAACTAACAGTAGACTAAATCGTTAAATGGTATGTGAAAGTTTTGCTGATTGTTTACCAAATCAAATGGCAGGCCACAAAAACTGATTTCATTCATAAATGACTCTTCAGTTGATCATTGTGAGGTAGGATGTCACATGGCCCGTGCAGAAACCAATCACAATTTTATAGTGTTGATGAACATTTTGGTGCGCAAACACTAACATATAACTTTTTTATGTTTAAAACATTATTACTAATAATGTTGTAAAGTTAATATTATACAATTACAAATGTATTTTCCAAGACACACCTTGGCAAGTTCGATACAAAACAGCTGACATGTTGATACTGTTTGTAAGCATTACTTTATACGGGCAGCAAAAAAGCTGGGATTTTAATATTTTATTATGCATAAAACCCAAAGTATAACATGGAAAATAAGAACTAACACGCTACAGTTTATAAAATTGCTACGAAACTTTATACAAATGTAGATTATAAAGCTATAAAAATTCGCATTTCATAAACTTTTTATGGCCGTATACATTTTATTACAAAGGTTTTATTTTTTTTTAATAAACATGCAGAGTCAACTACTGTTCCCTTTAAACATTTTGAACCCGTAATTTACAATCGAATCACTATCACAACTTGTGTTATAAATAAAGGCATTTTAACAAAGCAGTCATTGTGGTCATTTTCTATAAAGTTTCCAAGAGTGAATAAAATTCAAAAGAGAAATTGGTGGATAACAAAATTGTCAACAAACATGTCTTCAGAGTGTGAATATTCCAGTTACATGATGAAATTATTGCTTCAAACCATGTGAAGACTTAACTTTCTTTCAGCTAAGTTTATTTCAAATTAGTTTTCATTTGATAGAGAAGTTTTGTGTTATTGTTGCAAGTTTGAAATCAATTGTTCAAATAATTTTTGATGTGAAGTAAACCTAATCCTTCCACTTATATATGATCTGACAAACCACTCTGATCTTGGAACTACATCAATCCAGGAATTATCTATTTCTGCAGACTCCCCGGGTAATTATATTTTGCGTTTTAATATAAATATACAAATTACCCAAGGACTAAAGCAATAAGCAAGTAAATTTTACTTTACACGGCTCAAAACAGTTGTTCACAAATAAATGTACCCATAAAACCTACAATATGACATGGCAGTATCTACATGAACTCCCATCCTGTGTGGATACAAGCTACTGAATGCCACTACTGTACAACATTACCAAGAACTGAAATAATCAGTTCCAAAACAAATCTAGATATATACAGAAACAAAAAATAAAATCAGACATGCTGTACTAAAAGTCTATGAAGTAACCAACTTTTACTATTGATTTTTAGTGATTTGAAATGTTCTCCATTCCAAGGAATGGGTTTTATTCAAGAAATGTCAATTTGACTTAAAACTTTCCTTCTGTCGTTTTATGTTTCACTTTCTGTTAAGCTACATACAGTTCTGACAACTGGCCATAATTTTTCCAGAGGTAATAACTCACTGCAACCAGAATGCATGCATCCAAGGAAGTGACAGTTTGGTTACCAGAAGTACATGGGTTTTCCATTTTGTACATTATAATTCAATGTGTACCCAACGTATCGGCACATTTATCAAAACCAAATTATCACTCGCCACACGTCCAATGATTAATAATAAAGAAACATGGTAAGACCACTGAGGAATATAAGTGCATCTGGAACGATGATCAAGAACGATCTCACCAATGGCCAAACGAGGTATGAAACAGCAGCTACTTCTTATGCCCTTCTCAGGCCCCTTTTCCGTCTCTCTTTCGTCGTCTTGTGGTTTTCCTCCTGCTGCACGTTCTCCTCTTCGTCGTCAACGGCCAGCCTGGCTTCGTCGTTGACCATTGTATCCAATCCGATGACACGAGGGCTGCTGAGATGGACAGGAGCTGTCTCTTCTGTGAGTTGCGTAGGACTCTCCTCGGATGCTCCTTGCGGGTTGTGGGCGCTCAGGTTGTCATCTGGGGCCTTGGCATCACCTGCGGAAATTAACAAAGAGGCACCGATGAAAGATAATCTAAGAAGAACAGCCAGGGTGTTGTCCATATTAGATCTGAAACAGGGTCAAGTTAATTTACATATCCCTCTAAAAGATAATGTCTGAGAACGGCAAGAGCATTAATGTCTATCGGGGTCAATGTACTTTACATATTTTAAACGCACGGATGAGATTCGTCAGGATTTTTTCTGATTTAAGGATCATTAAACAATCCCTTTTGAAATCTGAAATCCAGAGGTATAAAAAATGGGTATTGTAAGGGGTGCCAATATTCTAATTAAAGCAAACATTTTTTTAATCATAAAAATCCTTTCCTATTTATTGTTGGTGTGATCTGTTAGAGACGGTAGAGTTGGGGTCTTACAAAAATTCCAATGAAACCACCTACCTTCAGGATGTACATGATGCCTTGGGGCACCTTCTGAAGTTGAAGGCACACCTGCTGCTGAGGGTTGCTCCTCCTCAACCTCTTCGTCTGCTTGCGTCGTCTTACCAGCATCCATCTCGAAATCACGACCTGTTTCCACGGCAGCCTCGTCGTCAGTTGTCTCATCGTCGGTCTTAGCTTCTTGATCTCCATGCAACCACTCTCTGAGCATTGTGCCCTCATCTTCTTCATTGGCATCACCTTCCTCCTCGTCATCTGGCATGGGATTCTCTGGGTTGTCATCTTCCTCTCCTGTGCGCATCCTGGTCTCCATGGTGACATCTGCATCCTCTCTCTCATCGGTTTGAGCATCTCCATTCCAAGTATCCTCAACCTCTGCTTGATCAGTCTTATCCAGTTCCTCATTTGTCAGGTCTACACCATCTTCCTCGAGCTCCTGTTCAGTTTCCATCACTGCAGGTATCTCCTTAACGGGATCTGGTTCATCATCTTTACCCACTGATGGGTGGTGGCCCTGAGAGTTAGACGAGGCAGGGAGAGGTTCTGGGAGTGGCTCATCCACTAGTTCTCCATCACCTCCCTGCTGATCAGCATCCTCAGCATCCTCCTCCTCCTCTCCTTCCTTGATCCACATGATCTCCGGGAGCTCGCCTTCTTCATCTTCAGAGGCCCCCTTTTTCTTCTCTGTCTCACTCTCAATTTCAAACTTCCAGGGTGACTGCATCATGTCCCAGTGACTGAAGCCAGGGTGGTCTCCCATTTCCTCCCAGGCCACACTCGAGTCGCTGCTATCAGACGATTCATCATCAGGTCCCTCATCCTTGTCTTCGTTGCCATGGTTACCCCAGACGGAGCCAGAACCCTCTGAAGTTGGGGCCTCTGTCGGCTTTTCTATGACTGAGCATAAAATGAAGTGCATTATGTTCTAAAGTCAGAATCACACAGACTGACGGAAAATGGAACAATAGAGATGGACATATACCGACAACAAATTTGGAACAGAAAGGGGTCCATAGGAAAATTAAAGAATATTTACAACCCAAGTATTTCTTCATTTTTAAACCTTAACAATTTCAGTCTTACCTGGGCAGTTGGAGAGAGGCATGGCCTCAAGATTCTCATTCAGCTGACAAGCAGCGACCTCCATGTGGCAGTACGTGTCATAGGTTACGTTGTTGCTGGCACACACCTTGGGCCCGCCTGTATCGCAGGTGCGCTCACACATGCATTGGATCAGGTCAAAGGTCGACTGGCAGTCACCAAAGATGGAGTTGCAGTTCTCTGGGTTGTAGTTCTCCATGGGTTGTTGTTCTGTTGGGTTTAGAGGAAGAAGAGTTGGTCATTATATTTACAAAATTTAATATCCCAACAAGGGGAAATTCTATTGGCCTTTTTACACGTTAAAAGTAAGTACGAAATTGATGGCATTGTGACTTTGAACACGATCCCTGGCTACATGGCGTATACGGGTTATGGCTACTCTGTTCAAATTTCCAAAAAATAAAGAGGACATAAAATAGAAAACAACAATTACTAAACACTTTGTCATAAAAACCGATTCACGATTGAATAATTAAGAAAAACACACATGCATATGTAACACCGCACATGAATCTAAGATATCACAATTAACTCATACCAAATTAGACATTGGGTAATACACAACATGGGACAGGAGTAGCATCAATACAGCATCTTATTGACCCAGCTGTTTAATGTACGTGATAGCCGCTGGAACAATTGAGCTGTTGTATCACATGATTCTAATCTGTCGTTGTACGAGATGGTTACAGGGAGTTGACACAAACTGTGTGCAGTGGATTGCGCAAGTCAAGTCGCAAGTAAAGGTCACAAAATAGTTTGAAAAGACCATGTTGACTAGATACTGGTAACTTTTAATTAAACACTGATGCAATTATTTGTTTTTTAATGCCTTGCAAATATGGGTTTTGAGGCAAGGCAATATCTTACCAGCACTATGGTTGCTGTCTTCAGTCTCATGAACCTGGTTGCAGTGATCATCCTCACACAGCTCACGAGCCAGAGGGCTGTCACGACTGACGTTGTAAAACCTGGAGGCCTCAAAGTCTGCCAAAGAGATAAAAGAAACATAACAATATACAAGGAAAGTGTGAGCACAGTTTTCTACCATTTCTTGGACACTAGTCACAAGTCTGGGTGCCAATAGATCAATTCATTAAGCCCCACCCAGTCGTACTTTGACCAATTGCAGCTGTGATCAATGTCAAACATGCGTCCACAAAAGTGCAACATGCGTGCATACATGCATGACGTGCGCAGCTGGAACAAGTGGTGAGCCATTGGAGAGGCACACGGGTTGTTGCCCACGTGCATAGTGGGCCAAGCTTATGAATCAGTCTATTGCACATGCTTTCTGTAAAGATCTGAACTTGAAACTAAAGGCGTCAAAATACCAAAGCAACCTTCAGAGCCTTCTATGCGTGGAAAAAAGCAAAGCAGTTCTTTTATAAAATTGGGCAACTCAGATCGGTCTGTATACCTTTCTTTTGTTTATAAACATTGGGCGCCATTGTGTCTGTCTAATTTGCTAATGTTTTATCACAATAAGCAAAATTTCTCACTGAAAAATGGTGAATTACAATCAAGTTTTGCAACTTTGTGAACTTACGGGGCTCGTAATAATCATACACCTTGACCGGTACTGCGTGAGTCTTGCCGACCACAAAGTCCTGATAAGCATCAAAGGTGACGCAGGTCATACACTGGCTTGGAATCTCATCAAAGTACAGGATGACCTTGCGACCGTCGATCTCGTAGCGCTTGACCTTGGTGTACTTGTCTCGTAGAAGCTGAAGAAGAAACAAAGTCTCACATAAATCTCAGACATGGGCTCCTTGCACGAACAGAGAGGGCGCATTTTTACCACTTTGGAGCACCCCACAGACGGGAAACACAGCGTGCGCATGCTGGTTCGCACATGTATGATGCAATTCATCCCAGTTTTGATGGCTTGCTTACTACCTACTGTGCGCGGCGCTATACGATCTTTACCTATAATGGCGACACTGACCTTCCAGTACCCGGATGTAGGCCAGGTCACGTAGGTCAATGAGAGCCCTCTATTTATACCCCAGCAATTGACTTACCAGATCCAAACTCTCAATGTCGGCTGTGAAACCAGTAATCAAGGAAACCTCAATGACCGCCATGTTGGACGAGCCTGCATGTAGCCATCTGAAAATGAAATTAAATTTAAGCATTTCTCAGAGATTACCAGAAGTTTGATTTCAAGGTGTTACACCAAAAGCTTAGTTCCCGATAGTTCTTCCTAAAGAGTAGTACCGTAGCCATTTCGGCTATTAAATTGAAGTCAAAATCTATCAGAGTCATTGACTTGCTTCATCAAAACTCTTCACAGATAAAACAGTAGCATTGAATAAGATTGATAAGCAAACAGAAAGATTCAATGACTTCAAGAAAATATCCTTTTCTCAACTATCCGGGACAACAAAGACTTTCAGGCATGTTATTCTACAAAAATCACGTCATGGAATTCACTTCCTTCCGGCACCTCCTATTAAAAATATTATTTACAGAACTTTAACCACTGGTCCCTGTACCACCCTGGCCTCTGACTCCCTGTGAGGCCCCACACCGCCCCAGCAATGAGCCCCACACCGCCCCAGCAATGAGCCCCACACCGCCCCAGCAATGAGCCCCACACCACCCCAGCAATGAGCCCCACACCGCCCCAGCAATGAATGGTCAATGGATCCATCAGGGGATGATTACAACTTAATACAATGCAGTACAGGTGCTAATGGGTTGAGAAATATTGACAAATTTTACCAATGCTCCTCAAGTAGCTGCACTGTCTGCCTCCTGAGAAGTGCTCTCTCACCTCGATGGGACATGATGATGTAATATCTTTGTGCCTTTTTTTCCTATTTGCCTGTTTTTTTTTCAAGCTTTTTTAGTGAAAATAAACTTGGCTTGTAGGCTTGTCAAGTCAAAATGGATCCTTATACTCAGTGACTCAGTCAGTTAGTCAGTCATTGAATCAGTGAGTTTGAGGACAGTGCATGGGATGGCCCTTGGGTCCACTGATTGAAATTTGTTTGCTGCAGTACTCACCTTGTGCAGACCTCCAGAGTGACCATGTAGTCATCGTGCGACGGCATCAGGTTCTCTGTGGTGGTGCCGTCGACGTAGCGCTTGCGTCTGGTCTGGTAGGGCACTGACTCAATCATGTTCACGTTTAATTTGAAAGCAGGCTTGCCCGTCGGATCTGGGATGTTATACTTCATGTTGATCTGCGATAAAAACAGAGCCAAAAGAGATTAAGGAAGTGAATGGGTGTGATAATACACAAAGTCACAATTTTTGTAAGGAAGACATGAGTACACGAAGTCTTCAACACACAGCTTCAAATTCATGGCCTTTGTAAATTACTGACTCTATGCCACAATGAGTGTGGTTTGAATTGTACCAAAGAACCCACTTGAAAATATAACAAAGGACAGTGTTACAAATTATATACCTCAACTGCTACTTCACTTCATACGTAAAACAAACGGATAATTTCTTTGATGTCATGGGTACAACTTGTCTGAATTAAAGTGTAGAAAGTTTACGGTTGTGAAAACTGCAGAATAGTTTTGATAGTGCTGTGATCTGGATGTAAACTGCTTCATTAAAATCCAATTAATCGTTTCTTCAGTTCTTTTTAATCAAGATTCTTCATTGTTTTTTATTCAGAGTGATTTACGACAAACCCATTGTCTTCATTGTTGCCAGTATTCTTTATAGAGATTATAACACGGTATATCAACTCAATGTTGATCGATTCATACCTGCAGTAAGCCACAGCCTTCCCCATATGCACTCAGAAACAGGGTCTTGGACAAAACTGGGATCTGAAAATGAAACAACAGAATAAAAAAGTGAATGAACAAGCATTAATTTATTTTGAGATTAAATTAACTAGCTCAAATTAACTAGCTAGACAGTGTCTTTTCTTTGACCTTTACCGTTTCTCCCCCCGAAAAATCACAGTTTTTCCCTCGTTAACTGTTTTACCAGAAGAATAATAAAATCAAAGAAAGCTTTGATTTCTGCAAAGTCTGACATGAACTGGAACCATCTATCCAACTTGTTCTTTTCTTAGTTTTTCACTTCCTATATATGTGCAATATGCCTCCACTGAAACAGCTTAGGGACACCATAACAACTTCCCTTTGACTGCCAATTTTTTGCTAACAAACTCCACACACAAATTCTGCTTGCGGATCCTCATTTCTCATGCAAAAGCAATGCAATAAAGTATTTTCTAGACAACTTCTTTTGAGGAATTGTGTTCTCCCACCCCCCCCCAAATACATATAACTTTTGAAGTGTATCAATCACAAACTAATCCTTTAATTTTATACCCAAATGACAAACACCATTATTGGCAACTAAAATTAATGCCAAAGAATTGCTATTTTTCAAACTCACCTCCCTGACTTGTAAGATTTGACTGTTTTCATTGTTCAGGTGGTAATAGTCCTCCACAAAGAGATCCAAGTCGGTGTAAGCCAGCGAGATGCTGAGATTGACCCGGCCCACGTAGGCCAAGGTGGCATACTCTGCCAAGGCTTGAAGGGCTACACAAGTGTCCTGAGCAGTGAATGAAAATACATATCAAAAGTAACGGCGAAAGAAAATAAAAATGAAATAGTAATTGCGAAATTACAAAACGAACACGACCACACATCTGTGACGTCACTTTCACGTTTTTGTGCTGCGAATTCAGAAAAGTTGGACACATTTCAATTTTAGCGTATTTCGTAGCAAACGTTTCATGCTTCAATTTCCCTTTGCATTGACGTTCAAGTGAAGTATGAACCAGCCTTCAAGCTTTTAAATGTTTACCTGGGTTGAGGAGAAGCCACCATGCGCATTCCTCTGTTGTGTCAGCCACTTGACGATGGGCAGCGAGTATGCAATGTCCCCGAGGGCGGTGTACGTCAGCAGGGCATACGCTGTCATCTCCACCTCAGCTGATGTCACGGTTTGCTCCAGGTCACCAACGTGAGAGAAGAAGGGGAGAGTCTCCAGTGCCTCCCCGCTCAGACGCCAGTAGGTCAGGCTATCTGCGGATCAGAAGCCATGAAAAACAAAGTCAGATTTCAGGAGCTATATGCGATGTATGAAATTCAGATCTACATTAATTCCCAAATGATACCACTGCCTTTTGGAAAAAAAACTTTAGATAAACCAATGCAGAACTCTTTGGCTGCAATTTGAATGAGTTGTTGACGTATGTTAATACGAGTATTCTCCTGACAAGATCTGTTGGTGAGCTAGGGCTTACTTTCTGTTAAAGCCAAAGTTAACTCTTACACAAGTAGAGCCAAGTTTTTATTTATTCCACTCAAAATTTCATCCCCACATGAAACTCAGTAACAACATCAAGAGCTTCTCAAAGACTGAACCCCTTGCAAAGAGCAGACACCTATGCGGTGTTGGTTATTTGAATTCAATATGATTAATGCACAAGAGGTTTCCTCATATGTAACCCTGCGGCACAAATGCACGCACCTAAATGATGGCTGCAATATAAAGGATGTATACTATCACTGACCATTAAACTGAGGTGACTGACCACTGTACTCCCATTCCAAATGTCATCTCACCTTTTCTGATTGCCTTAGATGTCAGTACCCTGACTGCGATGGCCGCAAATGGGCTGTTGCGCAGGGTCAGGGCATATGCAGTCAGCGCCGCTGTATAGGGGTCCACGATGGACCCAACGTTGTCCTCTAGGAATTTCTGAGCTGTACTGACGGCTGTCTTCTCTTCGTCTGTTTCCACGCCTGATTCCATCAGGGCCACAAGGACGTAGGCCGTGAGAGGCAGGCGAGAGTTGCCTTGAATGCCACCCTGAAGTGCAAATGAAATGTTTCCAAAACTCTAAATTACAAAAATACTTTATTGATAATTTGAGACAGGTAGGAGCTAATAGTAAAAAAAAAAAAAAATTGCCCAATTGTCAGCTACCTATATCTCCTAATCATACTTCATCGAACCTATTTTTATTTCCTTTCATGGATCTGTGTACATTCTGTTCCTGAGGTAACACCTCATTGCTTAGATATCTGTGATTATAGCTTCCTGTGACCTTTAGAATGTTCTACAGAGTTAGTACGGTACACCAAAATTAAGTGCAATGGCTGAACAAAGGTCATGATTGCAGAGAAAGGTCAAATACAAAGTCTTGCCCAGCGATGAGAAATGAGTATATGCAATCAATACCATTATACCCAAAATGACAACTTACATTGCCTTTTAATACTGAATCTTATCTACAACTATATACTGAGCATTGCCAGCCCAAAAAATGCAGTCACAAACAATCGCTATACTGGTCGATTTTATTTTTTTAGCTCGAGATTAACAACAAACAATTCCACTTCACCTGGATGTCTTTGTTGAGAACCTTGCCCACCGGTGGGAAGGATCCATCTTCCTGCTGGTGAGCAATGATCCACTTCTTGCTCATCTCAAGCTCCTTGGGGTCGATGAAGATGAAGCGACGGGACTGGGCAAAGGACTTGAGGACGAAGGCGGTCAACCACATGCTGCCTGAGGTGTCGCTCTCCCCGAAGGCGCTGTAGGAGCCTGAGTGACGTCGGTAGGTCAACTGGCGCTGATAGCCTGGGGGGGGGGGGAATAGTAGAAAGCATCGTTTATAGTGTAAGAAACAGCTTAGGTTCAATGTGATAAAAAAATGTGACTGATTGAATTGAATTTGTCAGTGATCTCACGATATAAGACACCAACTGGAAATGCTTGAGATATTTGGCTATTAATTTTGGCTATTAACTTGAGCTTTCAAGGCTGAAATTTGCAGTTTTTTAAATCAAAAATATCCAATTATTTGATATTCACAGATAAAATTTCACTTCTTGAAATTGCAATTATTTTGAGGTTGGCACATTGCAGAGCTGGCTAACATTAGTCCTAATGTTCACTTGAGTGGAACGCACTCCTGTTTTATGACAAACAGCCATCTTACAAGCTGTCATAATCCTCATCTATAAAACAGTTTTTAGATATTGCGCAGCAATGCAAAGCTCCATGAAATCAACTGCAAGTTAGTTATCTTACACACGGCATAAATTATGCCCTGTTTGAGAAATAGGCAACTAGAAATGAAAATTAGCGTGTAAATCCTTGCCTACCTTGAACGAGGAAAGTGTTTGCTTCAATCTCCGTCTCCTTGTCCATCTGGTTGGTATGCTGCAAGTAGTGCATGACGTAGACGATAGGAGCAAAGTGGATCATGTTCTGCTCTCCACAGCCAAACGGAAGTCTGATCAGGTTGTGGAGGTTGTTCAGGGTGGGACCCATGACGTCGCCTGAGGTAAGTTTAACAGAAGTAATGAGTGTTATTGGTAAAGATCAAAACATAGCACTGGCTCAGTTTAGGTTGACCATAGTAGCTGAGGGCAAGAGCTGAAAATTGTTTATAAATGGGGAAAAAAGTTAGTTTATCAACATGATTAATATATTTAAAGTAAAGTCATCAAAGTTGGTAAATTGCTTTCCAAGTCACTTTCCAGTAATGCAGCAAATATCAGAGAAATGTCTGCAGAATGTGTGAAATGTACTGTCCATTAGTACGGTACCATGACAAGTCACAAGGACCATTAGGACAGATGATTGTTGAAATTTGATATTCATGTACATTTTTCAATTCTAAGATTTAACAAATGTGAAAAAAAGGAAAGATAACTTTTAACTTTCAACATTTCAAAACACCTTATACTATAAACTCCAAACTGATATAATACTTTCCATATCATGGTGATATGTTCGCCATATCTTGTTATATCATGTTAGGCTAAATATGTAGTCTTCCTTAATTCATTCAACAAGCTTACCAATAACCACAGCTGAAGCCCTTTCTGAACCCTGCACATGGTTCAGAGGTAGAGACAGGGTGAATGCCTCTCGGTAGATCTCGCTGCTACCTGAGCAACAACAAAGAAATGTAGCACACGGTTGGCTTTTATACCGTATCATTATCGTTACTGTTTTACAATCGAACTACTCGGAAGTGTAAACCATGAAATGGTGGAGCAAGGATTTTTAAAGGGATTTGGCTAAGGTTTTGAAGTCAACAGAGATCAAAAACTCCACACAATGAATTGCAATTTGCACTAAAATGCTTTCTTGGGGGGGAACAAACATTTTTCCAGTTGTTTTTTTTTTCCAAAAGGAAAGGACTTGGTCAGCAAACTCAACCAGTCTTCCAAAATCTACCCATACAATGTCAACAAGAATGCAGAATTGGTCTTTCTCCTAACTTAAGAACAGCAGTGCATTAGGAAATAAAGCTACGTTCAAATGTTCTTTACAAAAAAAAGCATTTGGAATTGTATAGTATCTAAGGTAAACTTGAAAGAACTGGAAATATTACTTGTGCAATCTACCTTTTGCAGAGAGGTCACCAATGAAAGTAAATGTTGCGCAATGAGATTGAAGGCAAAAAGCAGAGTCTAATAGAGTTGTAGCCAACTTTAGTCCAATCACAAGTAAGATCACAAGTAACAGGGGATAAACAAGGACAAAGGAAAGTCTTTTGTCACAGAAGCTTAGGACATGGCTTGAGACTGACTGAATTGTGATGGACTTGGGAGTTGTAAGGACTGGATAATAAGTCACTTGCTGATGACCTACCCTTTTTCTTCCAGATTCTGAATTCTCCCAGTGATCCCAGTCCTGTGGTGAAGCCGATGTACTGAACTTGCATTGGATTATCGTCCTGCCAGCTCATAATGACTGATTCATTGCTTGGGACCTCTCCATGCCCGATCTAGTGAGAAAGAAAACAAAAAATCAATAGGTAAGTCTTGAAGAAAATATGGGATGGTGTCATTAGCATTGATACCTTATAACCTTCAGATCATGGTTACTGCATCCGATTTCATAGGACTATGTGGCACAGAAATTATATCAGCACACAAAGGATGATTTGCAAAAATAGGAAACCAGCCGAAAATTGTGCAATGTCTTTCAATAAATAAAATAATAAAACTGTAAAAATATGAAAGTTAGGGACTCCATAACTTTCATATGTGTGCAGTTTTAGTAGTTTTTTTAATTTATTGTTATTTTTGCAATATTTCAATTTACTTCTAAAGTTAATTCTAATTAAAGTGTCACTCTTGTTTCTGCTCCCTGAAGAGCAATTCATACCATTCTTCAGGCTGTCTTGAATAAAACTATAATCACACTAATCTTGTAAACATCTATTTCACAGATAACCTCAAATTCTGGTGCAGGAAAAGTACCTTGCTCAGGGACAAAAGTGCACTTGGGCTTTTTTTTCGGTATCAAACCATAATTTTCCTACCTGTATATTACCAGCCTTCCAGCTGATCCAGAATGCTCGGAACTCATCCCAGCTGACAATGTCAGCAGTGAGATCGGTTACCAGTGCATCACCTGAAATTCAATGGGTGCAGGAACAAAATGCAATCAAGTAAAGTACAAATTTTTTCTTTTTTTTTACCTGAAAACAGATAGAGCATACTGCTCACACAGTAGTTACATCTATCACTCTTCCAAATGTTAAGAGAAATTGTGGCTATTTACATTTTTTTTCAAACTTCATTACTTTCTGAAGCCAGTTTTAGGGGAAATACATTTTTTCCTAATCTTTGTATAGGGGCATATGGTTTTTCTTTGAATGTTGTTGGGGAAAACCCACTATGCCCCCAAATGAATGCCATCAGTGAGTGTAAACAGGAAAACTCCCAATGATTTCCTGGGTTTGGCTGATGTTTTCTGGAAATTACACTTGACCACACGTTAAATTGCAGCTCATTAAATTTCAAGACCATTGCTTTTAATTTTTGTCCTAATCCAAGGTTTGGTTGGTGTTAATAGGTGATTTCTCGTATGGGAATAATCAGGTCTTAACCTGTTAGCACCTTTACTATTCGCTGAGGAATCCATAAAACAGTGCTCAGGCGGCATGGGGTGATCAAGGGAGTACTAATAGGCAGGGTGGTTCAGAGTGGTATAAGAACTAGGCCTACTGGGTTAATGTCTTACAATGAAAAAAATGTAATGGATCCCTTTTTGTCCCTCATACTCTACTAACCCATCCTGGAGCGAGCAATCCAAGATCTTGTATTATCCCATCCTCCGAGGACGACCTCGTACAGCTGGTAAGAATCTTGCGTCGCGGCCAGCGCAATGTGCGCGTCATTCTTGGCCTTGCACATGAAGGTAAAGAAATCCATTCCTTCCTCTTTCTCCACAAACTGGTAGCTGTAGCGGTTGGGGGTGGAGATGTGCGTACGCTCTGTGGGTGAACAGAAAATGTTTTTATTTTGTTATCACTTTTTAAATTTTCAGTTCAACTAGATATTTTTCTCAGATAATTAATTCCTTTTACTAGTCATTTATGCCATGAGGTTGAGACTAACATAGATAGAGGTAGAAGAATTGACAGTGATACATACAAAGTGTAAAAATGTTGTTGTTTTTTTCGTTATTTTTATTCTATAATTTATATTATAATAAAACACCAAACAACTGATTTTTCTTGATTATTGATGACATAAATATTGTGCATTGTCCAGTTTTGTTTGAACCCCAAAACCCTATGTGGAATTTTCAAGGTGGTGTTGTATCTAAAAAATTTTAATAACTAATAATAAAAATCAATACAATATTAAAAGTATGTACCATTGGGGCAGAAGAAGACACTGTAAGCATAGCCTCTTTCTATTCCTTCAGGCTGGAAGAAAAAACCAGTCATTATTAATTTGAAATCTGAAAGTATCTAACATGGAGCATTTTGCAATGGAGTATGTAGGCAGCTATCATTAAAATAGCAAAGGTTTGCTGTAACAACAAAATGTGACTAATACCTCTTTTGAGTGTGTTTTGAACAGTGTGCTCTGTAAGTCATCAGGAGATGGACAAGCATGCATATAATATATGGTACATGTTATGTACATTGAGATGCAAAGTTCTACTTTGGGGGATGACGAAACCACCTCCAAAGTATCGGGTCAGGGAACTGACCTGCACTCGGTGCCACGATGTAGTGTGAATTAAATGTCAGATTTTTATTTAATTGAAAGGTACTTCATGGCTTCCCATACCTCAACCAGTAGGTTCTTTGTGATCTTATCCGAGCCAACAATACCCTCATTGGCAACTGGTCCAACACAACAGTCTGGGGATACCATTGCTTCAGCACTAGCTGCATGAACACAAGAACAAAATATCACATTCATTACCTACGGACACGCCAAGATAACAAAATGTATACAAAGTAAATATTCAAACTTACATAAATAACTTTTGACAAAAAGAGAAACCAAAAAGCCAAAAAACCCAAAAACACTTGCAACGCATAAAGTTTCCATGTATGTAAAAGTATATATAACAGGTAACATTCAAAATGACACCTCTGGATCCTCCACTGATGTTATTTACTCATCAATGTATTTTATGTACTGTAATTGTCAACCATATAGAAATAAATGTATGGATGAATAAATGAATTGCTCACCATGGATTTTCTTTCTTCCGAGTTCACTGAATATCAACGTCACGTAGGTGGTTTCTGTCCTTTGAGCCTGCAGACACAGCTTGTATGCCTGATGACGCTCAGTATGCATCAGGAATCTAACACCTTCTTGCACGTGCACGATCAAATCAACCTGATCATTTGGAAATAAATAAGATACTTGACTTCTCAATTGTCTCTCTCAAGCAAACTGATTTCTTCAGACCCTTGGGTATTTGAGCTTGTATACATCACAATGTTCAGATATTAATTGAAAACATTGCGCCAAAAGATTTCGGAAAAATATGTGAATTCCTCCTAAAAAGTTCCTCATACCTTTACTCCACCGATTTTTTTGTGCTTAAAGAGGTTTTAGGTTGAGGTGTTTACAAACAATGAAAATTTAGGCAATGTAAAATTTTCACATATGCATGTTATTTTAATGATCATAATTACAAAATACTTTGTCCGATTGCGCTAAAACTTTGCATTATGCGATTGATAATGTGTATGATTGTCGCCAGTGCACCAAATTATCAATCGGTCATTGCATTTCCCAGATGGGGTGGGGGAACTCTCAGAAGGGGGAGCAGAGTTCCCCCACCCTTTTGCTGTAAGATAAACCACCACCCCCCCCCAAAAAAACCACCCCCAAAACAAACAGGACACCCTTCATTTACCTGAACACATCTGTCCAAGTAGTTATAGACAGTGACTGGTACCCTGAGCTGCTCTCCCCTGATCACCGAGTACGGCAACGTGAACTCCACAAAGAAATTCTTGAAGGTTGTCAGGGGTACGGTCTCGGCCACACCCAGTCCATAGGTGGGCGACATCGCGATCACATCTGTCATCCAGGTAGTAATGGTGTCCGGAACACGCATCTGGATATGCTCTTCAGAACTTAAGGAACTGAAATATCAAAAAAATACAATTAAGAAGAATGAGAAACTATGTAGTAATAAATTAATAAGCAAATCTTAAAGTGGTGACCTGGGGGCATTAGCACGGAATTGCTTGGTAGCTGAAAAAGTTGTGCTGTGTATGGCATTGTCCACTATGAAAGTAAGTTTGTGTTTGCCACATGTGGAATCTCTTTGTCACAGGCAGAGCACACTGTCCAAAACGGTGAGTTTTCAACTGTGGTTCTTTTCTTTTCAGAACCACAAAAGAGATTTACTTTCACATGGTGCAACCAAAAACTTACTCTTATTACAAACAATTCTGCCCATTTCATAGTGTAGACAAGTCATGCACATACTTCATTGTGTATGCCTAGATGGAAATTTATTTTGTTCCTGCAAAGCAATTCCTTTATATTTATTTCCAGTACGATTTTAACCATCTGTTAGTGAGCCTCTGTTAGTGCCATGACATTTTTTATAACAAAAATAAACATGACTGAAGTTTCATCAATTGGCAACATAAATGTTGATCTGCACCAATTGAACCGTACCTGAGATTGAAGCACTGCCACATCCAAGTTTCTGGGAAGAAGGCGCGTTTACGTCTGGCATTCCGCTCCAGATCCGATAACTGGTCCCGGCCCGCACTTCGTACTGCGCTAAGTTGCACCCAGTCATCATCTGCAGACAGGAGATCAATATATCTGAGTTCATAGGAGCAATTCACAATACAGCGTGCCACCAAGTTGGTAGGAATTCAAGTTGGGGGTGCACAGGCTCAACAATTTTGAGCAAATCATGCACATCATTTGAGCTCAAACAAACAACTCTTGTTACTCACACACATACATTCTTGAAACATGTCATCCAATTGTTTCATGAAAATAATTATGCTTTTTAATTTTTGAACATGTTATTAACATCATCTTTTACTAAGCAGTTGAAAAGTCCATATTTAGTTATGGAACTTGCCAAAAGAATACTTTAAAAATGTGGACCCTTTTTAAATTCTGGGCAACCTCGCCTCCGCCCATTGTTTCTCATTTAATTCCACTAAATTCTATATTTCTTATAGAAAAATGTTTCAAAGAGCTACAGGACACATCGCCTCCAATATTTTAACGCACGACAGAAAATTATCTATTGACTGTGCTAAAAAACATAGCAGACTCAGTCTGCACAAAAGATGTTTCAGAAACTTTAACAGAATGTCTTCCGAGAATGTGGCCAAAGCCCGAGAACTTAATAACAAAAACATGGGTGTTCATTTCATTCTCTGAAATGAAAGCTGAAACACCCAGGATGAACAATCTCTGTTCAAATTCAACATAACACATTGCATAACTTTTCAACAGACTGAAAAACACCTTGCTCTTGAAAACAATAACAGCTGACAGGGACATTTACTTAACAGCTGACAATGGTTTAATCTGCCGTTTCCTGTATTCACATGCCACCTATCACTCTGACCTAGATGAAACTGTATTGTTTGACGGAACCAGCTATCAACCTTGTGGCACTGGCAAACAGGATGGGACGAGCTTCTTTAGGGAAATACCCTTAATGCAGAACACATGTGTTTGCAGACTGGATTTACAATTATCCCCTAAAGGTTCTTGCTTAAATAAGATGCACACTGGTTGATTTTTGGGCAAGTTTTGGTGACTGTTTTAATTACCTTCATTTCATTTTGCTCAGGTATCAACAACTCTAAAATGTTTTGACACACAAACAACTGACACCCATACAAATTCAAATCAGATGATTTTCTGAAAAAACAAAACCACCCACACATCCGTTTGCTACTTTCCTGTTATTAAGAAATTAATTGGTCACAGACAAACAATCTTCTGCACAAAGTTAATTATTCGCAAATAAATTTGTTTCTGCACAAAACTATAGGTGTAACACTTTTTATCATCCCTACTTTCCAAACCTCTGTTGCCAGAATTTAACTTCGATTTTTAAGATGGATTTAAATGGATTTAATCCAATTAATAAGTATTTCTGCACGATGCTTCAGTTTCAGGATCAGTAACACTTTTTGCTTACCCAAAACCACCGACTCACTGTCATGAAAGTTCAGATGAATTTTGTCGGTCATCACCTTCAACCCGGCTTCCTGTACAGAAAAAAACAACCTCACGCAGTTAACACAAACTAATAATTGAATGTGACAGGCCTTGGGTGACGGCCTGGATCTACAGGGGAATTAGGAGCTTAACTACCAGGGCTGGCTGGAAAAACACTGACAGTTCCAATTAAGGTCTCTGTCACAGTTTTCCCAGAAAGCTCCACAAGTTTATTTTGCAGATTCTTGTTGACGTTCAGCTGTTTTTGTATTTATTAATTGAGCTTGATCAGAATCAGAAACTGGCTTAAGTTCTTTAAGGGTCATATAAAAAAGGAATTCCAGAAAAGTTACTTTTTCAATGCTCTTCAACAAATTTTATTTTGTTTCTCTTCATAAATATTTTTTGGGTGTCTTAAACCCTCTGAAAAAAAGTTTTTTATATTGGGCAGACACAGATCCGCCTTATGAATAGATTGATTCATTGTCCATTCATTATCAATACTGTTTATGGGGTGGGAACCAGCCTTACCCATGACAATGGAATTATTGTCATATCGCAAGTAATTCAAGAGTGGTAAAGTTTCAATAACTATTAATGTGGGCCGAGTATTTTTTAGTCGAAGTCTCATTCAAAAGTAAAATAACTTTTGTATTGCTAGAACTGCTCATGTAATTGGGGAGCTCTACATTTTGCACAGAAAATTCTTTCGGGGGGGGGGGGGGTGGGTGCTGCAGGGTTCTTTGAAATGTTGATCAGATGCAAAGGGATTTAGGTAACAGAAAAATGGATGGGATTACCAGGCTACATTGACTGGGCAGTTCTGATAATCTGTTATGGTTTGACACTCACTTAACAGGTGGTATTGGACCGTCAACACCTCAGAGGGTTCACAGTGTCAAATTTCATTTTATCCTCTTCCAAAGTGAAACACAAAAACAGGAACTGACACTTTATGGAGGTGTCTGTAAGGCATAATTTCATTACAAAAATACCGGTAATTATTTTTTCCTCATAAAGCACACTGACTTTTCCTCTTTGGTTATTCTTTGGGCCCCCAGGGAGAACAGTTCTTAGAAAACTGATAGGGCAACCCTGGTAAAATAAAACGATAAATAAAAAAGTAAGTAAATAAATTTCTTGATTGCAAAAACATCAAAACAACAAAATCTTATTGATTTTTGGTTTTTCCTTCTAAATTTTACCATGAATGCGAAGTTGGCATCTCTGGAGCGACTCCACATTGTTGAGCGTTTACGTCGTCCAAACGCCCCTCCCCACCACGCCGTCTCTGCGGACACATCGTCTGTGATGTCATAGTTTTCCATCTCAGCAAATATCTGAAACCACACATAAAATTGAACATAATACACAGGGAACAATGGCGTTATAATCATCAAAAACACTTTAGTGACTCAAGTATAGGGCTCCACAGAGTGTAATACACATGTTCATCACTTTTTCCTAGTTCTGGAGCAAATATTTTCAAAAGGTTTGTGTTAACTTCCCAGAGAACACGCAAATTCCCACATCCTTAGATAGAGCTACTGGAACTGGTAATCTAAGAATATCCACCTTAATTTTCCGAATTTGAAACCAGATAAAAGTGCTCCTAAACCCAAAAGTAAAGTTGCAAACAAAATCTATTTTCAAAGCAAAACAAAATATTTTTCTCTAGGTTTCAGTGTTGCCCAGTATACAGAGTCAGTCTAGAATCCAGCTGCCATTAATAGGCTGGATCAAAATAACCCACAGCCATTTAGAGAAGCAAAACACTTACTTTCTCTGCCGTGACCTGGTAACCTGGACGAAGTAACTGGACGCTCTGGTCGACCGAGGCGACACATATGCAGGAGCCTGGCTTCGCACTGATCATCATCCGCATCTTTGATCCAGGTAAGGTCTCATTCTTGGACATCTCAACCTTGATCTAAATCGACCAGAAACAAGCCAAATTATTTTCATCTGAACATTACTGCCAGAGTCTATACCTCTAAAGAAATCAGGTTTGCAATATAACAACCAAATGCACCTCAGATCATTCCCCCTCGGAGGCTCTCTCATCCCAACCTAGAAATTTACAACATTGTCCAAAATCAACTTCAAACACCTCCGCCCCTATCTTCATCTCATAAATAAAAGAAACTTGATTTCTTTCTTTGATTTCACACCTTATTTTCGAAGCTTGGTTCTACTGGGAGCACCATGGTGTCAGCAACACCCTCGTCATTATCCCGCATGTAGTAGACCAGTAGATGGCTCAATGGTGCCATCCCATGAGTCACCTCAAACTGGAAGGTTGTGCGACAGCTCTGAGAATCCGATTCGCCATCTTCTGTCAATGTAGTTAGGAAGGGGGTTAATTCTCAATAAAAGTGTGAGTTGTTTTGGAAGGCTAGACATTGCACGTTGGTTTCAATGTGACAAATTGGCCAAGTAAAATTATTGCTCGGCGAATTTATCTGCTAAATAAGCCCAAATCAGCTGCCAATACAGGTCCGTTTTTTGCCTAGTAATTATTTTCAACGCTGAGCAAATTTCATTTCAATATATGCTTAGCAAATTTCTAGCCCCTGTATCATACCATTTTCAGCCATGAAGTGATCAATGACAGGATGACTACTGAAGCGTCTCCTGCGACTGCCGTCATTCCGTCCACTGCTGCTGCGTAGCATGGCATCGTGAAGTCCAGATGTCACAATGTTCCCCCTCGACATCACCTCATAGTGCATGGTGAAGTTGCACGGGCAGGTAGACTGGACTCCGATGATGGCTGTATCACCAACCTAGTGGTTTGACAAAATTGAAATTGTCAACCGACAAGATGTAAAAATGTGATGTACGGTACCACAGAGTCTGTCCTCTTACAATCATTTCAGAAATTAACCATCCCAGAACTAGACGATTCTTTAAAAGAAATACAGAAACTTAACAATCTCATTTTGTGGTGTGAACAAAAAATGGTGTTACAATGTTGGTGACTCAAATGGACTTGAGTGAGAATGTGACTCAAATTGATTTGCCCATATAAACCTAATGACTCAACTCTACTCGAGTCATGCCCTATAGAATGACTCAACTCGACTCCAGTTGCAAAATTTAGTGACTCTTTAAGACATCGTTGCTGCGTTTCACAAATGAAACAAACCTTGACATTCTCTTGGAGGCTGCGTAGAAGCAGATGACACTTGCTCGGCGAGTACCAGCTCCCAAGGGACAGATAGTTGTAGAAGTACATGTCTCCTGCATCAGCACCATCAATGGCTACCACCTTGGCCTGTATCAAGATGGATATGATAAACTTAAGATTATTGTGCAAACTAGACGCAACAGCTGCAGTATTAATGAAAGAGATTTTAAAGGGGCTTCTCTGGGGGAGTCAGAGCCTTAGTGGGGGCGTATTTTTACAGCCTCCAAAAAATAACTGGCCTATAAAGCAACTACGTGACCATTTTCTTGTAACAATGTCTTAATTTTGTTTCTTTCTCTTTAAAATATAATGCAATTTCCAAACTAAACAAACACCACAAAACACAAACAAACAGAATTGTGTAAAACAGAGTTTTTACTTCCATACAAATAAAAAAACCCAAATTTCCAATAATTTGTTCCACATTATTTATCTTTGATGAGGGGTGGAGGTCAGCAGTGGATGGGGTTTGCTCTGATTAAATATCTGGGATAAATTGCCAACAAGGTTATCCACTATAGACCCATTGTAACAGGTACAATTGCAAGATGCAGCATTTTGAACCACCTTCCATAATAATGTATCAGCTTTGTATACAAACTGATAACTTCATTAGGGGAAAATTCTAGCGAAGCTTACAAGAATCCTGCCACTCACGCCTACTCGGAATCAACTTGTCTAAAACTTCTCCCAGAATTTAAATGAGATGACCACTTTGGGTTTTTTTCCACTAGATCAAAATATACAGCGAGCGTCATCTGTCAGGATTTTTTTTTAGGGGAAGGGAGAAATTGAATGTTTACTTACATTGATCCAAACATGCCCAGAAACTGGTGGCAGCGATGGGATTGATATGTCCACAACACCATTATGCGAGATGAAGTTCTTGGAGAAGAATGGGTCTTGCTTAACCTCCGCCACAATCTCCACGGTAATGTTATTGGCAGGGCTTTTGTCGGGATAGTACAGCAAAACCTACAAGCAGTTCAGAGGTTATCATTTATCATTGGGAAAATTATAAGAAATAGAACTTGCTGGTTTCAATAGGCATATGTATATTGCACTCATACAATCAAGTTGTGCAATAACCTGCTGTGCTTAGAAAGCAGAGAAATTTTTGCCAAAATACCACGCGATCAATAGGGCTCGTCCAATGACGGCTATTTCTGTAGAAGTGCAACTGCGTATTTTATGCAATCAAGCACGCATTGCGCAGTGTCGAAAATTTTCCAAACACGCGCGCTTGTTGCTCGAAATGTGTTCGAAATACGACGCCGCCAATGCGCGTTATGCAAGTTGACGCTCAAAATTTCGATGCACGTGGATGGTCTGTAAGAAATGACGTTATTTGAACTCTAACTAATCAGCACAGGGGTGGTTAATATGTTGAAACTTTGCCATGCTTCTAATTAAATAGGCCCTAAGGTTAATCAGCACAAAGTTTCCACCTGTAATATATTTAGGCATTAAATCGTTGCCAATATGACATTCCCACGGACAATGTACCTTGCCGTGGTAGGGAAGTCCAGGCTTGTAATGCTTCCTGGAGTCTTTGGAGAATTCCAGGGACACCAGTTGCTTCTGCACCAGGCAGGACTCATCCATAGCCACAAACACATTGCCGTCGTTGCTGGTCACGCTGGCCTCGATGTGAACCATGCCCCGGAAGTGGTCCATCAGGGGTGAGGTAATCATGTCACTGATACAAATGTTGAACTTGGCCGAGCCATCAATCTGGTGAAGAAAAAAAGGAATTGTTGTAAACTTAGTTGGGCCAACAACCATAGCCAGCAGACGTCAGAGGTGGGGGTAGGGGGAGGGGAGGGGGTTGCAAGGGGCATCCCCCCCCTCCCCTTTTGGAAATTTGCTCCTTGGCCCACCATCTTTTGGATAGGCCCTCCCCTTATAAACTTTGGGCTGTACCCCTTAACTTTTTATTATTTTTCTGAATTTATTTATAAAAATGTACCACTGTCATCAGGTCCACTTGCAAATGTGGGACACTGACATGCTTAAGGCACCTTAGGGTTTTAAAACATTTTAGAAAATTTGTTACAAATAATACATTATCACTAATTACAAATGCTGAATGCTTGCATATGTGACTGAAAGTCTCAAAAAGCAGTGGGAGGTATCTTTCTGGGGTAATGAGATTATTTTTGGAACTTATAGCCTTGTTTTAATACTTCAAAGGGCAGGGATCAAGGTTTGTGGAAAAGGGGTCCAGTATTTTTGCCATTAGGGAGCTAACAAGTTGTATGGATGTTAAAGTGGCCTGTGAACATGTAAAGGCACTGCCTAGATTGTACATTATGTGATCCCCAAAGCATCCATTTTTAGTCATACCTTTTTTTTTTTTTTAAATAAAGATAGAGGAATTAGAACCCCCTCTCCATAAAAAAAAATGCCCATGCTTCAATGTGATCTCAAGGTTAACATGTGAAATCTGATTTGTGTAATACATTGTATACTTTGTATATTATTATATGCTATAACTTCCCCAATGAAGGTTATAAACTCAGAGTTTCTTTCTGGTAACTTCTGCCTCATTGGATGTCAGTGGGTCAAAAAATGAAAATGAAATATTGCAGGAATAGTCCTCACATCCATAAACATGTAGTTGTTCTGTCCCATGTAGTTGTTGTAATAGCCAAGTCCATGCAGGTTCATGTTGACAGACATCTTGCCTCGCACTGGTTTGCCAAAGATGTATCTGTTCGGAGAGACATCAGAAATAAGGTAAGGATGTTTCACACTATAAAACCATGGATTTTATTCCGAGATCAATGGAAATATGCATCAATATTGCATCTCAATTAACAACTCAGGAGTAACAACTATGAAATATTATAGTCTTTGTCAAAGTGTGAACAAAATGTTCTTGGGCTCAAAATGTTCTTTTACCATTTTTTTTTAACATCTCAAGATCTAGTTGATATATTGAAGGGATAGCCAATGAAGAAACCAAACAGGCAAACAAATCCAACAACAAACAAAATCCTAAGAAATGTGTCCCTTTTTACATTTGAATATCATTACTTCATACTTCCAAAAGCCAGTGTTTTGGTCTGCTATTTGCATGGGTTTGGAGAAAACCAAATAAACCTACACATATATACTACCAGTCTTAAAAAAAAAAACAAGTTAAAAGATAACTGTTTTTAAAAACCTACATGTCAAATCCTACAGCTACAGTAATGGTCTTGCTAAAGTGATACATAAATCAAAATGGTAACATGGAAAATATAAACATGATCCAATCTGAGAGAAAATATAGCAAGCTTAAAAAGAACCCCAAAGAGTCAGGGATAAATGTGGCTGTCCTTGAACAAATTGTTCAAGGAACTCAATAGGCTACAGCTTGTCATCCTTGGGTAGATGAAGCATTGGAAGATGAATACTGACAGGTGCAGTAAAGTATGTAAACTTCACCTGCACAGACTATCATACATTATATAAAAAAAAAGTATCAAGCAGTTTTTCTGTTTCTTTGTTTGCGGGTTGTAAGAGGTTGTAACCTTTTTGGTCTCAACGTTTTGTCTTTATTCATTGATCATGTTTATTGCAGTGTTGGACCTGTAACTGCAAATAAGCTTGTATTACATCTACACTCAAATACAGGTTGGTTCTCCCTTTCAACACACTCTTTGTGTTTGTCCACTCAATTCAGATTACTCTTTCTGTTTTAACCAATAATGTATCATTAGATTGAAATCCTGCTTTTTCAGAGAACGCCTAAACACCTCTGACCTGTGGTCCCTAAGTTCGAAGTTTTGCTGAGCTTCGCTGCAAACATTTGGCATTCTTTCATGTGCCATTGTTGATAACATCATAACTTTTCACCGGTTGGAAAAACAAACACATCAGGTGGAGGAAGATTCATGGGGGACTTAAAGCACTTCGACTAAAAGGTCCAAAACTAATAGTGGTCTAAACAATGTTTACTTGTAACGTAGTAAACCAGCATCAATTCATAGGCCTTTCATTTCTGAGAAGTGCAAACTTCCTAATTTTGATATACATGTATCTTACTATGTTCACTGCATGCTTTTGTAATATATCAACTGATAAAACATAAAGATGTTGTATGTGAGTTAAAGCTTCTCATAGTCATTATCTGGTTTCTCAAAACCTAATCAAAATACTAAGAGGTATTCTGGAGCTGTTATAAAGGGAATGTACAACCTTGGCTTTTGCTGCAATTTTCAGAAATAAGTGCATTTGGAGGATTTATATGTTTTAGCAAATATTGTTAAACTGACTTGTTTCACGTTTTTGGCTTGTAGATGCTGGAAAAACCAAGAAAACCAATTATATTCTCGTAGTCTGGTTCCCTGACGCCACTTAAGATGAAATGGAGTAATTTATAGACTATGGGGAATTGTACGGTCAGAGTATCAATTTAGCTGGCTTGTACCCGTTCACAGGTGAGTAATCAATTGCAAAGAAAATGTGGGATAATTAGATATAGGAAATGTGGAGTAGTTTTTAAAAATAACCAGTTTTCTCCACAACTTTTCTTTAAAATGTCAGCACACCAGGAGCCATAATTTTACAGGATGCTTTAGACTGTCATTCCCTAACAATCCGGTAAGGTATTTCGTGATAATTTGCAAATGTTGTATATTCCCTTTAATAGCGACTTTTGGGGTAATTGGGTAATGTAATATTTTCAGCAAACAATTTGCAAAAAATGCACATTTGAGAAATATAACTTCGACACCTAATAATCTATATGACTTAAGTACATTGTACACAATTTATGTTTGGCTGCATAATCTGCTCTGAAACTTAAACTTTCTCCCTCCACAAAACACATTTGAGTTTGAAAAAGTTATTACTTTGATAAATGACAAGCCTGCTAGCACAAATCAACTTTTATGGCTTACACTTAGTTGTGTGACCTTTACGAACAGCAGAGTCATAGAAAATGCTGCCTTGAAGAGGCACAGTGGCTTTAAGGTTGATGACCTGAACCCATAACAGAATAATTATCTCAATAATAATGGTGACATGTGACTTACCTTGCTCTGACAGTAGCTTGGCTGCATTTTGTGACATCTGCTATGTAGCTGGGTGGTTCAATAATTACTTCAAACCTGGGTAAAACTGAAAAAGGAAAGTAACGTCCATTACTTTTGCAAAAATTCAGATATTTTGGGCACAATTCAAATTTAATGCATCGATGTGGAACAAACAGAGTTTCAACTACACACAGTTGAGTGACAGTGCCTGATGTATTCTAGACAATAGTTTGTAAAACAAAATCCCAACAGTAATGTCAGAATATATTTTTAGATTTGATTATTATTGTTGGAAATTATATTCCAAATATTTTACATGATGAATGTGAAATCTCAATTGATATTTAGTATACCTGTGATCCTGAAGCCTCTGTTACCCTACATCCTAGTTCTCTGGAGTATACACTGACATGTTCACTAATCCCTTTATCGGGAAAGAGGTCAAAAGTCCACAATCTTAAAAAAAATATATAATTGAAAGCCCCAACTTATGAGCTCCTTTGCCTCTCCTTGTAATGCAAAATACCAGGTGTCAAATGGATGCTTTTGTTATTATTCACAAGCATTGCAATTCCATCAGCTGCTGAAAAATATCTCAGCCAAAAGTAATTCATCTCAAATACATGGACATTGTTGTTGACTTTTTGAAATGATGATCACAGCTGTTAACTTTTTTTGACAGCTCCTCCACTGATGATATCTCAATCTCTGAATTACTGCCGGCAGACAGGTCAGGTGTTAAACCAATTCTCAAGCAAGGTCAGTTCACCAAGGTTTTGCCACCTACGATTTCCTGGCAAGGTTGGCTATTTAGTGGATGGAGGAAGGTATCAAATGGGAATTTCTATATCCATAAGATATAAGACTGAGCCATTTCACATCTTGTGATTATACCATTCCTGTGAGGAAAAACCCTAGAGATGATTTGATGATAAAATATCTAAAGCAAAATAACTCATTCAACAGATTCTGGAGGAAATATATGTAGTTTAACTGGGTATTTCATAAAAAAAATTAGTTCATGATTTCATAAAAAAATTACTTCATGAAATTTCTTGCAATAATAACTTGAACAATGAACAGTGAACATAAATTCATTATTTGCAATGTGAATGTCTTGGGGTCACCTTAATGTAATTCCAGTCCCATTTTAGGCTTTGAATAAAAAAAACCCATTGTAACAAAAATGATCAGATTGATCTTTTATTATGCAAAGAATGCTGCAAAAACCAAGCTTCTCAGTGCAGAATCAAACCCAGTACTGTCTTTTAAATTAAAGGGACAATCCTTCGTTTTATTATTTTGATAAACAGCTAAACAGTTTTTCAAAGTTGTACGAGAAGTTGTCCAGTGACAACACCAGCAAGGGGAAAACGTGACTGAAGTGACTCATCTGTTCTTCTACAAACAGAAACAAATACCTTGAGATGTTTACCTCTTAATTTCACCAATTTGCTACATCGTGACTACTTGGACAATGAGAATCTATGAACAAATCATAAAGTCTTTGGAAAATCCCACACAAAAATGTGTAACTTCACACAGCTTCCGATTTTTGAGGGGAGATTGTTTGTCTCTAATTTCCAAATTACTCTGACAATTAGCAAAGGAAATGAGGTGCATCCACTGGGAAATTTACAAGATGAAGGATGACTTGAGAAAGAAAAAAAAATAGATATTTGTCTCCCAAGTGTCAAGACGTGACAAGTGTTTGTACTGCAGACTTTCCTCACGCATTAAGTCTCCCTATAATAAGATACATATCTTCATGTTCAACTATCTCAAGACATGAGTCACACCCTTAACAAGTTGTTTTCGCCTTCTTAAAGGAAACAACATTGGTGATCTTCTGTCAGAAGCACTCAACCCGTCTGAAACAAATATTTTGATGGGGCTCAGGATTTCGACAAAAAGTAGCTTATCAGTGGAACATGCTTCAGTGGAACTGTTTCCTCCAATTATATCTAAATCATACCTTAGTGGAAACTGTTTTTGCTGTAAAAACCTATCATTAAAAAAACACTAGATCTGTTTTTGAAATATCTGAGCTACCAAATACAACATAAAGAAATCTATGTAAAACTAATGACACTGCATTTTTATATTTTTCAAATTCAATACTTTTCCTTAAAAGCAAATGTTGATTTTTTTCATGAAAAAGAGACATATATACATACAGTACCTGAAGACTTATGCTACATTTTCTACTAAACTTACCATATTTTTGGACTTCAAATGTTTTGTTATAAGTGTGGCCCTGTACTTCAGCATAGACGGACCACTCACCAAGCATTGGCTGGTCTGACAGAGGAAAACTAGTGTTGATTATACCTATAGTCACAAAACAAAAGAAGTAGGTTTTTTTTTCAAAATTACCGCATCATTAGTTTCTTTGAGTGAGAAATTTCAATTCTGAGCTGTAAATAACATGAAGGCTTCTAAACAAAAACACAAAATGAGACGTTGACAAAGAATAACCATAACTTTAAAGATAACTACAATTATGTTTCTGCTTGATAAGTACAAAATAATGCCAACATTAAAACAAACATTTTGAAGGAAAAAACACGAATAAGTATGGCCTAAACACTGTATATGGGACAACAAATGATGTAAAAATGTAGGGCAACAACATTCATAAGAGATTGCAGGGGCCAGTGTCAAAGAAAGTACATCTTTGTTTATAAACTGTTATGTAAACACTTGGAGTGACACCACTTGTTTTTTGTTTTTTATTTCAGACGCTAGTGACCTCTGACCCCACCAGGAAGCCAATGTCGTTAATGAGGCGGACTGACACTAAATTGTTTCTGTTGACAGGCACTGCTGCTGAGTGTCTCTCTGCAAAATTAAGAGAAAATGACGCATGCCTGAATGTAAACTTTAGAGCTATCCAACAAATACCAGACATTTCCAGGTGATTTGTGTGGGCATACAGACAGGTGATAAACAAAAGGATCTGTGTTTATGCAAACTTCCAGAGTGCTACTCCTTACACTCATTGTTTGTGGTTGGGCCATTGCTGAAATAATTATTGATATTTGAACATTATCTTCTTCCATAAAAACACTTGTAAGCAGGAATGTTATAAGCCTGGAACAAATAAAATTCTTAACTGAACAAATTTTGTCACACTAAGGCCCTAATAAAAATGTACAGCTTTTTATACCTGGTTCAAAGGCCTATGACTATGACCAAAAAAATATGGTGGGAAAAAAATAATTAAAAATTACTGTCAAATGTTGCATAAGAAGATGTATATCTATGACTCTAGACAGTGCAATATGATGAAAATACACAAATTAAACAGAAAAACTGAGAAACAAAACACTTACCACAGCACATGGGTTGAAGTTTTCTCCATTGTATCATTCTTGACCCTTGGGGATCAACAATATATGCCAGCATCTACAATAACACACGGATATAAATAATACCCAATTTCAGTTAATGCCTTTTACGTGACGTCATGCATTTTGAGTTATTACCTATTTCTCTTCTCCCCAAAATAAACAAGCTCACATCTTGTTTGAATTGCAATTTAAACAAATACGATTGTTATATTAAGTGTAATCAAAAACATTCATACCTCTTCATTCTTAGGTCTAAGATCTGGCCCCGTCATAATAAAGTTGATTAAAACTACAAACAGAAAGAAAGCAAAATAACATGGTATTTGATACAACTTCGTGTAAACAGTTAACAATATAAGCTGCTATCTACTGAAGATAGCTTGTGCAGTCTCATTCCAACTTCACATTTGAAAACATCCTTTACGTCGCTTCTGCTGCTGATTGCTGAAGACCATTAACCTGTGTTATGATAGCTCATTATTCACACTATAGGTATATAATAAACTGAGAATAGCTCACAAGTCAGTTTGTGTTCACGAAAAGGGGACAACGTAAGCCAGCCAATGGACGGCCATTTTTATAATCTGCTTTTTACTGAGGAAAGCTCAGTAGACATGGAGCTAGATGTTTGAAATCTCAATTAGATAACAAGTTTTATTTTGGCAGTTTTTATTCGGTAGGTTTTACATCTGTAACTTATTCGTAAGTTATAGTTCACCATCAAAAAGGACATGCGTCCTGAAACTCAGATATCCGCAAGAGTACCTACCTCTTTGCGATGGCTTATAGACAGGCTTATCAGTTTGAATAAACACCGAAGTGCCCTTGTCTGAAATGTCAACATCCGTGGAGTTCTTGAAGTGGTAACCAGTGGCACCGATGTCACAATTACCGCAAACTTCAAGTGTTACCCTCCCTCGAACGCCACCAGGTACCTGAAATACGTATATCAAAAGTACAGTTATCGACAAGTGGTGATGAACTTTTGCACTACATATTTTTGATGGGGAGGACTGAATTGGTGGGCACTGGTTTCATTAATACTTTTTTTTAATCAGCAGTTGTGTTTATGTATAGGCCTACACGTTCGGACTTGAAAAACTGGGCTAAACAATGTCATGTTAAGACAAATCGCTCATTTTAATGTTTATTTCTAATCTATAGGGCTAAGCGTAGATCTCTTCATTACTCTTATTTTTGTGCACAGTGCTTAACTAACGGTTCCATTTTCTTGGTGAAATAGAATCGGTCTTTTAAACGTAGATTTTGGTGGCACACCTGCAGTCATTTCATTCAGTACCTATCGAGCGCTTCCGAGGGATATACGCTTGGCTTCTTGCCAGTATTCGAGGTATTGGCTTTTCTTGTCCTATTCAAGGCTTTTTCAGAATCCCTTTTGAAGTAATAATTAGGCCAATTTAAAAGATTCTTCTTCCAATAACACCAGAATAGAACCAATTTAAACTCAATGAATACTACCCCGTTGTACGTATTTTGAATGCTACTCATTTCTAATTATTCCAACGAAAGCTAGTCAAACGCACCGCTGTTTTCAAAGAGTCATTTTCCGTCTCGTCCGAGATCTCTACCAATTAATGGATTGCCCTCCGAACCAAAAACATACGTCCATTCAAAGTGAGCTTTGGGACTGAATAAAGTTCCCCTAATGATTCCGAAAACCAAAGGGCGTTGACACCGCACGCGCAAACATTCAAACATGGCCAGGGGCTTGAGCAGTCAGAGCGAAGTGTTCTCATCCCGTCTCGGAACACTTAGCAGTAGGATAATAATTGTCAAGGATGCGAATGATCAAAGCATCTTCTTCGGCTAATATTGAATCGCCGCTCAAGTGCCGCTGATTGGGGTAAACATTGGTCTTTATTTGACTGGGAGGAAGAGTTTACAATGCCGACTTCGCTTCTGACAACAGCCCAAGGATAGGCTTTAGACTAATTTGGTTCTTTGGTTACAGTTTCAAGAAAACGTGACACAGGAGCGCCGTCACGAATTACAAAGTGAATGGCAATGCTTGGGCTTCCGCAAGAAACGCTGAGGCCATCAAGAACTATGGAAGCTTTGCAGTGACGTCATCGGTCATCCATAAGAATAATAACAGCAACAAACTTTTCGGCTTGAATTCAAAGGACTAAGGGAAGGAGAAATGTCGAATGAAGTTTTAGACCTGAATCTGGAAAACGGCAGTTTTGCCTGAATTTGAAAACTGGCTGTCTAAATTTGATATTAACGAACGCAATTAGGTGTTTACGGCTTAAAATACTCCTGCAATAGCAAATAAACCAAGATGACAACATTCTGAAGAAGGCGTCTTTAAATATTGCCCATAAAATAAAACATACATAAACACCAAAGGCTGCATGTGGCCTATAAATATAATGAACAGTTGGTGAATGTAGACCAAAAACCAACCAACCTTTTAATATATCATTAAACGCTATGATACTCATTTCCAAAAGAGAACAATTTACACTGACCTGCAATTTGAGCTTTCCTTTACCTGCCATGGTTTAGGGATAAGAACACAAAAAGGTACATAAGGAGAAGCATGGTTGAGACAAAATCTACAACATTTTCAATTTTATAAACTTCCGGTGTACTGATTGCGGGCCTATTTTTAAAATAAACACATTGATCCATGCCATTGCTAAAACGGCATGTAGAAACTAATCAACAATGAATGCTAATTCTTGGAAGCTTTAAAAATGTGGTATAAGTGAAATTTTCGGTTCATATGTTTACATTATATTCGTATTGAAATCGCAAAATTTACAAGATGTAATGGACATATAGTTTGTTTGATAATTATCAAGCCGTTCAATCTCGGCCTATAATGACAATTTTCCGCTATATGTTAGCGGGAGCTTATTTAAAAGGCTGTGTGAGTGGAGTCTAGTAATTTTCAAGTAAATTCATACAGCGATGTAAAAGTATAGGCCCTATTAAGAAAATAATCTTACAGTCATTGCTGAACTTCTGTTATGAAAGGTCCATTTTTAAGTTTGTGAGATGGAAAAAAAGTATGTCGTAATTTTGCGTTGGTGTCGTACTTTGGGACTAACTATATAGACCTACATTTTGCAAGCAAAGTACATCACAATTTAACCCATCAGCACATAACCATATGCAGGCAAACGATTTTCTGGCTTTCAAAAACAGCAAGACACAAGCAAACGACATACATGTATATTCTGATTTTGATTGTAGTAGTTGCGTCATTGTGTCTTTTAAAGAATTGTTGCTAAAACACAGCCTGACAAACATGGCCCACTTTTAGTGTTTCGTAATAGTACTGTAGTGCAGCTACCTCGCCGTCACAACGGTATACCATCTTCATGTGTATGGGTATATGTACAGCGCATGGGATGTGGGCTGATCCGCGGCACCACGAGGCAGTATGCCATCTACAAAAGGTCAATGTCATCAGGCCAAGGAAGCCTCAACTCCCCGCCAATCTGACACGATTTGACAGCTGAGCTGAACTCCCCGTGTACCCTGATACATGTAACGGAACACTGGGCCTTTCTTCTCCAACAACCACCACCAAAAGGGAGAAGAAAACAGCCCTAGAAAAAATAAATATACCGCTGCGTTGTCAGGGCAATAGTACGAACACTGGGTGAACTTTGAACAGGGAGCCACGGGATCAGGTTTTGCAACGTTGATGGAAAAGAAATATAAATTTGATGAGACATAAAAAGTGCTTATATAGGTCTGATGAGCAATCATCAACGCTTGAGAGAAAGTGCACTTTTTTTTTACCGGGTTCGTAAAGTTGGAAACAAACGTCCTTGGATTTTCCCCTTTATATTGCAAGCGCAGATCTTGAGACCACACATCTGGCTCTTAAGTATACATGTATACGGAGACCACCGCAACCCACGGGTATAAATCCACCCAAGATCAGATCCAAACAGTCACCAGCTTAAAGGTTTATTTATTTGTTTGGTTGAAGTGGTGTAGGATTAGGTGCAGCCGGTCTTTTCTTATTTGGAGTGGGACTTATCGCGTTACGAAAGACCACAGGGCTTCCGCCTCGAAGCGACTTATCTGGGCACTTCTTGGTATAAATCGGACGTAACGGATTTTGGGAGGTGAAATCACAACGCCAACTTTCTTGGTGAAATAAAGCACACGAAATTGTGCATGTAAAGAGAAAAAGATTTGCTTCCACAAAGCTTTTGTCAGCGATTTGTCGTAATACTGTCGAGAACGTTATTCCAAACTGCAACTGATAACTGTGACAATTGATAAGGTGCCTTGAGGAAACTCTTCATATTTCAAGATGGTAATTCCACACCTGATCATAATCAAGATGACAAAAATAACTAACATGCAAAACAGAACCCTTTCATAATTATCATTAAGTATCGTGAGATACTTTTGTATATAGTTATGATCAGATGTAACATTCTGGTTTATTACAAAACTATAAAAGTGCAAAATGCGGACAATTTTGACAAATGTAATGACGAAACGAACCGGTATCATTTACACAAGACTTCAGAGAAAAAGCTCTTTCGCGACCTTATCAATAGGACAAAATGGTAAGAAATTACAGTTATTCCCGTTAACATTTTACAGTGAGTATTATCACTGCCTGAGGTGAAAAGGTCCTGCTTGCATTGATTTATCATTCATGCTCTTACCAACAATGTTGCGTTCCGTTGATGCCACAGTTTCGTTCTTGAAAACTAACCTAGCCTGGACTGTGATTGGCTGACTGGGCTCAAAGATGGTGACACTGATGTACTCCACCATTCCCGGCCGGAACAACTCCGGGTGCGCAATGAGGTAACCCCTGGTGAGCGGAAGGACACAAATAATCAGTGAACAAGGAACAAAACCGGTACTAGTAGGTTAAAAGCTACAGACACGGCGGGGAAACTCGGTCAAAAGTTGTTGTTCGTTTCTTCTTTCCCAGCGATGGTTTGCTTGATTGGCCTCTGTCAGTGTCAAAACCAGACTTCTGCGAATTACGCTGCAAGTCCTCCCGTATCATGGATGATGACAATTTTCAAACTTGAAACAAGAAAATAGCCACTCTTTTGGTGAGGAACGAGAAAATAATGAGATTAAGAGGCAACTTGAGAAAGTAAATTTGTTAATGCCATGTTTTGATTCTACAGCCTCTACCCACTTTTTCTTCAAATTTCAATCAATACTTGTAAACATATCTCCGTATTCAAGGTGTGAGCTAGAAATTTGGAAACTGAGCCGTATAACAAAATACTATCGGCAAGAAAACTCAACAGTTATGTCGATCAAATGGGAAATGAAAGTTGTAAATGGAAAAAGGCTGGAAACCTCTCTTCCGGAAGATACGGCATGTTCTATTAATATAATAAACCTGAATGATCATGATGATTGTATAAGATATATAGTTAATCGCTAATTTTATCACCTTAAGTTTTAGTTTGTACAAACACATGCCAAAAAAAATAATTTATCATGTTTTTACTTTTCAAAATATGGTTTTATAAATTTATTTATTTGATTTATTCATTATTATTTATTGTTATACATTGTATTTTACTTTTATCACAATATGACCTCCATAGTTTCCAAAAAAATTACCACATTTAAAATTATTTATGTGATTTGAATTGAGTTCTGTGGTGAGAAACATTCCAATTTGCCTTTTTATGAATTGCTACAAATAGATTGAATAAAAAGAAACGGTCTGTGGTCGAGGTTCGAGTTGCATCTGGACTGAAGTGAACATGGCGAAGGTCGAAATTCGCGCATGTCCTCGGAGAGTGACCCATATAGGTTTCAACTCAATTGTATACAGGAAATGCCACAGGAAGCTAAAGTGCTGGTGAATTTCCTGTTTAAAATGCACATGTACAATCATGGAGGTAGGAGTACAATGTACAAGTCCATCATCAACCAAAATGTGTGTTATGGAGTGCACGCAATGTTATCGCAGCCTACACATCGTGACCACACCACAATACACAATCATTGAATTAACGGAAACCCTATTCCAGGCGTCACAACAAATTGGAAAGTATTTCAAGACAAGCCGGATACTAAAAAACAAAGAACTTTTTGGCGGATTTTTAACGACGTTTAAAACATATATCTGCCAAGTGGCATGTGCTTTCATGCAAGTTTCATTGTGTTCATTATGTATACTTACTCATTTGCAACAACAACGTCCAAGACAAAAGTGGATAAGAATATCACAGTAAGGTGACCCACCAATGTCCGAGTATTCAACTCCATTGTGTTGGTTCTGTGATTACCGCTCCCGGAAAATTATACTGCTTGCCTCGGCAACGTCGTACACGCCGTTCCCCTCGAACGCCGGGCCGGCCCGGGAGGGAGTGAAGTTGCCTGTAGGAGTACACCAAGAAGCTGGGTCAACGGATCGAATTCCACCGCCGAAACCGCAGGACCCTAAAATTCAGGGTGGTTGTTTTTTTTCTCTTTTACAGAGTGGGTGGTGAAATACCACCACTTCATGCACTGTTGCAGATTTCCACTTGTGTGCCGTTTACACACATGCGGTTAGTCTCACATGTTTTGATACAGAATGGATAATTCCGGGTGGCAATATACACGGAGACGAGGATGGTGTGAGGTCTCTCAGGCAAATCAAATCTCAAGACAATCTCTCGTGTGAATTCTCCTTTATTAATCCTGGTGCATGTTGGGCGAAAGGACGTACGGGACGGCCTATGACCCACTCACAGATTGTCCACACTTTGAGTGTTTGACATCCTTTTGGCGTGTCAAATAAAAAGACTTAGCAGTACAATGTTGAACAGTCGTTAATACATAAGACGTAAAATCCTGTTTCGATTTGAGGAGGGATGCCCCTCTTAATTGCGTGCGATGTTGACTTAAGTGTCCAGCGGTGTCTTCGGCAGGTCCACCTTCATCTCAATCCAATGAGCTCAATAACAGCAGCTGATGTCAAGTCGCGAGGTACACGTTGTCAAATGCGTATCCTGCGGCAGCCGCTTGAGTGCACCCAGTACGACTAACCTCCCATTATTATGAGCACTTCGCGATCGTATATAGTCTGCAACTTTTGTACACAAGTACGCACACATGCATGCAACGTGTTGTACCGCACCGCACTGCACATGTACTGAAGGCCGGTAGTCACCTACCCGTCATGCTTTGAGGGTTTGGTTTAATGGTCATACCACTCAGCCCCTGCCGAATCGTTCAAAATTGGTCTCCCAGCCAAAGTAGTCGGTAACAGTGACGAGAGGATGTTGAAAAACCGCAGCACTTCTGTAAAGGAAAGCAGACAATAAACCATTATGAAGCATAAGTTCAAGTTTCAAGAATGGATAAAGACTTTGCGTGTAGCGTGAGGATTCATAAAGGCCTATATACAGTGAGATATGTAAAATGCAACGGGATCAAGAACAGATTCTATGCGAACTTGTCAATCGAAAGATGTGTGGGAAAACCTTTATGTTGAATCCTGCTGTATCAAAAAAATAGCAAGAATGCCCTGTGTCATTGCAAGTATTTTCATAAACAGAGAGTCTTGTAAATCAACGATTGAGTGCAGTGTGTTTTGATTCCCATGCCTTAAGTCCCTCATCACCAAAATAGTGACCAACCCAAACGTCTCCCAATCCAAAGGTAGTGATAACCCATGGAGGAAAGGAAAAGTGCAATGTCAAAATGTTTGGCTACCTTGGTCTACTTGTGTCCGTCAAAGTTCGTAAAGCACTGTTTTATCCCTGTCAAAAACTCAATGGTTTATTACTATGATCCGAAGAAAGCGAAAGTCGTGTTTTGTAAGTTTATCTGATGGAAGATGATACCGGTCCCAGCGCATAGACAGCAGTCCTTGAGTTTAAGTGTTTTCACCGCGGCAATTCGACCGTACCAAAAACACCTCCCACTCACAAACGATGGACCTTAAGCACATACATCAATAAGGATTCGCGCCTTGGGCATGTTTAAATTGTTGACAGGTAATTTAAGTTTCACACAATGTTCAAACAACAACCTCGGATATGGAGGGTATACATACGCATTTAATTATAACGACATATGAGTTACGTCATCGTCTGTGTTGCGTGGGTAGATTCAAGGGCGGATCCAGGGGGGGGGCCAAAGGGGGCCATGGCCCCCCCCCCCAAAACGAAACCAATTTTTTTTTTTTTATGTGACATCGCAATAAAGGCAGGCAATGAGTACACCACCATCTTTTCCTCAAAAAAACATTGGTTAAAGTGGTCAGAAATTGCTTCAGATCGCACCACAGAGCATCTAGAATCCAAAAATTTTTCGGGGCCCTTAAGCGGGCCCCGAACCCCACGCCATAATTTTTTTGACCCACTTTTTTGGGGGACCAAATTTTTTTTTGGCCCCCCCAAAAATTGTGTTCTGGATCCGCCCTTGGGTAGATTATCGTCATGGAAACACGGATTATCATTTTCTTCAGGCATGCACCATGCGCTCACTGAGTGTACCAAAACACATGCACATGTTTTAAACCTTTTTTTTTTTACAAAAGTAGTTTTAAAGGTCTCTTGGAACATTGGTAATTACCGGGAAGCGAACATACTGATTTAATGAGAACAACCCTGCCCAAAATGAAGATGGGACTGGAACCAAATCCCCCTGTGAAATCATTCCGCCTTAAACAATTATTGAAAGTAGTTTTAAAGAGTGTGTCGGCGGACACACTTTTTTTGCGTGCGTTAGCAACGGAATCCAATTACGAGACCCAATGCACATAGTTTATTTACGTTTTCTCTGTTTTCCCAAAAAAATTATACTGAGTTCAGAAACTTCAACCTTACTTTAGTTTTTGAACAATTTCGTTGCTTCAAACTTAAATAATTATACAAATGATCCTACATACAAAATAGCAAATGATCCTACATGATTACATTTAAACAAAAACGGACAATATTCGTGTTTTTTAAGCCTTAAAGCCCATGCTAAAGATTTTAGACAAACATTTTAAAACAGAACCGTTGATGGCACTGTAGGGTGTTATGCAGGACTGTATGAAGCTTAATTGATGTCTTTTTTAATCGCAAAATCCGGTCTATTATTAAATAAGCCCAATCCTTATCCATCTGATTTCATTTAAATTTCATGACACATCTGCAACACACTGACATTATCGTTATCAGCCACTCTTGTACTGGCTCATGTTCACGATGTCTCAATGGACACACGTGGGTTATAGAGGGCGCTACCACAAAGCAACGAGTCGTTGGACGCGACGCTGACGAACACTGCAGTGCTAGTGTTTCGGGAATTTCCATTTGAACTTGGCTGTGCATCATTATGTATGACCCCAAAACGAGTCCAAACGAGAACAATCATGACATATTTACTTCCTCATTTAATAGAGTTCGGAACGCGAAACTGAGACATTTTGTAGGATACGAAAGACAGTTGAATTGCCATACTGCTGCGAACATCACCACCCAAGTTGTACCATAGTTTGTAGTCGGCTGCAAGATGTATCTTGGTCAGATTGTGTTGCTTCTGCTCACGTTTCTGTGTGAATATTCACTGTCCTATAATGGCGGAACTCAAGGGGATAACATCTTGCAAGTGTGCGAGAATTCAGGCGCCAAGACCTTCGTCAAATACGCCCGTGCCACACCATGGGTGAACAATACCCTGGTGAACGGTACCGGTTACATGGCCCTATGTCCAACTGACCATGCCTTCGCGACCCTTCCCCCGGTGGTGAAGGACGCCCTGAAGGACCCGCAGACCGTGGAGTGGTATCTGCGGTACCACATCGCGCTCACGGTGGCCTACCTGCGAGAGATTGACAACAATCTAAGGATCCCTAGCGCCTTCAGACCTCCAGGCAAGACGGAAGACTTGCCCGAAGCCGTACTGCCCATCCGGTTCAATATTTATGACGTCTTGGCAGACGACCGCTCCGATGGCAAGTTTGGAAAGGTAAATCAACATGTGGGCTGTTAATGAACACATATACATGTAGCTCCATAATGCCGACACATGATGAACCGACACATGGCAAACTTTCGCACAAGTTCAGGCCGGCTGTGATAAGGGAGCTCATGGACCCGTAATCACTGTAAAATTTAATCACTCGCCGTAGGTAGCCAGATAAAACTGTATCTGTTTCAGTGCACTCCATGACCCTGACCCCAAGTGAAACTGACAGTTTCTAAATATTCAATTCTGATTTTGCTTGGTGCAAGATTTGTGGGCTTAACTGGCAGTAGTGGGCGTGCTCATTGCCTGCATTGTTTTTGTCGTGGTGAATTAAGACTCATTTTGTTCGTAGATCACGAATGTATTAATGTTAGGCCTTGTTAAACTTGCAATAATATGGCCAATGTGGGGAAGTAACATCTTATTAATATTACAATGTATATCATTGTAGGGGCCTATAGGGGAGGTTTAAAAATAAAGTTAATAAATTTTTCCAAGTAAGCAAACACATACAGGATTGAGACATGCATCTTGCACATGTGCATACAACTGTACACATGGCCTACAAAGTATCGCACCACGGCAGGTGCATGTACATTGTATTATGTATAGCTCCATGCGTGCGTGTACACATGCTGATTCGACACCTTTGACCGAGCTACCACTGAGGCGTGTACCGTGTATTTGCTTTGTGCATTATATCAGCGGTCACATGCTGAAACACCTGACTACCACTGTACCAGGCATTACCGATAGCACGACATATGCTCTACCCGTAGTAGTAGTAGTAGAGTCGGGAACGAGACGCTCTCAAAATGGCTACGACAAGAAAACTCCCCGTTTTAGCTCTGTTGGCGATTCTGCCAATCGTTTTCCCCCAAGGGGCAGAGGGGGTTAACGTTTTGGAGGTAGCGAAGGACAATGGAGCATCCATGTTTGCGAGCATGGCTGGCCAGTGCCCTTGGCTTGCCAATCTTTTGGAAAACTCCAAAGAGCCAAACGGGTTTACGGTGTTTGCGTTCAACGATAAGGCCTACTCAGAGAGCCCGCCAGCTTTCCGGAAGCTGATCGCCAACACCCAGACCCTGCAGTGGGCGCTGGAGTATCACGTCGCCCTGGGTCCTACCAAGAGCCAAGACATCAAAGATAACTTACTTGTCACCAGCTTGTACCCCTCTCCGACGTCTGGGGCCAGTCTACCGCTTCAGTTCATCCGGACCAACATCTATCATGTCTATGAGAACGATGCCATACACCGCCAGGTAAGCAAGAAAACCTCAAGAGAAAGAAAGAAGGCATAAGTCCACACCTGAAAGGTAACAAGGAGACCATTGTTGGTCGCGGCCTAATGCTGTTAATACATCAAAGGAGACTGTTGCTTCAAAGCCGCTTTCTGTGCGGGGAAGAATAAGAATGGCCACCCAGAGTGTGATTCCGGATGTGTAGGTTTTTTTCCGCAAACCTTGTCAGGGATTTTCACGGCATGAAAGGGTGGCCCCAGTTTGAGCTTCGTTTCTTTTAATAAGTTAACAATAGAAGATGTAGAAGATTTACGAGCGAAGAAAGGAGGTCTCTTTCAAAATCGGAGGATTTGAAAGAACTGTTCTGGGCCCATTTGAAAGGAGATCATCACAAAGTTGCGCACTATAACAAAAAAAGAAGAAGAAAAAAGACTGCACCGATAAGAAGACACAGCAGCGATTTAGTGACTAATCCCACTTATGTTGTCGATTCTGTTTTGGGAAACCGTGCGAGGTTGGTATTGGCGAAGATGCTATCGCTTTGTGTCCATTATAGTCTTGTTACTATAATATCGCCGCATTATATCAATCCGACTTCTTCCATACATCTGTCCTGAACCTTTTGAAGTCGAGGCAGGAGTTGTGATTGTATATGTTCTCTGGAGGTCGTTGAAACACATTGTGTGTACAGTTTATTTCCACCACCCCTAAGCCCAAGGGAAAATTGCTGCAGCAGAATTAATTCAGAAGTGCTATAGGTTTGTTCATACTTTGCCTAATGTGGTTATCCCTTCACAAAGACGAAGGGTGTAAAAAAAAAAAATTCTGAACCCTTCCAGCAATGAAACCATAGAGCAAGGAACGAAGAGCATCTCGTTACACTTCATATAGGCCTCTTAACAAAACAAAATGGAAACGATTTCGATAAAGTTGCCTCATGTCCTTACCCTATACTGAAGTGAAGAATCAAATTTCTACAACATGACGGAAGAGTTATTGCTGATTAAACACACTGGACGTTTCCAAAGCAAAATACTGTTTTCACTTTGTTTCACGTGAGAATATAATATTAATACAAATTTATATTTTTAAATTAGGATCGGGACGCCCCTGATTTCAGATTGTGAACTTGTTCTGTGACTTGTCTATGGATTCTTTATGCGATGTCTCCAAATAATCTTATGCAAAAATAATGTAAAACACTTCGTTTGAAAAGTTCATTTTTCAATCACCAAGCTCCATGATCACACTCTCAACATCTTTACGAAACAACTGCTCGTGTTGCTGTTAAGATGCCATCGTGGATCAGCAGTCAGTATGAGCCCATCTTTAAACGACGGAGAATAGTACTTTTCAAACAAATCCTTGCATAAATGGGACAGGTTGGCTGGTCTAGGCGCTGAGGTTCACTGGGAACCTGACTTCGCACCGCAACCGCGTTTTGCCTGAAATATTTACCCAATAGTTTCATAACATCTTTACGTGACTATAGATTGTTAATAATGTAATTTGAACCTTAAGTAAGGCAGTACATTGTACTACAAATCTGCATGTGATTTTAAGTGTTTTTAGTGTATTTCGCGGAAATCTGGGGAATTTGGCAGATTTTTGATAAATCTGACAGATTTTTGAAGCGCATTTAGCAGAATTTTGTCATGACCCTACGGTCACCCTGTGTGTAACGATAAACTTGATTCCACGGTTTCAGAAAGTGAAGCAATTTTATTGGAGCTCCATCATATCCCCACTTCCCACACGTGATTACCGACCCAAAATTTTTTTTGAAAATGCGATGGACGGGGTGGACACTCCGGCCACGTGACCGCCAAAACAACCGCCATGTAACCGCCGTGTAAAAAGCCTAAGCCCTGTCCGCACTGGACTTTTTTTTGGAAGGTTTTACCGAGACGATGGTAAAATGAGAAATGGTCAAATGTGACCACTGTCCGCACTTGGACTTTCGACACGGGAAAATTTACCCAGACCGCGTGGGAGAAGTAACCGAGCTGTCACAGTGTCAGTAAAATGACTCACCGTACACAGAAAACAAATTGCCGATCACATTTTCAGCCGCCGATACGCACAGTAATATTACACATGCCATTTGCATGCACAACATAATCGTTTACACGATATTATTTCATCTTGACACGCTAAATCTTGACGAAAAGGCCTATAATTCTGACGCATTTTGTGATGCACGTCGTCGAAGCCATGCCGCTGTACGATGTTCCGTGCGGCAGCAGTGCCATCAGTATTCGTTGGTTCCCATCGCATGCTTACAGAATCGAAGCTATGATGTGGGCAGGAACCAGTGACTACGGCCTACGTACGGTACCGGACGTACCATGATGTTCCGTGCATGACTACAGTAGCGTATCAGGACGAATTTGGATCGTGAAAAATAACATACATCGGTGGAGAAAGAGAATTTCTGCAAATTAATTCTCAGAACGTGATCTCTCTTCTCTGTGTATGTATTTTTGTCCGTTGAAATATATATTTTAACGAGATTTTACCGCTTGCAGCGTGTTTCTACAAAATGTTCGGCCACCGCACGTGCAGGTTCGTGCGGTCTCTGTATGCATAACAGGGCGCTCGGGCCGGATGTACGCTTTCCTGAGCCGCTTTTACCGACTCACACTGTCCGCACTGGACTTATCGTCTCGGGAAAAGTGACCTGGTCAGTTTTCCTGGGCGCGTGGGAAGTTTTCCTGGGCAGCAGTTGGCCAGTAAAAGTAACCGCTGGACTCAGGAAAAGTAACCGAGAGGAAAACGTCCTAGGCTGTCCGCACTGGACTTAAAATGGGAAAAGTACCCATAGTCTCGGTTAGTTTGACCAAAAAAAGTCCAGTGCGGACAGGGCTCTAGATGTCATTTTATGTGGGACATTGTACAGAGCGGAGACTTCGTATCAAAGAACGAACTACAGGAATATCATCGATGGTTAATTTTGCCGCCACGTGCACGACGAGACGTACATTCGTCAGTGGTACGCGTGGGCAGAGGGCGCTCCTTCGTTTTTAATTCTGCGACATGAAGGCCGAGTCGCCGGCCGTGGGCGGGGCGCCAGGTGGAAGGGGGAGTAGTTGCGGGAGTTCGCCGCAGTAGAGTTGAACTTTTTGGTGGGCGGGTTTCTAACGCACACGTTATTTTTTTCCTCGGCTTTTTGCACTCGAGGTTTGATTGAAATTGGTAAAACATTGTGAAAATATTGTGGGAATTGTTGGAGAGGAAGATGGAGACTTGCTAGGGAAGTGTGGAACGAAGGGCGAAAAACGATTCATTAACTTAGTTCATTTTTTATCTTCTCGGTGCTAAGGCTTTGTACATGTATTTGAATAGGGAAATTGTTTCCTGTTTTAATCCTCGCTACAAAAGGAGTGACAAGATATAGTCACTGATGTTTACCATCCAACAATTCTTTGCCCTTCTCTCCATCCGTCTTTTTCGCTCAACTCGATTGTCCAATATCCAAAAATGATAACCACTCATTTCTTTGCCCTCTCATTTGATACTTTTCGTAAAGCCAGTGAACCAGGGAAATATGCATGTGCATAACCTTGATGCCCACATGTCGGTGACCTACCCACAATGCATTGCACCACCTGTGCATCCTTCACAAAAATTATTAAAAGAAATTAGCGGATACTAGGGCCCTGGGTAGCAGTGGGATGAGCAAACCTAACTATCACCAAGCAATCACTTGCATTAGTTTTGCGTGCACATATGGTGTTTCAGAACCTTTGTGTCTCGATTTAGCAAACTCAGTCTACAGAGTCATCACTAAACTACTGGGAACCATTTTTTTGACTTAAAAAATCTGAAACTGACATTTTTTTTTATTTATACACTCCCTGACTTTTGTTTTTCTCCAGGTGGTGACAGCCAGTGGTGCACAGATTGTCGCAGCGGATAAGATAGCTAGTAATGGCATCGTGCATATCATTGACAAGGTGATGTTCCCCCTTCCAACTGGGGCTGATGTGGTCGAGTTTATCCGTGATGATGGGCGATTCAGCACTCTCTATGGTTTCCTGGAGGTATGGAAGATTTCACTACGTTTGATGTTGAGATATTCAGAGATTTCAATCTCAAGTACAAGTGAACACCAAAGTCAGTCGCAAGTCATTTCATAAGTCAACCGAAGTCATTCACAAGTACAAGTCGATCACATGTCATGTCATATCAGGATATAAACGTTGTTACAGTTCATGATGAACACCGTCACAGTTCATGTTAATAGTTTTCGATTGACTTATTACTACATCTCGGCAAAATCCAGCATTAAGAAAGGAAATGTAATATGTTATATTCTCTGGCAGAGCCAGTTAACCATTCAATGACTGAGAGTTATGATACATAACTCCCAGTATGTAATCTCCTTGACCATTACTACGATAGATGTATACAATGTACATGTTCAGGTTTTCAGTCATTTTCAATGGGGCGTCAATTCCTGTGTATAGAGTATAAGTGGCAGGGCTTCACTACTTCAACCCTGCAAAAGCCTTCAAATTATTTGTGGACTGTGAAGGATGTTGGAGCATTGGCGTTAAGAAAATATACTGTTATGCAATGCAGCTTGTTCTCCTATTTACAGAACAAGTACAGAAAGTGATCTTTTCCCCAAACGGTCCTTTTAAATTTCCCAGAAAGCCAATCTCACCCAGGCACTGATGACGGACCCTTCCCGGCCACTGACCGTCTTTGCTCCTAACAACCAGGCCTTCACTAACATCCCCAAGCCCATCATGGACAAGCTGATGACCAATGCGACCTACCTCCAAGATGTCCTAGAGTACCACGTGGCCATGGGTGCCTACTACGCCGCAGGTCTCTATGACAATCAGACCTTGATGTCGTTGTACAGGAAGCCCCTGTTGGTCCAGCGTGGAGTAGGAGGCATCTATGTCCAGGACGCCAAGGTCCTCCAGGCTGACAACACAGTATCCAATGGCGTGGTTCATGAGATATCAGCTGTCATGATTCCATATAAGTAATTAGGGGATGGATAGGTGAGCTAAGGAATGTGGGCTTGCACCCTCATAATGATCTACAAACCTATTTGTAAGATGAGGCGACTGCTAATACCTAATAACCATCCTGTATCTTAAAACAATCCTTGCCCGTTTCATTTACCCAGAGGTTTCTATATACAATTGTAGTCTAGTATTAAGTACGACTTTGTACACTGAAAACTTGATTATAAACTTTTGGTGAACCCGTGACCCATAATGAAACACATCTCTGGGTAATACTTCAACTCTTGCTCTCCGAGTGTTAGTATTTGCCAGTTTGTTGGACATGCCAATGGACTCCGTGCACAAGTACCCCCTCAACGGTAAGGAAGGGAGAGTTGAGGGAGACCATCGGAGAGGCATTAAAACACATTGCCAATGACGCTTGACCCTCACGTGAAGACACACAGCTTTGTGCACATTCAGGTAAAAATTAGTCGGGGTTACCTCACGCCATACATGCGCAGACCAGTACATGCATGTGGTGTGTCCCGTCCACGATGCTCTCAAACGTGGTAAGAAAGTGCCTTCTCTTGTTTACGAACATGGCCCACAACCCTCCAAAAGGAGTGCCAAAGCCTTTTAGCAAGGACTCCCAAGTGGGGCAAGTTGAAAGGCTCTCATAAAAGTAGCTGACACTCCTGTGCTTATTAGAGGGTTCCTTACATCTTGGCATTTCTTGCAGTGCATGGCAGGTCTCTACAATCCTATTATACATGTAACATCTTAAAATTAATGTGGCCTGACGTTGCGAACTTAGCAAGTTCTTCTTCAGAGGCTAAAACAGAATGTTTTAGCCTCTGAAGAAGAACTTGCTAAGTTTCGCAACGTCAGGCCACATTAATTTTAAGATTTATATATTTCAGGTCCATCCAGTCAGTAAGCAGTTTGCAGCAGTTTTACTTTTTTTCATGTTTTTACTTTTTTTCATTTTTTATACATGTAACATGTAGATATCAGAGGTTCAATCGAGAAACACAGGACATTCTATGTGTCTTGAAGTTTCTTGGAGGATCTGGTTGAGCAAGAGTTGAAGTTGAACTCAGTAGCCAGCATATTAAGACACATCAGCTGTGTGTGAATTATTACATAATAATCCAACGTTTCAGACATATTTCATTGTTTGTAGGTGGTCACCCACATTCCTTTCAGTGCAGCATTGTCTTGTTTTCAATGAGAACTTTATTCAAATAAATACTAGAATACACGCCGCACGAGCGAACTCTTAACAAAATGTTATGCAGCTTTTATGAAACAAATTATTCCCGATCTGTTGAAAGTGAAATCGACAAATAACTTACAGATATAAGGGACTTTCATACTTTTTGTACAAATTTATAGGAGAATTCAAGACTTTAAGCGATGAGGTTAATGATTGTTTTTAAAAAGCTTTTGTAAGTTGCACTCAAATAATTACACACATAAAATAAAATAAATAATGAGTTGACCTAGGATATCAACAAGCAATCAACAAAAATAATGATAATTTGCATGTTTTTAATTGATTTTTTTTAACAGTACTATTAGCGACAACTACTTTCAATAAATAACAAACGATTATTGTTCATAAAAAAGACCAAGGGGTATTTTAATTTTGCTGAAATTTGCCAAAAGGTATTTAGTGGTGATAAAAGGATAATTTTTGTGTATATTCATACTCTGTCCATTTCTGCAGATGTTTAGATGTTTAATATGAATGATGCTTTGCCTGTGCCTGGTGTGATTATATAATTTTGTTTGGCACTAAATAAATCAAATAATGTGGTTGTGAAGTTATGCATGTATAAATCATGATTTTGTGCACTGTCTATATTTTCCAAGATTATTACTGAGTATCACTCTAAAAAAACATGTTCTTGTTGGCTCACAGTGATCTTTTATTATTCTTAAATAAAAAAGCTGTCTGAATAAAATTGGAATACGGGATAAACTGTGGCTTGGCTATTTTATTTGTTAAAGTGGTTTGCCTTTAACGATGTACTATCTGTGCTATTTTGGAGTTTCACCCTCCCATAACCCCCCCTCCCTTCCAAAAAAAGATCCTTTATGAAATGACGTACTAGCAGTATACAGAGGTAATGTACTTTTGAATGACATATCAAACAAAATAAATATTCAATTACGAAACAATTTCTTGAGAACAATCTGGACTGGTTCCAATGTGAATGAACCTCTGTAAATGTTAGCTGATGACCACAGAGACGACCCATGTGTACATGGCCAGTATCTGCCAAGACACGCTAACAGTGCAGGACGTACATATCAGCCTACTAGTGTAACTGTCGCAAGTGCAAATTTCTAAAGTTTTGGGAACGTGTGCATGCACACCAGCCAAAACTTTTTGCTTACCCCTGAAATGCTAATAGTTGCGGAAATAGTTGCGGAAGTTATCGGTAAGCACAGCCATGATATTGAGCCTTGAAGTAAGTTGCATGGGGACGCTAAGCATTGAAATTGTGCTAAGCGAAAAAGAATTCGCTAAGCAAAAAAATGTTACCAGCCAAAAGGTCCTGCAGTGTGTGTATTCAATACACATGACTGGTGCTCCGCTTATTTATGCTTAAAGCACAGAGTTCATTTTTTCCTGCCTAGCAGGGCCATGAAATTGGGCACATGTCATTGGGGGGGGGGGGGGGGGGGAAGAAATGGCATCACTACCAGGCGGTGAGGTTCAAATTGACGGCTGAAGAGGCATCGGTGCTTGTGTTGGCATCACTGTTGTTGTTTCGGCCGGTCTCAATGAACGGTTTCTGGGGACTGTTGATGACTTTCTGTAGGACCTCCAAGATGTCCTCGTGTCTTTCTCTGACATCCCGGGGCTGCAAAGAAATAAAAATAAAATGACAAAAGTTTCTATTAACCTTTTTTGCTCAGTGATGGAACCAGCAGCATTAGACAAAGGCAATTTTGCTTTCCCTAGATTTTCCTCCACTAACAGGTTGTTCAGTTCCAGCCAGATTCCATTGGTTTTCCCGAAAACATTATTGTTTCGTGTCTACATCTGAACATTTCTTCATCATCTCTCTTCAAGTGACTTCTCGCAAGTCCTGATGCACTTTTATAGGATTTATATTTGATGAATTAATAATACTTATTAATTATATAAGTCAGATAATATATAAGGCATACATACATAGGTTAAGAGTAAGATACAAATCACACTGCATGTACATGTATAATTAATGATTTTAAAGACTTAATTGAATATCAAGATAAACGGAGGATCCACTCACCAACTCATCCATGCGATCTGCTTTAAGACACTCCTCCACCATTATGTTGACCTCTCGTATCAATTGCATTAGCACCATGGCTGTTTGGTACGTCGTGTGGAAGGTAACAGGGGTCTTCTTGTTGGTGTAAGTATTACTGGTCGAGTGGAGGTCTGAGCTGACAGTAAGCTTCACGATCTCCGAGTCCGGGTCCAAATCGGCATTTTCCTCTAGTTGTGTTTGAAATTCTGTAATGGCAACGGGTGACCACCCCAAAAAATAAAATTTGCTTTCAAATAAATCACTTAAATGCAAGTCATAAGTGGATAAGTCAAAGATTACTTGCACTTAGTATTAGATCTCCTTTAATGTTCTTAGTTATGATGATCAAAAAAGCGGTGGGTTTAAGTAATCCCCCACATTCCCCACAAGTATTCACACGTCTCCTTTTCTTAAAAAATAATAATTTGAATAACCAGGTGCTTCTTGTAGCAATTTTTCCCTTTTTGTCCATTTTTTGTTTTTGGAAAGGGGGGGGGGGGGGTAGGGTGTGACTCACAGACCCTCATCTTGCACAAACAAGTTCACAAAAAAAGTCACAAATCAAGAAACTCAAGGAGAAAAAAAAGTAAAAGGAATTGTCCTCATCACCTCTGCTTCTCAAGGGCGCGACATGTACCCGCCTGCCAGTCATACAGAGGACTGCCACTGGATTGACAACAGAGGAATCGTGGATGAAGATTTGCTCTGACATTGCCTGAAAACAAGAGGACATAGATATCAGTCTTTACTACACTACTACATATTAAATAACTAGAGTGCTAACTTGCTATATGCAATGATGCCTGCAATGCCTGTAGGGTGCATTGATGTCTGTGCACAAACCTATGGGAAAGTCTTTTGGATGGCTATTTACATATCAGGATTTGTGTTCAAAAACGAATTTCAATGCTAGCCTAATTTTTTTTAATTCTCACTTTAAGTTTAGCAAACATACTGCAAAATACCATTTCATCTGATTTTAATGCATGCACATGAGTTAAAAATGTATGTGCTCAGGACACAAGTATCCCACGCATAGGCAGTGATCCGTTTGCAGACAAACTTGTAAAAAATGATGGTTACCCTGGAGAAGTAGGTGAGCCAGCGACTTGGGAAGGCCTTCTCTGTACAGTTCACTGAACGACGACTTAGCAATACCATGTTGGACTCCCTGCAATGCAGAAAAACAGGCTAAAAAAGTTACTAACTTTCCCTTTCATGTGACAACCTGGTCGCCTGCTAGAGACTCGTGGTCACGGTCAACTGCTCTCAACAAGCCTTTGACTTTGAGCTGAAGGGTATATACACTGGACAAACTTTTTTTCAACACCTCCCATTCTTGTGGCATGGAGTATTTTTCTTTTTAAGGGGAAAAAGTCAGACAACCATTAGCTGCGTAGCCGCTCTTGTGTATGGACATTGGACTTTTTGACGCCTCCCATTCACTTCTTGCTAACACTTGTCCATGTGTGTTCCAGTTACTCAACGTCCTCATCATTATAGCTACATCACCTTCCCATTCTATGCAGCCATTCCTACTAAAGCGCGGCAATTTTCGAATGTGGGGTATTCCGCAATTGCTCCCAAAATTGTTCCGATCAAAAATGCCATGGGAGTTTAATTAAAATCAACGACAGTGCACCTATCTACATGTATCTGTCCACTTACATGTCTTTGAAGACCAACTGCCTGAGTTTCATTCTGGATTTCTCTATCCGTCCCCGCCTCGCGCGTAATAAATTAGGAAAGAATGCCCCGCACAGCACACCCTGATGAGAAAGCCAAATAAAAATCACAAGTTGAGTTAATAGCTTGTAAATAAATGAGGAATCTTTCCTTTCCATTTTGTTTTTTTCCTTGGATACCCTGTCCCTAAACTCAGTCCAACAAATGCAATAGTCCAAAGGCTTGAATAGATTTTGTAATCTTAAATTGAAACCGATACTCTACAATCATGTTCTTTGGCTTTGTTTACACTATACCTGCAGTCAACTTTGTGGTGACTACAGTGATATTTTGTTCACATAAATAGTACCATACTGCCGAGTGCTGCCCCAAGCAGTATATAATGCTATCTTATTAATGTCTTGAATGCTCTTCGTAGAGCTGCGTTGGGTTTTCTGCTGCCTTGAGACCACTAATGAGACCTCTGTTGGAGGGACGCATTGCCTGCACACACTTGAATGCCCGTGTATGGTGCAAATTTCGTGAAATTGATTTTAGTGTTGACAAACCTGTATGGTCATCGCTCTTGCACCAGTTGCATGGCAACAGTGCACTGAAGTGTCCCTCCTAACTCTCCCTTTGTGACCAAGTGAGGGGGTACTTGTGCACAGAGTCCATACCATTACAAGCTATGCATCTAGAAAATGCCATTTTTTTTCTTATTCCTTTGTCGTTCCTACCTTGACCAGTTGGTTATCAAAGGCAAAATCACTGCTGTTGTCGTTTCCATGGAGACAGTCCCTGGATGATGTCACTAACCCCGCCTCCTCTAGATTCTCTGCTAGTTGCTGGCGAAGACCTTCAAGAAAATAAAGAATATATATACATTTACTTGTGAACCTTCCCAGTTAAATTGGGCTAGATCATCCAATGCAGAGTCCATTCTCTTAGCTTTCAAGTTAGTTACCAAGTTGGAAATTCAAAGAAGGCATTTTACATTTACAAAATCATGGTTGACATTAGTGTTTACTGACTTATTTACCATATTTAACGGTACAGACTTTGTATCGTAAGAGCATTTTAAATACATGTAACAATTCAAACTCAATTTTGGTTTCGTCATTTTTGTCCCAGGAGTTTTTGTGCCTGTCATCCCCATATGAGCAAGATACCAAGAGAGGGCGTATTTTCACTGCTTTTGAGAGCCCCTTGGATGGGACACACAGAGTACACGTACTGGTTGCGTGTGTACAGCTCAAGTCAAAGTATGCATGACTAATTTTCCTTAAATCTACAAAAAGACATTTTCTTTTTGCAAATGGTGTCGGTTTTAGATACAAAACAGCCTACATATAACTTCTTGTCAACCTTACCTCTAACGAAGACCATTGTGGAATGATGGACAAGATTTTGGTCATTGAACGTTCTGACTTGGTACGCAGACATGGCCTGCTCCCAGGATTCATACAGCTGGACTTGAGCAATGTGATCACTCCGACTGCCCTCAGCAAAGGATTTCCTGATCTGTGGGAGGTCAACAAATAACCGGATCCTACAAAAGTGGTCTTAGGAATATGTGGGTTTTTTTTTTTTAAATTCATGATCAGTGAAAAGAGCATATTCTGCTCTCTTTTTTGATAAATCACTGAATTCGTCGGTGAAGGGCAAAACTCTATATTGAGATTTATCATCTTGATGCAAATTCCATCTCATGAATAAATCACTTAGTTTGACATCTTAATATGCAGGTGATTTGTAGGTGAAAAACAATTAAAGTTTTTATTGATTCTGATTGTAAATTACTCAAAAAGTAACTCTGGTAGCTTGTGACTCATATTGATGGGGTGAGCAAAAAATGAAGTCATATTTATTGTCTTCAAACACACTTGTTTAGCAAGTATTACACGGTATATTATAGTTCTTTCTGGAATGTATTTGTACTTCCTCTTTTGCTCACAACCAAGAATTGAGGAAAACAAAATTTGGGAGTGCTTTTACGGTCTTCATGAAGGAACAGAAGACGATGTGGCGTGCTGCCACTCACAAGAACTTGAGTGTGGACGCAGTGCCTTTGTGCACTGGTTTCAGGGTGGGTGTGGTGCAAATATGCATGACAACATTCAGGGAGAACTTGTATATGAAGTCCAGAGTAAGTTATCTTTCAAAGACATACATACTTGAAATTTCTTTCAAGTTAGGTTTTGCCCTTCACCGACGTATAAACACTGTATAGTCAGTGTGTTATCTCCCAAGTGAAAATGGGAGGTACATGTAACACACTGAGTTTACAGTGTTTATATGTCGGTGAAGGGCAAAACCTAATTTAATTTACATCACCCCTATTCATAAGTTATGAATAGTTAAAATTTCTTACTAATCATCTGTCTGTGTTTGCTTAGTGTACCTTTAAGATTGCAGCCCTGTTCTCCATGGAGTCTAGAAATGGTGGTCTGGTATGCATCCCTGCAGCCACCGTTAGGACCGGGTTCACACACCTGGAAGCCAAGAGAAAATAGATTGTTTGAGCACAAGCATATTATCAATGCAAACCCATGTATAATATGCCTTAGCTGCTCTCGATATCGGAAGGGGCTTCGATTAATCACAACATACAGTTGACTCTTTTTAAGGAAAGAATGTTGCAACCTGACGCCACTTTTTCTTCATCTATCATCTCAATAAAGGTCAGTCATTGCAAAAATGTTGAAAAGACGTAAACTCATGGGACTGAAAAACATTTCCCATTTTGTTCGGGAAATACTTAAAAAATGTTCTTGACTCTCCATAGACTTTGTACACAACCACTGAAGTGGCGTCACGGTCTGGATACTACCCAGTACAATCTTTCTCTTTTTAACAGTATTTCTATTACAGCAAAACTCTGGTTATGAATGTTGAACTTAAGCCTTAAGCCTTTGTGTATTTACATTATTAGGATCCGCATTTCACTCAATACCAAATTCATACGTAAGAAAGATTATGGTTAGTTTTGGCTGAGTTTGTTTGAATGGGAGTCAACTGTAAATTAAACGCTTACAGCGTGTATAAATTGTTTTGAACATGCACCCAGGTACTTAAGTTTTAGGTGTTAACTTGTAGTGAACCAAATTATCTGAAGCTGATGAGCAAATATGTCTGCAGAACAAGTTAAAAAAAGTTCATTCAATTGATACAAGACTAGGAGCCTAGTAAAGCTGGTACTAGACCGGTCTTAGTCAGTGCCCTCAAAAATCCATTCAATTGATTCGATATGCTTATTCACTGGAAAATTTGTTTGCATCTCGTCTACACAATTGGCCGATTTAGACCTACATGTATTCATTGGCTTTACAGGGAAATCTTGTATGACAGAACTGCCAGGCCCTCGTCGCTATAGTCAGGGGTGACAGTCTGTCAGTCAGTCAATGAGTCAGTCAGTGAGACAGGTGCAAAGCGGAGACTAGGCTGGCCCTCTGGGATCAGCAAAGACGTCAAATAGTCAACATCAAATAGTCTACCGGGTCCACACAATAGTTTGCCTCACCTGAAGATTGCAGACAGCACGAGAGCCTTGGCTAGTCTAGGGTCCGTGGAGATGTCCACTATTTTGTCCCCTAGTGGAGTCAGCGATTCATCGCTATTGAGAATGGCAAGATCCTGCAGAACCTCCACTGCTTTCTCCACTGCAACGAGACCAGAAATATGGGGAAATGTTCAAAAAGAGAGGATCTTTTTTTTTATCTGTAAACCACTATACTTTTTACCAACAGTGAAATTAACAAGGATTGATTTTACATTGAAAGTATGACGTTAAGTCATTTTTTGAGATATGGAGGACATAAAAGAAAGGTGCTTATTTGGTTTGCAAAAACTCTATTCACGCCAAATTTGGGCAATTTATAAAATGGAATTAACAGGTCCAATTTCCTTTGCATTGGACATCAGTGTTTAGCCTACCATGTGTCCATCACAAGGACATCACAAGTACATTACCTCCACTCTCCAATGATGTCATGATGTGCTATCAATGGAATATGACAATGGCATTCTTCCGTTTTCATTCATCCCCCGTTAGTTTTTACCTGATGTGATGAACTTGTGATAGACTCAACTACAATACCGCTCAACATGTTATCCCACGTGAACAAAAAAATTCAGGTAATTTCTTGGGACATTATCTCCTTACCAATATTCATGAAATAAAATTGAAAGTTTTGCATTATCATTATCTACGAAAAAAAATGTTCAAGAGACCACTTACAAAAAGACAAACAATCTGAGGTTGAAATTAACTACAAATAAATCAGTCGATTAACGTTCTCCCTAAAAACACCTAAATGCAGGATTCATTGCATTGGAGCTTTTTTGTGAAATGGTTTGCAGAACAGTTTAGATGACTCATTAAAGTTTTATGGTCTTGTCTCACACCTTGTGTTTTCTAGCTTGTGTCTTGTGTGTCCGTATATGTGTGTGTTTTGTCCTTTGTCATGTGTTGTCAATATTTCAGTCGAGAACATTTGTCTGTCAATACATGTAGGTTAAGAGTACAAAAGCAACTCGCCTTATACCCAACTGTCGTATTTTATCCAGTATGTTTTTGTAAATATATGTGAGATTGTACCACTCTATGAAAAATGCCAACATTGTTTACTACTGTTCTGTTCTACTGTCAGAACACATTGTAGCTGTGATGCATCACAAGGATTGGTGGCGCTTACCCACTCTCCTACTAACCAGTGGTGCAAGTCATTATATCTACACTTTGATTGATAGTCGATAATTACAGCAATTACTGGCTGAAGAAACAAAGCACACAGGAAGGTTGCTAAAAACCTCATTTGTCAAAATGACAGACAGTGACACTCATAGAATTTACCAAGTTAATGGGAGAACAACCGCAAACATTTGTGAAACCTTTTTAGATTTTGCAATAATAAATACTACCGGCATGTGAAATCAACTGCCAGTGTGCTACGACGCATCAATGACCAATCACTATTGTCTCAAACAAGTTTTTAATGATGCTGCAATAATTGCCAGGAAAATATAACAAGGTACAATGATGATTTGAAGCAGAGAGTTGTAATCTGTAACTTTATTGCCGACATTTTTGTAATTTACCAGACCAAACAAAGGGTCAATTTAGAACGCTGTGTAGCCACCGATGACTGACAAGTTTATTAGCTGCAAATTGGTCTGAGACTGGTGATGGTTTGCAGTGCTCATTAAGAAGCAGATTGCATTTCAAAGATAAAGTGGTTGCCATGATAATGACATGATCATTTTCTAAAGTAGAATTCTTGCTGTGCCACAGACACAAAAGTCACTGTCCATGGCTAAAACACTGCAAATCTCAAGGTGTATTACAGAACTTCAGAAAAAAATTGAAAGAGCAATCGCAATATTTTAAGCAGAAAAGCTGGGAATTAGTGGACTGGAACTCACTGCCTGAAGAGATTACATCAATTCAGGATAAAGGAAGTTTCGCATCTGCCATCAACACACACTTCAACATCATCTTTGGGAAAGAAGCAACCAAGTCAACCAAGTAAACAGCAAAACAACAAATCCATGCGCACAACCAACCCTGCCCGTGTGACCCCTGGGAAGGGGTGTTGGTGCAGCACCTATCAAGACAAGACAAGGGAAAACCGGATGATGATTCGATAGTGTTCAGATGGATTGTTACTCCGTACTTTAGATGAAGATATTGACGTCTTGATGTATCACAGTGAAATGACCAGAATAAAGTTTGACAAGGCACAACGAGCAAAACCGATCTAAGCGCCTTGGGTGGGTGCGAGGAACACAACAATGGAAAACATGACAGGACTGATGGAGTTCTTAACCTCTTCAAACTTTACTGATGAGAAAGACCCAGACAGACCAAGTTGCATTCTATATGTGTGTGTTCTAGTTCCAATCTGCTTGTTCTGCCTCATCTGCAACTTGTTTTCTCTGCAGGTGTTACATCGCTTACATGACATGCATGACGTCACTAAGCTGCTGGTGGTTGCCCTCACAATTACTGATGTTGGAGTGGGCTTCTTTGGTCTTCTCTATGCAAGTCTAAAACTGCACCTTGATGTACAGGCCCTATCAATTGTGGCTGAATTTATTCAGCTTCTGGGATTTTGCATTTTGGCAATGATTACTGTGGTTCGATACATTGCAGTGTCGCAACCTCTGAAGCTACAAACTCTTGTCACCAAAAGACGAGCTTACATCAGCTTGGCATGCGCAGCACTAGTCTGCCTTGCTTTTCATATTGGCCAAATGACATACGCGTATACTAACATGAATTCGAGTGAAATAATAGACTATCTTCTGTTCATCTTGTATGCTCCCTTCGTGATAGCATTACATCTGTGTGTCATTATTCTGTACCTAAAATTGCTTGTGATTGCAAGGCATCATGCACGGCGTATAGCAGCAGCTGAAATCAATGCTGAAGATGCACAGGTTCAGCTGCATCGCTCAAATGTCAAATCTCTCAAAACATTTCTGATTATCACAGGCACTGTCTGTGTCACTTGGCTACCTTCATTTGCACTATTTTCTGTGACAGATTCCTGTCTTAGGACATTGTTTGATGGTCTGCGTTACAGCAATTCCTGGCTTAATACAATCATCTATGGCTGGAGAAATGAAGCGTACAGGAAGGTTGCTAAAAAGCTCATTTGTCGTAACTGTGCGTGAAAGGTTATAAGTACTGGGGTAAATGAGCAATCACTAACATGAATGCTCATTTGCAGTTAAAACATGTGGGCAATTCCATGCAATACTGGACATGGTTGAGTGTGGAAAATTTACGAAATCTTCAGAACTACAAGCATTACGACCTCAAATGTGGTATCAAATTCAAGGGGACATTAGAGTGATGAGGCAGTTGTGAATTTCTTTGTAAAGAAATCTTTTTGCTAAAATGTTGTTCCTATTGCATATTCCCTTTGTAATGACATTAAATCTGAGGGTCATTATTCCGTATTAATTGCATGTGATAGCAAGGCATCAGGCACAGCGTATAGCAGCAGCTGAGATCAATGCTTAAGATGCACAGGTTTTTAAAGCAGAGAGAGAGAGGTTGGTATTTTCTAAACACAGAGAACTAAGATTTCATTAGATACTTGTAAGAACTTTGCCGAATTTTATCAACAGAATATGTTTTGTCGGTAACTGTTGTTTGTATGCCTTAATAATAATTGATTTTGCCAATCAACCATGTCACATTACATTTTAAAGTAGCCAGACATCTGAATATTACTTCAAAACACTTGATGACCGGGTTTATACAATCATCTATTTCTGGAGAAATACAATTTACAGAAAGGTCGCTAATAGTAAGAAGCTGGTTTGATGTAAGCTAGTCTTGTTCCTTTATTATCCAAACTAGTAATAATTATTATTCAACACTGTGCTGTTAAACATCAGTTAGCCCACAAATGTGTAAATTTACAGAAACCTTAAAAGTGAACAAGCAAACAATAATTACAACACAGGTCATACTACAAAAGGTCATCAGATTCTTTTGAAACTCTTTAGCTGTATAATTGCCAGGAAAATAATAATTATGGGAAATGGTTCATGTAGAATATAGGGTTGTGCACAAATGTTTTCCAACTCGAAGATCTCTAACCCAATATTAGGCCAAAATAAAAAAAATATTCGGTCTCTGGTCAGACCAAAGTTCCGGAATTAATGCGGCGACGCATTTTTTTTTTGGGGGGGGGGCCCTTTTTTTTTTCTTTTTTGTTAGCTTGGATTGTAAGACAAGGTGGGTACTATTTTGCTTTTGTTGTGTCCTCATATACATTGGGGACCTCCATAATTTGCCTTGGTGCCCTCCATCATTTGCCTTGGTGCAATTTCCCCATTCCTCGGTACAAAAATTTGAGGTGCGGCAATAGAGGGCGCTGCTGTAGCTACCGTGGACAATTTGAAAAAAAAAGAAGGTTGACACGCATGATTAAAACACCGACGAGCGCGCTGACCAGAGACCGACTCATTTTTTTTTTGGCCTTACCTTACCTTACTCCTAGGAAGTATTTGACCACATGCAACAGATCTAGCCTAATTGTGACACTGAAATGTCTCCCTACTGATCGGTGTCTCCCTAAGGCATAACGTAAGCAATTTATACCTTTTGCCATCATAATTATGATGGCAAATGTCTCGTTCAGGGAACAGTAACAGGAATGTAACAATGTATAATAGTGATTGCAAGCACAGAGATGTAATGAAGTTTATTGTTGAAAATTTTGCAATTTACCAGGCAAAGCAGAATTGTTAATTTAGAACACTGTTAATACCTATGACTGACAAGTTTATTGCTTGCAAAATGTTTTGAGACCAGTGATGGTTATATAGCAGTGCTCATTAACAAGCAGATTGCAATTCAAAGATAACTTGGTTGCCAAGTCTATGCCGTGACACATAAGGTAGAACTATTGCTACGACACAGACACAGAAGTCCCTGTTCATGGCTAAGACACTGTGAATCTACAGGTGCATTACAGAACTTCAGAAGAATTTGGAACAGCAATCACAACATTTTAATTAAGATGAAAAGCTGGGAAAACCACTTGATGATTCAGTAGCGTGCAGATGGATTTTTCATTCATACTTTAGATGTAGATTTGGATATCCCGAATGCATCACACTGAAATGACTGGACTAGATTTTG